CAAGAAGGTCAAGCGCTCTCAAACAATGGAGAGCGTCAGCGATCAATTGTGACTTCATAGAGATTTCGTCGTAAGATTTAACAATTGAGAGTGTAAGCGATCAAATGTGAATAAGCAAAGAGCTCGTGCTTTTTCTGAGCAGTCGAGAGCATCAGCGACCGATTGTGAAATACGTGCAAGGGCTACAAGCACAACTGAACAATGGCCACAAGCACCACTGAACAATGGCTACAAGCACTACTGAACAAATGAGAGCATTAGCGACTGATCGTGATTAAGAAAGGGTGCTACAAGCACTATTGAACAGTTGGGAGTATCAGCGACCGATTGTGAATTGTCAGAGAACTCGCAGTATTGTTGAACAATCGATTGCTGGCGCTCTCGACTGTGACTTGTCAGAGGGCTCGCAGTATTATTAAACAAACGAGAGCGAGAAGAGGGTCATGCATGTAGCGTTATTGAACAATGGGAGCGACAGCGTGCAACTATAAATCATCAGAGGACTCGCAGTATTATTAAACAACCAAGAGCATCAGCGCTCAGTTTTGAATAGCAGAGGATTCTGTCGTCCTCGTTTCCCAAATTTTCCCCAAATCGCACAACGTACTTAATTACATTTTAATTTTGTCGAGGCAGCAGCGAATGTCGCCTGGATAAAGACATTATTGAAGTGACGCACAGATGTTCACCACAAGTTTCCCTCAAAAGTGAAAATTATGGGAAAACCTGACTATCGCATCAATATTTTCATCCACCTCAAGGTCTTACAAGCTTTCTGATCTCGCCCTACCTAGCCACCCAAAACACCTGTAGGAAGTCACATGACCCATAAAAAGCGCCCTCCCAGTGGCCGTATGAAAAGAGAGTCGCCTTATTAACGGCTGCCAAGCAAAAAAACACACACACACACAAGAGCCGTTAACTCTCCTCCTCCCACTCCTCTCTGAACACACGACCCATTGATTTCAGCATTAGCTCACAGGCCTCTATCACCGGTATGTCAATTATCGCACCTTGAGCTCATCGGCGTTCACGTGCCACATCAATTTTTTTTCCCCTGTTACGTCAGCAGTGGCTTTCCCCAAGCCAAAATTTGGCTGACGTAAACATTACTCAGCGCATGACTTGCGGCACGCCAAATGAGAAAATTCCGGTCTTGCATCTCAGAAAACAGTGCACAGACCTCCTTAAATGTTCCGTTCTTGCTTGGATTGTGCATCTCTCCAGCAGTATCTGTGCTTTCGAAACTCGGGTTTTTCCGGGTTTCTGTAGCTTTGCATGCGAGCTGATATAATCTCGCATACCTTCTTTATATTAAAAACTTAACGTGCTGTGAGCCCAGGTTGACGTCAAGCCTGGATAATGCTGAGGTGGTGAAAATTGATCTAAACGCTCGCATTTTCAACAAAATGTGTATGGGCAAAACAGTGACATCAGCATTTAAAAGATAATATCGGTTGAACAACGAGCTCCAGGACATTCATATATAATGGGAAAGCTTGTCTGACTGGTTGTACAGCCTATGTTCTCATTCCCATCATCCAACCCAAAGATCAAAGCCCGGACACTAAAACCAAGCTTTTAACCAAACCAACAGCCAGCTAACAGCTACCCTCACGAACACAACACAACACAGCAAAACATGTCTCCAGCCGCTACCAACATTTTCACCTTGACTCACAACTCCAAGTTGCCTGACCTATTGGATGCCAACAAACAATGGTGCGAAAAAACCACTCAAGAACACCCAAGTCTGTTCCGCGACTTCAACGCCCACGGCCAGACGCCTCACACTCTGTTCATCGGATGTTCCGACTCCCGTTACAACGAAGCCTGTCTGGGAGTCATCCCCGGCGAGGTGTTCACCTGGAAAACCATCGCCAACGTTGTCAGCGACAAGGACCTCACGTGCCGTGCTACTCTGGAATTCGCTATCAACGTTCTAAAGGTCAACAAGGTCGTCATCTGTGGCCACACCGACTGCGGTGGTATAAACACTTGTCTGGCAATGAAGAGGGCTGCTCTAAAAAACGGCAAATGCGACCATCTTTTCGAGTATCTACAAGACATCGACGACCTTTACCACGACCACAAGAGCGATTTGCTAGGCGTAACCAACAGTGCCAAAGTCCAGAGCTCTATGCTTTCGAAGTACAACGTTCAAAAACAGATCAACAACCTTCTGGCCATCGACACCGTCAAGGAGGCCCTAGAGCGCAAAGACATCGAAGTCTACGGTCTTCTGTACGATGTTGCCACCGGTCTCGTCGAGCAGGTCTCCGAGAACAAATAATCGAAACGAAAAGACTCTACATCGTCGGCTCAGGTAAGCAACTCGGTTGAGCCTTTTGCTTGCAACACTAGGAAGGATAAATAAATGTACATTAGAAAATTAAACTTTGATATTACTTGAACAGAGAATTGAACAGCAGAATCTTTGGTTTTAGGGCCATTGATCCTCTACCGGCGATGTAAATCACATCTGGTGCGCTACGAATTTATCCCAGCAGCATCAGCTTTTCGATATCTCTCCTTCTCCAGGCAATTCTCGTTGTCCGTCATCAATCACATTATGACGTCTTTGTTGTCTACGAACTCCTCAGCTTTAACTAACAGGCCGTAAAAAATCAGAAATTACACCCAAAATTAAGACAATATGGACAACAGAGTCCCCTGGCTCCACATAGTCCACACGATACCTCTGATCACTACAGTTTCCTCGAAAAATCATCGCAAGATCGGCAGTACAGTGGAATAATTAATTTTAATTTCATGACATTTATATTACATAAAAACAAACTTCACCAGAACGTTGGACCAAAAAAGTGCGCCTCTCCCTCATGAAGCTGGATTATATATCTTTTAATATTATCAGTTCCCGCCGTCCATGACCCATCCAAGCTTTTTCTTCTCTCAATGCCCTCCTCTGTCTTTGTTACTGTCATAAAAACACACTGTGACGCCATCCGTCAGAACGACACCGCAATACCAGGGGCAAAAAAAGCGGCCCTGACATCAGATCTGAGATAGGGTTTGGAGCCCTTTATATAAGAGTAAACATCTTCATCGTACCTTTTCATTCTTATTCTTGCGCCGTTTAGTCTCTTTTCATCATCAGCAGCTTAAACTCAGGCACATAAACCACCTACCGATTAAGCTTCAATAGGGTACTGGCGCGATGGACAAACAAAAGTATTGCCAGTCTTTGCCGCATGAATCATGCAGCAAATGGACCAAAAGCATAGTGTTAACTTTTTGTGCAAGTGTCCTGCTATGGTCGACGTTTTTCTCTCCCTCTTGGATTCACTGGAATTCAAACTTAGGTTCACTTGACTCAGAGGTACCGCTATCGAGTCCCACAACACGCAATGTTACGATCGTGGACTTTTCTGGCAGGCGCCACATAACCCCTACGTCAAATCCAGGGTCTTCTTACTATCAACACCGCATACAGCTCAAGCCTCTGATCCCACACACAGTCGCTCGCGAAGACTTCAACGAATGGTTGCAAGTACAGTCCACAATCAGCTTCGAAAGAGTGCTAGCCAACATCGGGGATGTTAACTTGAACCAACTGCACAAAACGGATCAAGTTGCAGAGGGCGCAATAATCGCTTCTCCTTCTAAGCAATCCCCTGATTACTTCTATCACTGGATTAGAGACGGTGCCATAACTGCAAATACCGTGGTCAACAAGCTCTGGGACCTGACGCAAGGACCTCAGCCAAGCGTGAACATCACCCTGGTGGGGACTGTGCTCAAGTATTTAAACAACACTTATGTGCTTCAACGAACGGACAACCCTTCAGGGTCTCTAAACCCTGATTACAGGGGCCTCGGAGAGCCCAAATGGATGGTGGATAATCAACCTTTCACAGGCAACTGGGGTCGTCCCCAAAACGATGGTCCGCCCTTGAGAGTCATCACCACCTTCAATTTCCTTCAGGTACTTCAAGACCTTGACTTGACCATTGAACAAGCCATCAAACTCTACCAAGACGCGACCAACAGTGACTTGCAATTGATCTTTGCCAATGAAAAGGAACTATACGACAAAATAATCAAGCTGGACTTGGAGTTCGTAGCCTCCAATTGGCAGGTCGACAGTTTCGACTTATGGGAAGAAGTCAACGGACAGCACTTTTTCACAACCGTGTCACAGTTGAAAGCCGTTAAACTAGGATGGAATTACCTTGTTCACGTTCAGCCAGATTTCGACGACAAGTCCAATTCCTTTGCAGAAGTGTTACAAGATAAAATCCAAGATATCCTCAGCTTCCTTATGGAGGGTGGTGGATTTCTCAATGCCAACAAAAACCATATCATTGAAACCCCTACGATTCTGGGTAAAAGATCCGGACTAGACATCGCTGTGTTGATCGGTTCTATCTTGACGCATGACGATCTCTATAAGTCCGCAGGGAGCGATAATGTGCCATTCGATGTCGAAGACAGCGGAATCTTGAACTCTTTGCATGGGCTTGCCAAACAGATGGAGATCCTGTATCCTGTGAACCACCAAAGAGCCAACTTGAACCTGGGTGTAGCACTTGGCAGATACCCAGAAGATGTCTATGACGGTCTGGGTACCTCAGAGGGCAATCCATGGTTTTTGGCAACCTCTGCTGCAGCTGAAGTTTTTTACAAGGTTATATGGCGATACTACGCGCTGGAAGAAGACCTAGTCATCCCCATGGACAGTTGGAAATCAGAGTTCTGGAGTCGTATATTTGATAAAATTGATTTCTCTTCCGAGAATTCTTGTGAATGGCAGCTAGTCATTCCCTATGGATCGCCTGCTTTCAAACAAACCATGGTTTCGTTATTTACATTGGGAGATTCATTCCTGGACAAGGTCAGAGAACACGTTAGCGCCGAGGGCGAGATGTCTGAGCAATTCAACAAGTACACTGGATATATTCAAGGAGCCAGACATTTGACATGGTCCTACGGTGCGTTTTGGAACTCTTGCCGATGGAGGACACAGGTCCTTCAGAAACTGGGAAGTGACGAAAATGAGGCGTTTTGGTGAGGAGCTTTTGAACTTTTAGGTGTAAGGTATGAATGCTTCTTTACTGTGTAATTTGAGGTTCTTTTTTTTTGACCTTGGGATCACAGCGGTTTCATAAATCGGGAACTTGTAGACCGACTCTAGCGGCAGTTCTCTTGACTTTTTCTTCCTGGTCCATTTTCAAGCCCGGGTTGTATCTCTCGACTAGTTGCTCATATTCCAGTTGGTTCTTGACAAAACCAGAAAGATCAGATAAATGCTGAAGCCTTTTGCTAAGGACAGACTCGTCAGAGGGGAGATCCTGAAATATTGTTTGTCTCAAACGGCTAGAGTTGTCGTAGAAATGCAGATCTTTTCTTTGGCTTGGATCGCTTGATTTGAGCATTTGTATTCTCTTGGTTAGATCGTGAAGTTGATGAACGTTTTGGCCCTTGGATGAAGATGTTGGATCCGAAGCTTGTTGTCTCACCAGGCCAATTTTTCGGTATGTCAAGAGGGCGATTTCTCTTTTATGGTCCTCTTTCATTTGAGTAATCTTTGCACGTTTGCTAGACTTAACCAGGGCTCTTATGAGCTGTTTGTATGTGGTAAGAACGTGTTGTTTGTTTGACATGGTGGGCATGGAATCGTGCTAGCTAGGTCTTTGTAGGCGATGCGATGCGATGTGTGTTTTACAGGTTTAAAGTCGACTTTTTTTCAAACTATTAGGAAATTAGTGCTAACGAGACATTTGGCAAAATCTAGCTAAATCAAACGTCAGAAAGCTAATGATTAGAAAATGTTTAGGCGAGTTTCAACAAATTATCTTGGGAGGTGTTATTTGGGTATTTTTTTAGGAATTTTAGAGGCTCACAATAGCATGCCATTTGTCTTATTTTCCTTGATTTTTACGGATTTTGGGATTATTGAAAATATAAATGATTTTGAATCTTCTGCGTGTCGCAATGGGCCAGAGCCATGATGTATTATACCGAAATTTGTCTTGCGCATTTGAATTCAGGCTGTTTGGCAGTGCCTCGGTGGATAGAATGACTATCTGAAACTGCGGTGACAGCAGTACTGTTATTCGATATTCTCAATAACGTAATTCATATGAACGCGACATATGATCGCTTGTGATGGCAGTCGGCAGATGCAGGAGTAATCTCGTGGCGGGTTCGAAGTTCTGTCGAAGCTGCCATTGTAATGACACACTGGTACAAAGTGACATCATTTCACATAGTGACCAAACGGACACGGGCCATTAGTCTTCCTACAAATAGTCCCTACAACACTCAAATGCTAAATAGTGCTTGCAAAAACCAGTCAGAACACAAACACACAACAACATATCTTCCATTGACGAATATCATATCAAAACTCTCCAGAATTCATTAAAGTACTCGTACCCACGAGTACATTACGTAATATCTCGTGCTTTCCCCTCCATCGCCCTTCACGAAGCGAGTCGGATCCGAACTTTCTCATTTCCTGAATTTCGATCAATTCCGTGACCTTGTCACCGGTTTATATAAGAACTCAATTGATGTCAGTAAAGACATCAACTTCAAGAACCTTGCTTGAGCGCACAAAACACTTCATAAATATCACAGACTACCGGTAGTTTGTTTGCTTGGTCCTGTTTTTGAAAAAATAGCACCTCAAGTCTAAGTTTACAGTGTCCCTATAAACTTATCGTTTGAGATTCCGTATTCGCAAGCTCGAGTTTCTCACAAGTTTATCATCTACAAAGCATTATAAAGACATCAAAAATGTTCAAGAACAGCTTTAGTGCATCTAAAAGACGCTTGGCCAGTGTGGCCACGGAGCAGCTGCTGCCCAAGAAGTACGGCGGCCGTTACACAGTGACCCTGATTCCAGGAGACGGTGTGGGCAAAGAAGTGACTGACTCGGTGGTGTCGATCTTCAAGTCGGAAAACGTGCCTGTGGACTGGGAAAGCATCGAGATCTCCGGTCTAGAAAACCAAGAGGGTGTGCAGAAGGCCGTGGACTCGCTCAAGAGAAACAAGGTTGGCCTAAAGGGTATCTGGCACACTCCCGTGGACCAGACTGGCCACGGGTCGCTCAACGTTGCGTTCCGCAAACAACTCGACATCTTCGCCAATGTGGCACTATTCAAGAGCGTTCCCGGTGTCAAGACACGCCACTCCAATGTAGACTTGGTCGTCATCAGAGAAAACACCGAGGGTGAGTACTCCGGCCTGGAGCACGAGTCCGTGCCAGGCGTGGTCGAGTCTCTCAAAATAATGACCAAAGCCAAATCCGAGCGCATTGGCCGTTTTGCCTTCGACTTTGCCTTGAAGAACAACAGAAAATCTGTGTGTGCCGTCCACAAGGCCAACATCATGAAGTTGGGTGACGGTTTGTTCAGAAACTGCATCAACGAAGTTGGTGCCAAGGAGTACCCTGAAGTTGAGGTGAAAAACATCATTGTCGACAACGCGTCCATGCAGGCCGCCGCCAAGCCCCAGCAGTTCGACGTTCTCGTCACGCCAAACTTGTACGGTTCTATTCTAGGAAACATCGGTGCTGCCCTAATCGGTGGTCCAGGTTTGGTTCCAGGTGCCAACTTTGGTAGAGAATTCGCCGTCTTCGAGCCAGGTTCCAGACATGTGGGTTTGGACATCAAGGGTCAGAACGTTGCGAACCCAACTGCCATGATCTTGTCCTCGACCTTGATGTTGAGACATCTTGGCTTGAACGCTTACGCCGACCGTATTTCCAAGGCCACCTATGATGTTATTGCTGAGGCCAAATCCACCACCAAGGACATTGGTGGATCCGCCTCCACCACTGAGTTTACCAATGCAGTCATCGCCAAATTGAAGGCTCTTTAATTTTAAACCCATAACCCCCACGCAAACATCAACAACCCAGGAACAAAAAGTACTCGGGTAGTTGATCCCATCTTGCACAGGATAAATAGTAACATACAACAACTGAATCAGAAACTTCATACAAAGACATAATCGAGCTGCGCTAGCTTAGCCTGTCCGTTGTAGGGCTTGAGCACTCAATAGATTATCACCGCTTTTATCATTATATACGCATATGCCATCTAACATATTTCTAAGGGCGACTTTCACGCAGTTGAGATTTACAAGCATGTGTCCAACGCACTCGCATTCACCTCTTACCACACTGGTTTGTCGTTGATGTCTCTTGGTAGGACTCTCGTAAATTGAGGTCACGAATAGCAGCTCATGTCGCTTTTAAATGAGCCCAGTGTCGATTTCCACTTAAAACTGAATGAACAGTCTTTCCACATCCCGAATGAGCTACTCAAAAATAATGTTCAAAAGGTTCAGAAACTAGTGGAACGTGAGAGTAGACGCCTCTGTGGACTGTTTGAGGAGCTGAACTTCGTCGTGGCCGGCCACGACCCTTCAAATTGTATCAACAAGCTCAATGAGATAATTAAAGCCGTCGAGTTGCTGGAGAGAAAACTCGAAAAGAGAGTCAACGTAGAAGGCGAACTTTTGAAGCGAATCGAGTACCGTTTCAATTACTACAAGGAGCTCGAAGAATTGAAAAAAAACGAAAATCGGGACGGACTCATCTCGTGGTATCAGAGATACACTAATTTACTCATAGGCGATTACCTCACCCGAAACAACAAAGTATATGACCAAGAACTATCCTTGGACAACGTCGACACGATTGTGCGATTAAAGCGGAAAAATACATCTCCGACGGCATCCCGGTCCCCTGTGAACGCAGGTCTCCAATTTCTGCGATCGCAAGGTCTAGAGCATCATTTAGACTACGACATTTTGGTCACTGCAAACCAAATATCCAAGAGTCTCGATGTACATCATGATCTGACTTTGCTGGTGAACTGGATCAAGGAAAACCAGGCGTATCTGACCAGTAAATCATCTACGCTGGAGTTCGAGACGCGGCTGCAAGAGTACATTGAGCTCGTCAAAGTTCAGGACTACCCTGCCGCCATTGGATGCTTTCAGGATCACCTCATCAAATTTATCAATACCAATTTCGAGGAACTGCAACTCGCCTCGGGTCTTCTGGTATTTATCAAGAGTTTCAAGGGGCAAAGGCCACAACAGACGGAGGTAAAGAACGATGCACACAACTTAAAATCCAAGCGCGGTTTTTGCCAATACTTCTTTGGAGTCCCGTCACCCAGAGACCCGGATGCAAATTGCAGATCCTCTGAAAACGAAAGCAGAACCAAAGCTTCGACGAATGGGGATTTCGTGAGGTACACCCGCGTTTTGAGTGACGAAAGATGGAATATTTTGAAACGCCTTTTTTTGCAAGAGTATTACTCGATGTATGGAATATCGCAACATGATCCTTTACTGATATACCTTTCTTTGGGAATTTCGACCCTTAAAACGAAAAGCTGTCTGCTCGACAGGTACTCGCCAGCCAAGGGCAACGATGAAATAGACAAGTTTTTCAGCATTGAGCTGAATCACTCCAAGTGCCCTGTCTGTAGTCCGGAGTTTGCACCCATTGCAAACGATCTTCCCTATGCACATCACATTCAATCTAACTTATTTGACAACCCTGTCATGCTACCAAATGGTAACATCTACGACTCAAAAAAGCTCAAGCTGTTGGCGTCAAAACTCGCTAGCAAAAAACTTTACAACCTGGACCAAGGTCAAGTGGTTGATCCAATTGATCGAAACGTCTATTATGAAAAGGACTTTGTTACTATGTACCCCACATGATGAATTTGCATCGAGACGAATCTATTTCATTCGTCATCGCTGTCAGAATTTTTTTGCTTTCTAGCAGTTTTAGCATGTTTATCGAAAATCTCAAACATGTAGGTCCGAGCTTCTCTCTCGGCGGCTGGTTTGGTTGTATCTTGCTCGCTATTAGTGCGTCTATGGGAGTACTCGGGATAATTTGCCCAATTGAATTTACTGGATCTTTCCACTTTCCATCCGGTTGTTCTTGCAAGAATTTTGATTTGCCAAGAATCATACGGCTCCCCGGTGAAGACCGAAATCAAAACCTTTCCGCATCCTTCTGCAGATAACCTCGTATTTGTTGCGTCGTCATCTAGCGTATAGCCTTGAGCGAAACCCATTGCCGATCTACTAGTGGGAACTTGATTTGCCGTCTTGAAGAACTGCTTGCAACTTTCTAGAAACCCAAGAATTAGCTCCTGGTGGTCTCGTATGTTTTTATCCTGGTCTTTTACGCCTTTGCCGGTGTGTGGAAAGTTGAAAAGTATGAATTCGACCGGTTTGATAGCCCACTCGGACCCGGCTATTTTCGACCAAGTAGTTTTTTTACTGATTTTGAACGCTTTTATGAGATTGGTAGCGTCGATTCGGAAGAACACCTTCACGCCGTTCTCCAAAAGAAAGTCGTAATTAGCCTCAAAACTTTTTGGGTATTTCAGTTTTAATTCGGAGGGTGAATTGTCAAAACTTGTCACCAACAAATTCTCAGGTTTGACATACTCTTGCATTATGATTGATCTTGCAAACGACAAGTCTCCTTCGCCAACCAGCAAAAGTGTGGAATTTTTATCAAAGGGTATCATTTTCTCTGCTGCTTCCCGTTGCGATGCCCTTTGTTCCAAACTGGCTTTGGTAGGCTTATTCTTTTGAAGGGCATGCTCTTGCTTGGTCTTCACCTTCTTCTGCGCTTGTTCGGTCGCCTGGTGTCGTAGTAAAGCTCCTTTGAGGCCCTTGGAACTGGATTTTCCTTTTGGTTTACGGCCCATCTTCTATCAAAAATAATCGGATACCTATAATGAGATCAAGAGCGTTTATGTTAGTGCTATTCCTATCTCGGTGCTTTGCATCTTAGCTCATCTCATCGCGTCTCGTTTCGACCCGTACTTCTTTCAACAATCTCGTCGTCAGTGACTTGGGACTACGGGAACCGAAGGTTAGCCATTCAGACAGCTTCTGGAGTCATTGTAGACATGTTTCAAGTCGTTTAGTCTGGGTCTTGTTGTCTGTTGTTAGTGTTAGTAATCCTGAGCTCGCTGTGATCCTAATTGACTTTTCAGATTTATTATAACATACTGGGAAGACCAATTGCAGGTCAGTAATGTCCTTAAGGATAACTGCCAGGTAGAAGTTCACCTGAAACCCTTTGAAAAATGCCTCATTGATAATAATGTCAACTATGTTGTCCTTGGGAATGAAATAAGATTTCTCCAGCCATTTGTTGTTCAATGCTTTTGGCAACAGCACACACCCTCGCATGGTCGACACCTGGATTCCTGCGCCCCTGAAGACACGCAGAGACTCAACAGGTGGATTTCGAATAATAAGTAAGAGGGCTGTGAAAAAAATGGCTTCGATCGCGCTTTTTTTCGGCGTCGTCCATTTGAGATAGTTGTTCGTGCAGTAAAAGCACACAGCGTTGGCTAGTATGAAAAGAGCCAGATTAACAACACATTTGCGGTTGTAGTATCTTGGAGTAGCAGTATATTTTCTATAAGATCGTTTCTCGTTCCCAATGGTGCTCACAATGGATGTCATGGTGCTTTCTAACTTGTCATTTCAAAATGGGTTCTAACGTCGCGAATCGTACCTAATTTATTGAAATTCGGAAATTCGAGCTTATTGTCGGTCTCGCCGTTAAATTCATTAAAATACCATTCTATAAAAACCTTATTTACTTGATTTCAAGAGTCCGCTACCTCTCCAGGCTCCAGTGTCCTCTGTCTTTTCATCTGATCAATTGTCCCTAGCACAACTTCTGTTTTTCTGTAAGCGTTTAGTTGATCCCGTCTTAGTCCTCCTGACGTCTTCTTGTGAATGTTGTCCATCTCCTTGACCTTTTGCGTCTGCAGGTCTTCCTCCTTGGCACTTTGTTTCGAAACCTCAATTTCCAGTAAATGTTTTTCGTGGTCCTTTTGGAGATTCTGAAACTTTTGATTGAAATCTTCTAGAGAGACCAGCTCTTTCCTGATCTCTGTACAGTAGTGGTCGAAATCTGGTGGAAGTTTAGAGCGCAACGCAAGCTCAATCATCGCCGGGTTTTTCTTTTCCTCATTAACAAATTTCGCTTTAATTTGACGTCTAGTTCGGTAAGGAAACATCTGCGCAATCAGGTTGAAATCTGTCCCCCACATCGAAAGCGCCTTATAAAATCGAAGAAGCTCATCGATTGTCCATGGATCTGTGTATTGCTGACGCCCGTACGTAGCAGAGTTGAACAAATTTGCGAAGGGGTTTTCGTCCATTCGCAGCTTGTGAGCGTGCTCTAACGTGGCCCTCTTGTGCCGGTCAACAACGGTGGATTCTTCATCCACCGCAAAAGTACCGTCCTGATTCATCCGGAGCTGGATTGCGTTGTGTCCTCTGTCAGGCTCCGGGATTTCGGCATTCATTATTTCTTCTGCAGCTTTTTTACGATCTTCCAGCAGCTTTTCAGCGTCTTCTTTGTTGAGCTCATTAAGCGGCTTGAAGTGCTCACGCGCTTTGAGCCGCATAGCTCTTCGTTTGAGCCTATTCTCTTGCTTTGCTTTCAGAGCGTCCTGGGCTCGCTGGAAATTGTCTGAAGTCTCTCCTATCGGTAAATTGGGTTTGCACAAGTCTGCAATTGTGAAGTTATCTTCGTCCAGCAAGTAACGGGAGGAATCGCCATCTGCAATATTTTTCGGTATTTCTGCGGCATTGGAAATCGTGTATTTTTCGTACAGCCTATCAGTTCGCTGAAAAAGATCGTCTGCACCCTCTCTCTTTAAGCCTTCATTGTCCGTGACAGACGAAGCATGATCGTTCGAATTGTTAGGCTGTGATAAAATGCTAATTCGCTGAGCAGACCCCGTTTTACGAGATATGGAAGATCTTGACGACATACGTCTCTTTTTGATGGCTTGAAATGACGAGTCCGATTCCGAAATGCTGCTCATTTGCTTCTTTCTGTTCTGCCCTTGTGATCCGTTGATTGTGGACAACCTGCGATTCTTCGCGGAGTCTCTTGGGGCTCCAGAACTCGTTTGAGGCTCCATAAATCCGCTTTTGAACATCGCACTGGCGTTACTTAACGAATCCAGCCTACTAGACCTCCGTCTCTGGTCGATGGACGAGGAGTTTTGAGACGCTGTTGCGTCGTTGTCTGGAACTTTTTGCGTACTCTGGCTCAACGGATCCATCTCTTCAGATATATCAACCTCATTTTGCGACTGACGCGTAGTTCCTGACGATTGCGAGTCGTTGGTGGTTTTCGATTCATCAATTTGTCGTTCTTTTCCCACTTCATTGCTGGCCGACACGGGGCCCTTTTCCACCGCTGCCACAACGGCTCTACGCTGTTTAATCTTCGGGGCAAAACGGGTTCCACTTTTGTTTACAATGCTACTCATTCTTTCCAAGCCGGTATGCACCAGGTCTTTGCACGTAAACGCGTTAAGTTTTCAGTAAAAGTCGTCTCTGAACGCGATGCCATCAGTAGTTGTTTGGTGGGTGTTCTTGAAATATACTTAAAATTTGGCTCATCGCAGTTACTATGGTCGTCAAACATGACACCCATACTAATGAGACTCTTGAACATTGGTAGCGAACGGACATTCGTCGTTGATCGATTATAATTGGCATTCAGTATGGTTGAAACCTGTGATGTTTCGAAGCATTTTTGAAAGATTTACTAGCGCCTTTTGATCCCTTTGGCGCCTTCTTTTTATCTTTCGATTTGCGCTTTTTAAACGTCTGTGAAGGTGCCGGGGAAGGCTCTGGACTATTGTCGGGATTTTCGTCGATTTCAGCCATTTCCACTTGCGGAAGTTCACCTTTAAACATATCCATTGCCTGGGAATATGGCCAAAACTCGGTAGGCACGTTTACGGGTCCCGAGGACGATTTCCAGACGTTCACGCGACCATCTTCGCCGCAGGAGTACAGAAGTTCTTGGCTTGGAGCCGGCACAAGCACATCTCTGATCACTTCGTCGCCGTGAGCGTGCGGGATTGTAATTGCGGAGCCCAAGTTGACGGTCTCGTTGATAAACGGTATCAATTTCAGCTCGCCACGGCCTTCTTCCGTTTTGCCCGTGGCAATGAAACCAGGACACACGTCAACAACGTAGTTGCAGTCCCAAGGTTTTCTAATATCTCCAAACTCAATGGGTTTGGGCTCTGTTGACTCCTCTTGCTTCTTGTTCAGCTCGTGGATGCCAAAAGTCTCCATGTGTGACAAAGTGTAAATTCGATTGGGAGAGGACCACCCGCAAGTGTGAATAGACGCAAAATTGATCACCTGGTGCAGTGCATCGTCCTCCTCGTCCTGAGTCAGATCGTAGACATTCACATACCCATCAGTGGACCCACTCAGCAATACATTGGGGTCACTAGGGTGAAATTTAATCGTGGTGATGTCGTCATGGTGAGAATCCACTAACGAGCGCACTGGTTGCTGCCACTGTCTTACATCGTAAAGATGAAGCTCGGCATCCACACCGCTGAGCTCTGTGCCGCACGCAAGAATGTCGTGTCTTGAGTCCAAGGACACAAAGGGCGCAGATTTCTCGTTTTTGAGTGTCGCGACCAATTCCTGAGACCGGACGTCAAAGATCTTCACGGAGTCTTCAGCAGCGGTGGCAGCTAACGTCGCGTTCAGTGTATCGCCATTTATGAGCTTCATGTCGTTGATGGGTGTTTCGTGTGCTTGAAAGGAATTGACGACTTTATTAATATTCCAATCGATGATTTGGACCGTACCGTTACTCAAGGCGGTCAACAATCCGCGGTTATAGATTGGCTGCATTCGCAGACACCAATTGTCCTCACCAAACGCAATTGAGCTTAATTTCGAGTATGACATGTTTCTATCCCGACAGGAGCCTGAAAATCTGCGTGGCACCGACGCTTTCACTGTTTAATAGGCCGAAATGTCGTCAAGTAGGGCAAATGACCCGTTTAAGATCAAATAGCGCAAAGCCTGAGCCTTTTATAGGTGATCTTTGAAATTCAAGAATGATCTCATCAAGCTCTATTGAGAAACTAAAATCAATCTATTAATTCTCAAGTTAATATAAAGAAGATAAGATTTTAGCAGAATAAGTAAAATATCTTGCCAATGATAGCTCATTAAACGTCTCAATTGGCAATGTAAGGCCGATCGGAGGTAAACCAAATCTTCATCGCCTTTGCGTCTTTCATGCTGAACCATTTTTGTATGTCATGAAATGGCTTGCAATTTAATGATATACGTAAAACGCCAAAAATGTGTCTTGTGGCTCTTTATATAAAAAAACTTGAGTAGCTTGGTACATGAATTATCGTTTGAACTTCATTTGCAATTGTTAGAGCTCTGTCGACCAGGAAATGCATTTCGAATGGAAATAGTATGGTGTTTACACACCTTGTCGAAATTCAGACAAAAAAAGCTGCAAAAAAGGTGGTTTTGAAAGCTCAGAAATGTGACGGCTCGTCTCAAAGTGGTGGTGATATGAACCGCAGTTTGATGTCCCTGCCGCTCTCTGTTTATTCAAAACGATCTAAAGTTTAAATAAGAGAAACTGTGACTCTCGTCACGTGACCAGCTCGATTTAACTCAGAACATTGAAAACTTGAACTCGATCAACGGCCCCTTTCTAATCCGAGTTGAACAGGGTCCTGGATTCTCAGATATAGCATCTTTGCATTCACAGTCGAGTCATTTACGTTTTCTTAATTCCCCCAAACTCATTTGAGACTCCGGTTTTGCACTCTTCTTTGAATCTAGCTAGTAAACCTTTTTGAATTCCGTAAAATACAGACGACGCTTTTCAACAGATTTGCGAAGACAGAAAGCCTTAATGAAATGAATAACCAGCTTCCTGATATATACCCGCCTGGAACTGCGCTGACAGTGGGGTCTCATCGAGCCCGAATCATCAAGTACCTCGCAAGCGGTGGCTTTGCTCACATCTATTCAGCAGAAATTTCCCCAGCAGATCCAGGTTTCTCGACTCGTGTGGCTTGCCTCAAGAGGGTTCTCGTACCCGACAAACCCAGTCTCAACGTGCTGCGAGCTGAGGTGGACGCCATGAAACTTCTTCGTGGCAATAAACACATCGTGTCCTACATCGATTCTCATGCTGCCAAATCTGGAGGCCAGAACGGATCTTATGAGGTTTTCCTGCTCATGGAGCTGTGCACTGGCGGCGGGCTGATAGACTTCATGAATACCAGATTGCAGAACCGCTTTCAGGAAGCAGAGATTTTGAAAATCATGAGCGATATAACACAAGGCATTACCGCAATGCACGCACTTCTGCCGCCTTTGGTGCACAGAGACATAAAAATTGAGAATGTTCTTATCGCAGGAGATGGGACTTTTAAGGTCTGCGACTTTGGCTCTGTGTGTGGAATCATCAGGCCTCCCAAAAACGGGCAAGAGTTCAATTATGTACAGCATGATCTCTTGAAAAATACAACTGCTCAATATCGCTCTCCTGAGATGATTGACCTCTACCGCGGCTATCCCATCAACGAAAAATCTGACATATGGGCTCTCGGGGTATTTCTATACAAGCTCTGTTATTACACCACACCGTTCGAAAAAGTAGGCGAAGCCGCCATCTTGCATTCACGATTTCAGTTCCCTGCATATCCACATTACAGCGATAAACTCAAAAATTTGATCAGTGTGATGCTGTCACAAAATCCAATCCACAGGCCCAATGTCTGCCAAGTGCTCGAGGAAGTTTCTCGCATTCAAAACGTTCCGTGCCCTCTCCGCAATTTCTACCTACTCAGATCAATGCAGGAGCAGCAAACATTAAAAGTTCAGGTTTCCCTGCCGCATTCCATTTCTCAGCCAAAACTGGATGCATCGCAGGGCATCATGAAGGTAAAACCGGCTGCTGGCTTGACATCCTGGAAAACCTTTACGAAAGGTGCGGGCAATGAAATACCATATGAGGGGCAGGCCCAGGTCATCAAGCCACAACGAAGTAGAACCTCCCAGTTTGGAAAAACTTCCGATCCTTTCATGGCAATTGACAAATCGAGACTTTTGCAAGATAAAATCTCAAGATTACCAGCCACCACCACAGCTGGAAACACTGTTCATGCAAAAAGTCTTCCAGCAACAGGGGCGCTGTCGTCAAGAAGATCAGAAAGTCCTGCGTTTGCTGGACGAGGTGATATATCTATGATCGTGAGCGCAAATCCCACGAGCATCAAGCCATCCTCAAAGTACTCCTCCACAGGTGATTCCAAAGCTGTACCTGTGCTGAAACAAAGCTCTATAAAATTATCGGCATCTCCCAGGCGATCGGAAGATTTGGAAAGTCAATACACTGGAGACAGCTTTGACAGAAAAGTTATTCAGAAAATCAAAAAGGTGTTCACTGGGGAAAGACGTTCGATTTCACCTATCAAGTCGAGGCAAAATACTGGGGAAAGCGTCAAATCATCGTTTGCCACACTTCGTCGTGGCCTGTCCAGAGGTGGTAGTCTCAAAGGCGATCATCCAAATAAAAGGAATACGAGTGAGGTGTCTTTGGGACCACCGCCATCCAACGGTCATACGGCTCGAATGTCTTCTTCCGACTCTATAGAAGAGGAGAGATTTGCATTTCGGAGAACACACTCAAGAAGTAGCAGCAGTGCCTCGATTATATCAGATCTCGAATATCTAGAAGAGGATGACACGGGTGCCAACGAATATTACAGGAGACGCTCACCAGTCAGGGTTGCGAATGACAACGACTTAAGGTTTTCCATTCAAAAGCGAGTACAGGAACTTCTCAAAAGCTCAGAAGAGTCGCCTGTTGTAAAAACTGCACATGGCTATGGGGAGCAGAAGGTCACTGAACAGAAAAAGCTCCCATTACAGCTGACAAACGAAACGTTGCTTCAAAGCATCGGAGAGTCGAGCCTTTCAACACCAAAAGCTTCCTCGCCTGGCAATAGGCAATCAAGCGTGGTGATCACCAAAATTGATGACAGCTCAAAAGTGTCACCTAATATATCCAAAAAAGTCCCAAGACCAGCGCATGCCAAGCCTAAACGTCCCACTAAGCCCATCCACCTAAGAGGCGACAAGCTCGTCAAAAAAGGTGGGGTTCATGATAATGGGAATCAGCAGTATCTACTCGAGGTTGAGGAACTAGAAAAAGACTTCAGAACAAGGTTCCCGAGTGCAGTATAAAATCTTGCGGTAATTTTCCTTGATAAAACTCATGGGTGCAGCTAAAGATCATAAAAGTATGCAAATACACGAATTTTACTCACTGTCACTCCATTCTTCGAAAGCATCTAGAATGAAATCCGTAGCCTCATCAAATTTCTCTTCGAAATTGTTGTTGAGACCATCAGAGTCGCACTTCAAAACTCTACCAAACTTTTTTCTAGGCTTTTTGTTGTCGTTTCCATCACTGCCCCAACATGTATTCTCACCGCTCGCAAACACTAGCGAATTTTTGTAATACCAATCTGCTAGAGTTTCATCGACCAGAGGTATTAAAGGTCTTAGCGGTTTTTGGTCAATGAAAGAAATAGCACATTTTACAATGTTTCGAGTATCTCGATGTCCTAGAAGGTGAACGACGCCACTATGCGCATCCCCAATACCCACAAATGCAACCTTGTTTAGCGACGGGAAAAATTTCAGATAATTATCCCAAATAAACACTAACACTTCTTGGGCAGTAGTCACAGCAGAGTAATTGTCCTGTTCATTCAAGGACTGGGGGATATTAATATCGATTACCCCGTACTTTCTTTCCAATCCCCATTTTATTACATCAACGGTGGTGTCCACAATTATAGAGGTGGATGGATCAATATTACCTGTGACTCGGCTGCGCTGGGCCCATATTTCTGGGGTATCGTGTACGCAGATTAGTATGGCTTGCGAATCGTACACGTTTGGCGAACACATCACAGTGTCGTCTTGAAGACCCATGTTGATCAACGGCAGCATAACGAAACTGTACTCGCTCATGAGGAGGTTTATTTGTTGCTGACGGATAGCGTTCTGAAGAGGGAAATTTCTGTTCGCTATCGTCTCAGTTGCTTTCTTCTTGAAAGAACAACCATCGTTTGCATGGTTCCCTTTGAAGCACTTCCAATACTTTGACTGTGTTCTGATTACCGTGTCAATGGTTTCCAAAGCCTCAGATTTGGGTTGCTTAACCTCAGGTAATTCGTCCGGAGGCTCGCCTATCAAAACTTTTGCGACCGCCAAAGCACTTTTGGCAATAGAATCTAAGCTGTAGCCACCTTCGAGCACGACACAAAGATTGCCATTTGCTAGAGACTTTAACATATGCGTCATATGACCATAGCAGCTGGGCGAGACATGACATTGACCAATGGTATCACCATCAGCAGCATCAAAACCTGATGATACAATCACGAGGTCGGGCTGGAACTCTCGACACATGGGCATGATAACCTGTTCGAAAGCCCAGAGGTACTCAGCATCTCCAAGACCGCCACATGGCCATGGTATGTTGCAGTTAAATCCTTCACCTTTTCCGTCGCCGATTCGATCGTAGTTTCCGTGTATCGTTCCTGGGTAATATTTTCCCAGCTCATGCCTGTGAACAGAAATATAAAGTACTCTATCATCGCCGTAAAATGCTTTCTGAGTTCCGTTGCCATGATGGATATCCCAGTCTAAGATCATTATTTTCCGCACACTTTCGGGATAGCTTTTGAGCATATTTTGGGCAGCTACAGCAACATTGCTGAACAGACAGAATCCACCTGCCATCTCGGGCTCTGCATGATGTCCTGGCGGACGCACTACGGCCATGGCGTTTTTCACGCGTCCCTCCACGACTGCTTTGCAAGCTTCTATCGCGCCCCCACATGACAATCTGGCACTCAAAAACGAATCGTTGTTGAAATACACAGAATCGCCCTTTTCAGTTTCTTTGAGAAGCTGATCGCGGGTCATCTGCGGCGTTCGCGCCAGAAATTCCAGGTGTTCCTTCGTGTGTACTTGCAGAATCTCAGAGTCTGTTGCTTCACGAACGGGGATTTTCAGCATTAAGTCACCGATCTCGTCAATGCCACTTAGGGTCGGGTCATTAACTAGTCCATTTTCTGCCAGTATTTTGTAAATTCTGTATATGCGTCTGGGGTCCTCTGGATGAGGGTCGATATACTCGAAATATGATGTGAAGATTTTAGCATGGTATCTCATCCTAACATCGTAGCACAGGCCCGTTTTCAAAAGGGTATACCGGAGTTTTGGCTTGCAAGCGGGCACGATGACGGGCCGTTTGACATTCACAGGACTTTGATATTCATTTTCCACATCGTTGTTGGCTGATCTTTTGAGAACGTTAGAATTTGCCGAAATCGTTTCCTTCTTTACAATGTCAGTCATTGAAGTAAAGTTCCTGGCCCAACGAAAGGAATAAGGTGGATGTGGGTACCAAAACCTTGGTTTGCCTTGGCTCAGTGATTCTTTGTTGGTTGACTTTATATCGATTGTGAGCGTATATAAAATAATATGTCTGTTTAAAAAGCGTCACCTTCGAAGAGGCCGAGTAGAGAAGTGAGCAGAAGTTTGGATAGAAGATCTGGTTGACGCTTGCCAATATTACAACAAAACAGCTCGCTGAACAGAGCGACAGTGGAGTGTCTTAGTGTTAGTTAATCTTGGGAAAAGGTTATTTTGAGACTTTTCAAGATGAGAATATTGACTATTTGTGTTACATGCGAGAGGAAGATATGTTTAGGCATTATTTATTAGAAAGTAACATTGACGCGTGTTGTGCTGTTCATATTCCAAAGTGGTCATAAGAGTTGAATACAGACATTGAAACCAGTCAAAAGTGAGCATTGAGAGTATATCCTTTTTTCTTTGATAAGCTCTTGATTCTTTGGTTGGATATCTTTGAATGGACAGTAAGAATGTTAAGCTGTTTATGAATTGAAGAAAATGTTAAATGTAGCCTGGTAAGCACTGTAGCAAAAGTTGGCAATTGCGACAAGTCTTTTGTCGTCTTCAAAAACCTCTGGCTCAAGGAATTTGACTCGAAAAGCTTGATGAACAATGGGTTTTGAAATTTTGGGGAAGGCAATACAGATTCACACATCTTAACTGAGATTGACTCGTCAGACGTATAGTTTTGTAATTGAAAACTGAACACTCTAGTCGTTTTCAGCGGACGATTCGACCTTCTCATACTCGTTTTGACTTGGCAACGCTGTCCTGTCTATCACTATTTACTTATCCGTCGTTAAATGTATATTTTTCATGATGCCTACAGGCGCCATCGCATATTTTATCAAGAGCTCATCGCTCAAATCTCAGTTTTATTTCTCACTCTTAGACCGATTTCTAGAGTCTTGGGGTGTGTCTTTAATATGAATTTCTACCGAGATGCCACTTGGGTTTTGGAATATGTCGAAAAAACGGAGTCTCAAGGTCGCGTAGCGGGCTCTCTACAAACCTTAGTGCTCAACTCTTGCAAGAGATACAAACTGAAAACCAACCCCAAGCACATCTACGCAGCTGTGAACTCGTGCTGGCTCTATACAGAATTCCTAGACACCGTTCTTCAACGATCCAAAATTCTGAAGGACATACCGAAAAAGAAGGGAGAACCAGCTTTTAACAAAACCACTATCAAACTACTGGTGCATGATCTGTTGTTCTCTAAAAGCAAACGGATACAGATGGGGAAACACCCGATTAAGGAGTTTGTGCTGAAGCACAAGACTCGTCTAAACAGTGAATTGGTGCGACTAAAGCTCAAATTGAAAGTTACAGATTTGAAGCAGCTAGTCAACGACAACAAATCCGACGTCACTCCCGTTAGATGGATTCGAATTAATCCAGTACGATCACACTCTAAGGAAAAAGAGGTTTTGGCCGAGCTACAGAAAAAATTCCCCACACAGGTTACCTCATGGACGGAGATCGCTCCCGGGACAATCTACCACGACGAGTACGTTCCAAACCTCTTTGGTGTGCATCCTGGCGACAAAATTACCTCTCACGAGCTCTACAGGACTGGCAAAATTATCATCCAAGATCGTGCGTCTTGCTTTCCTGCACATATCCTGAACGCACAAAAATCCGACGTGGTCATCGATGCCTGTGCGGCGCCGGGCAATAAGACGACGCACGTTGCGGCTCATATTTTCCAGGACGAAGAGCCCGATAGTGTCAAGATTCACGCATTTGAGAAGGATCCTGAAAGAGCCAAGACTTTGAGGACTATGATCAAAGCCGCAGGATGCTCGAAGGGGATTGATGTACATGTTGGTGATTTCACGAAGATCGCCAAGCCTTCAACTTTTCCTAACGTTACGGGCTTTATTGTCGACCCCAGCTGCTCTGGAAGTGGAATTTTCGGTCGCAAGACTATCGATGAGCACAACAGAAGCAAAGAACAGACTAGCACCGTTCCAAAAGAAGAGGACGGGAACGCCGTACCAACTGAAGAAGATTATCAAGACATTGCAGAAAAAGATCTCAGAACAAGGCTTCAGAAACTTTCGTCATTTCAATTCGAAATCGTGAGGTATGCACTTTCCTTTCCCAGCGCCAAGAAGCTTGTATACAGCACTTGTTCGATTCATGCGGAGGAAAACGAACGGATTGTGATAGACCTACTGCTTGACTCGAAAGTTAAGGAGGCTGGATGGCGTGTTAGGAAAAGAGCTGGTGTTATACCTGCGTGGCCACGGAGAGGTCTTTATAGCGAGTTTGAAGAGGTGTTCCGCAATGAGGAGGAGGCCCGAGAACTAGCCGAGGCATGCATTAGAGTGTCGCCTAAAGAAGATGGCGGCATCGGATTCTTCGCGGTATGCTTTGAGCGCGATTGAAACCATCCAAAGCTATATGTAAAGTACAGTTTTGAGTTATTTCGAGAACTAGTGTCAATTATTTGGCGTAACGAACATATCTATACCAATTTACATCTTAGATAGCACATCTTCAACCACCTCTTGAGTGGTAGACTTACCACCCAAATCTGGGGTCTTGATAGACTGCTCACGCAAGTTGGCTTCCACGGCCTTGTGGATGTCTTGGGCAGCTTCTGGGTGGCCCATGAACTCCAGCAACAACGCAGTAGATCTGATGGTGGCAATAGGGTTTGAGATACCCTTACCGGCAATGTCTGGAGCGGAACCGTGGCATGGCTCTCCCACCACGAAATCGGCACCGACGTTGGCACTTGGAACAACGCCGAGAGAACCCACCAAAGCGGCGGCACCATCGGACAAAATGTCACCGTACAAGTTGGGTGCAACGACGACATCGAAGCATTGTGGCTCTCTGAACATTCTGTAAACCATGGAGTCTACGATCTGCTCGTTGTAGTTCACGGTACCGAATTTTTCCTTGTTGGACTCGTAGACTTCTCTGCAGACTTCTCTGAACAAACCGTCACTTTGCGACAAGACGTTGGACTTGTGGGTGACGGTCAAGGTGGCCTTTCCGTTGACCTTGTATCTTTGCAAGGCAATTTCCAAAGCGATGTTAGCGATGTTCCTCGTGGCGGTCTCGGAGATTCTCTTGATGGCCTCAGCGACACGAGTCCCGGTTTTCTCGTCGATGTACGATCTCTCGGTTTTGATGTAAAGGTCCTCGGTGTTTTCTCTCACGATAACCATGTCCACTGGCTTGTCGTTGGTTCCCTCAACAGATTTGACTGGACGCACGTTGGCGTATAGTCCTAGCTGTTTTCTTAGAGCCACGATGGGCGACGAGTAACCCTCCACCTTGTTGGTTGGCGACTGAACAGCACCGAACAACGCACCGTTACACTCTTCCTTGAGTACTCTGATTGTTTCGTCAGGCAAAGCCTTGCCAGTGTCCAAAAACGTCTGCCATCCGGCCTCTAGGTCGATGAAGTTGAATTTGAGCCCATGCTTACTGGACAAGTTTTCTAGCACCAATTTACCGGCTGGGATAACTTCTTTGCCAATCCCGTCACCGGGAATCAAACCAATGGTGAGAGGTTTGGCAGAGTTAGTGTAGGCACGACGTGCCAATTGGCTGAAGGAGGTTCTCAACATGAGGAGCTGGAAAGTAGAGATAGCTTGACGATGCAAAAACGGAACTGCTTAAACCAAAATATCGGACCTAAATGTACAATTGATGTGGTAAAATTGATGGTCTAAATAAGCGTTGAAATACGACTCGGGTCGTCGCTCAGCAGGCTAGTTAGTCGTGAGTCTTTGGGTCTGGAGATTTTCACTTTTCCCATGGAATTTTTCATTATGAATATTTCGACTGGTGACGGTGCAAATTAGAAGAAAATGGGTAAGAGAATCAGCATTAAAAAGACTAACTGGACGAGGTGAGGCCAGCAATACTATTGAACATTTGGGTGTAATTGTGGATATTGAGCAGAAAATGTCCGTTTTCTTCATGTCGATTTCGTTCGGATCGGCACCTACAATTGCACTTCGGGCGAAATGATTTATTTAATTCACGATTTTGAGATATGGCCCAATAAACACTCGTCGTTAGTCATTTTTGCATCGAATTGTGCAGTTGCAGTCTCAATTTTTTTTGGCAGACCCGGTGTAGTTTTCTAACATAACCGTGAGGTATGAATATAGCTTCAACCTTGCGACAGTGCGAATTTACTTTAAAAAAACTGTCTCGTCCAAAGTTCTAAAAAGACCATCGCCATATTGGAACGTTCATTGACGACGCCCTCCAAGCTCCGTTGACGTAGAATAAATAGCTTCAGCTTCCCAGAAGACTTCGTCTGTTGCACACAAGTGGTTATTTCTTATCACTTTGTCCCCGTCTGACATTTTTCGATGACAGTGTCGCGGTCGTCATAGATCTGTATGAATTGACATTGTTCGAGGAGTGGGTACTTAAACTGACGTGAATCACGTAGAGATTTGGCACTTGAAGCAATAATATACGGCTGTGAGACGAAGCGCTGATTGAGTATTTCCTCTCTTACAATTTTAGAGAAGAGGTAAAGGACTTTTAACTAACTTTCAAAAATCAGAAACAGTGACAACAAGCACCAAGCTTCAAATATTGAAAAACTAACAAAATTATCAGTACTTAGGAGAGACTATAGTGCGCCGCAGAGGGTCGAAATCGGGAATAAGATTAAGTTTAATGTCTGTCTTTGGTTTTTTATGTCTCTGTCGCGTTTGATATTTGGAGTGGGAGAAAGGGAAAAAGCATACCAAATAGGCCAATTGATCAACTAAATTCGATAGATGCCCAGTTCCCAGTTCCGGCATGCTCTTGAGCCACTAGATCGGCCCCACTGTCAATGGACAAGCCTAACAAAGGCTCGTATAACGCGATGTGCTACTTTATTCAAAAGATGCTCATCGCGACATCGAAATAGCACCTAGAGAGCCCAAACGGTATCATGAGTTTGAACCAAGATGCACTGCAGGACTCTCAAATAGACGACGCATATGTTGTAGTCGGCTCTCCCTCTTCTGAAAAGTCAGATCTCGGCGATTTTGAGCAGGTAGATCCCTCCGACGACGATGACGAGCTTGAAAGTCTCGGAGATGAGCCCTACTACGAAATGGCCGTGCGCGAGATCGCTCGAGGGGATAGCTACCAATGCATGATCTGCACTGTTGAGATGGACTACACTTGCCACATGTACAACTGTCCCAAATGCTACCGTGTTTTCGATTACGAGTGCATACGTGAGTGGGCCCTCAAATCAAGCAAGAAAAGTGCCAGTAATACCTGGAAATGCCCAAACTGCTACTTCGAAAAGCGCGAGATTCCTTTGAACAACAGACACTCGTGCTGGTGCGGTAAAAGCGTAAATCCTGAGCCAAATCCTTTAAATCCGAACAGTTGCGGCCAAACTTGTGATGCTCCAGTCTGTGTGCACGGGTGCGCCAAGACCTGCCATCTAGGGCCCCATCCGACCTGCATGCGAACAGTAAAAATCAAGTGCTTGTGTGGAAAGCAAAGTAAGGACGTTTTCTGTTCAGAGGCTCCCAAAAACCAAGAATCCTTTCGCTGCAAAAAGCGTTGTGGATTACTACTGCCGTGCGGACTGCACACTTGCCAAAGGGAATGTCACTCAGGACTCTGTGGAGACTGTCCTGAAACCATAAACTGTGAGGTAAAGTGTTACTGTGGTTTGGAGTCTAAAGCATCAGTCGCATGCAAAGACGTCATGATTCAGGCAAAATCTCACGATCACTCCGGTAAAGAATGGATTGGCGTTTTCCCTTGCAAAAAAGTGCGTACCGTCGAATATGCCTGTGGGGCTCATTCTTTTACAGAACCCTGCCAATCCCCTCCGTCGCTAGGTAGTCGAATTCCTTGTCCATTCTCCCCGACAAGTCTCAAGACATGTCCTTGCGGCAGAAATCCGCTGAAGGACTTAAATTCTAAACGCACAAGCTGTACAGACCCTATACCAACTTGTGAGTCTATTTGCGGTAAGCTTCTGAAATGTGGAAAACACAGATGTCCATTCCAATGTCACACAGGCGAGTGTATGCAAGATTGTACGTGCGTCGATAAAATTCCGTGCTCTTGCAACGCCAAGACTTTCCTAGTTCCCTGCAAATTCGAAAATAAGCCGCAATGCAATACAAAGTGTGAATCGTTGATGTCTTGTCGACGTCACCGCTGCATGGAGAGGTGCTGCGAAGGACGGGAGCTAGCTCGAAAACGAGAGAAGAGCACATTTTTGACACGCGATAAACTAGACGAATCCCGTGTTGAAGCCCAGCACATTTGCTTGAAGCAATGCAATCTCAAACTGGCATGTGGTCGCCATTATTGCCAGCGAAAATGTCATCCTGGAAGCTGTCCACCGTGCCTGGAAAGTGACTCTAATGACTTGCTATGCCCCTGTGGTAAAACAGTAGTTCCTGCTCCTGTTCGCTGCGGGACCACGCTGCCACGTTGCTTTCACCCTTGTATTAAAACCCTGCAAGGACCATTGGAATGTGGGCATCCGCCGATGCCACATTATTGTCATCCACTTAACGAGCCCTGCCCTTCATGTACAGCTCCGGTTTTCAAGAGATGCAAGTGTGGAAAGAATGAGAAAGTAAGAACGCTGTGCTTTCAAGATGATGTTTCCTGTGGACAGATCTGTGGACAAAAACTGCCTAATTGCCATCACATTTGTCAGAAAACATGCCACGAAGAGGGACAGCATCAAACTGAGTGTAAGCAGGTCTGTGGCGCTCCGAAAGGGTTTTGCGAGCACAGTTGCAGATATAGATGCCATCCAGGCCGGTCATGTCCAGACAAGCCGTGTACGGAAAACGTCAAAGTGAAGTGCATTTGTGGACATAGGACCGCAAACAGAGTGTGCGGCGCTCATTCTGAGCAAGCTTCAGCTTCCGAGCATGTTTTAGACTGCAACGAAGAATGCGAAATAGCTCAAAGACGTATGGATTTAATGGAGGCATTCGGCATCCAGGAGAAAGGAGTAGAAGCATCTGAGCGATTGGAAAGTTTAAGACATCTGGCCGAAACTGTGCTCACATTCCAAGAATTGCATTTGCCCTTCACAGAAGCGTCATTATCTATATTTGCGCGACAGAGCAATTGGTGCAGCCAGATTGAAACAACTTTGATCAAATTAATGCAAGATAAACAAAGGCCAAGTCTACATTTCAAGCCCATGAAGCCCGCACAGCGACATTTCATACACGAGCTTGCACAGGCCTTTAATTTGTACTGCGAATCGCAAGATCAAGAGCCCAAACGGTCATGCTTTGTGAAAAAGACCGCTACATCCGCTGGGCCCACACTATCCTTAGCGGAGGCTCTTCCTCTATATCAATCCTTTAGAGCAGCGCAAAAGAATCGCAAATTGAAAGAGATTGAAAGATCGATAACGACAAAAATTATCAACTTCACAGCTGGTCAAGAAGAAAATCCTGCGCCCTTAGCTAAACTAAATGGTCTGCTAGTGCGCGGTGTGTTTTCTGGAGTTGATGAAGGCACGATTGCGACTAGAATGCATCAATTTTTGAAGCACACACTATTGAAAGATTCGCGGTACACCAAACTAGAGTCGGGGGACATTCTTATCTGCGCAGAGAATTATGCTAAAGCGAGTCCTAACGTTGAATTCGATATTCAGCGTGTAATTGGACATTTAAATGTTTTCGTTCAAGAGGAAGTACTTGCCGAAAACGTTGTATCTTGTGAAGTGTCTCAAGTTTTGGAATTTCAAAGGGTTTCATCAGGGCCCTCTGAAAAGAAATGACGCCATCGGAAGACATTGATAGCTCTGTTTTGGCATAGTACGACTACAGTACTACTCGTCAAATCGTCATTCCAGCAAGAGTGTCGTTCTTTACTTTCCTGACGCAGACCTGCTTTCCAAAGAATAAGTTGACGACGGAAATTTTCACTCTTTGACCGAACCTAGCGATGCCAGTACATGGCGAATTTTATAGACTTCACAGCCCAGTATGCCGATCTAGTACCAGCGAGACCAATCGAGCATTTGGGGAATACGGATCTTAGTTTTGGTGGGAGAATTGAGCCACCTCTGAAAATTCATGAAGACGGCGGCGAGCAAGGCTGTGGGGGTAAAGTTTGGGCAGCTGGTGAGCTGTTATGTGAATACTTGATAGACAAAAGTGATTCAGATGGCTTTCTTTCGTTAAGTAGTCAAACGTTGAAGGCTAAAGGTTTATATACAAATATTTTGGAATTAGGCAGTGGAACGGGACTGGTTGGAATATGTGCCGGGTTTCTGGCAAGGTCCAGAAATATCCAGGCACGAATTTCAACGACAGACATTGATAACTTGATCGAACTCATGAGCACCAATACTAAACTGAATGGCTTAGAGAAGTTTGTATTTCCCGAGACTTTGATGTGGGGCGAACCTTTAAATCCCAAGTTTGAAGCAGACGCTTCGAACAATATAGACTTGGTGTTGGCTGCTGATTGTGTGTATTTAGAAGCAGCCTTTCTACTCCTGGAGAAGACTCTTTTGGATCTAACAGAAGGTGAACATCCACCGACTGTCTTAATGTCTTACACTAAGCGACGGAAAGCCGACAAGGTCTTCTTTCGTCATATAAGGAAGCATTTTGAAGTCATCACGGTCACTGACTTCGATAGGTACGAACACTACAAGCTCAAGCGGACTCACTTATTCCACCTAGTTCGCTTACAGTAGCATCATGGGATAAGACCAAAAAAATATCAACTAGGCAGTAGTTCTTTTCAAAAATGCGTTACGAGATAGTACTTATATTTACATGTAGAAGGATTTAACATTTTGTGTTGAATCTGAGCCAACCTCACAGTTGTATTTCTTGAGTCTCTGAAGCCTTCGAGTCTGCCTCTGTCTGTGTAGAGGTGCTCGACCATGACTCTGCAGGATTTGAGTTTCGCGCCGACACAAGCTCTGATTGATCAATAGCTTTTTGTTTCCAGATTTCAATGATCTTCTGTTCCTTTTGCAGCCCGAACTCGATCGCTGAAGGACCGAAAACCGTTCCGAACATTTCTGCTTCCTCTTGGGCAACTTGGGTTTGTATTTCTTCCTGTATCCTTAAACGGTAAAATTCGAATCTTGCCTGGTCGTAAGCAGCTAGCAGCTCAGTTTGCTCCTTAGTTTTGAGCAGATGCATGGTTCTTTGTACCACGCTTTCGCCGTCTAGAGGCTTGCCCAATTGTTGCAAATTGTGCCACTCATAAGTCCGGGTTCCTGCATCTTCAACAAGCATTTTAGGTCTTGAACGCTCCCATGGATGCTGCTCGTAAAAGAGTTCACGCAGCTTGTCCTCTGCATATTTTAGTTTCGGAGCCTTGTATAGGTTATTTGTTAAGCTCTTTTTGTCCGCTCGACTAGCTCTGGTCTTGTAAGTTCCGTTTTGAGAGTTGTAGATTTCACCAAAATCTGGCAATTTTGAGGTCGGTTCATCATTGGCGGGATTTATCAGACGAGGCTCGCGTACAAATCTCTTGGATGGAGGAACACGAGCCACTACGTCGTACCAAGCGGGCGTCTTCGTCAAAAGACCCGCTTTTAGGTACGAAGAAGTGCGTTCCAGCACATTGACGGCGTTCTGTTGGACCTTCATAATATGGTAAACAGCTTGAACAAGCTGTTGAAGGAGGATACACGGAGCACGTTCTTCTGAGTTTCTTGGTGCTTTCGATCAACTTCACTTGTCATTCCTGAAATTTTTCAAAATCGACTGAAGACCAATAAATTCGACAAGATAAGTGACTGGATAGTTGAAGAGATGACGCGATGAAGAACATGTAACATTGCAAGCTTTATAGATTTTGTCACTTTCGCATAGCATGCTGAATGTGCTCAGTTGGAATGCGATGAGAGCATGGCAAGAACGTGAAACTGTGCGGCGGATTTTGCCATTCATGACAAGTTTGTTTTTTTTTCTTTGAAGCTTGCAGATGCTTACTATACGTAAAAGTCCAATTAGTGGTAGGTATATTGCCAGTCATGAGAACCAACGTTATTGAGCCCGGCAGTTAACGATGCCCTTGCTGTTGATTCCTCTCTGTTTTACGCCGTTTTAAAAGAGATCTTTCTAGTCATTTCACTTTCCGCAATAGTGCATAGTCTCAAAAGATTTAACCCTCCAATTCGGTTCAACAGCCCCAACACACAACTCTACAGATTTTAACATCGTCAGCAGGCGGCGCTCAGGGCCTCTTTATGAGCGAGATCAAAACCGATATCTTCAACTTCCCACCAGTATTTTAAAAAATATGAAGATTGATGCTCAGCTCAAAGAGCGGTACCAAATAAAATGTTTTGAAACAACCTATTTTCTGCATATTTCAAATCTACCTACCATGATCCCACTGCTCGATAATGGGCAATAGAGCACTCATTTAAACTTCGAGATTAATCTTCGCTGTTGACTCTCGATGGCTTACACGTGAGTGCTTAAATTCCAATACTTTGAATTTTAATCTCAGATGTAAACCTTATTTGAAAGAAAGCCAAGCTCTAGCTAGACCCTTGGATCACCAACTTTCTCTTTCCCAATAGCTTAGTTGCCACACTCAAGTACATATTCTCGCGATGAGTGCTCTCTTCAATTTCCAAGCGCTTTTACAAGTTCTGCTTTTGCTCGTTTGTTCATGTACATATATCCACTCGCAATGGCCATCGTTACTGGATAGATATAAGGATCACAGCATGTTAGGTGCATTCTGGAAATGTGCTCGTATCGGTGAAAGAGCAAGTCCATACGTGAGCATTGCGTGTATCGTCATGGCAGTGAACCAGTTTCAGACGTGATCTATAAATGTATAATTAATGGAAAGGTGTTTTAATTGTTGGTAGCAAGCAGTACGGCGCGCAATCAACTACAGTGGCGTCGGTTTTGTAAAGTTGGTATCTCTATGTTCCCATTACTGCAACTGCAGGGTCTCTTTTTCCCTCAAAAGCGCATATGATCTGGTTTCTCAAGCATCAGATTTTATATCTTACTCACCTGAATGATCATCTAAGGTCCATGTTCTTAACCTTACGTCGGTCTTTCTATAAATTACATCTTCTTTACTTGAACTCGTAAGAATCGTTGGGCCCACGCGTCAAAACTGCGGCACGCTCCGTGCCTACGATCTTTTCCAACGCTAAGCCGTCTAGCTTAGAGTACAGGCATCTGACCACCGAGATATTCAGGTCCGCCACTCCCAAAAATGCACTCTTACCCAAGAAACGCACAGCTTCTTCGAAGAACTCCGGATTTGAAGGTGGCTTGTAAAAAATGACGGTTTTCACACCTTTTATGTCATACCTGCGGAAATGATGCAATCTTTCGGTGTACAATAAAACCTTAACCCGTCCCTGTTGGAACAGAGTTCTGTTGGCGTTGACCTGCCGAGGCTCAGAGTATTCATTGATATCTCCGAAAAGAATACTGGTCTTTTCCCGCAGATAGTTGCGTACTCTGATGAAGTCCGTGTAATCAGGAATGTACAGCAAGATGCCGTCTTCATATCCAGTCGATTTCACGATATTGGAAATAACAACGCTACAGAAAAATTTGAAGCGATAGTCAGGTTCGTCAATTGCTGCGTTCCCCGCGAGATCAAACCTTTGAAAAATCAAACGGGTGCGCATGCCCAATTGACCCAAACTGGATTTCTCAGCGCTCACAATAGAGTGATTTTTCCATCTACCGGCGTAATTTCTACATTTCCCATTAATTAGTGAGTCGGAAAATGGCGACGCATAACGTGTAAAGATGAGAGATTGACGCAACAATTTGGCTTGGTCATTAATATACCACATTTTGATTCTGCTGAAATCAGCGTCATGTTGCTGCTCTGGGATTTTGTTGATATGCTCAAAAATAGATGATAAATGCAAAACGTTCTGAAACTCGATACTGTAAAGCTGGTCGATCACCAGCAGCTCAATGGAAGACAGAAAATCGTCCTGTCTCTTCTTTTTATCGGTGTTTTCAATGATCAGTTGCAGACCCAATGGAGAGCAGATAATAATGTCGGATTGGTAGAAATTACTATAAAGCTTTATCGCCTTTCTCGTGAATTTGACGCCCAATACGAAAAAATCATTGGTATTGCCTCTGAAAACATGTTTGAATGACTTGGCTTTGTAGTCAGGAGCAGATGTTGGTTGGTAGAATTGGTCCTGAAATTTGCCCTTTTTATCCACCTGGTCTATGCCGGACTTTTCTATAATTTTTGAGAGCACGCGATGCGCAGTGTCTCTGGTGGGAACCACAATTAAAACTTTTGGTCTTGTAAAGCCTTGGTCGAGAAGATCAAGATCCGGATTATCCTGTAGCCGCTGGTTATTTTTCAAAATGCGGTCTCTCGTCTTGTAGACATGATTCAAAACGTGCAGAGCGTACAGATCGCGGTACTCAGGTTCTTGGTCATAACTGCTGTACTCGTAACGCAGATCTTGATATTGGAAAATGGGGTCTACAATTTCTTTCTGGAGCGGTGTCAAATTGTCTTCTTCCGAGTCCAGAAGATTATTGTGAATTTTCAACTTTTGTTTGATGAAGTAAGGACGCAAAGAATGACTGAGCGTAGGTGCAGAAATGCGGTCCTCTTGAACATCCTTGGTCATGGTTGGCTTGGAATAGATGAATTCGTCCGTGTTGTCTGTGGCCACTTTAACAGATCGGTAACGAACGGTCCTATTTTTAAATTCAGCATCAAGCTCATCGATGAACTGCTGTGGCACTGCGTTGAAGTGTTTTTCTAGTGGTTCTGTACGGTCTTCATCGTCGCTTTCGTCGGTATCGCTGTTATTTTGATAAGCTTGCTCGGCCTCTTCGTCCTCGTCCCGTTCATCGACAAGAGCGTTTTCAATGGCAGTTTCCTCATTTTCGTCACCATCGCTATCAGCAGAGCCCTCTTCACCCTGTCCAGTTGCGACATCACCTTCAACCTGGGTCTCTGTTTTTTTGCTTTTTCCACTGCCATGTTCAGCTTTCAGCAAGGTCAAAAGAGCGGCGTAAGCCTCTGACTGGTTCGAGGAATGGCTTGAGCTGTCAGCACTAGTTTTACCCTGCATTTCAAGTGGTGGATGAGGTTGTGGCTCCTCTGGGGAGCTATCGTCCGCATCCTGCATAGCGATTTCATCTCTTGGCCTGGGTGCTGCCTTTCTAATAGTTCTCATCTGTTTTCTACCGCCTTTTGGCCCTTTTTGACGATGAGAAGCATCGTCATAGGGTGAAGAACGTTTGGCACCTTTCATGTCTTAATAGGCGGTACTTGGAGGTCGCCGAATGTCGTTGAAGTTTGTTCTTTCAAGTATATTTTCACTTCAGAGAGAGCGAGATTCATGCGATGAGCTTGCTAGCCATCGCAGCACGTGATGAGATGAAGCGATGTCATCACAGGGCTGTTGACGATCCAACCCATTCGAAGAGGCCCGAAGCAGTTGGTAGAGCATGCTGTCAGAACATTTCGGTCAACATGGCATGTTTTGTTGATTTCATACTACTATTTCATGGTTTGGGGACATTCAGTTGCGGGAAACTGTGTTTCTCGATATCCTGTGCGATTTGGTCGAGTGCCACGAAAAAACGAGATTTCCGTTGTTGATCCACGTATTGCACACGTTGTGAACGTTTGTGAACTAGGTGAGTGCCAGAGTTTTTTTACTACAGTGCAATTTGATGTAATCATGTTGCAGAGAGGATGTTTGAATCAATAAAGATGAGAGAAACGAGATTATTTCTCCACAGTTATAACGCGGTGTAACGACTTTGTTCTGAGAAATGTTTCAAAGTTCAAGATTGCATCTCTTGGCGACATACCGGCTGCTGTCGTCCTAAACATAGTTGAGGAACAAGTGCATAGATCTGTGAGTTGGTAAATTTTAAGAGAACCCGAACCTTGAAAATGCGAATTATCAAATGCTTTGGAGACAAAACGAACATCAGGCGTGTTTTTTCAAGAAAACAGACGTAGGTTCATATGATTGAGATTTCCTGTCATAGAGTCATGTACCATTTATTCAAAATAAATCCAGAAAATAAGTGTCAATACTAACAAAGGGCGATCTCTGTTTTTTCAGAAAAAGATCGATTCTGGAGAGAAAGTAGATTGTTTGGAAAGACTTTGCAATGGCATCAGTCGCAGTGACCGGTCTTCTTTTTTTTTGGCGCTTCTGGGCTTTGACTGACCGTAAGTTATTTCTTGTGGAACTCGCTAGTTTTGAGTGCGAACGAATGGCAAGGGACGCTACTCGATTAGATGGTTTTGAACTGCTGATTATACTTTCGGCGAAAATGTGGGCAAGAGAAACACAAGTGACAGTGAAACAACTTTTTATAATAAGCTCTCTTGGCAGAATATACGCTCCACCACGGTCTTGAAATGGCCCAGAACATATTCTAGGGTATCCCTCCTAGGCCAGGAGTGTCCTGCATTTGGCCTGAGACACCTTTTTGGCGTCAGACATTTGTCCACGTGACTGGGTACGCAACATACACTGTTCTCTCCTCTAGAGGCATTGATAATGCCATTTAGTCCCAGTGCTTCCGCCAAATAAGACATTTGTTGCGATTAAACAGTGCCTCTTTGATTAGTAGTCCTGATTTAGGCTAACAAACTAAATTACGCTCCAGCATCGAATGAGTTCAATTCGTGTCATTCCTTCCCAATCCGAGCAGACGATCCCATCGCCGCAATGAAAGGAACAGTGCCATTGTCATCGGCACTTTTGAATACATATGTGTGTCAGTGGGAGGAAGACAAGTCTGCGAACCAAAAATGAGATGACGGAGTAGTACAAAGTGATAATAGTCGGAAAGCTACCAACAATATCCTTCCGCAATTGAGAATTAGCCGAAATACACAGACGACAGCATTCACCGAGTCTTCTGGTCCCCGGTTACTACTCTACTCATCACATAAATATCATAAAATTGTCCATTGTTCAAAAAAGACCAAATGGGAAGGTCATAAATTAGAAAAAAATTGCACACACACAGACACACACAGACACTCCTAATTAAACTTCAAAAAGTCACTAATCAAGACATTTCAAACCCCATTCGAGAGAAAAATCAAAGTATTCAGCCGATGCGACGTTAGCTCACTCGACTCTTATCCAAAAAATAAACGTACTTAGCGATAAAGCTTGACACTCCGAACGGTTAAACTATCGGTGCTTATATCAGTAAGAAATAACAACTTCCACCCAGCTATTGTACTTAAGTAGAGGTATCTCGCAACAAAGAGCTGAACAGAGTGAGCAGACGGCATTGGACACCAATCATCAGTAGTTCAGTGTGTTTTAAGCGGCTCTGAAGCTATCTCTGTCTGCTTGTTGGAACTTCAACACTGGAAAAAGTCAAAGTAGTCCGGTACGGTTTCACATCAGGATCATCACTTGAACGACATCGAACCGCAAACAGGCGAGATAGAAAGCTCGAAACCGGTCTTTAGCCACGCCAAAATGATTCCAAAGGGGCTTTTGCAAAGTGCCCGAGTGGCACTGACCACATTCTACCTTTTGCTGATCATCATAACCATTCCCATTTCATTCCAGGTGGGAGGACTCTACTGTGGGCTGTCCTTCACAGTGACACTTTTCAATCTGTATTTCATCACCACGACGCTGAAAATTGCCGCTGGGGCGCGTGGGCTCGCGAAATTGGCTTCTGTAGCGTACTACGCTCAGCATTTTTTCATCCCATCGTTGCTGTTTTTGTTCTTGCTGGGGTTTTCTCACGACGAGCTGAAGCAGCAGATCGATACAAATACGAGACCTGATGAGTCTCTGATAAACGTGCTCCGCAGCTCGACAAAGAACCAATCTTGGATTTTCTACTACTATTACTACCAATACGTCGTCAGGCCTTGGCAGTACATGCTACTACGATCGACGCCGTACTTCACGCTACTGGAAGGGTTTTTCACCGTTTTGGGTATACAAGCCGTGGGAGAGACTAATCGCTGGCTTTCGCGTACACAGAAAGGTTCAAATTGGTGGGTCATCACGGGCCTCATGACTTCAGGAGGGGTCATCACCGCTTCCCTTTACTACCTCTACAGAATCTACGTTACTCCCATTTGGGAGTTGGACGCCCAGACGGCCTCTTTACTAGGATTTACGTTCTCTATCGTTTGTGGATTGGGTCTGTTCGGTATCGTTTCAGGCCGTGGTTCCACCATCGAGTCTTCGCTGTTTTTTGCGTACATCGTTAGGTGTCTTTATGAAATCTCTCCTCAGTTGGCAACCAGTGCAATGGACGAGATTTTCAGTTTGGTCAAAGAAACTTGGCAGAACCAAAATCACACTTTAAAGTCCCCAGATAGCCTTCTCAATTTTTTCCGGGACCGTATTTTATCCAATGGTGAGATGATTTGGGACAGTATTCTGGAGAGAACTACACATGTTACGGGGAACTCAGCCTCTGATTCTGCGTTATGGGGATTGCGCGGCCTGTGGTTACACCTGAAGCCCGCTTGGAGATTTCTAAAATACTTTACCTCCAGCGTCCCAAGCTCGATCCACGAATTGTTTCATTTGACCTGGGGAATGGCAAGGGAAGCCATTGCACCTGCTGTGGTCATTAATTTGTGTTTCCGAATTTTGATTTTCTATTCTGCAACCAGAATAATACCTGCACTGCAGAAAAAGCACAAACGGCGGTCTCGTCGATTCATGCGCATGCTGTACCTGTACAGTCCCTGCATTGTTATCGCCATGTACACTCACCTTATTTTGCAATACTCGGGCCAGATAAGCAACGACTTGTGTTTGTGGGGGTGCTTCCCGTGGTCAAACGAGAATAGCACAAAGATCGTGGTCGATTCGTGGGGCTTCTGGAACTGGTGCAATATTTTCTGTACTATTGCCATATACGCCTCCGAGCTCTACGACAAGCATTAATGACGGGATCGACGATTCAACCTTTCTGTACTGGTTTAAGCGGTGTTAATAGTATTATAGAATTCAAGATATTATCGGTGTTTTTTATGAGAAGAGTCCTTCAGAAAGTCTTTATGCAGTGTACTTGCGATTGTCGATATGATTTTCAGTCCCACCCGAAACAGATTTTTCTGTATCAGACTGTTAAGCAGTTCTCGTCCACGCCCGTTATACGGAACTCAGAGCTTGACTCAATGTTGCATATATTAATCATCATGTAGAAACGCAAATCGCTCGAGTAGACAACGGAAAATCAAAGGAATATCGACGATGCAAGAACATCTCACTAACACTAGCCGCGCTCTCCTGAGCGCGATAAAAGGAAAATACCCAGTTTGGCATATTTGACTATGCGAAAGCCGTCAAGGACTAGCTTGCCCTGGCTTCAAACTGCTAGAAATGAAAAGAGGCGGATCCATAAGTCGAGAACAGTAAGCTCCATTGGGTTATGGCGAAGCGCTAGGGCCATCGCCACAATCGTCATAACTATGGTTCGAAACCCATTTGCGTAGGTTTCATTACCGAAGACACCACCGAGGATCACAGATCCCCAGGGGACAGAAGAGACAGAAGTAGACGATCGAAAACGACCGCCATGACCTCCGCTCTGATGAGTGGATTTAAAGGATTTATAAAAAATTTTTAAATCTCATCGCGTTTTCCGCATACGATCTGGTGGGAGACTTTCGACCCAAAGCTTATTTTGCTGTTAGCCTGGAACGTAGTCCATTTTGCAAGCTTCGATTGGTGACGATTCTTCGACCATGGATCCGCAGTGTCGATCAGATCGGAGTGTTGTAGACGAGTGAGAACCTAGCAAAAATTTACTTCCTTTATATACTCAGAAAGACATTACCCGGCTATTTTAAGTGTTAGCTAAGAGGGCATCGTCATCACGTTTCGAATCGATCTGAAGGACGTAGAGGTTTCACATTGTCTATGGCGCTGGCGTTAGTGTTAAAGAATGGCCAGAATTGTTTGGTAACTAGCTTAGTTTGATTCATTGAAACTCGTGACGTTTGGCGGAAATTAGATGACCAGTAAGTGTGTGGTGAATTGCGTCAAGATTCGACATTTGCGTTTCCACAATTCGATGAATTACCACAATTTAATGCTTATTTCTGTCGCCCAGCTATGCCATAGCTGTAAACCTGAAGAGAATCGGATTCAATTTCATAGCTTAGCAATTTATCAAGTCGCATATTGAACGGGAAATGTCGTTAAAATAGCATTTTAATTAAGAGTGGATACTTGTAAAGATCAGAAGCAAAAGTAGACACCCTTTCTAGCACGGAGAAGACATAGTAGTATGAGGGAAAGTATTGGAACGTCGTTAAAAGTATCACTGCACACGGATGTGACGCCAGATTTCTTGACTTGGATATTTTATCTCATAGACAAACACACATATTTACCATTTGCCCAATGGCAAAGAGACATTATTAGCCGGCGGCATACCGTCACAGTAATTACCGGGAAACTACAGACCTTACATTTGCTGACGTTTGGCGAGAAACAATTGACTGAGAGCAAAGTCGTACACAATGATACAAATTAATAACCTGTTCATATCTTAAACGGGTCAAGACTGTCACACACCACAGCTGATCTTAGCAAGTGCACACACACCAACAAACTGCCGGACTTATGTCCGCTAGCTATTGGGAATCAACTCAGCGTTTGAAATGGCAGCATACCCGGGAAAGTCTGTCCGCAGAAAGGCACCAGTTATGGCTGTTGGAATGCCAACTGTTTCCTCAAGGTTTGACTGTGACTATGGAGAACACGAAAGGACTGGGCCAACCAATGACCAGAACGATTCCAATCACCAATTTCGACATGCATTACGGGAAGGACTATAATCTGAGGATCTATTGCTATTTTTTGATCATGAAGCTGGGTCGCCGGCTGAACATTAGACAGTACGCACTAGCCACTGCACATGTGTATCTGTCGCGCTTTTTGCTACGAGCATCGGTTCGTGAATGCAACCTGTATTTGCTGGTAACGACGTGTATTTACCTGGCATGCAAAGTCGAAGAGTGCCCGCAACACATTCGCTCTCTGGTCAATGAAGCGCGCTCGCTCTGGCCGGAGTTTGTGCCTCCAGATCCCACGAAAGTCACGGAGTTCGAATTCTACTTGCTGGAGGAACTACAGAGCTACCTGGTCGTGCACCATCCATACCGATCCATGGAGCAGATCGTGCAGGCGGTGCGGCTCGAACCGTACGCGTTGGCACTCTCCGCCGAGGATCTTCAGAACACATGGTCTCTGATCAACGACAGCTTTATCACAGACGTTCATCTGATCTATCCACCGCACGTCATTGCTATGGCGTGCTTTTTCGTGATAGTATGTTTGCAAAAACCACAGCGGGTCAAGTACCAAGAAACCTTCAATAGGTTTATGGCCGAATCGCAGGTCGATTTGGCCGAGGTGATGAACACCATCCAGGATCTGATTGCACTTTACGACTGCTGGGACAAGTACAACGAGCCCTGGATCAAATTTTTACTACATTCCCTGTATTTGCGCAGAAGCTAGGCAAGTGGTGTCTAGAAAAAACCCAAATTGAGGGAATAAGACACGAGAAGTCTTGATCAAATTGAACATGGTAAAATTGTTCTTTTCTTTACTGCCCATGTTCAAGCGATAAACAAAAACACGGGAGAAAACGCATGATTTCAACAAATTCCTAGGAAAAAACAGATCACTCTCTTTAATTACAGAGCTGCCATTCCAACAGCCCGTTATTCCTCTCATTGACGTTACAACGTGCCGTAAGTCAAGAAGTAACTCAGCACTGAACGGAAACTCCCATAACTTTTGCTAAACGCAGGAAAAAAGGGAAAAAAACCTCCAGGTTTCTTAAATACCAACCAAGCTGATTTCAGCTTTTCGGCCCCTTCCACAACCTATCTCCCCGCCATATCGATGCGAGACGTCGACTTCAATAACTGGACGACTGTTTTCCTCGCTTGCCACGAGACTGTGGGCGAAAAGACGATGTTTTCTTAGGCTGTGAAAATTATGAAAAATTTAAGTTGTTAGATGAGATCTGGAACCACATTTGAATCAGTTTTATCGGGCATCGTGGAAAACTCAGAATTTGATTTAAAGTGACGAATCGGTGGTGACTTCAGCACTTTTAACTCGCTTCTTTCAATAATTCGCTGGAAAATTGGATTTAAACCAAGTTTAAACTTGCGTGTGTCTTGAACCGAGAAAAGCTCACAAATTTCGAGTATAAATACAAGACGTGGTAAGATGAGCAGTGCAGTAAGACAGCGCCACGTATTGGTCTCGAAGGACACCGAGAACACGGAGGCTGGGGGGGAAGTGTTGAAAGAAAAGACAGCGTCAAATGAGGAACAACAACTACAAACAAAAGGCCAGCAACAGCAGCAGCCAGGGCCTCGTCGAGTTAAGAAAAATGTCTCAAAGGTGGATCGCTACTCGATTCTGCTGTCGTGCACGTTCTTCATTCTGCTGTATCTAACCGGGCTAGCGTTCCCAGACTTAACGCATAAATTCACCACGTTGCAGTACAAGTTTCCCGGAACAGTTGATGCATACGACATTGGAATCGATGATGCGTACGTGGTAATCACGTGTATAGTGGCCCTGGTGCTGGTACGTTCGTTCCTGCTGGAGTTCGTGCTCAAGCCCATTGCATTGAATCGGTTCCACGTCCGTTCCCACAAGTCGCAACAGCGGTATGCCGAACAAGGTTGGTCTTTGGTGTACTATACCTTTTCATGGGTGTATGGGTTTTATCTGTACTATAAATCGCCCTATTTCCTCAACTGCGACCACATATATCTGGGGTGGCCCCACGACTACCTTTCCGGCACTTTTAAGCTGTACTACCTGCTTCAAATGGCGTCTTGGCTACAACAAATTTTGGTTTTGAATGTGGAGGAGAAAAGGAAAGATTTCTGGCAAATGTTCGCCCACCACATCATCACTTGTTTGTTGACACTGGGATCATACTATTACTATTTCACCCGCATTGGCCACGTCATTTTGATTATCATGGACGTGGTAGACATTCTTCTTTCCAGCGCAAAAATGCTCAAATATTGCGGTTTTTCTACCGCTTGCGATTACATGTTTGCCATTTTCCTGGTCTTCTGGGTCTTGCTCAGACACATTGCATACAACTACATATTCTACCACGCTGGTACGAAAGCGCCAGGGCTTATGGCCAATGGTCAGTGCATGGTCTCTAAAGTTCAAAAGAGATGTTGGACGCCGTTTATCATTGATGTTTTCCTGTGGCTACTAGGAGGTTTGCAGGTGATTACCATTATATGGATGGCTTTAATTGTGAAAGTCTTGATAAAAATTATCAAAGGTGGTTCTGCAGAGGATGTTCGCAGTGACGCCGACGATAGCGATTAATAATATTAACTGGCATGACATATTACTTAAATGGAGTTGATAGAAAGCGAGGGATTTGACTGAAATGTCAACTTTTTTCATAAACCCAGTTGAAATTAGTGGATAATCGACGTGAATGTCGACAGCTCGATTTCTGATGTAGAGGATAGAGCATGTATAGAATTCACTTGCATAAGTACAAAAACGAAGCTGACTTTGAACAGCCATAAGGACAGTCTGTGTTGACTGTGTAAATTTGTCACCTTTTCTCTATTCATCTGTACTTAGGCCTCAAAATACAATGTAACATACAGCGATACGCACGTAACTACGAGTCCAAAAAGCGCTAGAAGCAGACTGCACTTTTTCAAGATTTGATCGGCTGTTGACATCAAACGACCATGTTTGGCAGCCTCTGAGCCAATTAACTTATAGCCAAAAAGTCCGGGAAGAGTAAACGAGATAGCAGTCGAGCCTGTTGCCCCCACTAATCCGAGCACCAGTGCAAATGACGTCACATTCAATGCCAGGAGATAAAGTGAAGTTACCAGAATAGCCGTGATAGTGTAGAATGCCCTGTCCGAGAAAGGAACCCCAGCAGCTGGTCTGGCGACAGTAACAGAGTTTTGCTCTAAATCATGAGAAGCATCTTGACAAGAAGTGGCTTGGTAGGAGTTACCCAATCCTAGCAAAAGACGATCTTCTTCATCTTCTACCGTCATGAAAATCGGGGTCGTAGGAGGCCGACTTTCGTTGTTGGAAGCAGGTTGCTCCTTTGTTTCACTATAGGTGATGCGAATCCAGTGGATCATGTTATTCGTTGCAATTCGACATGGGTGGAACAGTAGGGGAAACGATAGTATCACCATAGAGCCTAAACATAGCTTCCCAACCACGGTAAGTTTGGAATCAGGGTCGTAATTGAGCATGATATTTCCCATTACATTACTTCCGAAAGTCAGGTATCCAGAGACACCCACCCCGAGAAACACAATCGATGAGATAAACATTGTTCTCGACACGACTTTGTTGATATTGGACAGACTGTTGTCTTTCAACTCATTGATAATGCTGAACATGTTCATGGAACCAGTGAAAGCAAATATAACTATGGTGAATGTGCTGATAAGACCCTTAGTATCGTAAACTTGAACCCAAGAGACGTCTCCTCTGATGTTCTTATAGTTGTCCGTAAGAAGCGTAGACTCAATAAAAGAACCGAGAACGAGGCACGCAAGGTATGCAATGGCGAAAAGCCCCAAAATGCTGGAGTATTTCAAACTGTCGAGTTTCCTTACGAGAACCAAAGGAACAATAGCTACCGAGCTGCCTATAATCCAACCGTGACGTGTGCCTCCGAGCACACCTGGGAACAAGTCCCCAACCAGCACCAGGTAGCTCAGACCCACGCCATAGCACTGCAGAAACATTGAAAAATCGAAAATAAGCGACAATGACGGATACGTTATAGAGCACAGTGTGAAGAAGGACGAAGATCTGGGCTCTTTAAGAGCCTTGGAACATTTAGCAAGCACAAACAGCCCAAAACCTGACGTTATCGCTGCGAGAAGCACCAAAATCACACCCAAAAGAACACCATCACTTCGAAAAGCGTATGGGATGGCCAGCATTCCCGCGCCCACGATGGTTTTCACCAGGTTGATGGTGGAATAGAAACCAGAAGCATTGGCCTCCATCAATTGCAGTATTGAAAGTTATTTGACCAGACTCGAAAGGAATTTAACCTAGCTGGAATCACGCTAGTAACGGGTTCGAAGGGCCCTTTAAATGTTATTTACGAGTCTTATACAGCTAAGTTGATAAACCTCTCTTTTATATACAATCTGATTGATCATATTAGATATTTATTAAAATCAAAAGTGAAATTCGTCAAGTGTCTATCCACACCACGAACCACTGCTGGCTATAGCTTATCTAGCGTGGCTAGGGAATGAACGACGATGATATAAGTGTGGAGAGTAGACTCCAGGAATTGGGACCCTCTGACTCCATAAATGTGGTACAGTTATTGAAACAGGAAGATCAGGAAATAGAGGCGAAATTGGGGCTAGACAGTGGGATTCTAGACGTACATCGCACTATCAAGGAACATCCGGGGCTTGAAAAAAGAGTCGGGGCCATTTTGGATAAATTCTACCCTCGCGAAAGATCTCAGAGTCATACAGAAAGATATGAGGAAGACATAGATGACATTTACGATGTAGAGGAGCACCGCGAGAAATCGGACGTTACAAAGAAAGATATGGGGTCTGCAAAAGACGTAGTACCGCCCGAAAATTTCAGTCACATTGTGGGCGAGATATACAGGTCGAGTTTCCCTCGACCGGAAAACTTCCCGTTCTTGCAAAACAGCATTAAGCTCAAATCTATCATGGTACTTTTCCCAGAAGAGTATCCGCAAGAGAACTTGGATTTCATGTCCAAGGCTGGGATCAAGCTCTTTCAAATAGGCATGAGCGGGAACAAGGAGCCGTTTGTGAACATTCCCTCGGACTTGCTAACTAGTGCGCTGGAAGTAGCCATAAATCCCGAAAACCACCCAATTCTGATACACTGCAACCGAGGCAAACATCGAACAGGGTGTTTAGTTGGATGCATCCGACGATTGCAAAATTGGTCTCTGACGATGATTTTCGATGAGTACCGGCGGTTTGCGTTTCCCAAGGCCAGAGCACTGGACCAGCAATTTATCGAGATGTATGACGAGGATAAGATCAAGCAGATAGCGAAGGAGAAAAACTGGCTGCCCATTAAGTGGTAGATAAAATGGGGTGAACCATCGTCACCACCGCCACCACGTCTGAACGCATTAACGACAACACAACATTTTGTACATTAGCTATAGTTTCAACTATTTAAACCCACCAGCCACGAATTTCTTGGTGTAGAGGACCGTGCTTGTAGCGGCCATAGCAGAAAGTGTCAATGGCCATACTCTGCCGTATCTAAGGGCCTTGACAGAACCTCGTCCGCCAACAATCAGATACAGGGCAGACCAGGCGCCCAGAAACCCTGACCCGCTTTCGAGATCGCCATCGTAGATAATCCAGGATCCCAAAGCTTGTGCACTGCCAAACAAAAGCGCAGTCTTGGTCGAGGGTCCCACGTATTTGGGACGCGACAAAAAGCGCATCATGCTCGATGGTCCGGTGGAGCTTACGGGCGATGCCACTGCTGGAGAGACCACAGGTGTAGCAAGCAGCATGAGCGAGTTCGCCGCTGCCAGGTAGGGCGTGGTGCTTAGATTTTCGAGAGTGTCCATTGATAGCTGCAGATAGAGAGAGAGAGAGAGAGAGAAAGACTATGTGTGCTTTTTGGTAACTTGCGGGATGCTGATGTCTTTCAGAGCTAGCTAAATGCTAGGTGTTAAATGTCGAAGGTCCGTGTTTGCAACCCCCAGAACGGACTTTTTTCTATTGCCAATTATGATGATATGATAAACTCATGTGTTTGTCAATTCCTGGACATTCACTGTACCCAAATTTACTATATTTTACTATACTATACTACAATAAACAGACTACTATAACTGGAGAGGCCTGCTCTAAGATCTTTCGCCTCTCAATCTTCTGGCCAGCTTGATGTCCTTCTTTTGGATCGTCACACGCTTGGCGTGGATGGCAGCCAAGTTGGTGTCTTCGAAAAGCGAGACTAGGTAGGCCTCGACGGACTCCTGTAGCGCACCGATGGCAGACGACTGGAATCTCAAGTCAGTCTTGAAGTCCTGGGCGATTTCACGCACCAGTCTTTGAAAAGGTAGCTTTCTGATCAAAAGTTCTGTGGATTTTTGGAATCTTCTGATTTCTCTTAGAGCCACGGTACCTGGCTTGTATCTGTGAGGCTTCTTAACACCACCGGTCGATGGTGCCGACTTTCTAGCAGCCTTGGAGGCTAGTTGTTTTCTTGGGGCTTTACCACCGGTGGATTTTCTTGCAGTTTGCTTAGTTCTGGCCATTGTGTTGTTTGGTTTGGGGATGTAAAGGAGAAATTTAATTGATCCTATACCTGAATCAATGTCCTCCTTTTATACAAAAAACTCGACAAATGCTTTGAACGCCTTTTTTTCGCTTCTCGTTTGGAGCAAGACTTCTCTCCGTTCAGAACGTAATACTATTACGGTGAACTGAGAAAGGGAATATGGGGGACCTGCGCGAAAAAAGCTAATATTAAGGCGTGAACATCACGGTCCGCAAACCGGACTGAGATGTTCAGTGGTAGAGATAATAAATTAATGGCCAAATTTTCCGCATGCGGAATGCGGACCTACGTGTTCGCAGCCAATTTCAAGGAATTGGTGCTAAACAGACCAGAATCTACGCGTGTCTACACCAAATATTAATTAATCATTTTCGTGAACCTTACCGATGGGCCAAAACGCGCCTCTAGGAAAACTGCCATAGTAAACGGGATACGCGGAAATGCTGGCCAATAGAGAGAATTTCGTGGGTTTTCAGGGACAGCTTTCAGGTGTGAGGAAATAACTATAAAAAAGACCATAAAAAGGTCCATCTTCCCTATCCAATCGAGTCTTTTTTCTTGTTTTAACTATATTAAAACTCAACAAAACACATAAGCATAAAACATGTCCGGTAGAGGAAAAGGTGGTAAAGGTCTAGGTAAAGGTGGTGCCAAGCGTCACAGAAAGATTCTGAGAGACAACATCCAAGGTATCACCAAGCCTGCGATCAGAAGACTGGCCAGAAGAGGTGGTGTCAAGCGTATTTCCGGTTTGATCTACGAAGAAGTCAGAGCTGTGCTCAAGTCGTTCTTGGAGTCCGTCATCAGAGATGCCGTCACCTACACTGAACACGCCAAGAGAAAGACCGTCACATCTTTGGACGTTGTTTACGCGTTGAAGAGACAAGGCAGAACCTTGTACGGTTTCGGTGGTTGATTGGGAGCCTGCGAATATGGTTTTCTATAAGGTTATATTTCGATTGTACTATATATGTTAATGAACAGAAAAAGTGAAGAAAACGGGCTGCATCAGATTGCGACAGTTTGGTACAAAGTGATGTGGAGACTGAAATTGTAGACTCCGTGGTGGTGCCAAGACAGCTGGACGAGGAGGACCTGAGTACTGTCAGACACAGAGAATAGGCCAATATAGGGTGATCTGTGCACTGAAACCGGAAGCCTGAGTGTTACGTTTATGTTGTTTTGCGAAGTCACGTGAGTCAGTTGTCGTCATCGTGTTTCTAGCGACACAGGGTGTTCAGCGCATGTGTGTTCAAGGTTAAAACATCTCTCGAGGGCTTATGTGCTTGTTTATTATTAGACTGATTCCATACTTTATATCCTTGAAGTCTATTCTGGGACCGTTCTCATAGCATCTGCAATCGGAAGCGTTATGCACCCACATATTAATCTCTGCGAAGCTCAGCACTTACTACTTGCCAAGCTCAACTCTCATTACTCTACCGATCTCCACTAGTCAAGTCGTACCAGTTGCGAAAACACTGACTGGTGTCTTCAATATCTCTCTTCCTGGGACATTTGCACCGACATCCAACTCCGTACTGTTTTTCGGGCTCCTGCACCCTACTGAGGTCCTTGAGTACTTTTTGGACCATGTTGCCACCACGCAAAAGACCTTGGTACTCCACATTCTCCACATATGGAAGCTGTCGTCCAGCTTTGTTTATCGGACAATGCGCCAGAGTAGAATGCTGATAACCAATATCGCGGAAATAGTGCACGTCTTCAACGTCAAGCATCATGCCCAAGCCCAAGGTATGGACCGGAGCGTCTCCCCATCTTTCGGACCAAAACCCACCACTCTCCTCCAGAAACTTGAAGTAGTCTGAATACAAGCCTGTACTGAAGATGTCTACACGGGCAATTTCGAAATTGCTCCAAAAATGACACAAATTGAATTCTTCGCCGTCAAACTTGTCTTCCAAAATGGGGGGTTTCCTGGAGGCACGTTCAATCAAAAGCTCGAGGGCCTCGCGATCCACATCTTGAGATTTCGCCTTTTTCACATTCTCAAGTAACTGCTGGATTTTTAGTTCCTTCGACAACTCTGGTTCCACTTCACTATCAAAATTGATGAATCTCCTAAGGACTTCGTCATCATCGAAATCTGTGTTGTAAGATCGCACTACCAGAGGCCACAAGGTCCCCATCTTGACCTTGTTCTTCCTTATAAAACTTCGAGTGTGTCGAAATAGATTGGGCACCGTCCAGTACAGTTCTCCGATGAAAACCGTGAACCCATATTTTTTCCCGCGGCGGCTCATCTCGTAGAACGGATCGTAGGTCAAGTCGCAGAAAAACTCAACGTCAGGTTCGATTCTCCAGTACCACTCGTATTGCGCTACCAACGAATGCTTATAGAAGGCTCCCGCGTAAAATCGACACATTTTGTGATACGATTCCAAATTCCCATACATGATCCCACGATCGCCTTGGTCCTCTATGCTTTCCCTGAAGACCAGTTTTTCGCGAACTTCGGGCGGGAAGTCCCACTCGAGCTCGCTCAACACGCCAAAGTGCACTTTAGCTCTGGTAGCTGCCGTTACCTGACGAATAAATTCCGAGTCAAACGGCTCATTATTGAGAAGCACATACGGATACTGGTACCATTGATTAAAGTGCCTTTCCATGCTTCTTATGGTTGCCAAAACTCCTCTAAGTTCTTCGTTTCGCGTCAGCATCACGAAAGTCGCGTTTTGCGCAGCATATTCCGGTTGCTGCCGATACAATTGAAAGTCCACACACCCTTCAATGAAAACAGAGTCCTTACTGGTATCAATATTTGAGTAGGCGAACGAATTTGCCCTACGAGATCTCGTTCTTAATTTTGTTCCTGATGTCCATATCAGTGCCATAAAAAGCCAGATGCCCGTCAGTTTCCACACTTTCCAGTAGCCTCTGGCCTTGAATCGTAATTGCATCTTTTGACAAGCCACGTAGTAGCGAGAACCGTCATTTCAAGCTCTAGCAGACCAGATCATTCAACGTTCACGTAAAATTGGAAACTTGGTGTTTTGAACTCATCGAAGATAAAGCCCGAAGTCGCATCGTACGACGAGGTTAACGCTCAGTTCTTGAATGGTGCTGGTGGTTGACCTGAGAGCGTTCTAATCAGCGCAATATCCTCTGTTACTTCCTCTGGTTTCAGAGATGACAGCGGTGGTGCGGCTTTGGTCGACAGCCGGTTGGTTCCTCTGGTCTTTTTCTTCTCCCTTTCTTTGTCACCGAATAATAGGACGTGTAGCTCTGACGAGTCGCTTAGACCCTGCAAAAATAGAGAATCAGAGCTCTCACTAGCGTAGTTGGGTGGAGCGGGCGATTCTTTGGCAGATGTTAGGTCTGGCTCGTCGCTCATGGCGCGAGACGTGGCTGTGGTCGCCAGCCGACGTCTCAGCGACCTTCTTTCGGTGCCAGTGTCTGTAGCACTTTCATTTGCGGAGGCCTCTTTGCCAAATTCGTTGGGAGACGAGTCCCACGCGGTGGCCGTGGCACTGCGTGTCGTTTTCTGGAACTTGGACCGTGAGTAATCCATGGAGTATGAATGTGCATTGGCCACGTCCATAAGGAGCCGTTCCTCCTGTAGTTTTTTCATCTTGGACTCCAGAGACTCGTACAGCTTCTCCTTGCACAGCTTGATGATCTTTTCATGTTCAGCCTTCGTCTTCTCGAGATCTTCCTGGAACTCGATACGCGAGCGATCTACACGGTACTCCTCGAACAGTCGTAGACTCACCAGCTCCAAGTCTCTTTCCTCTTCCAAGTCTCGCAGCTGGCGCAGAAACTGGCTGCTGTTGCCCTGATGCAGCGTGGTTAAAGTCGTCTGCAACGTGGTAAGTCGGTCGCGATAGTGTGCATCTTTGTCAACAGAAAAGCTCCGCACAATCTTATTGACACGGGATTCGAAGTTGTGCCGTCTCTTGTCTTTCCTTGAGATATCTTTGTAATGAAGAGCTGTTAGTTGAAGGTCTTGAATCGTTTTAGCGTTAAGCCAACTATAAATTAACGTAAAAGGACGCGGGAAAGAGCTGCGTTGCATCGCCACATACTTTCAAATTGAGTTACCGCGTTAGCCATCTTGAAATTGGCACGCTAGTACTGTTTTCGTTAGTGTTTTCAGAGACGTTCTTGCGGAGATGAGATTCTTGACATGGTTCCGATATATATAATATTTATACATATATAAGAAAAGGCCACTGTGTGGAGTCAGACGAGTGTTATAGCAGGCAATATGGCGACGATTGAGCTTCTGGTCACTGACGTGAGATATTTGAAACAAATCAAAACTCGACTCGAGCAGGAAAACGCTTTCGTCAAGCCAATCGCGAGCGAAAACGGTCACAAAGTGGTTAAAACACGATTGGCCAAGAATGATGAGGTCGTAGAAGAGCTTCTGTCTCAGTACGGTGACGCACTGTGTGTGAGACTGAGCAATGAAGCTGGGGATACTGGTGAAAAACAGAAGGACCGTTTGTCACGGTTTGCACAGATCTTTTTGCAGAATAATGGGACGCCTACAGAGGAAATAGCTGTGCTGTTGGAACATCTGCCTTTGCGTTACTCGCTGTACGAGCCCGTAGTTCTGTTTAACAACTCAGTAGAACGCACTTTTCTACATGAAAGCTGGAAAATGGCACTATCGAAGTCCGCAAACGCTGGCTTTATGAGACAAATGCTGGGCGAGCTCTTCCCGCAATACACACATGTCGCTACCAACCAACCCATTGTGGACTATGACGAGATGCGTCGCCCATTCCATATCGTTTCGCTCGAGGGTACGCTTTTTGAAGGTGTGATTCGGCCACAAGTACAAAACCAGCCCAGCAAACAAGACTTCGACGCGTCCGTGTGGTGCCATGTAGTACAGAACGGCATCCACCAGGTGTGGTCACCCGTGTTCACCATGTTCAGTCGTGGCAATATCAAGGAGAAGAAACGTATTTTGGACCCCACGGCTTACATAGACGTCGAGGGAAACGACGCTGTGGACCTTTACGCGGGAATCGGCTACTTTACGCTCAGCTACCTGAAACGCGAGGCGCGTCGCGTGTTCTGTTTTGAGCTTAACCCTTGGAGCACAGAGGGCTTACAGCGCGGTGTGGTCCTCAACCAGTTCCAAGGCCAATGTCACGTATTCCAGGAGTCCAACGAGCACTGTCTCGAGCGGCTGGCGAATTTTCAAAACCTGCGTGTCCGTCACATCAATCTCGGGTTGCTCCCCAGCAGCCTGCAAGGATACCCATGGGCGCTAGAAATTGCACAAAAATATGGCGCGATGCCCGTTACCACCCTACATGTTCACGAAAACATACATATTAACGACATTACCAGTGGCCAATTTGTTCGAGACACACTCAACGCGTTACATGGCATAAAGCCCGAATTCCTGTATGTTTTAGCTCACCTCGAAAAGGTCAAGACTTTCGCACCAGATGTGTGGCACTGTGTGCTGGATATTGACGTAACGTGGAAAACCTAGGAGAAGAAAGTATCCAACTCACAGTAAAGGCCTGCCAGAACTCCTAAAGCTATTCGAAAGGCCAATTCATGGTAACTACAGAAGTTTCCTAATCGTTAAAGGACAATTGTATCAGAGCTGCAGGAGTTTTTATACCAAATATGGCCCAAAAATTATGTTTAGAGCATCAAAATGAACGCCTAAACGCACAGAACTAGCCCGCAGAATCATGAGTTACAAAAATGAGCGTTTGCATCGAGCAAATGGTTTTTTTTTTCATATCCAAGTTCACTTTTTCAAGAAACTGTCGTCCTGGCTCTTCGCCCCGATATGATGCTTTAATTTAAAAAACACTCTTTCAAGTTAAAAAAGTGACGTCCAAACAGGATAAAAACACCCATTCAACGCGGCTCGCGAGCAAAGTAAGGGCTTTAACATGGACTTTAATCAGTTTATGAGCTTCCAGCAAAAATTTGGTAGCGAAACGGACAACTCCCGACAGAAAACGAGGCCAGAGACACAGCATGGAGGCTCAGTTGGCAACAGCACTGAGTCCGAAGGTAGAAAGGCGCATTTGTCAATTGACACCGAGCTAAAGGGCGACTTGGAAGCAAACCAAGGACCCATCAGCGACATGCAGAGTCTTTTTTTTTCGCCCACAAGTGACGGAGGCCCAGAGGGATTCCCCATGGGCTCAAATATGACAACCCCGACAATCACTATAGAACAATCATTCGAGGACCATACGGGCATTCAGGACTCGTTACCAGCGGGTATACCTGGAAACCACATAGCGGGATACTCAGAGAGTGTCCAAAGGCCGTTCTGGGCGTCTCAGCAGCATCAACACCATCAACACCAGCAATACCAGCATCTTCAGCACCAACAACATCTACCGTCAACGTACCAGCCCGATTACGGGCCTCCTTTTGACCTCAACCAACCGCAAACTCTGCTTTCACCAAACGTGCTGGACGACTCCTTTTCTACTGGGTCCGTATCTTCGCACTCCATACATTCAGCTGGCTCCTACAACCATCATTTATCAGGCGAATGGCAGCCAAACGACGTGGCACTCTCTCCGGCACCCTCCAGATTGACCACGGGCGACGATGAGCTAGACGAAATCTTAAGCGTCAACTCAACTAATGAACCCTTCTACGACGCCGAGTTTGAGCCCCTGGCAGAGAGCATACCGGCACAATCCGCCGGCGGCTTTCCTAACTCGGTAGAAGATATCTTCGGCGACACGTATACACAATTTGACCGCGCAAATGCTACAGAAAGAATCCTGGATGTGAAAAGTCCGAACTTCTTGAAACCTCAGATTTCGATCGAGGAGTTCAAATCTTTCTCTCCCAGCGATGTGCTGCAAAATAGAGTACTGAGCAACTTGTCTTCTCCGGTGTCTTTCCACACCGCACGTCAAAATACGCATTTTCTCTCTGTGCAGCCGGACGAATCAGAGGCCTTGAGCGAGGATGACTCTGAGGTTCATACTGCAATGCGCCAAGGGCGCAAGGCTAGACGCCAATCAATTCAAGTGGCTCGCCGATCGAGTTCCTCCAGAAGACGATTATCGGTGGATGAAAAGGCTAGATCGTTGAGCGAAGACAGAGATAGGCTACTTGAACTAGCAGCGCTGAAACCAAGCAAATCTCAAAATGATTGCCCTGAAGATAACACGGACTTTGGGTCGTTCAAGTTCGATGAGTCGCCTTCGACAGACTCCAACGACACGAATCAAGGCAAAAGCGCCCAGAAAAACCCTGCCATATACTCATGCCATGTTTGCGACAAGAAATTCACCAGGCCCTACAATCTCAAATCGCACCTACGCACGCACACTGATGAAAGGCCATTCGTGTGCAATATATGTGGCAAGGCGTTTGCACGACAGCATGATCGGAAACGCCACGAAGATCTACACACCGGCAAGAAAAGATATGTGTGCATGGGAACTCTCAAAGACGGAACTCAATGGGGTTGCGGCAAGAAGTTTGCCCGAAGCGATGCATTGGGACGACATTTCAAGACAGAGGGCGGAAAGCGGTGCATTGCCCCATTATACGAAGAAGTAACCCGTGAGAGAGCTGCAGGACGGAAAGTAAACTTCGACCTGCCGATAGACCTTTGATGGACCAACCAAAACGAAAAAAAATCTGTAATACATGCGCATTTTCACAGGACAGTACTTACAACTTGTACCTGTTTGTAACATTACACCATTTTAAAAGGCACAAGACTAATAGATGGGTATTTAGTTTAAGTAAAACGAAGTTAAACGGTGTAGAGTCGAGAATATAGCCCTTTTAAAATTGTATGTACTTAGCCAAAGGTCTATTAAAGAACTTATCTTTAATCGATGACTTTTATAATTCAAATCATTTACTTGTCAGTAGTCAATCAGTCTTAGAACAAACAAGTGAACTTGTCGCGAAAATGGACTCCGCCTTCTCTAATGATGAACCACTAGAATCCAGAATGCTGGATTCAACCGAAAACAGTTCCAACTATCAGGATATCGAGGTGCAACATCAGCAATTGCTTCAAAATCAACAGTTAAGTTACGCATCGAGCTTGTTTTCGCAGAACACACATACACCAACGAAAGTGTCAAACGTCATTGTAAACAACTCAGAATGTGTTCGTTCTGCTGTGTTGCAAAGTTACGTTGACCAGACGATAGGAAGAGCTACAACTCTAGAACAATTGTGTGAAGAGTCTGATATCTTAAACATGAAGCTTATTTCGAATGGGCTAGTCGAGTCCTGTACACAAACTGTTGATAGTAGGGGCGTTCTACATTACGACTTGAATGAGCGTAATCTCAGGCCGAGCTATGCTATGTTCAATGGCAGTGGTACCGCGTTATCCGTTGTAGACGTCGTTTCCATTCTAAACCTTCAACCGCTTAAAAAATTCACAGCCAAGACTGGCACAAATGTTGGAAACGGAGAAGGTGATGGCTACCTTCAATTCCAGTGGCGTAATGCCTTCGGCGGAGGGGAAAAGCTAACGTTTGATGCCACCAAGGGCACGAAAACTCATTCATCTTACTTGGTAGATTACGCGCAACCAGTCTCCCCGTTTTGGTCGTGGGATTCCGCTATATACAAGAACTCAAGAGCCCTGGGGAACTTGGAACTGCTGCTGAGAGGCATGCGCGCCTCACTGACATCAACTTTTGAGAAACACAAGAACGTTAATCACGAATTTCTATATGAATACGTATGGCGAAACACCAGCGCCAGCGGAAGTCATACCTCGGACTCCCTTCTCATGCAATGTGGAAACGATATCAAGACAGCTTTGGGATACTCGCTTTTCTGGGACTCACGCGACAAACCTATTTTCCCGTCGTCAGGCAACTTCTTCAAAATATCTAACGAGCTCGCACTCAACAGCTTTTGGAAAGTTGGGCTCGAGACTTCAAAGGTCAAGAGCTGGCGAAGAAACAATTTCTTTACAATGAGCGCTTCATTGAAAGGTGGCTACATCAATAATTTTCACCCCAAGAGCAAGGCCATTCACACAAGCGACAAGTTCCATTGCGGAGGAAGCAACGACGTTCGGAGTTTCAATCTTATGGGATTGGGCCCCAAGGATCTCTTTGATTCCCTTGGAGGTGACGCTTTCGTGAGCTACGGAGTGAGTGTTTTCTCTCGTTTACCGGTGAAACGTTGGTCCGAATCCAACTTCAGACTCCATGCCTTTGTTAACGGTGGAAGACTGATCAACTCAAATGGATGTTCAGCCAAATCTTGCGTTCAGGCGTTATCACGGGAACATTCCATTTCTACTGGGCTGGGTGTGGTTTTTGGGCATCCAGTGGCCAGATTCGAGCTAAATTTCACAGTCCCACTCACGGCTCACGCATCGGACTCTGTCCGTAAGGGTTTCCAATATGGAATCGGGCTGTCTTTTCTTTAGATGCGGTATTAATACGTTACACTGTAAATACACTTCCAGAATTCGTAAAAATTCCTTTTACTGTTGTTCGATCCAGTCATTGTGATGTTTAATTACCTCTGGTATGATCATTTCCTCGACGATTTTGGCGGTTTTGTTGAGTCTGACCCATTCACCTTCACGATTTTGCTCCGACACAAAGACAACTTCCTTATTTCTTGTCTGAAGTAGATTTCCTATCACTAGCTGATGATGGTAGCGGTCGAGTGCTTGTGTGGCCTTGGTTATCAAAAGACTCTCGTCAGTTTCGAGTTTGAACGACACTATCATAGCCTCCGTTGCCCATGATGCGACTAGCCTTCTGAGAAACTTTGGGACGGGATCCAAGTCGATGATCAGCTTTCCATCCACCGGCCTTGGATGCTTGAGATTTTCGGGTGTTAAAGCTCGGCTTGTCTCCTGAGATTGTATTTTATGCTCTGGCATCCTTGAGTGAGGGACAAAAAAGTCGCTTACCGCGGCCGCTAGGTAAAACAAGCTCCCGCTACTGTTCAGCAGTTTTCCCACTGCTTTCAAAGACCACAGATATTGGTTGACTGTTGTAAAGGGCAGCAGAATCAGCCTCTGCTCTTTGTACAAATACTTCTCAAAGAGCATTTTGTTATGCAAAAGCTTGACCTTGTGAGCTGGGTGAACCTCGCCATTTTCGTCAAAATAGTCCAGAAAACAGACATCGCTGTTATGTGTGAAGTTGCGATTGAACGGCGTCAAGGAAAACTCTCGATGCAGGAAAATTACAGAGTAACCTTGATATAAAAACTGTTCTGCACTGGACGCTCCTCTCGTTCCTGCCGAAAAATTATCGATGAATCTCACAGTGTTGTTTTCCAAGGGGACTGTGGTACCACCGGAAGTCACCAAAACTATTCGTTCCCGACCCTCAGCGAATTGCAGCTGGATAAAGTCATTGGCTTGTTTTATAAGATCGTCTAGGTATTCAGGTCTAGGATTGGTGAGGAAAAACCTCTCTTCATCAACATTTTCAGCAGGTGGGAACGAGTCGACGTCGAAGGTTCTATCAATTGCCCGAGAGATCTCGGTAGTGGATGTATGGATAGGCATTGTTTAGAACGTTTGGCGCAGGCACAATTGCATGAGGACTCCGAACGATGAGTACTATGACTAGTGTAAAGATGTATAATGACAGAGCTTATGGGTGATAAACGGACAGAAGCGGTCACGTGTGGAACTGTTCCGAATAGCTGACTGGAACTTGTGCGAGCCGATTCTGCCAATGGACGTTTAACGATGGCTAGCGTGGTGGGTGATGGTCTATATGGCACGTATCTTTTCCATTGACACCTTGCGTTTTGATGAAGTATTAGTTGGGATAGATATCAAGTGAAATACATCAAAAGAAGGAATTGAAGAGTTTCTAAGTGAGACATTTGAGATGCTGATATATGGCGCATCCTATTGCATGCCAATTGATAGGTATACGTGTCTTGGAATCTGTTTTGAACATACTATGCGTGACATCTCTTCGGGCACGCTAGAGCAGACAGTATACATGCGGGATGTAATTGAAGTTAAGTCAATGACAACTTTAAAACTGTATATCGTTTCAATTATCCTCTCCTTCCATCAAATTGGTCTCTTGGCCCAGTTGGTTAAGGCACCGTGCTAATAACGCGGGGATCAGCGGTTCGATCCCGCTAGAGACCATTCTTTTTTATCATTTTTGATGAAAATATAATTATCTTCCAAAAGTAAGATCTACTCATGATTCCGTCTTAGCATGCTATTTCCTGGCCAAGTGTGGCAAATTCTTTCGATGAGCGGAACTCTCTCTTCCCGAGGGCTCTCGCTTCTTTAGGGTTTTCGCGTAATTATAGTGGAAGTCTGATCACTTTCTATTAACCCGTCATCTGTTTATTACAGGATGTATAACGCAAATGAAAATGGCAACAAACCAAAGCCACAAAGCTCAGTTTTGTCCCTGTTATTCTTTGATCCAAATAGTCACCTCGCTCGCGATTGTTTTGCTTCAACGTCCAACAAAGCTGCATATTCAATATGATCAACTAAGCTCAATCTACTTCATATCTCTCATAAAAAGGCTCAAATTGAGACCAGTAAAGTAATACACATAAAAGCTTATAATATTCCTCAAACCTCCATGAATTGTACTCGCAGGCGTTCATCACCTCACAAACCATAGCTTAGCTTAGTTTGTTGACAACATGCCGTTTATAGTGCCTTTTCTATACTAGAGTCTACAGGCTTGAAAAAAAACTACAAAATTTGGCAGGAATATCTTAATCCTGAAAGATTGTCGAAGATCAACGGAAGTTCAACAGTTGAGTTTAGATCCTAAATCTTCAATTCAAGACTATACCGTCCTAGTGCCTAAGTTTTGTCGCTTGTACAGTTAAAGTACTTAAGATCGTGTCGTAGCCGTCACCAAGTGGTCTAGCATTCGCACTCACCTCTTTATCAATAATTGCATAATTTTAGTCAACCAGTCCGCTATAAGTGCAGCATAGCTTCCACATTGACCCTTACGCAACATTAGGACAAGATCAAGATATTTTGTTGCATCAATACGTCCGAGAACACTCCCAAAACGCTCTCGATAAATTGAAAAAATGGCAGAACCTCAGCCAGAACAAACACAACCAGTCGTCTCGGAGACACTTCCTGAGCAGCCAATGACCGTGAACCAAAATGAGTCACCAGAAGTTTCTGAGCCGGGAACTGCCACCACTACCACAGACATTGAAACTGAACCTGTAACGCAAGAATCCGAAAATAACGAACCGGCCGTTACGCCGGCTAACGCCTCAAAAGGTGGTAGAGAAACATCCGACAGAATCCTGTATGTGGGCAATCTAGACCTGGCCGTCACGGAGGGCATGCTCAGACAGTACTTTCAAGTGGGTGGTCCAATTTCCAACGTCAAAATATTAATGGATAAAAACAACAAAGAGGCCAATTACGCGTTTGTCGAGTTTGAAAAGCCTCACGACGCCAACGTGGCCTTTGAAACATTAGACGGAAAGCAGATCGAAAACAATGTTGTCAAAATTAACTGGGCTTTCCAATCGCAACAGGTCTCTTCGGATGATACTTTCAACCTGTTTGTAGGCGACCTCAGCGTCGATGTCGACGACGAAACTCTTGCCAACACTTTCAAAGACTTTGCAAGCTTCATTCAAGCGCACGTTATGTGGGACATGCAAACTGGGAGATCCAGAGGCTATGGGTTCGTATCGTTTGGCGAGCAGAGCCAGGCCCAGAAGGCCATGGAACACAATCAGGGCGCCGTAGTGAATGGTAGAGCTATTCGTATCAACTGGGCCTCGAAACGTGAGCATAACACCAACAACAATCACAACAGTCACAACAACAACAACGCGTATCCAGTAAACAGTCGGGGAACTGGCCCCCGCCGTGGCGGGTTCCGTGGTGGCAACCAATACAGAGGCCCCATGGTTCCAATGGGTATGCCCCCCACCCATGGTGGTCCCATGGGCGCTATGGGAATGCCTTCCCATGCTATGCCACAACCTCAAGGACCAGTTATGCTGCCTCAGGTACCACCTCAAGCGGTGGAGGCAATGGTGAGAAGCGCACCTCTTAGAATCACCACAGTGTACATCGGCAATATCCCTCATTTTGCATCCGAACAAGATTTGATTCCCTTGTTGCAGAATTTCGGCTTCATTGTGGACTTCAAACACTACGCCGAAAGAGGCTGTTGTTTTGTGAAATATGGAACCCACGAACAGGCGGCCGTGTGCATATTATCCTTAGGAAACTTCCCCTTCCAAGGTAGAAATCTGAGAACGGGTTGGGGCAAAGAAAAGCCAACTTATATCCCTCAGCCCCGCCCTGACGCAATGGGCTTCCCAGTGGGACAAGGTGTGCCTGAACAAGACGGTTCTTTCCAGACTCAAGAGCAGCCGATGAGCATGGCTTCCGTGCCAGACCAAAACGAATCCCAGTGATAAATTAGATACACTAATAGCGTGTATATATACAATTGACATCTGAAAAAAGGATAAACAGCGAGTGTTTTATTGGGCAGATGGATGAATAGCCGTTCTCAGTCCAAATGGTCTGAGTGGAAGACAAGAAGAAAGTCGCCATTGTATTTTCGTGACATTAGCCAGAAGCGATACTCCATTCCTGTCATCTTCAGAAAAAAAACACTCAAGAGAACCAACTTACGTATGTGGATTTATTTGTATATATTCACCATCTTCTATGTTTGGTTAGAAGATGGTGTTTCTTCTACCTGTGAATTGATCTTTCTTATGTATGGCATTATCTTCGAAGCCTTAAATTACAAGACTATATAACTAGCCGTCCTACAACAAGCTCAAACAAATATAGTATAAACATCAACAAATATCGCACTGATTTGCACAATATGTTCATAATTTGTGAATATCGCGTAGAAAACTAACCAAAAAATATCAAGACCTCGTTCTGCCAGATATATAAACAAACTCTACTTAATTCCGAGTTTAAAATCAAAAAAAGGGACTTGAACAGAATAATTCCCTAGCCCAAAAATCTAATGGGACACCTTATGAGCCAGTTCGAGAGACATCTAAGGCAGCTTTCAACCACTCAGAACTAACCAGAACTGCTGGCATCGAATACTGTCATATTCGATCGATGGTTTCACGTGACCAATATCGTCAAGTTTAGAGATCTGCCTCGATTTCTCAATGGTGAAAAAGCTTATACAAACTTTTGAAAGAGATCGAAGTTTTAGAATGAAAAGTCAAGTGTTGAAAACGTCAAGCACTTGACTGAATATCTCCGATTCAGTTGTATGAGTTTTGTGCTCGAAAATCTTTGTGCACTTTTGGCTAGTTGGAACGGTCTGATCACCAGTTTGAATCAAGTTGATCACAAAAAAACCACTGCTGTAGTTCTAATTGCATCGACTGCTCTGCTCCTGTATAAGAATCGAAGTCAATTGTGGAAAATCATGGAGAGTTTCGGAATGGCTGGCGGCGACCTGACGCGTGGCTTCAGAAACGGGTATCGTAGTAGCATGTTCAACAAATGGGGTATGAAAAACTCAGCACAGGAAGAAACGATGCTCGAACGTGGTGGATACGTGGGTGGTTTGGTGAACGATGGCAATACGTGCTTCATGAACTCGGTGCTACAAAATCTGGCTTCGTCCCAAAGCTTGCTGCGATTTTTGGACGAAGAGGTCATCGAGGCCCAAAGAGAGCTGGAAGAAGCGGCCACAGAGAACGCAGCTACAGACGCTGTGGACCAAGAGTCTCAGGAGACTGCGACAGCAGCCAAGGGACAAGCAAAAACCACCAAGGGATCCAAGAAAAAAAGCTATGGTAAACGCAAGAAGAGACAGAACAGAGCCACGGAAAAGGAACTTGCAGAAGCGGAAGCCGAAAGTGATACCGTGGACGTGATGTTTAGTGCGACTTTGAAAGACCTTCTCGATAAGCTGAACGAAAAGCACCAGAGAGAAAGGCCGTTTTTTAGAACTAACAAGCTTCTGAAAACCATGTCGAAAGCACCCAACAAAAGCTTGCTTCTGGGTTACGATCAAGAAGATGCTCAAGAATTTTTCCAATCGATATTATCTGAGCTGGAGAAAAACGTCAAGTCGCTGCATCACAAGCCTACTAAAGCTGACACTGCACCCGTTCCAGCATCGGCTCTGCCTGAGGATGCCGTGGTGGGACAACAAAACCTAGGCACCATTGGCACTGTGTATATACCCACAGACCAGATCGAACCCAACTCCGTTTTGGCACAGGACGCACAGCGTTGTTATACTCCTTTTAAATTGTTGACGCCGTTCGACGGTATCACTGCTGAACGTATCGGCTGTTTACAATGCGGTGAAAACGGTGGTATTCGTTATTCTGTCTTTTCGGGCTTGAGTTTGAACTTGCCCAGCGACAACATGGGGTCCAATCTGAAATTGTCAGAACTTTTGCACGAATGGTCCAAACCTGAGATAATCGAGGGAGTCGAATGCAATCGGTGTGCCCTCAATGCAGTTTTGGAACACCTAGAACGGACATTGATGCAGTACCAGGCCGCAGAAGCAGTTTCTGAAAAACTCGTTAGTGCAGTTGGGTCCAGGGTTCAGCAACTCAAAGACATTTTAGCCAAACCTGTGGTTGCGGATGATGACTACAAGAAGCTGCATACGGAAAACATGATACAAAAGACTTCCAAATCGAAACAGATTTTAATTTCTCGTCCCCCGCCACTTCTTTGCATTCACATCAACAGATCTGTCTTTGACCCACGCACGTACACGATCAGGAAGAACAACTCCCGAGTTTTGTTCAAATCCAAACTAAATCTAGCTCCTTGGTGCTGTGACATCGATGAGATCAACTTAGATGCGCGTCTACCGATGTCAAAGAAAGATCAGCGACTGATGGATTCCTCTGAGGACGAAAATGTCGGCGACGAGTTTTTTGCTCAATTGCACCGTCGCTACGAAGAGGAGTTTGACGAAAGCGACGAGGAGGATGAAACTAACTACCAGCGTGCAGACCGCGACGTATCGGATTACGATCCTTTGAAGGGTGAACTGATCACCTCGAGCGACGATGAAGAAGACGAATCCGAGGACGGGGACTACGAGCTCGACAAGCTCGGTAACAGGGTTTACAAGCCAAGCGAAAAAACTGAGGCTGGCTCGGATAGCGAAGACGACTCCGGTGCAGAAAACGGTGCAGCTGTCGCGCATGATCCAGAGGCGTGCGACAGTGAGGACTCGGGCTCTTCCGACGACGAAGCGGGGAGTCTAGACCAAGAAATCGAGGACGAGGAACAACCTGCTGTTGCTACAGTTGCTCCTCCATCTGTTGCCGTCCGGTCGACGCCTAGCGTATCGACAGTGCCAGTGGGGCCACTCACATATGCGCTCCGGTCTGTCGTCGTACACTACGGAACCCACAACTATGGCCATTACATTGCGTTCCGGAAGTTCAGAGGCCTGTGGTGGAGGATTTCCGACGAGAGTGTTTACGTCGTGGAGGAAGCAGAGGTGCTGTCGACGCCCGGTGTATTCATGATGTTCTACGAACACGACTATAACGAAGACAGTCACAAGATGAACGACGACATGCCATGGGCCAATGACGACGTGGAATCTGCTACAGAGATGGTGGACGAAAATTAGCCGCTTCCTAGTATATAATGTGTAGTGGTTCGCAAGTCTTTACCAACGTACTAAGTGGAAAACATACCTGTTTTAAACAACTGCGTACTTTTTAATGCGAGCAAGACACTCATTTTTTTAACGATGCTGATGTTCTGGCTCTGGTTCTGGCTTTGGCTCTGGCTCAGACTCAGACGATGGACTCGCTGACCTCTTGCTCGCGACCGGCCAGTCTCTGGAACCGAATTTCTTGCTCACGCCTTTCCTTCCGTTCATCTTCCTCTATGAGCTCTGTCAGATCGTAGTCGAACGTGTTGGGATCGTTGTCGAATGTGCGTTTCTTGAGTAAAGTTGCACGAGTTTCAGAGCCAGCGTCGCTGGTTCTGCTAGAGGAGTGACCGTTGTGGCTCAACTGGATCTTAATGGGGGCCTGGTTCTTTGAGATGCTGAGTTTCTCACGCAGAGTCTGCTTTTTCGACGTAACTGACACTGGACCACCGCGACCTTTACCACGCGGTGTGTGTACTTTGTAGGAGAAGGTGCCTGACAGAAGTGGGAGTACCACGACGAAGCCGAGAGCGACTATAAGCACCACTAAATACGCGTACAAGTCCATGATTCACGCTGTGGGGAGGGGCTCCCTGGTTGTTGGAATTGTGTGAACTTTTTCCAGCTCACAAGAAACCTACCGAGCTTGATCTGAGAGAAAATTTCCCCAGTGACTAGGAAATTGAATTGAAATACAGTTAGGTAAAGCGCATCGTATCTATCGTCTTAGAACTAAAACGGATCGCGATTGTTATTGATTCGATTCAAGTTGCGGGACTGACAATGCAAGCAGTGATAAGAAGAAGAAGTCTAAGTCTGCTGGCTACCAGCGTTACTCGCACAACAACACGCACTCGAACGGTTCCAACTGCATTGTTGTTCAATGTCACACAACAGCGTTGGTTGGCGTCCAAGAACGGTGGACCAGGCTCCACTGGAGGACCTGGTTCCACTGATGGCCAATCTGTTCCGCTCGAGGTCTTGTCGCTCAGCATGGACACGTACCACGCTCGTTCTGATGCATTTCTAGAAACAGTCCAGGACCAACTCGAGGCTCTTAGCGATGATCATCCTCACTTGGTGCCAGACGTCGAGCTCACACAGGGCGTTATGACCGTTATGGTGCCCAGTTTGGGCACCTATGTGTTGAACAAACAGCCTCCCAACAAGCAGATTTGGCTGTCGTCGCCCGTTTCCGGGCCCAACCGCTTCGATCTGTACGGGGGTCGGTGGGTTTCGCTACGCGACGGCCAAGACCTTCTACAAGTGCTAAACAAAGAGCTTGGCCAAGTGATACCAGAGCCAGTGGAGCTGGAAGCGTAAGAACTACGAGTCTTGGACAAGACCCTTGCCCAGCTCAGTCGCTGTCCATCATCACAAGCCACGAGGGTTTTCCGATCGTTGTTGTTCTTCACGGGTGATTTATCACTCTCACTCCCACTATCTTTCATTTTCAAGCCCCTGGAAAGACACAGATCGACAAAGGCCAGTTTTGCTGTGTTGCGAGAATTATCGAGGTATAAATATCGACGACGTTTGGACAGTTCAGGAAGCGATAAATCGTGTACATACACATATATAAGAGAAAGCGGATTACAGGTTGCAGAGTAAGACAAACACACACCTCTCATCATACTACAAACACACCGAAAACACACCATCATGACAGCCAAGACGTTTATTGTGACCCTCAAGGACCACGTTGCCGAAGGAGACATCTCGACGGTCAAAGACGCGTTCACCAAGCTGGGTGGCGAAATCACACACGAGTTCTCGCTCATAAAGGGGTTTTCCGTCAAGGTGCCGGAAGTCGGGATCGACAGCGTCAAGAAGAAACATGGCGACTCGATTGCCAACATCGAGGAAGACCAAGAGGTGCACACCCAGTGAGTGTGTGTGAGGTGACTTCACTCCCCGACGGCCCCCTTCAAAGTTTGTCAAAGTTTGTCAAAGTTGACGTCAAAATTAAAGGAAACATATCTCGTTCAAAATGCTATCAACACTTTTATATCACTCCGTACGCGAAAGGGGTGGCTGGTTTCGGGCAGGCCTTGATGACCCCCTTCCTCCCCCTTCCCCACAATATATAAAGCCAGAGAAATAGAGAGAAACAGACACACAGCTATGTGACACTTTTTGTCGAAACCCAGTCTAATGCTTTTTCAAAACAGTTTCAGAAAAAGCTTCATCACCAGTTTCATCACCAGTTTGTAAAGCTTCGAGCACTTCATACTTCATGGGCTACGTCCAGCGTTCCAGCGACCCGCATCTCAAGCCCGTCCAGGGCATCTACGAGGACCGGCTGCGTCAATTCATCGACGACGGCGGAAACTACAAAGAGCTGAATCTCCCCAAGTTTTACGACAAAGCGCGCGTTTCGCTCGACCAAAACCATGTCAAAGTGCAATGGTACCAGGTGGCTTTCGACAAGGGCTCGTCGCCCGTGTCGCCCGACAAGAGACCGCCCTGGGACGAGATTGTGAGGCGGGACAAAAACCACGAGCTGGAGTTCCGGGACGCGTGGAAAGGCCAGCCATTCGGGCCCAGTTGGTCCACCACCTGGTTCAGAGTCCAGCTTGAGGTCCCAGACGAGTGGTTGGACGCCAAAGAGCAGCTTCTCTTCGAATGGGACTGCAACAACGAGGGCATCGTGATCGACCCGGAAACGCTGATGCCGAAAACCGCGTTTTCCGGCGGAAACGAACGCGTCGAGTACCATCTCCCCCGGGGCCAGAAACATCACGCGTTCTATATCGAGTGCGGCAACAACGGCATGTTCGGATGTGGTTTCGGTTCCTCGCCGCCCGACGACAACCGGTACTTCCATCTCGACAAGGCAGATCTGGTGTGGCCCAATTGGGAAGCTCGAGCCCTCCGGATCGACTTTTGGATGTTAACCGACGCGGCACGCGAACTTCCTGGTGACTCGTGGCAAAAACATAAAGCTCGCCAAATCGGCAACGCTGTCATGAACATGTTCGACCCTGAGGACGCTGCAAGTGTGGCAAAATGCCGTAATTTCGTTCACAAGGAATATTTCGACCATTATCCAGATAGCTCTGAAGTCTATCGAAAGGGTGACACCAACGTGATTAACGACGTCGTTGCCATGGGCAACTGTCATATCGATACCGCGTGGCTTTGGCCCTTTGCCGAGACTCACCGGAAGATCGTGCGGTCGTGGACTTCTCAATGCACGCTAATGGACATGTATCCGGAATACCAATTTGTCGCGTCGCAGGCACAGCAGTTCAAATGGCTTCTCAACGAGCATAAAAACTTCTTTAACGACGTTTTAATCCCTAAGATCCAGCAATCTCAGTTTTTCCCCATTGGTGGCTCGTGGGTGGAAAACGACACCAACATCCCCTCCGGTGAATCTCTATGTCGTCAATTTTTCTTGGGGCAGCGGTTTTTCCTCAAGCATTTTGGGATGAAATCCGATGTTTTCTGGCTTCCAGATACGTTTGGATATTCTTCTCAGATCCCTCAAATTGCAAGGATCTCAGGAATTGATAAGTTCTTGACCCAGAAGCTTTCCTGGAACAACATCAACAATTTCCCACATACTACCTTTAACTGGGTCGGTATCGATGGGTCGCAGCTTTTGACGCATATGCCGCCTGGAAATACTTACACAGCAAGTTCCCATTTTGGAGACGTTTTGCGTTCGAAAAAGGGAAACAAGAACTCTGATGTTTATAGCTCAGGGCTCATGCTATATGGAAAAGGTGATGGTGGCGGTGGACCAACGAGTGAGATGATCGAAAAAATGCGCCGTATCAGATCCATGAACAACCGCAACGGTAATGTTATACCCAAGTTACACGTTGGGTCTACCGTTGACGAATTTTATGACGACATTTTGAAGAAGACTAACAACGGCGAAGACTTACCATCATGGCTTGGGGAACTGTACTTCGAATTCCACCGAGGCACATATACCACGCAAGCCGAAGTCAAGCGCTTGATGAGAACAAGCGAGATCAAAATCCATGACCTTGAATGGCTTGCAACGAAGGCTTCTTTGCTTTACCCAGACGATTATGAATACCCTGTTAAGAAGATTAACGACTTGTGGGAAGACATTCTTCTTTGCCAATTCCACGATGTTTTGCCCGGATCATGTATCGAATTAGTGTACAAGTACGAGGCCCGTCCAATGTTGAGAAAGGCCATCGAAAAGATCGAAAAGTTGTTAGAGGAGGTCTTGGGAGTTTTGGAGAAAAAGGGCAAGAACGTTACCGCGGTTGGAACTCTTCAATCATTTGAACGCGGAACTGACGAGCGTAAGTCAAGAAACTCAAATTCATATGTCTCTCTTGAGGAAGACGAAATATGTGTTAAAATGGTTAGTGAAGAGTTGGAGGTTGTCATCGACAAATCTAAGGGTGTCATATCCTCAATCAAGGACACTGGAAGGGACATCGAATATCTAGATTTGGAGAGCGGAAGAAACAAACTAGGCGCCAATCAATTTGTTTTATTCGACGACAAGCCACTCGGCTGGCAAGCTTGGGATACCGAGCTGTATTCTGTTAACCAATTCGAGTATCTCACAGTCTTGGAAAAACTTTGCGTAACTGAAAAGTCGTCGGAGAAATGCACAGTCCAAGCTGTGTTCAAAGTCAAAGGCGACTGTAATATTGTCACTTCTGTGACTCTGAAGCAGAAAACCCAAGCGCAAGACGAAGGCTTGATTGAAATTCAAACCACAGTCAACAACTGGAATTTGAGAAACAAATTTCTCAAAGTTGAGTTCCCAGTAAACATTCGGAATGATTATGCTTCGTATGAGACTCAGTTCGGCATCACGAAAAGACCCACTCACTACAATACTTCTTGGGATGTGGCTAAATTTGAAGTGTGCCATCACAAGTTTGCGGATTACTCCGAATTCAACAAAGGTGTGTCTGTGATTAATGACTGCAAGTATGGGTTCTCCACTCACGGTAACTTGATGCGTTTATCATTACTTCGTTCTCCCAAGGAGCCTGACGTCAATGCCGACATGGGAACTCATACCATGAGATATGCAATTTTCCCTCACAAGGGAGCACTCTCCTGCAATACCGTCCATAAGGCGTTGCAATTCAACTATTGCCACACTTACAAAATTCCAGATTCTGTTGCTCAAGATTTCGACGGTATCATCAAAATCGAGGGCGATCCAAATGTGATATTGAGCAACATTAAACGTGGTGAGGATGACAAAGAGCTGGCCTCTGAGTATTCATCTAAACCATGGGATCAAAGGTCGATGGTTGTCAGGGTATATGAAGCACTTGGTGGTGAATCGTCTGCTACGCTGTCGACAGGTCTGCCAGCAATAAGCGTAACGAAAATTGATAGTTTGGAGCTGGAGACAAGCTTGGAGCTAAGCTTAAGGACAAGAGCTGGCCTCAAGAACGACAAAAAGCAAACTGAGGTCGATATTAAGCTCAAGCCATTTGAGATTGCTACCTACAGATTTGTCTTTTGATCTGAGTTATGGATTTTTTGCAGGAAATATAAGTTTTTATGAAGGTATATATATATATATATATAGGTTATGATAGTTTTTTGTTGGTGTGATTATAGAAAGCGCCTTACTGTACGCAGAAATGATCACGAATTCGCGTTGGCTCAATTGAATGGCACTAGCGAGCATCGCTGCTGAGCGACTTGCTCGTCAAAAACATCAAAAGTACTTTGAACGCCATTTGCTGATCTTACCGTCCAAATATCAAGATAATGAGCCCAATAAGCTTGCCATAGTAACATATGCCCTTATAGGACTAAGCATTCTAGGTGTCGATACGTCAAAGAAATACCAAGGTAGCATAGCATGGCTACTTGAACACCAACGGCATGTATCATACGAAGAATGCTCGATTGCTGGCTTCATTCCAAGCTTATCCACCAACATTGAGGAAGCTCCATCACTTAGCTTGATGAGCACACTTTTTGGACTTTGGGGTCTTATTTGCTTAGGAGCACGCGACTCAAGTGTGTTCAAAGATATAGATCTTCAGGGAATCGGTCAATTTGTGTCTAAGTGCCAGTGCGACAACGGGTCATTTGTGTCTAATTTCGATGTTCTTCCGTCAAGCGAAATTCATCGTTCTTGTATCGATCCAACGGATCTTCGATACTCTTATGCCGCCGTCACTATTCTACATTTGATAGGGTGTCGCAAATCAGAGGACTTCAGCCGCTACATCTCTATCGAGAACCTTATTGAATTCATCAAAACTCAAACGGGCGTTAATGGCGGCTTCGGCCAGTATAACGAAGCCCACGCAGGCTTGACTTCTTGCGCACTTTCCATTCTAGATATGTTAAATGACCAATGGGACTGTCTGTCGGCTCGGTTTTTCGAGCAGACCGCAGAATGGCTTCTACAGCGACAAGTGTCAAACCAGGGCGCTATGACACTAATGATAGATAAAAACGAGTGCTACGATCCCGAGGACCAGGGTGGCTTTCAAGGAAGGGAAAACAAATTTGCAGATACATGCTATGGCTTTTGGTGTTTGAATTCTTTGAGCATACTGCAGGCCCATACCGACGTAAAGTTTGACTGTGGTAATGCTTTATCAGACTATTTACTAGACTCAACACAAAATAAGTTACTGGGAGGGTTTGCAAAGAACAATGAGGATGATCCAGATTTGTACCATAGCTGCCTTGGGTTGGCTGCTCTCTCTTTGAACGCGGACGAGTTCAATGGTACTCTTTTTTTGCCGAGACAATTATCCGAAAACTTTCTGGTGCCCAGTTGAACAAAGAAAAGTGTAACGTCTAATATAATTGTGGTGATGCGTTTTTAGCTTTGCGTAGCTTCTAAAATGATGGTGATGATGCGTTTTAACTTATGCGAACTTTTTGATTAACTCCTCGTAGATACCCCATGCAATACCGGCGCTAAGCGCCTTTCTGCCTAGTCTAAGACTTAATCCATCAAAGAGATTTTTTGGCCGTTCATTTTTTATGATAGAAGAAAGCGTTTGTAGAAATCCTGAGTATTGTACCGGATTCAATTGCATTCTCGTCTTGATAGTGTCAAAGGGTGCGGTAATAGTTGTAGCGACACTGGCGGCACCAAACGCTGCGAGGCAATTTACAATTGTGGATGTCTTAGAAGAGAACATGCCTTTCCCATCTCGCGTTATCAGCTGCGACGGTAAGAGTCGTGGCAACTGAAGCTTGAACTGCTCGTAAAACAGAACGTAGAGTCCTGCATAGGGCGCGTCTCTGAGAATTGTAGCATTGCACCCGCTGAAAAACCCGCGAGTGCCCTCAGAGCGGAATATGTGCTTTGCAGCTTCGGTCATCGATTGGTAATTGTACATTGTGGACTCAAATCTCACTTTCAGCACTGTGATGGGCATCGTGGCGACCCCAACGACGGCTCTCGTAACCGCTCCTGATAGTAAATTCTCATACATAGTCAGCTGGGGCAAAAAGCTGCTATTCTTTGAATTATGCTTATTCCCAAAGACTCTTCTCTCTGCTATCGTTGTTCTCACCAAGTTCAGGGTCGACAGAAAAAGGGCACTGCCCACCGAGGTTCGAAGAGCAGAGGGCACTGTGCCTTTCCATAGCTGACTAGGTGACCCGATGCCACGCATAACATTGAGTAGTGTTGAGTTCTTATTCTGTTGCAGTCGGGTTTTCAGCAAATCGAATGGTTGTAGGGCAACGGCAGATGTCAAACCTCCTACAAAACCACCGATGAGATGGGACGTCCTTTTAGGCTTTTCGGACATAGCAATCACAATCTAATGCCAATTTTACGGGCCAGCGTCGAATTTGATTGCCCTTAAAGAAACTTGCTGTGTGCAGAGAGTATCCTGCCGTCTCTCTTATAGCCTTTTTAGCTAGTATACAAAAGATCACTTTGTACTATGCAAATAGGCCGCGAGCTCAGCTATCCTGAGCTCAGTCACACAGGCTGGGATCTTTTCCGGTGTCTGGCTTTGTGAATCAGTTCTCTTGCATACCGAGACAACCACATCAGTTTTTAGCCACTGGGACTGGAATATTATGCGCTCACCGTTGATATCGCGCAACATCGTTTGAACGACGTCTGTGGGTTGCCAGGGCTCGAGAGTGCCGATATCAATAGCTGATAGGTCACAATTGAGTCCTGTGCCGGTAAGTTTAGTGTAGGCTTCTTTGAGAGACCAATAATGCGTAAATTTGCGGTCCCGTAACGAGCCTGCTGGAGTTTGTTCGAGACTGTCGAGTTCACGGGCAGAAAAAATGCTTTTGAACGTCTCCAGATACCCGTCACCAAAATTGAGACACTCTCTCGTGCTAGCAAGGTCGATTCCTACGTTTGGTGCCGCATCCAGATACATAGCCGTTAAGCCGTCGCTGTTTGACATATTGAACGCCAGCCCCGTCATCGCTGGACACACAGGCTTCCCGTAGGGCGTGTATTCTAGTTTCAGCGAGCGGAAATCCAGTCCTGTGACCGTTGATATTCCAGTCAGCTGCAAGATCTGGTTACACAGCGCTGTGTTCCTTAAACTCTGGTTCTTTCTGCTTAGTATTTTATGCTGAATTTCGAGGGAGAACAGTCTCAAAAGAGCTTCAAACTCGTAATCATCGTCCAAAAACCTGTCACGGCTATCGCACACCAAGATTAAGGGCTCACGGAGCGATTTTAGCGGCAACATCGACTCTAAACCTACCCAAAACTTCGAGTTTTGGATACTCAATGCTGAAGTATCGTTCGTAGAAAGGCACCTCATCTAATTTAGAGATCTTCAAGAACTACTAGCAGTGAAGGGCTCCTAATCGAAACTTACACAATTGGCATCAAAACTTGGTGTGTTGGACCCTTTTGGCGATGTCTCAGGCCGGATCCGAAGACCGGAACGAACTTTACAAGTCAGCAGTGGCTTTTCTGAACGATCCTGGCGTTTCAGATGCGCCTTTAACGAAGAAAATAGAGTTTCTGCAGAGCAAAGGGTTGACGCAGGACGAGATCGACAAGGCATTGAAAGACGCGAAGGACAAGCCTGTAGAGGAGTTCAATAATCTCAAAAAGAAGCGCGAGCTTTCCAGTGGCACTTATCAACAGTATGAAGCGGTGCCACCTCCCCTGCCGCAGCGGGACTGGAAGGACTATTTTGTAATGGCAACCGCTAGTGCTGGGCTGTGCTATGGAGTGTACCAGCTTGCTAAAAGATATGTGGTACCTAATTTGCTACCGGAGTCGCATTCAAAGCTGGAGCAGGACAAACAACAGATCATGGAGCAGTTTGACCGCATGGAACAGCTACTCGAGACCATCGAGACCGAGCATTCTGCGTCCACCAAAAGAGAAACCGACAAATTTCAAGAGCTCGATCAAGTGGTAGTAGAGCTCCAAACGGCGCTGGAGGGCACCAAAAGAGCACGTGACAAGCTGGAAGACGACGTCCGAATCATGCGACTGGAGATCGAGGGCATCCAAAAGAGCGTTGACACGTTCATTGCCGAAAACAACAGCAACCCCGCAGTTCGTAAGCTGAACGAGGAAATCTCATCGTTGAAGGCGCTGCTTCGGACCAGCGACCTGTTGAAAGCATCATCTCCTCCCTCCGAGCAGAACAAATCACCCTTGCCTGGCGCAGAGGTGATTCCATCAGCGTCGGAGATCTTGGCTAAGATGAACTTCCCCAAAAAGAGCGACGCTGACACGCCTGCGTGGAAAAAGTCGCGCGAGACTGCTGCGAACGACAAAAGCATCCCAGAGTGGCAAAAAGCGGCCGCGGAAAAGGCCCCAACGCCGATTCCCGAATGGCAGAAAGCCATGCTCAATGCTGAATCGCCAAGTCCCGAAACCGAGTCATGAGCCATGATGGCGTACTAGTATCGATAATGGTGATGTCACTGTGAACGAACATCACCAACTAGCATTTCGTAGAGTAGATTTCAACAGTGAACTATACCTTCCAGTCGACCCAGACATACAGAACGTAGAGTCTTTGCATTATAGGGCCGCTAACTTGATCGAGGCCGATAGCTGCTATAAACTATGGAAGAAAAGCGTGAGTCGGTTTTTGCATTGGCCCTCAATTGTTCCAAACGGCGCTTACCTCCTGCTCAATTCGTCAACTTCTACAATGAGCTCGTTAACGAACAGTACGGTGCAATTATAAACAATGCCGAAGACACAGAACCTGGTATTCATGTGGATGTTTATGGCGAGCTTTCGCAGTGCTTGCTGAAAATTCTGGAAGCACAATCCAACCCACTGCTAGCAGACTACGTCACCGAGGTTCTGTTCGTAAACTATAACACCGAGTTGGCACACAGAGTTTTCCCCCAATTGTACACAATTCAAGATATTTCGCATTTAGCTGTCTTATTGTCAAAGGCCAGCGCTTTTTTTCTGCATCTGAATGACAAGTTACTCATCGATCAAATATGTGGTGACCTGGGAAGCCTTATTATGCCTAGCCTTTTCGCCACTGACTTCAGCAATCAGAGTGAATTGCTTGTTGTAGCCATGGCAAAATTTATGCGCAACATTGCACATCTCTCCAGCCAAACAATTTCTATCATAGACCCTAAAGTCAAGGAAAACCTGAACGTTTTCTTAGCACGGCTATCCAAGACTAATAGACTACTTTACCGGAAAATTGTAATCGATTTTGAATCAACCATCAAAATAGATGGATCGTCCCCAATTTCTGCCCACGACCAGTCACCAAACAACTTCGCCTCACCTTCCGCCGTTTCGCCAAAATACACAGGTCTTCCGTCAGCTAGTCTGAAAGCCTCACATCCTGTGGTGACATCTAAATTCCAAGCCTCCAAACTCGTTAGGTATTGTAAAAACCTATGGCTGAATAACAGAATATTAAATTGGTTCACAAATGCCAGAGATTTCGTTTCTGACTACGGAGTCATCGAGGCTGCTGTGCTGAAGGATAGCAGAACTGCACCGGCTAATGTGGAAACTGTTATGGTCGATTTGATCGAGACTTCTTTCACATCTTTTGCCCAATTTGTTAGTAATAAACATTACCATCAACCTAACTCGGATTTCAATCTACTGGAACGAAAATGGACCATCTTCATTGCCAAACAGCTGCCGCTTTATGTTCTAGAGCACATCCCAAAAAATCCAGATCTCGTTATAACAGCAATGGAGAAGATTGATCATAAGGTTATAAAAGTTTTAAAATCGTGTGCGTCAGATAAAGACGACTCGAAGAATGGTGGTAACGATCTATTTGAGGACTTGCCTAATAAAAACATGGACATCAGACATGAATTTTTAAAAAACTTGATAATCTTAGGCTGCCAGCCAGCCTCAGTTCTCAATGACTACCTGCGAGAAGACCAGATTGTCGACACAAAGTCACTACCTTCCAATGACATTGTTGTAATAAGAAATACCCAAGGAGTGAAGGAAAGCATAAATGATTTCCCTCGGTTTATAAAAGAGAAAGTTCAAGACTTAGATTTGGAATCTATGTTTGACATGACGGAGAATCCCACGAGTAACATTGACAGCGACATAATACAGGTTTTGCGCAAGTTTGACTCATTAGCGGCAACTAGGCAAAGAGAGCTCTCTGAGGTATTTCATGAAATTTTCTGCGAATCTGCAAGAAACTTTGATTGCAAGACCTTCTCCAAAATATGCTGTTTAATGTCTTTCAACTTGTCGCATTCGCTAACAGCAATATTCGCATTTATAACGCCGGCCACTTTTCTGGCGGTAGCCACAGAGTTTGTTGATGAGACGTGGGAGAGACACATGAAGCAATTGAGTCAGAGGATGAGTGATGATTTTGAACCTAATACAGAGTTTGTCTGCTTCACATACGCAATTATCCTAATCATCAATATCACTAAGACTTTCGATGTTTCATTGGTCGAGTCGATGCCTGCGAACTCGAAGCTGTCATCAGAGTCTTTTACCGTAAAGTTTTTGTCAGATCTAGGTAACATTCCTCCTGCTTTGAAGCTCGAATCATCAAACCAATCGACAGAAGTACTAGAGAGTTGGGTGCGTGATCTTTTCATCAACGGAAGTCTATCAGATTCTCTCATGAAAAATGCTGACGCCAAGGACGTATCAAGAGTGATACCTTTTCTATTCAAACAAAGCGTGCTGAGCGTAGAAGCAGGAATCGTGCGTGATGTTTCCACCTTAACAGGGGGCTTCGAATATTTTCTACAGCCTTTCTTAATCGTGGGACTTATCGGAGTTGTCTTCTGGACCGAACAATACTTGACCGCCTTGAAAACCAAAGACGTGTCCAAAGAGTTGCTGGACCTGATTTTTGAAATGCTGAGTTCTGTTCTCAACCCATCGACTTTTAATGACGAGTCGAAGCCTCTGCATACGCTCATCTTGAGACTGAACGCAGTCCATCTTCTGAAAGCAGCTAGAGCTTTCCGGACTCAATCTAGCTCCAACTATGGCATTTACTCTTCAGACTCTGGTGGAGATCCCAAATTGGAGTCTATAATATCCCATTTGGAACTTGTATGCTCTACCGGCAATTTTTACAATGTTGATCCCACTTGTTTGGCTTCTGAAAGTCAAAACTATCCAAGAAAAGAGCTAACATGGAGTCCTTTTTCGATAACCGCGGAGAGCTCCATGAACGGAATATTGATGAACCAAATCAACTCGTTTTGGAATATGCACAGCAGCACTTACTACAATCTTGATTATCTGTTCACTTTTATCGACATTATGACGCCACTCAGGTTTTTCGAGGCTTCTCTTTTCGCTCTTCGATCCAAGGCATTTGAATCTGCAAGCTCCGATCGTCAATTGAAGGACGCTAATGGTGAAGCATCGGCTAGCTTGGATTATTTCTTTCATTTTTTGGTGACATATGATTTGAAGAAGGCTTCGTTGAAAACCGATCTACTGAATTACATGACCACATCGCAAGAAGTGGAATGCAATGTCAAAAAGTCAATACCCGAATCGAATATCAATGCTAAGATTGAACAACACTCTGACGAAGATTTCGAAATGCTTTTCGGTGAAGATACAAGCGTTCCAGGTAATGAGACTGATATCACCATCTATGACTCGAGAACGGACGAAGAAAAATCTGATTCCAAAACAAATTGTCTGCTGAAGCCTTCATTTGCGGCTGTGCTTCATAGCTTATTATCCGACAAAAGATCTTTGTTTGAAATGAAGCATGCGAGTAAAGAAGAGTTTGAGGAAACGAAGCACCTTCACGAGAAGTATGTCGAGATTTTGCGATCTGAAGCTGTATAAAATGTTGGCGATATGCTCAATTGACATCCCTCATTAAAAGTATATAACGTAAAATGACGAACTTTTGACCGGAAATGAACTTTTGACCGAAAATGAATGCAGCAGTCATCAATTGGCGCTGATTTCTTGAATTTTCTTATCCTGAGTCTTTCCTTCCATAACCACTTGCTGTACATGTTCCTTCTGCTTGGCTCTATCACGCATCCGCTCTTCAATGGTTCCCCGAATCAACAATCTGTATACTGTCACTTGTCTAGTCTGGCCAAGTCTATGCGCTCTGTCCATTGCTTGTGAGTCGATAGTTGGGTTCCAATCTGAATCATAAAAGATAACTGTATCAGCAGCTGTAAGATTGATACCTAAACCACCAGCTCTCGTGCTGAGCAAGAAAATGAAAATGTCAGGCTTCGTTTGCCAATCATGAACAAGGTCGCGACGGTCTTCCAATTTTGAAGATCCATCTAACCGAATGTGTTGGTATTGCCTGTGTGTGAGATACTCCTCCATCAAGTCCATCATCTTAGTCATTTGAAAATATATCAAAACACGGTGATCACCCTTCTTCAAATCGATTAGAAGTTCGTCTAGTTTCCTTAGTTTGGTAGAGTCCATGATGAATTTGTCCATTGACGGCATCGAAATCTCAGATGTAAAGTTCTTGTTCAAGGCCTGTGGGTAAAGCTCTGATACTGGGAAGTCTGATACCGATAAATGATGCTTTGTTAGAAGGTCACACTGAATTTCAGGAGGGACTGCACTCAACGCTTGGCTTAAGGTAGGATCAAATAGTTCGAGCTTCTTAATATGCGAAAATCGGCTAGAACCGGAGACCTCGACGTTAATAGGCGGAGCACTTGCTACTTGATGATATGCAGGTCGCCAACTGTTCATATACTCGTCCTCATAAACGCCTTGCTGAATATTGAAAAGATTTGACAAAACACCACCTACTGTATTTTTGCCTAACTCTTTGAGTGAGTCGTCACGACTCGCTAAGATGTAACTTTTCTGATCAACGACCTTGAGTTCATCGCAGTCGTAAACAGAGCTTATGCGCACTGGGCGATCATTCTCTTTCAAATTTATCGCCCTTTGAACGCAGCTCTTATTAGACCATTGATAGAATTGTCCTGACGCTTGTCCGCTCAAGCACGACAGCTTGGAGCATAAACTTCTCGAGTTGATGGGATGCAAAACATTAAATGTGTGATTGAGTAGCTTGCTCTTGTTGCTAATATCATTTTCAAACTGGGGAAGCACCAGTTCGTTCAGTATTAGACGAGGTATTTTGTAATCAATGCAATTCCTTGCCGAGTATTCGACATCAAGAAGACTGCTGTCTCTCATCAGTGATCCGCTTCTACCAAAGTCGATGAATGAAAATGGAGAACTAACATCTTCTCTTTCGAACAGATCTGGATGATTACAGACCTTTCTAAATTGCATGACAGTGTTCACGATGTTTTGGTCAGAGGATACTTCATCGTTTCCAGCCGCATTTTCTATGGCATCGTAAGCTGCAGACATTTGAGTCTTCAAAACCTGGTAAAGTTTATGCTGTCGTCTTGTTAGATCGCATAGAACGTCGATCTCAATTTTGTCGCCCAGTTCGGACTGAACGTTTTTCTTGATACGTCTAAGCATAAATGGCTTCAAGATCATGTGTAGTCGACGTAGTTGTTGTTGATTGAGTTTGGTGTTCGACTGCGCGTGTGATTCGATGTCCTTGGAGAACCAGTCGCTAAATTCGTCGTGTGAGTCGAATAAAGAAGGCATAATGAAATGAAGAAGAGCCCACAATTCTTGCATATTATTCTGAATTGGTGTACCGGTAAGCAGCAATCTGTTCCGGCAATGAAAGCTTAGCAGGTTTTTCCACCTGGACGATTGTGATGATTTAATAGCTTGAGCTTCATCTAGAATCATGTACTGCCATTTCATTTTTTGAATATATGCCGCGTCTGACACCACCATCTGATACGAAGTGATTAAAACATGAAAGGGGGCATCTTTCCCATAGCGGAATTGCTTTCTGTCCCAAAACCTTCTAAGAACTTTACGGTCGTTACCATTACCCCAGTAGGGCAGAATCTTGAATTCAGGAACGAACTTAGAGATTTCGTTAACCCAATTGTGTAAAGTGGAAGCAGGAGTCACAACAATAAAGGGACCCCAGATGTTATGATGCTCTGCTAAATGCGCTAGAACGGAAATGGATTGGACGGTTTTACCCAACCCCATCTCGTCAGCTAAGATACCGTTGATACCCTGGTCGTACAAATTGGCAAGCCAGTTGAGACCCTTCAGTTGATATTCTTTCAATGTGCATGTTAATAGTTTTGGCTGATCGATTGTGATGTCACCCAGCGAGGTAGGGTTTTGGAAATTGAGCTCGTCGTCTTCATCAGGGTTGGCGTCGAATTCCTTGGCCTTTGTCTGACTGGCAAGCAGAGCACTGGAAGCATTTTGAGCAGCTTTCAATCTTAGCATTTCATCGTCCTCGTTGTCGAAGTCAATGGAGTTGAAATCCGTTTTAGAAGCTTCGGTTGTAGAAAGATCGATGTCGTGTTTGGCGCCCTCGTGAGACGACCAAGATGAATCCGCCATGGTCCCTTCGATTTCGTCGGTTTTTATTTTGCGTCCAATAAAGTGGGAGTATAGTTCGGTTTGAGTGATCAAAAAGTTGAGCTTTCTTGCCTGCCTCTTATTTTCACGTTCTTCTTCCTCTTTCTTGGCCTGGTCCAGTGCCTCTTTCTCGGCTTTCTTCTTAAGGTCCCTTTCATCACGCTCGTTCTTCTTCCAGAAACTAGACATCTCTCTAACGCCTCTACGGGCCCTGGATTGGAAATCTTTGGCTTGACGGAAGTTACGGAGCTGCCATTTGCGAGCTTCTCGGCACACCAAGGCGCAGGTTTTCTTGAAGTTGACGTTTCTACTGGTTTGCGCTTGCTGGACCAAACGGGCCACTTTGGCAGAATCCTTTCTGGCCATATCTTTCCAAATGGTGAAGTAGGTGTTGTCGTAGTGTCTTTGAATGCCGCGAGCCTCTTTGACGGTCATTTTGAGTCCGTAAGTCGGTAGTCCCTCGATGGAGTCTGGGATAACGGCTTCTTCCGGGCTGGGTGCCGGTTTGCGTTTCTTGGTAGCCGGTTCTACGGCGCCCTCATTTTCCTCTTCTAGTGCACGCTGTTTTTCGGCTATCAGACGCTTGAGTTGCCGTACGTGGTACTGTTTGAGGGTGACTTTGACCTCTAGCTTTTCGTTTTGAATGTGTTCGACGATGGTGGAGTTGGTGAAACGGCGCTTCTTGGCTTTGACGTTTTTGTTCTTGTTGACCATGCGGGCGATCTCGCGACGAATCTTGGCACGCTCCGATGTGAGGTCTACCTTTTTGGTGCTTTTCTCGTGGGAGTCAGCTTTGTCATCGTCCAAAAAGAAGTCCTCGTCGTTGTCGTCGTCGTCTTCTGGGATGGCGACCTCGTTGAGATCGTCTAGATCAGCGTCCTCTACGTCCTCCGCGTCCTCTGGTTCGAGATCTGCTTCTTCGTCGTCACCGTTGTCCCACCGGTCTTCTGTATCTTGGACATTATCGTCGTCGTCGTCGGCTTCATCGTTGCTGTATACATGCTCGTTGGTGTTTTTATTGGTGTTGTGGTCGTCGTCGTCGTCGTCGTGATCGTCATGCGTGTGAGAATGGCCATTACCGTTAACGGCACCGTTTTCAGTTGCATGTCCGTTCCTGAGCTTGTTGTCTGCTGCTGCTGAAGCAGCAGCCGTTGTCGTATTCTTGTTGTTACCGTTGGAAAGAGTGCTGTCTTTCCCATTGCCACTGGCGTCAGCATGTGAATCGCCGTTGGCATCGTCGTTGGCGAGCCTGGCCTCGCTGTGGATCCGTTTTGCCGTAGTCTTGTCGCTCCTGGCCCTGCCGTTTGCGTTTGCAATCTTGGACGTAGTGGCCGCCACTGCAGCGTCCTTGGCCCGCAGCCGTTGCTCGTGTGCCTTTTTGTCGCGCAGATCGCGTTCTGCGATCTGGGCACGCTCTTGCTCGCGCAATTCGCGCTGTTTTCGCACCACTTCGTCTTTGTGCCGTGCGTACTCTTGGAACTGGTCCCACTCGAGCCTGGTCGAAGCCATGTTGGCCATCAGTTTTTCGCAACCGTTGGACCCCAGATCCCGCGATTGGTTGTTCCACTCTGTGATGAGCTCGAATTCCTGGTAGCTCAGCATACGCCAGTCTTGCGACCGTTGTTCGCGCAGATCGCGTGCACCTAGTTCTTGGAACTGGGCATTCAGGCTCTGCACGAACCGGGCTCGCAGGTCGCCTGTGTGCAGGTCGCCTGTGTCCTTGTTGTCGTCGTTGAGCAGTGCTGTCAACGACATTGTCTAATGCTATGTGTGATGGGTGATGCTGATGCTGATGCTATGCGTAGTGATGTGATGTGCTGCGGTACGCGATCACAACTGATCTGCTACTTTTTTGTGTCTTCAAACCAGCCAGAGACACCACTCAGTCGTTCGAAAATTTTCTTGCTCGTTGGTCAAAGCCCAAACCGTGTTCGTCCGTGGTGGGTTGATCCCAATAGCGTAGAGGTAAAAGATAACTCGTAAAGACAAATTCTCGCAAAACACACCTCAAGTTGTGCCAGAAGTTCGTGATACCAGAAAAGTTTCCCAGTTTCTAAACTCCTATTTTTTAGTATTGGACGTCGATGATAACCGTTGCAGAACACCCACGTAAAGAGAGAGGAAGAAGAGTGTGCGTGCGCGTGCAACGGCAAGAATTGTAAAACAGAGTGAGTGGGCAGAGACAGACACACGTTGGATAGAAAAAAATTTTATACAGCGAGAAGAGTGAAGAGTGTTGTTGATTAGAGGGACAGAGGAAGAGAGGGCGAGTGTGTGAACATTGTAGAGAGGGAGAGGCAAGAAGTGAGGGAAGGGTGAGGGTAGGGACAAGAAGATACGGACAAAGTGAGATGATTAATGTTACGGGGGGTGCTCTTGATTTTTGTTGTGTTTATTGTTTTTTCGGTGTTTATTAGGTTTATGGGGGTTGGGTAGCTGTGTTTGAGGGCTTTTGAGGGCTTTTTGGGGTCTTGGAGGATTGGAAAGGGGGATGGTGTTGGTGAGGCGTTCGTTGTGTGAGAGAGGGGGGTCAGAGTTTGTGAAAAGTGAAAATGGGAAACCGTTCGTGTGGGGTGAGGAATCAAACTCGACGCATAATACAACAATCGAGAGCGATAGCGATCGTTTGTGAAGAAATGGAGAGCTTGTAGTATAATTGAGAGCGGTAGCGATCAAGTAGAGAATTCGTTTGAAAAAAACTAGAGGACTCGTAGCATTATTGAACACTGAAGAGCTTCAGCGATCAATTGGGAAAAAGAATAGTCGAGATCAATTGTAAATAACAAGAGACAGCATAGTCGCTGAAGCTCTCAACTGCGAATAAGTAGAGAACTCATAGCACTTTTGAACCATTGAGGTCGTTAGTGATCAATCTTGAAAAACAAAAGACCTCGCAGTTCCTTTGAAAAATTGAGCGTCCGCAACCAATGGTAAATAACAACAGAACTCGTCGTCGCTGACGCTCTCAATTGAGAGTACGTAGAATGATTTCAAGCACTGCTCAGTAAAGAACTCGAGGTGTTACTGAACAATTAGCAGTGGGCAAGAGATGAACAAGTGAAGATCTAGTAGTATTACTGATAAGTACAAGTACAAGCTATGTGCTGTCGTGAGTACGAGTACAATTGAGAGTGTCAGGCAGTTGTGGCTACGTAATTAGCATGTTTGAGCAACTTGGAGTGTCAGCGAAAGAGGCTACAAGTATCGCTGAATATTTCAGAGCATCAGCGATGAATTTTGAACAGTCATATTGGACATGAAAACGTATTCACAGTTGTGTCCGGTTGTGATGAGTAGAAAACTTGTCGTACTATTGAACTTAAGAGCATCAGCAATTATTTCTGAACGATGTACAAGAAGTGTCACTGAACAATTGAAAGCGTCAGCAGGGAAATCTGAAAAACCTAACGATTGGGTGCGACATCGGTGACGCTTATAGCCATAAAGCGTCACCGGCCAGTAGAAGCACCGGCGATCGTTCGTGAAAGAGTGCAGAAATCCGCTTCTGAACAATTGAGAACTGAGCTTTTCAGCCCTTTATATGTCTACGAGCATCAAATTGTAGTAACTCGGTAACTTCAAGAGATTTACACAATGAAGAGCGTTAGCGCTATTTTTGCAAATGAGACGGCAAAAGATGGTTTCGAGTACATAAACGCTTTACCATGAACAATTGAAAGTGTCAGCGATCGATTGTAAATTACTAAGGCACTAGTATCATTGAAGAACCGAGACCGAGCAAGCTTTATTATCACTTAACGATTCATGGCGCTAAAAGGGAATTCCAAGAACTACTCAGTAGTTGAGAGCGTCAGAAACTGGCCATAAAACAGCGGGAAACCAGCCTTTTAAAGCTATGGCTAAACCTGCTCGGTAATCTGTCATCTAGTCACGTGACTAAAGCCCCAAACTACAAAGCTTATGCCTCACACGTATTTCTACCGATCTGATGATGAAGCTCCTCAAACAGTCAGTTCTTTACACGACTGTTATCGAACCAGGCTTGTCGGGCTCAATGAGCCTATGAACTCCTCAGAAGTTACCCAATCATCACGTGATGTGTATGTCGAACGATACCTCAGCCAGTCCACCTTGCCGCTTCAAATCAGCACTTGCAGTGTGACCTGAAGGTTGTCTTCATTTATCTACCATATCGCTGCCTTAAGCTGATTCGATAAAATCATTAAGTATAAATCTCATTCTAAAATTCGATTTCGCTTCGAAATCTATAAATTAATTGTCATATTCATAAATGTAAATGAAATGACACATTATGTGCACCAGTTATTCACGCACGAAGCCTGGCTTCAGTCCACCCTCAATTGCCACGTTTTACCCACTTTACCGCCACTGCTATGGGACCCCGGCGTGTCTTCTAATACTGCTCTCGAGTCGACTACAAAACTCTTACAACATTATTTTCAAGTTACCGGCTCTGAACGGTCGACGATTACTGTTTTATTTTACGTTATTAAAACACTAACATCTAAACTTCATTTATCATTAGTATGTATGTAAACCTGTTCAATTTAATAAAATATCAATTACCAGAATTGATGCACAAACTTCCTGATCATTATCGTTAATTGATTCCTTTTTCTAGGACTTCGAAGTGAACCGCTTCACAATTCTCTTCATGCTTGCGATATTTTCCCCCACGAGAACGCGAGTTGGTTTTGAGAAAATATCATCAATTTCTTCCAAAGTCTTATTCTTGGTTTCTGGCATGAACAACAATTGGTAAGGAAGACCAATGACGATGGCAATACCTCCGTAAAATCCCAACGTCAAACCCGTGTAAGTCATGGCCTTTTGCATGCGGTCAAAGTTGTATGTAACAGTGAAACTCCAGAGGTACAACGTTGTTGAGCACACTGTCATACCCACAGATCTAGTCGCCAGCGAAAATGATTCAGATGGCAAAACCCATGTCAAAGCAGAGTAAGAACCAAACGCCATGTTATACAAGATTTGACCCGTCAAATAAACACCTTCGGCTGCTTTCAAATTGGTCTCGAGATTGATCTTGTACCCAACCCCGACTAAGACTAGACCCACTGCAAATAAGATCAAGTTCATCGACCACACACGTCTTCCAAAACGATCCATCCACAAAATTGCTGGGATAGTTCCGATCAACAGAGCTGCACCACCAACCATGGACATTGCCACCGATCTCTTATTGTCAAATCCAATGTTATGCATCAAGGTGGACATGTAATACATAATGGCATTAATACCTGTCAATTGACCCAAAGCAACCATCATAACCGCATACACGAGAGCACGACGGTTCCGGGGGATGCGGACCAAGTCAAACCAGTTTTGGAAACGAGATTCATTACGGCGAAGCTCTTCGTCTTGTTGAGCAGCTTGGCGTGTCTCCAAAAATTCCACTTTGTTGGAATCCACGGACACGTCTCTAAGACGTTTCCAAACATTCCAAGCTTCACCAACGCGACCTTTGTGAACCAACCAACGTGGAGATTCAGGCAAGAAGAATAAGCCGACAAACAAAGCGGTGGAGAAAACCAGAGAAGATCCAACCATGAACCGCCATCCTCCATGTACGTCGAAGAAAATGACACCGATAATATAGCCAAACAGTTCACCAAGGGCAATGTTGAATTGGTACATGGATACGAGATTTCCCCGAACATTGGAAGGTACGGACTCGGAGATGTAGATACCCACGCAACCACCTTCGATACCGACTCCGACCCCGAGAATAAAACGACCTGCGTACATAATGTGGTGGTTGGTGGCAGCTGCGCACAGAATGGCGCCGACGGTATACCAAATGCACGAGATGACAATGGACGATTTCCGGCCGAACAATTCGTTGAGCGGAGACATGAGGATGGAGCCGGCCATGGCGCCCAGGGGCATCAGACTCGAGACCAGCGAGGCCTCGTGCGAAGTCAGTTTCAGCATGTCGTTCATTCCGATCGAGGCGCCCGAGATGATGGACTGGTCGATACCGGACAAGATGCCTGCTGCGGACGCGAACACGCCGAGCATGTACACCATGTAGCGCTTGTCTTGGAAATCGACGCCGAGGTCGAGCGAGCACACGCGTTGCCACAGGGAGCGTTCGTGCTTGAAAGTCTCGCCGAGTTGGTCGAGCTGGGCGATTTCGTCGTCGAGCGCGAGTTTGTCCTCGAGCAGCGCGTGCGTGCGAGGGCCTTCGAGATCGAGGTCATATTTGGGCTGACCGGGGTCTTCGAAGACGTCTTCTTTATGGAAAATGGCGGGTTTTACTTCGTCTTTGGAAAAGTTCACCGTGTTGAGTTCGATGCTCTGGGAGTGGGACGACGAGCTCATAATTTGTGTTGGGGGAAAAGTAATGAATGATAGATATAATAAGCAACCTGGAAGCTTAACTTAACTTGGTGTTTGTTTGACTTAGTGATATGCTTTGATGTCGACTTCTTGGCAACTTCTTGATAACGTTTTGTCAACTTCTTCTCACACGTCCTGTTCCACTTGGTGTCAAACTAAAAAATCCAAAACCTAAAACAACTTCCCAAAACAACTTCCCAAAACCACAGACCAGAACACCGCCTTTTATACAATTTTTCTGGGATCGATCCGTTTTTGCCAAGGGTGGTCGTGATGGTGGTGTTACGTATGAAATTCTCGGAGGAGGGGGAACTAACCCGCCGAGGATGCTGACCCTTCAGAAATAGCCGCAGACTGGAAAAAATCTAGATCTTCCGGAGCCCCGCCTTTTCACATCAAGTATCTCGTAGCAACGCCCGGGAATTTGATGCGCGTGGGTCTGGCGAGTTTTTCCCTTGTTAGGCTTGCGCCCAGAACAAGCTGCAGGACCGGCGCAAACTCTCGCAAAAATCGTAATTGAAAAAGATCCGGGGAAAACGGGCGCGCCACGCCCGGATAATCTAGCGATGCAAGAATCTACAAGCCAAGAATGCCTAGAATGCCAAGCAGGCAGTTGGGAGAGAGGGAACAAAGTTTTTCCGGGGACAAAAAGAGACAGGAGCGAAACTGTTGAGATGACGTCTGGTGAGCGAAAGAATCCAGTGGTTTGGGAAGAGAGTGTGGGAAGAGAGTGTGTGAGAAGAGTGTGAGAAGAGAGTCTGTTTACAAAGGATTAATGAGAACTACGTTGTGTAAAAGTCGGTGTTGTGGGGGGTCGAGTCCCCAGTGACCAACACGACAGTTTTGTTGAGTGGCAAGAAACATTCAAAAGATGTACGTTTCGCTGGTTGAAAGCTACTCCAAGGGTTTATCGGTGGTGTTGGCAGGGTCTTGCCCGATAAACCAGGTGGCGCGATACGACCGGTTAAAAAGTACTTGTGGGAAGTACTCGTTGGAAGTACTCGTTGGAAGTACTCGTGGAAAGTACTCGGGCTTGCAGTTTCCGCGCGCGCTTGTATTCCCGCGCTCAACGGTTCTTGAGCTGTGCTGTGCTAATCTATGTGCGATCGGATGACGTTCTCGGTCCAACGAAAACATAGAGACTCGAAGAACGATAGAACAATTGAGAGCGTCAGCATTGGTACAAGCACCGTTGAAGAGAGGGCTACAAGCACTATTTAGCAATTGATTTTCTGACGCTTAAGAGCGTTGGCGGTCGATAGTGAATAAGTAGAGACTCGAAGCATTGTTCGACTGAGAACGTCAGCATTGGTACAAGCACCGTTGAGGAGAGGGCTACAAGCACTATTTAGCAATTGATTTTCTGACGCTTAAGAGCGTCAGCGATCGACTCGTAGTATTTGTAAACAATTAAGAACGTCAGCACATTTTGGTGTCTCTGATACTCACCGCAGCTCTCTTGTAGCCTTACTAGACTCCAAACTCCCTACAAATTCAAATTAAGGCTAGTGCTCTTGATTGCACAATAGAATCGAGAGGGCTCTACTGATTCACAACTGATCGCTGCTTGTAGTCCTCTTCTAGTTTACAATTGTGCTTCCATCCACTCTGTCATCGCATTTTGTGATGACCGACGCAAAACACCCATTCACGCGAGTGTTGTGAGTGTGGGAGCACTGGGCTAGAGCAGGTTGCGAGCCAGTATGGTCACAATCGCTGATGCCGTCGTGGGTATAGCGAATTCAGTGACGCTCTCGGTTGTGGGATGCTTTTACCCATGTTGAGCAGTGTAGTCATTTGGAATAGTGCTTTTCGAGCTTGGTTCTTGCTCGCAATTGTATAGTGATTGAAAAACCCTCTTCACCGTTGATTGCTAACACTCAGAAGTGGTTCACGCACCTGGATCAGTCGTCGACACTACATTGTGGTCATCGCTGACGCTAGGGCTGCTGCCAACCTTGATCGATCGCCAGTACTCTAGATTGTTCATATCCATCGCTGACGGTCTCAACTGTAGTGCTTGTAGCACTCTCCATTAACGCTCCCAATTGTATAGTACTCGTAGTCCTCTCTCTATTCACAACTCATCGCCCACACTCTCAATAGTATAGTGTTTGTAGCACCCTTCGCTGACGCTCAATTGTTCAATACTACTACGAATTATCTACTTCTTCACAATCGATCGCTGTCGGTCTCAACTGTAGTGCTTGTAGCACTCTCCATTAACGCTCCCAATTGTATAGTACTCGTAGTCCTCTCTCTATTCACAACTCATCGCCCACACTCTCAATAGTATAGTGTTTGTAGCACCCTTCGCTGACGCTCAATTGTTCAATACTACAACGAATTATCTACTTCTTCACAATCGATCGCTGTCGGTCTCAACTGTATAGTGCTCGTAGCACCCTTCGCTGACGCTCTCAATAGTTCATCCATGCTTGTAGCCATCTCGATTATTCACAATTGATCGCTGTCGCTCTCAATTGCTCAAAAGTACTCGTATCCGTACTCGTATCCGTACTCGTACTCGTACTCGTACTCGTCGCTTCCAAGGGGAAAATTTTTTTGTTGGATTCCTAAGGTCTCTCTGTACGAGGCGCCTGCCCTTCCAAGCGCTGTGCGTTTGTCACGAAATCTAACATAAATGCACACACAACTTGACAACTACCAACCCTATTCTATCACTTACTCACATCCCATCCTTGAAAGACCCATTCAATCTTGCTTGGCCCCACAATTACCAGTTGACTCGCAGTGCCAAACTTCAACAGCTCAATTTGTACCTACCTCATCCGTCAACTCCGTCGAAAAAAAACTAGCCTTTTATCAGGTCTGTAACGTTCACAGGGCACAAAACACTTGTACGGTCAAAAACGCAAGCGAAATCGTCGATTCCGTCAGAAACATAACCATATAAGAGCGGCAAAGTTGTTTATACGCTACCCATAACTCGCAATCAAACATATCTATTCCCACACACACACACACACACACACACACACACACACACACACATACAATGCCAAATCACACCGTTGTGCACGAAGCACAGAATGTCAAACCTCGTGAACCCCCTCACCACTTCTTCAAATCGCAACCTCGCCAGGGTCACGTCACAGACATGGACCAGTACCGCGAAATGTACCAGCAGTCCATTGAGGACCCAGCAGGCTTTTTCGGCCCCATGGCTCGCGAACATCTCCACTGGGACCGTCCCTTCACGCAAGTGCGTGCCGGTTCCCTGCAACACGGCGACGCAGCGTGGTTTCTAAACGGTGAATTGAACGCGGCCTACAACTGTGTCGACAGACACGCGTTTGCCAACCCATCCAAGCCTGCGTTGATCTACGAGGCCGACGACGAAAGCGAAAACCGCGTCATCACGTTTGGAGAACTGCTACGTCAAGTCTCCGAGGTGGCCGGCGTGCTCAAGAGCTGGGGCGTCAAGAAGGGCGACACCGTCGCCGTGTACTTGCCCATGATCGCAGAGGCCGTGGTGGCGATGCTGGCCGTGGCCAGACTCGGTGCCATCCACTCGGTCATTTTCGCCGGTTTCTCCGCAGGCTCTTTGAAAGAGCGTGTGGTCGACGCCGGCTGCAAAGTCGTGATTACCTGCGACGAGGGCCGTAGAGGCGGCAAGACCGTCCACACCAAGAAAATCGTCGACGAAGGTTTGGCCGGCGTCGATCTCGTTGCCAAGATCCTGGTTTTCCAAAGAACTGGCTCCGCAGGCATCCCCATGAAGCCCGGTCGCGATTTTTGGTGGCACGAGGAAACCGCCAAACACGGCGGTTACTTGCCCCCCACCCCTGTCAACTCCGAGGATCCTTTGTTCCTGCTGTACACTTCAGGTTCCACCGGGTCCCCCAAGGGTGTGGTTCACACCACTGCAGGTTATCTACTAGGTGCGGCTTTGACCACCAAATACGTGTTTGACATCCATCCAGAAGACGTGCTGTTCACTGCAGGTGATGTTGGTTGGATCACCGGCCATACCTACGCACTTTACGGACCTTTGGCACTCGGTACTGCCACCATCATTTTCGAGTCCACCCCGGCGTACCCAGACTACGGTAGATACTGGAGAATCATTGAGCGTCACAAGGCTACGCATTTCTATGTGGCTCCAACTGCTTTGAGACTAATCAAGCGTGTTGGCGAATCTGAAATTGCCAAGTACGACACTTCGTCTCTAAGAGTGCTTGGTTCCGTGGGTGAACCAATCTCTCCAGACCTATGGGAATGGTATCACGACAAAGTCGGTAACAAGAACTGTGTTATTTGCGACACCATGTGGCAGACTGAGTCCGGTTCTCACCTGATTGCACCTCTAGCGGGTGCCGTGCACACCAAACCTGGTTCTGCCACAGTCCCATTCTTTGGAGTCAATGCCTGTTTGATTGACCCAGTTTCGGGTGAAGAATTGAAAGGCAACGACGTTGAAGGTGTCCTAGCCGTCAAGGACTCTTGGCCATCCATGGCCAGATCCGTATGGAACAATCACGCTCGTTACATCGAGACCTACTTGAAACCTTACCCTGGGTTTTACTTCACCGGTGACGGTGCTGGCAGAGACCACGATGGCTACTACTGGATCAGAGGCAGAGTTGACGATGTCGTTAACGTTTCCGGTCACAGACTTTCCACTGCAGAGATCGAGGCTGCTTTGGTAGAACACGACGGCGTATCCGAATCCGCTGTCGTTGGTATCACCGACGAGTTGACTGGTCAAGCTGTTATTGCGTTTGTGTCTTTGAAAGACGGCTATTTGCAAGAAAATGCATCAGCCGGTGATGTGGCCCATATTACTCCAGACAATTTACGTCGTGAATTGATCCTACAAGTTAGAGGCGAGATCGGACCCTTTGCGGCTCCTAAATCGGTCGTTGTCGTCAACGATTTGCCAAAAACCAGATCCGGTAAAATCATGAGAAGAGTCTTGAGAAAAGTGGCCTCCAATGAAGCCGACCAACTTGGCGATATGTCTACTTTGGCCAATGCTGATTGCGTTCCTTCCATCATTTCTGCCGTGGAGAACCAGTTTTTGGCTCAAAAGAAGAAATAGATAATAATCGTTGGAATGAAAATGAGCCCAGCGCCAAGATAAATCCTATAAATTCATACATAAACAAAAAATGTAATGGTCTTAACTCGCATGTTTCCCGTATCGAGATTTCTAGCGGCTCAATTGAGTCTCCACCGCTTATTTGTATGAGAATCTCTACCATCTAAACCCCAGATTCTTATTTTTATTGGAGACAAAACTTCAAGTTCTTTAAGTCACCTAACCTCATCCAAAACTGACTTTGTTCAAAACTGCAAAGACTGACAAGAAGGCATTCTACGAGAAGCGTATGTCAGTGCTCAGGTGGAATAGTAGACCCTAGACCCTGTTACGATAAATAGAAGTGGAATTTCGTTAACTTTTTTGCATAAGATACGCAATCAACTCACATATATATGGTCAAGGGCATTTGAATCTCAAGAACTTACTGCCAAAGACACAGTCTGGAATATTTTGACCAACATTTGATCTGCTAAAGACTTTTGATCATGAGCATAGGACTTGGTGAGGCTATTTACGCGGCAGTCAAGCCGGTCTTGAAAATTTATGTGATCATCTTCGTCGGGTTCCTGCTGGCCAAGTATAACCTGGCCACGGTGGAAACCAGTCGAGGTATTTCGAACATTGTCGTGAACGCCCTTTTGCCATGTTTGACCTTCAACAAAATTGTTTCCAACATCTCAGCCAAAGATATAAAAGAAGTGGGCGTCTTAGTGATCACCGCGCTACTGATATTTGTCACTGGCGGAGCCTGTGCATTCATCACAAAGTGGGCAACCAAATCGCCCCGACAGTGGTATTGGGGTCTACTTTTCGCCGGCGTTTTCCCCAACATCTCAGATTTGCCTATCGCATATGTTCAGAGCATGAGCAATGGCTCTGTTTTCACTTCTGCACAGGTTGACCGCGGCGTGGCCTACTGCTGTATATTTCTCTGCACTCAGAGCTTCTTGATGATGAATTTTGGGCTATTCAGATTAGTGGGACTCGATTTTAGGGAACCTGAGAAAGACCCAGAGCATGGTTTGGACAGTGAGAGCTCGAACAGCGCTTCAAACCCGGAATTAGAGCTCAAGTCAGATTCAAAAACCATTGCGGTGCCCAGGGCGACCCATCAGAGCTGGCTCTCTGATCGCATGAAATCGAACCATCATAGAAGCGTCCAGACGGAGTATTCGAACACTGAAGCTCGGCATTCAAATAGTAATTGTAGCGAGGCAGAAGAAACTTGCTCTCTGGGTGCTCCATCTGATGCAATAGAAAGTCTGAGCTCTGATTCGAATTATACCACATATAGTAACTTGCCTCACAATTCCCGCCGGGCGTCTTCCTCTTCGCGAAGTAAAGCTCCAGTGACCACACCTATTCCACTACCACGATCCCTGCATAAAACGAAATCTGGTAATTCAATGTTCAGCGCCGGCTCAGCCAGCTCAAGGAGCAGAAAGAGTGGAAAAGGAAGACGCTCGTCGCAGACAATGCAGGATGTAATCAACGAGTACAGCGCTGCAAACAGAATTAAGAGCGGCGAAATGGACCTTACAAGACCGCTGTCGCTGACGCAAGAAGTGGGCGAAGCGAACGCTTTTTCTGGAAACAACAGCGACAGTGACGGTGACAGTGAAAACTCTGGGCTTGATTACGAATCAACACACGGATCTCACCGTAATGACACGCCCACCAAAAAGTTATCTAGGCACACTTCAGCAAGCTCCAAGACCGAAAAGACCTCCAAAATTACCAGATTTGTCCAAAAGTACAAACTAGGATGGCTGGTATACATTCTGGTCAATTTCTGTCGACCTGCGTCGCTGGGAGCCCTACTGGGTATCATGTGTTCCATGATACCATGGGTCAAGGCGTTATTTGTACACACATACGTGCATGTCCACCAGGCTCCTGACGGCCAGCCTGTGCTCAATTTTCTGATGGATTTTACGGGCTACATCGGTAACGCATGTGTGCCGCTCGGACTACTACTACTAGGAGGCACTCTGGCACGACTAGAAATCAAGAGCCTACCGCCTGGATTCTGGAAAACTACTGTGATGATGACAGTTTTCCGTCTGGCAGTTCTTCCCATTATTGGCACAGCATGGGCTAATAAATTGTATGATATAAAATGGATTGAAAACGATGTTGCGAAGTTCGTTGTCATTCTTACGTGGGCTATGCCAAGCGCCACGGCTCAAGTTTATTTCACGGCATTCTACACACCTCTGGAGGGAAGTCATGTCCAAATGGACTGTTTGTCGGTGTTCTTTCTGAGCCAGTACGCCGTACTATTTATCACGCTGTCGGTAGTAGTGAGCTACGCCCTGAAAGCCGATCTTAAAGTCTGAACTTTGGTGATGTCAGTGGTCTATATATTTCATGATATGTTTAACGACGTAATAATATTATTAGCTTGAGGATCGAACCTTCTACATCAAAGATGGAGTTTCTGACGTTTGCAAAAGGCTCAAGATAGAAGAACTTAGTCTCGTCCCATATAAATGCTGGACAATGCTCACTTACTAACAAACCTTAGAAGATTTTCGTTACAGCAGACACTACCGGTGTCAAGTACTTGGCCAGTGAACCGGAGAAGTGCCGTTTTAGTCCTGCTTTTCGTTGGCAAATATGGCGAGCTAAGGGTGTTGCTCACTAAGAGATGCCGGAGTCTTAGAAGCTTCTCAGGCCATGTATCACTTCCTGGTGGAAAAGCAGATTCAGCTACAGAATCGCCATCGATGGTGGCGAGACGGGAAGCAGAAGAGGAAATCGGGCTTCCTCGAGACGAAGAGGTCCTGCTACGAGATTTTAGAATGAACATCGAAAGGATTACGGACAACATTCCGCATTTCTTGTCGCGAACGTTTTTGAGCGTAAAACCAGTTGTTTCCTTCCTGTACAATTCGGAAACTCCGTTGGAAAAGCGTTACAACTTACCACTCGATGGGACCCGGTTTTTCGGGAAGCTCAACCCTGGAGAGACCACTTCCCTATTTTCTGTTCCTCTCGCGGATTTGACAGCCTATAGACACACGGACACCACTTATCAACACGAATATTTGAGTCGAAAGCTGTACAAAGCGAGATGGGGCGACCTGAAGTGGTGTTTACAGCACTATTATTACCCTAACGATAATGTGAAAGACACAAGATGGCTCAACGACATAATTGACACGAGCTCTGGAGATGAGGAAATGGAAGGTGTGCCTTGTAAGGACGTGTGGGGACTCACTGCCAAAATTCTACAGGAAATCAGCGACATTGCTCACGGCGACATCGCTGCTGGCAAGGCCGTGGGTCATGAAGATCTTATATACATGCTCCACAAATTTGGCGGGCAATTGAAAGATCGTGAAAGGTCCAAGTGGGAAAATGACATGATTCACAATAAGTCCGGGGTCTGCTACAGTGATGTTATACCTGACGAGCATATGGAGCAATTGTTGTCCAGCGAGTTTTGAGAATTGGAGGTTTCCATTCCATCTAATTACGGATCTTCAAGATGGACGTGCTACTGGGTTACGACGAGAAAGTCGGCAATGAGTGCGAGATGCGAGCCGCTACGGCCTTCGATAAAAGGGCAATTGTTAATAAACATTCTTTTTAGTAAAAACGAATTAGATGTTACAAACACAGCTTTCCTAAAATAGAAGGTAGACATGCGAATGCGTGTATTGTCGTAGTGCTAGGAATTACGAGCTGCACCTCCGGAGAGCCTATTTCAGACCGGGTCTTCCATTTTCAAAGACGTCTCGTCAAAACGTTCTTGAGAACTGCAACTTAGGCCAAAGAAGGGAAGTTCTTGGCGTTAACAGCTGGCTTTTGTTCGCCGGCGGCCTTGGCTGGCTTTGACTTGCCACCACGTCTTGGACCACCCTTGTTGTTATCGAACTTTCTTGGCTTGGCAGAGGATTGGCTGTCGGAGAAGTTGACGTCGAAGTCTAGGTACTGCTTGGACTTCAATTGCTTGGACTTCAAGCTCTTGACCTTGGTTGGCTCGGCGTAGACTTCCTCCTTCTTGACCAACAATTCAGCGTCTTCAAGTTGGTCGACGGACTTCTTGGCAGCTGGGGCCTTGTTTAGACCGGAGCTGTTGACCTCGTCCAAGTAGTCTTGCAAAGACTTCTTGTTGGAGGCTGGGGTCTCCTCCTCGGCCTTGTCGGCCTCAATCTCAGCCTGGGCGTCAATCTCGGCGGCGGCTTCTTCAGTCACCTCCTTCTTGTTGTCACCCCAGCCTTGTCTGACTCTCTTTTCGGTGTCGACCTTACCGGATCTGTTTTGACGGTCAGAGGATCTTCTGGCAGCGTGAGTGGTTCTCTTGGCACCAGTGGTCTCAGCAGGGGCCTCTCTGGATCTGTTGTTCTTTCTGCCACCGTTCTTGTCCTTGAAAGCAGCCTCGTTACCGGTTGGCTTAGGTCTGTTCTTGTTGGCTCTGGATGGGTCAGCAGATGGAGGAGGCACGTCAGCCTTCTTGGAGGAAGTGGTGTTTCTGACGATTTCCTTTGGAGGAAGAGGAGCCACCACGTTGGCGTCCTCGACGTCGTTGCCTAGCAAGTCGAATGGGTTCTGTAGGAGAACGCGTGTCAAGTTAGTAAAGAGGGTTCGAGTGTGCTAGTGAGCATTTGGAGATAAGAGCGAGACATAAGAACTCCCAAACGAGAGCGACGCAATTGGAGATAAGAGCGAGACATAAGAACTCCCAAAAGAGAGCGACGCAATTGGTGCTTGATTGTTTCCCCTATGTTTGGCCCAGTTCGTTTGCTCTGGATCGCTTTGTTAAGCGTAGGGGCCCGGACAAGCTCTGCGGTGCCAAGATTGGCGCGTCCAGCGCCTTTCCACTGCAATTTCAAAACACAATTCGAATACGTACAGACATAATCTATTGATTCCTGATCAATATACTCAACTCAAGCGTAAATGAACCGATCTTTCAGAACCAAAAGCTGACTTTACTATAGTAAGGTTCTGTAGATGAGCTAGTTTTTGCCATAATTTCGTTATACCATCCGTCACAGGGTGAAAAATTGTTCTTTGCAGGCCGCAGGGGGCAGGTCTGTCTGTTTTTTTTGCGTGGCAGGGTGCGCAGAAACTGGTCTGCCCAGCGCAAAACAAGGTCCAGTTAGGGAAGAGGTAAAAAAGCTTCTTCCAGGGTTCGAGCACAGGATTTACAAACATATCATCATGTACGTATGTCGCTGTCGGGGTCGGACAATCCTGGAAGCTGGACACGATCTGGAAACAAGTAAAGTTGGAAACGTATGGGAAACAAATGGGAAACAGCAGGAAATTTGCACGTTTTTGCAACGGCGAACGGGAAACCTCGGAAGCTGGAAACAAAAGGGAAACAAACTGGAAACAACTCAAAATGTGTCTTCCAAAATACGCTAAACTAGCGTTCAACTCCGCGTAGAATTCACACTTCGTAATCTACGCAACTAAGACTAGTTTTTGATCGTCTTTACGCGTTTTATGGTCCAAGACTGTTCCTCTCAACGGTTTCATCGGATTTCTCGCCTCACTTTGTCGCACAATGTGATAAAAATGGTATTTATTAGCCCTGTGTGTGTATGAGTAAAGTTGATGTAATATCAAATGCGTAACGAAACTGTCAAAAAACTCTCGACTTCTACAACGCATTACAGACACACAAAGGCGTTTGCAGGCCCCGAGAACGCCTCAAAGACGCCTATCAAACGCGTTAGAATATTGCTACTTTCCCTGAACTAATACCGTCCCTTCCTCCAAAAATGGCGGGGCAAGAATACAAAATCGACCTTTGTTCCGTTGGTTTCCCCGAGAACGATGTCGAAGAGGAGCATAAGACTCTGTTAGCAGCCGCAACAAGCGGCAATGGCACGACGAGTACGCAGGGAGTGTCACCTGCGAAGCTCTCGCAGCTGTTGCTGTCAGAGGGTCCTCTGGCGATCAGATTTATCACTAAGGCTCTTTGCAAACAGATTCCGGGGTTTGCAGAACTCTCAGCATCCAAACAAAGACGATTGATCATGGCAGCACTCGAAACAGGCGACAGGGCCAGCTGCGTGGTATTCACTAAGATCGGATGGGGTCATTGGTCCGCTACGAAGGTCGAAGACCCAGCCAACTTCGATAAAGAACGCGAAGCCACCAACATCGCCAACAGCAAGGTCAAAGACATGGTTTCGCAAGAACGGCGCAGAAGTAGCACCGTTTCGCAGGCTAAGAAGGCCACGGTAGGCCTTAAACGCGAAGTGGAGCTGCGTGGCGGCGGCAGCGGCAGCGGCACTGGCGCTGGCAGTGGTGCCGTCTTCTTGGACGAAAACGCACTCGCGTCCGAGGACGAAGAATACGAAGACAATGCGGGAGCCTTGGCGGGCAGACCTGACGAACTTTACGACGACAATGATTTCCACGACCACGGTCACTTCAACACGGTGAACTACGATTTTTTCAAACGACGCAAATCCAGCGTGGTGTACGCAGACAGCTCGCCCGCGGACGACTCAGAACACGAAGCGCCGGCCGGGCCGCACTCAGGTCAAAGACCACCACTGAAAAATAACCGACGCTCGTCGACGTCCAAAAAACGATCGCCGTCCGTGGGCAAACGCAGCTCCTTCCGGAGCTCCAACGCCAGCCTCGAGGCTATCACACGGCGACTTTCGTCGCCAGCCCACGTGATCGACCAGCAGACCACCAAAATATCTGGAACGGCGCCCACGAAGGACCCAGAGGTCGCTGCCGTTCCCACTCGCGGACGGGAACCTCGCTTGTCGTTTTCCAAAGAGTCTGGTCTTCGATCTACGCTGTTATCGCACGCCAGCTACCGATCGAGTCCCGTGCACCGTGCGTTTGACTCGCCGCTACATAAAGATGTGGCCTACCGGCTGAACAGCCCGTCTTCAGATACCAATGCACTGGCCAGTTTCAACGGCGAAGACGATGGTGCTGCGATTGAAGAAGACGAGGATTTGGACCGTTCCGACACGGACGAGGAAGACTGGAAACACATTGGCGCAGAGTCGCTGAGAAACAGTCGGGCTCCATCGCAGATACGGTCGCCACCACAGCTACTTTCACCACACTCTCCAGCCGCAGGCCGGCCTGCCATGGAGCGCCAGCCCTCACATCTGTCGTTGAGCCCGCCCGCGCTGCTGGACAGTCCGGACGCAGTACCAAAGTCCCGAACCAAGACGATATTGAAACCAGAGCCACAAGCTGAAACTCAAGACGCTGCGATCTTGCTGATGAGTCTGAAGTCGTGAATGGAGGTGCACTGACGCTGGCAGCTAGGAACAACTACGTTTCCGACACGCGATCAAGCCTTCACTCAATCACGTGACGCCAAAATGTCGTATGAAGTCACTAAAAAGGAGCCAAACGTCATTATTAGATGACATAAGTTATGTCATGAAAGTAATTTGAATCACACCAGAACACCCCTTTAATCATTTCCACCGCCAACAAAGAGCGACTAGACTCGCTATTTAAGAGCTTGCTGGATATCATCGAGTAGCCCTGTCTGTTAGCTTTTAGAGCAATTAATTGTATTTGTTCGAGCTGCCTGGTTTCCGGCTGAAATTCGACACTAGCTGAAATTCACAGCTTGGCCGAAATCGTTTCTTTGACGTTTCAATAACGGGCTATTGCTGATTTCTCTCGTGAGAATAAACCATATACTACTGGGCGTGTGAAAGAATCTATCACTGCCACGAATTTGCACCGGACTTAGTCTCTGCGGTTGGGAAGTTAACCAATAATAATCAATTAATCAATTGATTGACTGATTTCGAAGCAAAGCACCGACTCTGCAGTTTGGTTTATCCAAGTATTTGACCTGAGGTGATACTCAAATAGTAAGAGGTGTTTGATACTATTAGAGAGTCTCGTTGTCTCACAGCGTTGAACAAAGAAAGGTTCGATCAGCCAGTCCTTGTAAGAAGCCTCTTGAGTCTCAAGGCTTAAATAAAGCAGGCGTTCGATTCTGACAGGTACCAAACTTTTGAAAACCAATTTTTCGATCCCTTTACTGAGAAATGACCATCCAAGAGGATCTCTCGAGCCTCGGTTTGGCTAATGAAAGCCGTTGGGGCTCCAGCAAAGTGTTCCAAAATTATCTGATGCCCTCTCTCAAGCTTTATGACACGCGCGTCTCTATCAACCACTGGCAACTGCGGGACTGTGTGAAGCACTCATCTAGCGAGCCCGGAAAAATCTACTACATCTACGATTATTCCATCCGTGTTCTTGACACAAGAGCCAATAGCTCCGGAACAAAGCTGCGATCCAACAGAGTCGCCATTCGCGACCGAAAAAGACGGAGTTCGTCACCCAAGCGGCCCGCCAAGGGCCAGATGCGTTCGCCATCTAAACAGCTCATCGAGTTTGATTTCAAATCTCGCTGCTTTCAAGAACGAAACGGATTGTTGGTGTCTGGTGGTCTTATGGGTCCCGACGACACCGGGAACTGGAACCAGGTTTTTAGACACACGTTATCGACTCCTAGCAGAAATACAGCTACAACCGACAGCTGTCGCAACTCAATCCAACCTATCAAAATCTCGAGCAGTTCGGTTCTCTCCGATCCCAACTCTTATAGTAATTGTGACAGCTGGAAGGGTGTCTTGTCCCTTTACAACGAAGAGAGTGATACTTGCTTCACTTACCGTCTTGGCCAATACATTAACAACTGTGTTCTTCTACATCCCAAAACCACTCAGCAATACGACCTGTTTGCGTGTAACAATGATGCTCATCTATATCAGTGCGATGTCAGCAACAGAGGCATCGAATTAACCAAAAGATACTCGGACTTGAAGTTTTCACTCAATAACGCGGCTTTGTCTCACGATGGAAAGACCCTTATTACTTCTGGCGATTCCAGCAAATTTGCCATCTACCATCAAAACGAAATGACTAGTTTCTTTTCTCTAAGGTACGATAGTCAGCCACAATGGGGAAGCTCTTTCATCAGAAACAAGCGCATCCCTCGCTACGCAATGCCCGATAGATCTGGCTTTGTGGATAATATTTATGAGGTCCCCGGTGGAGATCATGGATTTTATAGCAGCTTCAGCGAAAACGATATGCTGTTTGCGACAGTTTTCCAAAATGGTACGTGCTGGGTTTACGATGCTAGAAAAATGGAGTCTCCGATAGCTGAGATCAATTCAACGCGCAAGTATACCCAGAACGGGGCGTTTCGCGTTTGCAAGTTCAGCGAGGGTATGGACGACCTTCTTTTTGTTTCTGAACATCATGGCAGGGTACATGTTGTAGACACGCGCAATTTTATGAATCATCAGGTCATTATGATACCTGAGTATAATAATTCTTTGAGCGAAGATAAGGAATCTGTTGTATCTTCACGGAGAAGCTCTTTACCTGCTCAACTGAATGATCCTCACACCACACTTGCTTCCAGCATACCTGTAAGTGAACTTCAGCCACAGCTGGTTCCCTATCCGAAGGCAATGACGAGTACCAGCAACGGCTTGGATACAAATACCGAGGTCGACGAAGTTCCAGAATCTGAGAACTTGGGACGGAGAAGCAGGAGGGCATCTTATTTCAGGGTCAGAAGGTTTTCTACGTCCAGTGCCACGCCCTCAGTTTCTCTTGAGTCAATTGATCCGTCAATTTTAGACTCGCGGTACACCGCTCAAAACTACCGAGCTGTTGATAACTACAATTACGTGAGCGAAATGCTTCAGGAAAGCGGCGCGAACAACGATAGTTCCAACTCTGCCACTCTTCAAGGAAATAATGGGGTTTTTCTGGAAAACGACGTTGAAGAGGTGGAGGCGTATGGCGATGTCCATGACCGCACGGGCCATTCACTCTTGTCACGGACACGTCCTCAAACAAGTCGGACATCTACCGGCGTGCTGCATTACTCCCGTGGAAGTGACTTATCGGCGAATTCCAGTGACGAAAACAGCATATCAGGAATTGATTGGATGGAAGATGAAGAAGGTAGCTCGCTGGTTATAGGTACAGACTATGGCATTATAAAATGGAAAATCAATTCTTGGGCGCGCAGGTCTTTCCCAAGCTATGATTTCTGTTGATGCTATTTCAGATCGTAGTTTTTCTTCTTAAATACGAAGCAAGTTGCATAATTTCAAAAGTTTTTATCAGTCAACCACATCTGATGTATTGAAGTCCTCCGCCTCCTGTTCCGTCTGTTCCACATGACCTTCGTCATACTCTTCGTTTAATGGCTGGTTATGGTACTGCGCTTGCAGCTCTTTAAACTCGCTCTCATCTTCCAACAAAGCGTTGATTCCAATTACCCCCCCCTCGTTAAATATGTCCAAGATAGCCTCAGCTTCTTCGACTGGCATTTCAGCGAATACCTCGTTGATTTTATCTAAACTTTGGCTCTTGACGGCATTTTGCATTTTGGAGGGCAACTTTTTGAATGCTTGTATTCTCTTTACTTCTTCAGGGTCATTGGAGCCAAAGTCTGGTAGATTCACTTGAAGTTCAGTAGAATCATTCAGCGACTTAAGCTGAATTGTTTCCACACCTTCTTCCGTTTCTTCCTCTTCCATGACTTTGACGCGCTTTTTGACGTGCTCGAATTTTGCCTTCACAGAGTCCAAAAATGACTTCTTGCCTTGATCGTTGACTTTGTTGTAGAGAACCCTCTGAAAGAACATTTTGATGATCGCTGAAAGTTCGTCTGGTTGCAAATGAGGAATTTTCTTCATGTCGTACATTTCCTTGACATAGCCAAGAAGTTCCGATTGATGAATGACTTGATATGCTTTTTCAGTTTGACCCTCCATTTGCTGCTCGAATGCTGTCATCATGAGAGCATCTTTTTGTTGCTCAGAGATAATAGGGAGATTGGCCAGCAAGAATTGCTCTGATTTTTGTATGTCATTTGTCGATATATTTCCAAACTGAACAGTTTCTGGAGCCAGTTTCATGACGTCGTCCTCGTAGCTGATGAATTGAAGAGGTGGAGGAGGCAACGAGATGGTGGATTGACTTGTGGTCTTATCTGCGGGCAAGTATTTGCTCGCTGCCTCGTCTTGTTCCGATTTTTTGTTGACGAAGCCTTTGTCGAAACCAGTATGGATATCTTCGGAAGAAATGAGCGATGCTCTTTCTTTGTACAGCTGTGCTAGTCTTTCATGAGCCTGTTCCGTCACCGCGTCGATCTTCTTGCGGTGCTCTGTGATCATTTCCCGAATAACTGCTCCATTTTTAGGGTCTTTGTTTACTTTCTTCGCATTGATTTCTAGTTGATCGAAAAGGTCTTCCACCATCTCGTTGTAGGGAGGCATATCTGGGTCAACGTTCTCGCCTTCACCCTTTTCATTTTTGTCGAAGTTTGCATTCAAGAACTTTCGTACTGTATCTCTGCTCAGCAAGTCTTCGTCCGTCAATTGTCTGGTCATTTTGTCTACTCTCTGATTAAGTCTAGAGTTCATCTCAACTTGAAACTCCAGATTTTTGATATCTTGATTTCTCTTCGCGCGCTCCTCGTGAATACTCTGCTGTTTCCACCTAATGAAGGAGCGCTTGTCAACGTTAGGATGAACTTCGATATCAGAATCATCGGAAAGTTGGATTTTGTCCCATTTGGAATAGTCAATAGGCATGATTGAATTTTTTTCTGGGCTGATGGTGCAGTAAAATACCAGAAGTGAGTTGTACTTTTGAAGGAAGGTCCGGTTAGATCGTTATACAACATCTACAATAAATCATGAAAAGCACAAGTTACTATATACGAAGACAAACGACGAACTACACGGTGAAGTCATGTCTTAGATGTCGAATGGTGGGCCTGACGGGTGATGATATGGTGTTCACGTCGTGGATTTGATTTAATTAGATTCGAACATGTCAAACTTCTTGCTAATAGCGAGCAAAAATCTTGTTATTCTGACAACTTTAATTTCCCTCTTTCGTTTTGGGAAATACGTTATAGTTGAAGCTTCGCAGTCCGTACGCTGTGAATGTTTTCGAATTGGTGTTGTCTTGCCCATTATACATCCCATAAACCTGTTATAGGCTTTCTTGGTGCTCGAAGATCTTAACTGACTATACTGGCCATAAAGTCGGTGTCAGCTCGATAGCTGCTTCAAGTCTGATTCTATCTCGTGCCCCACCAAAGTAGGTGTTGGAACTGATGTTGGCCAATCTAGCGATAAAAATCAGGTCTCGCTACGTTGAGTCCGTACTCTGATACAGCGCTGCTGAGGTCGTGAACCGTCAGAACCACTTTATTGGCCTTCGTTTTTTCATTTTGCTGCTGCTGCTGTTGTGTGAGTTGTCCCGGCTGCTGCTGACCCAGAATCAGTTGTCTGGCTCTGGCCTGACCGTTATTGGAGTTGTGCACTGTAATGGCAGAGCGAATGCGAGAGTACTCGTAGGCGTCTGTGGCAATATCACTGACAAATTTCTGAGTGGCTAGCGCCAGCAGTCTTTTCACCCTTACGTCTGCGCAATCAAACCCGTTTTTCATAAGATAGTAGTCAATAACTGCGTCTGGGATTATTGGTGGGTTCTCCTCCATCATATCTAGTATCTCGTTAAGGGTTTTGTCTTTACGTGTGAACTCAGGAATTTCGAAAAGATTCCCTGCTCCGTTTTCCAGTCTAGGCTTTTGCTCACTTGTCTCATCGCCGTCGGGAAACAAGGCAGTGTTATCAATTGGTGCTTCCTCGTTGTCATCGAACTCATTGATTTCCTCGTCAATATTAAATTCTTCGCCACCCAACGGATTTTGATCACTCATCTTTTCAGCGATATTGTAGACTCAGCGAAGGAGTAAAGTATGCGTGCGTCGCTTGTGAAACTCTCGCTTTTACCCAGGTTTATGTCAACTTTAGATTATGTTCAGTAGACAATCATTCAATTTAAAGGTCAATTAGAGATCACGAAGTACGTTAAAACTTTCTTTAAAATCGGCCTCGATTACTTCTTGACAGGTGTCTAGCCTCAACAAGCCAGTTCAATCGTGTCTGTAATTCATTCTTTTCAAATGCACCACGCTTGTCTTTCGGTTTCGCTCAAATCAAGTGGTTCGTCAATGCTATTTATTTTGATGTCGCTGCAAAAACAGCATTTGGTCGACAACAGTCTGTCCAGTTCTTTGAGATCAGCAGAGCCCTTGGGTTCCTTTGCAGCAGCTCTTTGGAAAGCTTCAATTTTGTTGCGGAGTGAGTAGTCTGTTGATTTCAGAATTTCCTTCATCAAACAATCGGTGTGGAATGAATGTCCGCATGGGAAAACGTAAAACTTGCGCGTTTGAAGAATCTCGCCACAGACACCACAAGACGCACCAGGCTCTAGTGTCTGATAGCGCGTTTTCAGAAGCTCGATATCTTCTGCAATTTCCTTTTTGATCTTGATCGATTCTTTAATCTCGTGCGTAATGTGAATCATGGCTGAACTGTGCTTTTCCAGATTCCGTATTAGTTCATCCTTTACGTTGGCGATTGTAGTGAGCTCATTGAAAAGAGGCAGCAAATCCTTAATTGTTAAAGTGTCATTTGAGTCTCGCAAAATAGACTTGATACTACCCTGGATGTCGCTCTGATCGCACATCATGTATTTCGCAATTTTTAACCATAACTTGCGTCTTAGACGAAAGTTTGAGTCTAGTTCGCGGTTGGTGACGACCAATTTGGCGTCTCCCAGCAAGCCCTTTTCCACTGCCAGCGTCACGGCCTCCTCAAAAAGTTTGAGCTGTGAATACAAATAAACCGAAACCTTGTATCTTTGGAATTTATTACTGAGCCGTAAAACGAAGTCATTGTCAAAATGCCCCATATTTCCTTCGATAAACGCAATAATGTCATCTTCTTTATTCTTAGCATCATAAGCGGCAATCATCATGTAGAGAGCAGCATTGTAAACAACTGGATCTAGCGATTCCTCGCCCACGTATTCTTTGAAACACCACATAAGGTATTTTAAAGCGTAATTTATATTGGAGCGCGAAGGCCCCATTTCGAAGCCAAGTTTTTGAAACTTGGCGAAATACGTGAGTAAAGGATTAACGAGCTCGGATGGGTTTATAGACGGAATCTGCATCCAGGTGTTCACGGTGGCGTCCGGAGAGTTGATGAGCAAAGTTGTGGCATACTTATAGATGCACTCAAGATCTTGTGTTGTCATAAGAACCTTCAGTGACTCATACCAATTTTTGGACCTAATCCAGTATGACAAAACGTATTTGTAGTCCTTAACAAGTTTCGCAAATGTCAATACTTCCATTTTTCGATTTTGATGAGACATTATCTGGTAGATTGTGTCTTTGTCTAGAAAAGAAAGGTTTTGCGCTAAGAAATCTTTGAAGACCGATTTCAGCTCTTTCTTTCGAGCATGCAACAATTCCAGCTTGTTCGCATTTTGTTCTGATGATATAGAGTCATCAACGGCATTTAGCATCTGTACAAAATTCCAAACAATCCAATTGCTGAGCAGAATTAGCTGAACTTCATTGTTTTTTTGACTTTTAGAATCCTCCAGCTTTGTCAGAAGATATGTTTGCAAAGCGTCCACTTTTGTAGGATCTTTTATAAATTTTAGCCCAACTTCGCCAGTAGTGATTGAAGAAGTTTTGCCATAGTTTTCTGCTGCTTTCACAAATTCACCTTGCGAATAGAGTTGATTCGCTTTTCGAAGATATATTTGGTTCTTTTCTTCCAGTGTTAGTTTCTCAATTCGCAAAGCTTCATCAAAACGTCCCTGTTTAGACAACACATTCCAAATGCCTTCCTCTTCATTTTGCATTATAATCTCAAAAATGTTGCTAGCGGAGTAACACCAAAAAGTCGGTGGATTTTGAGAGTAATCTGCTGTGAACTCAACAATTTTCTCTGAGCCATGGGTCCAAACTGACTTTTGGTCCACCACTGCGTTATTGAGCTTGTTGACTATGACAAGCTCATTTCCTCGTAATATGAGAATGTGATACTTGCTTAAAAGGACGTCTTTAATTTTGTGTGTTGAGGGCGGAAGTTCAGCTGCCAGCAACACAGTTGCAGCGCTCAAGACACCGTCTTGCTTGCCTGTACTACCAGATACCACTCCTGGGCCCGCTATCCATGCAAATGTGTTATTGTAAAAGGTTAACTTTTTCCCAGTTGCCGCTTCTAGTTCCTCAAACTGTTCCGTCTCTGGGACGCTTCCCCCGCTGAGAAACTTTAAGCTATCATCAATATTGCTCCAGAACCGAATAGTGTCTTTACTGCTCAAGAATGCGCACTGACCCTTGGAGTAAACTAGTCCATCAACTGATGTTTTCGACTTGTAAACCCTAGAAACCGAGTTTTCATGCTCGAGATCGACCCAGTAGACGTTTCCCTCTTGTGTTCCGCACAAAATGTGACTCGCGTCGACCCAAGTTATTGTCAGTACGTCGCAGTTTTTTTTGCAGAGACGCTTCAAATGCACTATATGCTCAGCAATGTCGGCTCCTAAACTAGTTCTTGTAAGACTGTAATACTTGGCAAAATTTGTCTTCAAAAACAGGGTCGAGCCGCTAGGATCCATCCACACTTTGAGAATTTTCTCCTGGGGCGCTGCCAGCAGCGGAAACTTGAATTTTGTCACTTTCGAAGGTGTAGCCAGGTCTATAACGAATAAAAACCCTGTTTTCAGTGCAAAACACATCACATTCTGCTCTACGCACAGGGAGGCGACATTGTTGTCAATTTCAGGAATGAACTGCAACTGAACATGCTCTACAACAGCCTTCATAGGGCTCGGAGAGCTTGTTTCTTTAGGTTCAAGATACTATCGACAATCAAGATTAGTCGAAGTTTTGTTAACGATGAATATATATCATGTATAAATATATACAAATATATATATATATATATATACATATAATGGCATAGTGTATAATTACGTCAAAACTATAGCCAGTTCACACATCAACTAAGCACACACACTCCGATGAGCGCCAGTGGAATACCGATCAAGCTTCTCACTGAGTCCCAGGGCCATATAGTGTCGTTGGAGCTGACCACAGGCGAGCTCTACCGTGGAAAACTGGTGGACAGCGAGGACAACATGAATGCTCAACTGCGAGACGTCACAGCAACGGCAAGGGATGGCAGTGTGACAAGAATGGACCACGTATTTGTCCGTGGTTCTAACATACGTTTTTTCGTGCTGCCCGATATCCTCAAGAACGCTCCCATGTTTAAGCAGGGTCCAATTTCCAAACCGCCTCCGCCAATTCGGGGTCCCAAGAGAAAGTGAATGCGAAAATAATAACTCATCAGATGCCATTAGCGACTATGCTATGTACAGTATATCAAGTAAAGAAGAATCTGAACAGCCCTCTGGGGCACTTAAAAGTGTGGTTTTAAAGCGGTTTTCACGACTGCATCTCAACGATAATGTTTGAAATGCTCAAAACACCGATCACGTCCGCTGTCCAAATAGTTGTCGTCGGAAAAACAATCATCGTTGGGCCTCAGTTCTATCTCGATGACAGTGTCTTGAGCGTCGAATGACTCACGTGCCTCTTTAGAAGCTATTCTAGTAGTACATTATAACTGCTGTATATTAACAGATATAAGACTCGAGATCTTAAGGTATCAGAAACATCTTTCGCTAGCCCCAAGATCTATTTAGGCATGGTAAAGCACCCATTCGATGTTTCGGACCAGAAACTTTGCGATGTTTACCAACTGAAGGGACTTGATCCCCAAACCTCGTGGCTTGAGGACTCCAGTGTGGTGTATTCTCTACGAGAACCAGAGGCTTTGGAATCTGTGGACTCCTCTTACGCTATCTTAAACGAGCTACTACGGCAGGAACACGAGCATAGTGCAGGGAGGAACAGTGGAATAGAAACATCTGGGCTGCAAGACCCTTTGAACCCTAAATTAAGGCTGGATGAGCTTTTAGATACCTTTCGAATACCTCCAAAAGAGCGCTACAAGTACTATATTAATTCCAAGAAATTCAATTCCAAACTATATCTCCGGGGCCTGCACGCGCAAGATAGTTTTAACGATCTGAGCACGTCATTGGATCTGTTGGATCGTTCTTTGCAGTCGCAAAGCAACGATCTGAAGGCGCTGGTCCAAAACAACTTCTCGAAATACGTGAGATCCAAGAACAATCTCGACCGCATCTACGACCAATTCCACAGGTTCTCGCTAGAGGATGACCAAGAGCTCGGAACCGGTAATCTGGGGGATGCTGTCGACGACACAGTACAGGAGGTGGCTTTGAAAGCTAAACCGATTTTGGACACAAGCGCCAAGTTGCAGAATATTCAGACTACGATGGCATTTATCCAGGAAAACAGCGACTTTTTCGACATACCCAAAAAGCTCAAACACTGCCTTGTTGAACAGGACTTCGCGCAACTAATGACTAGATATCAAGAAGCACGCGCAAAATACCGCGAATTTTCTAAGGGCGATCACACTAGTCCAGTAATTCTAAAGGTGTGGGAACAAATCGAGTCCACCATGGACAGCTACCGCAATTTTATTTGGGAGTCTCTGCTGAATCTACAGAAAGGCGAAGCACACGACAGGCTTTTACCGCTTGTATCTAAATTACTAGACTTGAATGCCATCAAGAGCCCCATTACACAGTGGATCAGCACGAAACTCACAAACTTCGAGTCGAAATTGAGAGATATTATTTCTAAGATGTTTGATACAATTGTTGCGGCCCAACGGAAAGTCACCGAGAGTGTCTCGAACGAAACCGAGGACCTTGGCTATTACCTTTCAATTGAGCATTTCGTTGACCCAAGTCTTGCTCAAGCTGTGCAACTGCCGTCTGCGACCAAAATGGTCCAGACAAATACAACTTTGTGCGACTCGGTCGTCATCATCGAGATGTGGTTGCTGATTAAAAAATACGCAAATCTTTTGAGTTCGGAATCGGATCTATTCGTCGAGTTTTGGGAACACGTCGAAAAGTTTTTGGACGGAACGTATCGCACATCTTTGCTCAATGATAAGAAGAAAGATGATATCCTGGGTACCTATTTTGAGAGCCACGGCGGTTACAAAAACTTTCTGACATTTGAAGAAAGCGAAGTGCACGATATCAGAAGGCGAGGCGAGAAATACGTCAAAATTCTGTGCGATGGCTTGGGCAAATTGTTTGAGTCTTCTCAAACATCTCTCTTGAGTGAAGAGAAAGCAGAAAAAGAAAGCGGAAACCCCGCAGACTATGGTTTTGTCCCACCTAGTGCTAATTGTTTGGGTTGCCTGAGGTATTTGCCTCAAATTGTCGAGCCTATTTTCAAATTCACTACAGAATTGGCTCAATTAAGCATATCATCAAACTGTATCGACATTCTGAGGATGACTGACTCTTTGATACTCGATCGGTCGGTTTCTGCTATATCAGCAACGAGACTAAGAGACCTTTCGGCCTTTCATACATTTGAAGAGGAGCCAATATACAGAACCTCGGGCTTTCAAGATTACGGTATCACTCGATTTCCTGAAATCGTTTACATGTTTCAAATCCTGAGTATCTCGACAATCAGAAACATTTTATTCTCTTACGAAAAGCTTCCCGTTCTCAATGGCATATATGTTGTCTCACACCCTTCACGTCAATTATTGGCTGGGATCGAAGTGCAACAGATGATATCGATGGAGGCAGTGTTGGAGTCTGTACTCAAAGATGCTGCCAAGGAGAAGGAGAATCCAAGGACCGCCAAAACTATTCTGACTTTAACAAACCTACAGTACATGCGAGAAGAGATATTTCCACAAGTTCTTCAATACTTCGATGAAAGTTTCGAGACACAATTGAGCAAGCAAAACCTCGAGATATTCTCGTTGCTAGGCAAAATGGAAGCATCGATTTTCGGAAATTATTTGTCTGATTTGAAAGTAAGCATTCGGGACATTTTGGAAGAACGCTTTTACGAAATCAACTGGGCAACCTATAGTTCCAACTCGTTCCGTGTAAGCGACTACATCATAGAAGCGTTGATGGACTTGGTGAGCGTGCACAGCGAATGCTCTAGAATAGGGCCCCAACTGATTGGCCGGATACTAAAGGAGTCTCAGATTTTCATCTCGAAGTATTTGTTTGAGGCCTTCAAGCGGTACATAGGAAACCTTTCTTCTGACGCACTTCTGCAAATTGTTATCGACGTCCGGTTTCTTCTAAAGATGCTGGGGACGTTACTAGAGAAGGACACAGAGGTCACTTTAATGGCATGCTTACAGAATTGTTTCGAGAACGATAATTCCAGGTTGCAAAGGTGCATTGAAGAGACCAAACCAATTGTGTTAGCAAATCTCAAAAAGACAAGTGCGCAGTTTGCATCTTTTAAATGACCATATGGACTGGAAGCCCACAACCAAATGCTTATTTTTTTATCGGTACAATGTTGTTCCAAATCAGTGTTCAACAGAGACAACAACTTTTCACAATCTACATCTCTTCCTAAAATGTCAGATTTGGGCCCTTTTTTAAAGTTAGCTCACTCCATGACTCTACGAGTGTCCAAATTCCTGCTCATTTCCTAATCGAATATTCTCATTGCCTATTGAGCAAAACTCTTCGACGTCTCTTCTTATCTGCGCATTTCCTGTTTTCAGCGTCTTGTGAAGGTTTACGATCTCGTCCTGTAGACTTATAATCTCTTTAAGCAGCTTCTCTGGATCCGAGTTTGCCCTAATTCCGAAATCAAGCACAGAACTTTGACGGCTAAGATCCTCTTGAAAGTTTAAGGACGACATAGAAGCTAGCACAAGCTTGGGCTAGTTAAGATGGTTCGAAGATCGAGTCGATGGGTTTCGATTATATTTATAGTATTTGAATAATAACTACCTCCGATGTACGTTTCAAGTGACAGCGTTCAGCAGCGGATGGTGAATACGCTTCGCTACATGTCAACGTTGTGTATAATAGGCGGTGCGATCGAGAATCTATCAGTTCTCTAGTTTTCTGCGCGTTTTCTCAAAGTTGCCACACTGTACAGTGGATAGATATCTTGGGCTTCAGTGCTTGCAACTGGATCCTCATGGAGCTTTTCCGTAATGCAGTTGTGGAAACTAATATTCTTCTCGCCGTCGACAGAAAACTGGGTTCCGTCCCAGGTTATAAACGCAGCAAGATGAGCATTCTCGGAGTCTCGGTGGTCTAAAGTGACCATTATCGAATCTGCCGAAAGAGCACTGGATAATGAGACGATGTTTAGTGACATTTCAATTGTCTGAACGAGCATTAGTTTCCCAACCAGAGGGTCAACTTTGCAAATGAATAGCGCTCTTGTTTGCTCGACGAAAAATGCGACGTAAGGCAAATTAGAAAATGTGACTAGTTTTGATACAGCATACTCAACGAGGGAGTTGCTCTCGTCTTGAAACTTGCTGGGGGCCAACTGAGCATCACCTAGGAAGGGGTTTACCAGTTCGTCGATGTCTAGCGCGTCCACTAGCTCGCCTGACTGCCAGTTCCATGAACTCACGAAGTTGTCACCGCCGGCGCTGAAAAGCAGATTGGTCCCCCATTCGGGAACACAAAGTGTGGACACAAATTGTTTCGAGCCAAATAGCCATTTGTCGACGATGTAGGTTTGAGGATAATGCGTGAGTCTAATATGCTCATCTCTGTCTGCTGTGACCAGCAACTGTTTGCCATCTGCATCGCAGACAATTGCAACTGCGGTGAGCAGCGAAACATGTCCCAAAATCGGCTCCAAATTGCCTTTAGAGACGTCAACGACATCAGAACCGCGTGCGTCCACAGAGTATACATCCCCAAACTTGTCGGCAACAAGTACTTGTTTGTCATCTTGAGTAGTGGTCAATGCGTTGGGTCTTTTCGGTAGTGGTTGACGTTTTTGAAGTATGAGACAGTTTTCCTTGTCAAAGTCAAGGGCAAACACCACTAGAGCCTTGTCAGAGTCCGTACAGGCGTAAAGAAGCTTTTCGTCGCGCGACAAGGCCAAATTGCGGACGTGATTATATACAGGGGGGGCGCCAGCTCCTGGAACAGGCACTTTCGCGTCCTTGTGCCTCCTAGACCTTTTGGCAGTCTCGCTTTCAGCTGCGTCATCTTCAATTTTACGTCTTTTGGCCTCATTTTCGGCTCTTTGACGCTGTTGCTCTTCCGAGACTTTTTTCTTGATGGCGTTCGAACTATCCTCGTCATCAACCCACTGTCCGGCTGCAACGAACTCGCTTTTGGTCTGATCCCATCGAAACACTTGAATCATATTCTTGATGACGCAGAACACCACCGAACCATCACGATTTACCACCGCAGTCTGTATAGGATGAATCATTGTGATGACACCGACGGTGAGTTTGTGGATGCTGTAACAGCGATTGTTTTACAGCTTTCTTTGCTCATCAGGGCATCTCATCGCCTTTTACAATTCTTCAAAGTTATCCACATGCTTAGGACCTGGCCAAAAAATTTTAGATCGCGATCAACGAGCAGTTGCCATTGACCAAAGCCAAAGTCCGACCTTCGAACCTCGTCCTCAGCATCTTCAAAAGGTCGCTCTCAATGCCATCAACCAATTGTCTTTGACAGTGTTTGTCCAAGGCAAAGTTTCTGGAGTAGAACTCATTTCGGGGAGTTCAGTTTCCCGTTATCAATAAATTGGTATTCTGCTGAAAAATGATGACACCTCTGATTCTGCGTTTTGATTAATGGTGTCATTGTTCCTAGATTGACACTAAAAGCTTCGGAAGAGTGTTTGGTGATGTCGTAGGCTTGAAATAACTGCACAATTGGGTGGAATGTCCGATGTCACAAAGCGGCCTTCCACAATGTAGCGTTTGGTAGATAAATTTTGAAGTTTCTGTGCGTTGTCATCTAGTTATGGGTATATTCATAATGCCCGCTTTAGCGTGTGTTGCTTGTAAGTTTAGTCGAATTCATAATCAAAACCACAATCTCAGGATAAGATAGTGTAGAACCGTTTTGTTCTTGGACAAGAGTGCTTTCATCTTGTTAGATTGTGTAGATCCCCGAGAGCTCTCTGTAAAACACCTTGTTTTTGTTACAATTCGTGTTTTTACTGAATTGCCTGTTTGACGCTGCACATACGTCAATGCCTGAAGTAATTTCTGCCCTTTATCAGGTCACAAATGCCCTCTGGTCTAGTAATTGTCATGTCATTGTGAAGCAAATCAGAAAAGCGTGCAAGAACTTGTTGTAATCGGCCTTGACCGATGAGTTTAACACTCTTCTTTCCCCTGAGCAGGCATATTCACGTTTTGAGTGTGTTCAAGAGCACTGGTGATCTTTAAACTCCTGTAAAAATAGAATTTAGATCGCCAGAATGAAGGAATGTTTCAAAGTGCTCGCGACATGAACTCGTGTTGGCATGTGCGAGTGAGAAGCCGTCATTTTTAGTTTATATCTGTTTTAATTAATAGAATTATTTATTTACAAGCTCGATCTAAAAGACAGAATTTGGTGTCACAGCAGAAAGCCTGGCAAACTGAGTGTCAAATTTGACTGCTTTGAATTTCGAATAAACACTGAGTAGTTTGATATGTTAAGTTCCTCAAAAAGCATGAATTCCCGTCGTTCGGTTACTTTGCCATCTGTCATTGCAATGTCAGCATTCGAAGAGAAATCCATCCTTTGTTACTTGGATAAATCCTTACTATCGACTTCTGGGAGCCTCCTCTCAAGTGCCAGCTAATGAAATTGGCAGTCAAAGAGAGTTATGACTTGTTTTGAAGTGAGAGTTACGGGTTATTTTTTTGCTGAAGTTGGCATACAACTGCACAAGAGTTCTGAGCTGTGACACAGACCGTTTTGACGTAGAGTAATACAACCTTGAATCAAGAGTTGGTCAAGAGGTTGCCTCAAAATGCATATTATCTCCTAAATTCTTTTTCGTGAGAATTATGGTATGAGTGAGATGATTTTGTGCCAATGTACGAGGCCCAACCTACAACATGCCAATATCTGTGTTTCAGCTATTTCGAGTGTTCTCTGATCAATGATTTTGCCAGCGTTGTTGTGTGTCATCGGCAGAGGCTTTTTGGTCCAATTCTTATGGCTCTCGAAATTTTTCAGCACCTCGACGACAGTGAAAAAATACCTGGCATACAGAATAAAATAAGAACGAGATGCGATGAGCATGCACAGACTCGAGCATCGAGCGAAGTCAAGTTGGCAGCTATAAGTTTCGAACATGAGCAGTTGCAATTATGAACTGATCAAAGACGGGTGGTTTCGTGAAATCAACGACAAGAGCTTTCCCGGCCAAGGCCTAGAACTGAAGGTTGAAAAAGTCCTTTATCACTCGGAAAGTGAGTTCCAAGACATTTTGGTATTCCAAAGTGCGACCTATGGTAATGTTTTGGTACTCGACGGTATTGTGCAGGCCACAGAAAGAGATGAATTCGCGTACCAAGAAATGATAACGCACATTCCGCTTTACGCACATCGAAACCCACGCAATGTTTTGATCGTCGGAGGCGGTGACGGTGGTGTGCTGCGGGAAGTGGTCAAGCACAGCTGTGTGGACAAAGCTACGTTGGTTGAGATCGACGAGTCTGTGATAAAGCTGGCGCAGAAATACCTCCCAGGCATGGCGTGTGCTTTCGAAAATGAAAAAGTTCAAATCAAGCTCCAGGATGGGTTCCAGTTTCTTCGGGACGTAGCAGAGAAACCCGAGCAGCGATACGATGTAATCATCACCGACTCTTCGGACCCGGAGGGTCCTGCGGAAGCGTTTTTCCAAAAAGAGTACTTCCAACTCTTGCACAGCGCACTCAAAGAAGATGGAGTAGTCATTGCACAGGCATCGGAAAACGTTTGGCTCAATCTGGACTACATTCGCGACCTGGTGGCCAGCGCCAGCTCCGTGTTCGCTCGCGCGGAGTATTGTTATACCACAGTCCCCACATACACTTCTGGCCAGCTTGGCCTGATTGTGTGCACCAAAACCGAAAACACAAACTTGAAGCATGCCGCGCGCCATCCAAGTGACGGCGAACAATCTCAGATGCGGTACTACAACGCACAGATGCATTCGGCCTCGTTTGTGCTGCCAACGTGGGCGCACCAACGTATTTATAGACCATAGAATCCGTAGAAGCGATCAGTAACAAATGACACAGTTGTGATATAGTCGCTATCAAGGCAATCAAACTACCCAAAAATATCGTCCATGGCACTGCCCTTCTTCTTCTTCTTTTTGACCTTCTTCTTATCCTTTTTTCTCGAGCCGTAGACTGCTGCAAAATTCTCTGCAGCCATGTCTGGTTTCTGTGTGGGTTGTTCGTCTATGTTAATCTCCTCACCTATTTCCTCGCCGTTTAGTGTCCCTATTTGCTCGCTTGAAATGTGCGATGGGTCAGAGACAGTTTGTTTCTCGAGCAGTCCAAACGTCTTGAACTCAGCTTCGTACAATTCATAAATTGCATCGTAGAGTGCTTTTATTTTCGCCAGAAGCCCCACGAGGACCACTCCTAAGGTAACAAATTGACCCAATCCGACTACGCCGTTGAAGCTGTAATACATTCGAGAAATCTGACGTTTTCGAAGCTTTTGGATCAAATTCCGTAGTCTTATTACCTCTACTTTTCTGACCTTGTCGTTCTGAATCAAGACCAGCACCTGGCCAACGCTTCTCTTCAGCTCATTGAAATGTTTCCACCAAACGGCAACTTTATGTTGATTTTTGTTCCTATGATAAATGAGCTGTATATACCGCAGCTCTTGGTGTAGTTGTCCTACTATCAATCGCTTATCAATTGCCATTTGGCCTAGATTAATTCCTAGTTTTCAACAAACATCAATGGATGAGATGAGATGAAATAAGCTTTAAATGTTAATTAACTATATCTGTATTTATATATATTGATATATGTACATGTAAGTACAAATATCATTGAACCTTTCTACTCGAGCAAAGCTATATAAGTGTTGACAATCAATAGTTTTCTCCCTGTAGCGACAGAATTGCGACGATTGACGGAATCTTTTGTCTCTGTTTTGTTGTGTTTGTTTTGTTTGTCGTAAAACGTCGCTTTGATGTCGGGCTAGAGCATCTTCCATAAACACTGAGATCCACTTGTGTTGTTGTTGTTATTGTTGTTGTTGTTGTTGAGAATTCGTTCGTTTTTGTACCAGAGGCGAGCTCAGAAAAGGTATAAAAGCAGAGGTTCTTTGCAGAATTTGTGCAAAGCATTCTACTAGTCTGTTACTAGAATAAAACCATAAATCTGCTTCATCCAGGCGATTATCAATAATATAAAAAACCATATCAGATTACAACTTTTGCAAACAGTATGTCATACCAAAGACCTCCCATGCCTTTGCCGGAAGAACTCAGCATGCTCGAAATTGGTGATAAACCACCAGGCCATTCACAATCTCTCTCGACCTTCCTTCCAGCTTTTAGGTTTGCTCGACCGCCAGCTTTGCCACCCAGGCCCCCAAAACCAGTTGGAGAGACAACTAACAATAATGCGTTTTATTATGATAGGCTAAACACCAACGAAATGTCAGCTTCAACTCAAGCCGATAATATTTTCCAATCCCCCATTTCCACGGACGCGCCTCTCAGCATGTTCTCGAGAATCTCGCATCCGCTTTCCGTTCCTTCAAATACGACCACAAATGGCAAAGCCACAGAAACCAATAAGTTTTATGGAAACATGTTAATTGGTGATCAAACCAATCCTGCATGGACTCATCCATACTCGTTTTATTGGTCGAAAGACTCCTATCTTGGAATGGCCGTCTCGTACATCAGCGCCTCTCAAAAAGTCTTTGCAAGCGGGAGCCCTCCAGAATACTTTTTTGGTCCCGGTGGTCTCAGATCTTTTGTTTTTGGTGCCGTTGACTTCTCCGCGGTCGACCAAATGTCGCTAGGTTTCACGAACTTGACACATCTACAAGCGCATGTTAAAGTTCTCAAGAACCAAAATCAATTTATCCTAGTCCCACTTGTTCAAGGTATGGGCTTTGCTACGGCGGTATATTACAACATGATCCCCAAGCTTTTCTCACCAATTGGTTACAAAAGCGTGGTCGGTGTCACTTCGCCCCGTTCCGGCATTCAAAAGTACAAGATTGTATTGCAAAACAATGTTACCTGGTCACTATACGTCACCGTTCCCTCTGGACAATCCCTAGCGTTGGCCTTGTCCAACGCAAATCAAATTGTTGGTAACAAAAGCGTAAATGGATGCATTTTCCAGCTTGTTCCAGACACCAACTCCGCTATCGATGCTGCTGCAGGCTGCTATCCGAATAGCGGAACCCTCTCGGGATCTGTGTCTGGAACTACTGGTCAGTATACTATCGCATACGGCTTAAGTGGCTCGAGCAATGGTGGAAAGACCTTGATGTACGCATGTCCTCATCATGTCGCGTCTTTTACTTCTGCTATGTCAAGCAGAAGAATTAATTCAAACCTGGACTCAGTGACCATGGGGTCAATGACTGGATACTTGACCCAATCCTTCGAAATGCAAGTTAATGTGCCCTCGCAGATTAGCTTTGATCCCTATTCCGCCATTTCCGGCAAGTCATCGCCCCAATACTCAAGCAGTGTACTGAATGCCATATCTGCTGCTGCTCAGTCGGAAGCGACCGGTGACGTCATAAGCGACTCTAACGTTGACTCCATGTACACTGCTGGTAAAGTGCTGGCCAAATACGCATGGACTCTTTACGCCTGCCAGTACGTGATTAAAAACCAGAGTTTGGTCAACACATTGAAGGCCAACCTAAAGTCGGCGTTTGCAAGATTCACCGCAAACAACCAGCAATTGCCTTTGAGATATGACACTACCTGGGGTGGTGTTATCTCGTCGGGAAGCTCTTCTCAAGATTATGGTAACTCTTACTACAATGATCACCATTTCCACTATGGCTATCATGTTATTGCTGCTGCTATTCTTGCCAAAGTGGACGCAGCTAACGGCGGTAATTGGCTGAGTCAGAATAAAACCTGGGTCGAAAATCTTTTGAGAGACTACTCGAACCCAAATTCTGGCGATCAGTACTTCCCAGTGTTCAGATCTTTTGACTGGTTCGCTGGCCACTCGTGGGCCAAGGGTCTTTTCCCCAGCGGGGACGGCAAAGACGAAGAATCTAGCTCTGAGGACGTCAACGCTGCATACGCTCTAAAAATGTGGGGTAATGTTACTGGAAACCAGAATCTGGAAAACATTGGTAATCTTGAATTGGGTATCATGAAAGGCTCTCTCAACAGTTACTTTCTGTACCAGGACAACAACACTGTCGAGCCTTCTCAGATCATCCCTAATAAGGTCAGTGGGATTTTGTTCGAAAATAAAATTGACCATACGACTTACTTCGGGACTGAGCTACAATACATTCAAATGATTCATGCTATCCCGATTACGTCCATATCGAGCTATATTCGCTCTCCTACATTCGTTGAAGAGGAATGGAATCAGAAATTGGCAGGAATTGTTAACAATGTTCAAGATGGGTGGAAAGGTATTATAATGCTAAACAGGGCTCTATCGAATCCTTCTGACTCGTATAACTTTTTTTCAGGCTCGGGCTTTTCCAACAACTACTTGGATAATGGACAAAGTAAGACTTGGTCTTTGACTTATTCAGGTGCTTTCATATGAACACTTCAGCAGACCATTCACAATTTGAACCATTTCTTGTAATTAGTTTGTTCGTAACAGTTTGTAATCACTCAATCGAGTCTTCCGATTATACCTACATAAAATTTGTCGTCGTCGCAGACACTGACACTGTCGCTGTCGCTGTGACTGACACCGGTTCAGCTCTTGTTTTCTTTGCGGGTGAAAGTACTTATGTACTCGAAAATGCCAAACAGCTCATTTACGTAGGATACTGAACTATTCACCCATAAGAACGAGCCAAGGCTAACCGACTGGATTGGGTGTGGAAGCCATGTCGGACTTGATAGAACTCCAGAGAAACTGTATGTTCAACTTAAACAAACATAATTACCCGTGAAAACGGTGCTAAAAGCCTTTATTTTGAGTATTCACTAACTGCTTTAGATATCTTGTCGTTTATCAATGAGATTCAGACAGAACACAACCTTAAGTTCTTGATCATTGATGACACCGTTGATGCTTTGTTGGACAGCCTTTTCGCTGACCGAAGTATGCTGCTTCGTGTAGTCACGGCAGTCGACAAAATTGATTCGTCTAAAAGGAAGGGCCAACCATCGGTGGAGGCTATCTACATGCTTGAGCCCACGAAATTCAACATCAACTGCATAGATGCCGATTTTAGCAATCGGCCGGCAAAGTATAAACGTGCACATATCCGATTTTTGCCTGGCTTCAAAGATCATCTAGTGCGTTTTTTCGACTCCAAAAGATATCTTCCTCAGTACATCAGCACGCTAGCAGAAATTCAATGTGCCTTTGTTCCAAAAGAGTCCGTTTTCTTTCAAACCATGGGAATTGAACAGTCTTTGCAAGTATTTTACAACAGGTGCTGCACGGACTTGATTGAAAGAAGCATCTCCAAGACAGTGGAATCTTTACTGAACCTTTGCATCATTACGGGAGAATACCCAACTGTCCGTTATTCAGAGCCCTCTTCAGAGATTCATACAATCAGCCCGTCTACGTTGCTAGCTAAAAAACTGGCCTTTGAGTTTCAAGAGGCAATTGACGATTATGCCAGAAAAGACGAGAGCTTTCCTCCGCCCTCACCGAGACCTCGCGCTGTCCTCATCATCACAGAGCGTTCTTTGGACCCGTTTGCCCTCTTCTTGCACGACTTTTCTTACCAAGCAATGGCGTACGATTTAGTTCCAGAGGTAGATACAAGAACAGACGTTTACCACTACTTTGCTGAGAATGAGAAAGGTGAGAAGGAAGAAAAAGCCGCCAAACTAAGTGAGCTTGAAGATCCTGACTGGGCAGAATTGAGACACCAACATATCATGGATGCCACTGAATATCTCAACGCTAAAGTTAATGAGCTCATTGCCAAGAATCCTCTCTTGGTTGATCGTGCGAATGTTAAAAACACAACTGACCTGCTCAGCGTTGTTGCTCATCTCAAAGATTTTGATGAGGACAGGAGACGTATCACACTGCACAGAACATTGATAGACCAATGCCTTAACGTTAACGAGGAAAGAAGGCTAGCGGAACTTTCTGATTTCGAGCAGGCGATGGCAGGCTTCGGAATGGACGTGGAAGGACATAGATACAAGGGAGCTACAGAGGTGCTTTTGGAAAACCTGATGAGCAAAACGGCAAATATAACAGATAAGATCCGATTCATTCTTGTCTACGCTCTCTTTCGTGGAGGGCTTATCGAGGACGATTTCATCAAATTGTTGTCGTTTATAGGCGTATCTTCCGGTCATTCTTTTTACAAGCACTTTATGACTTTATTCGTCAACTTCCAGAGTTTGGGTTTTAAACTCGTCAAAGAAAAGCCCGGTGATAAGCCTTTCAAGAAGGAATGGCATCATGAGACAATTGTAAATGATCTCACCATCTACAACACGTCGCGTTTCATAAATGTGGTCAGTAATAACTTGTCCAAAGTAATAACTAACCAGCTTCTACTGAGTGAACAAGCGTTTCCTTATGTGAAAGACAAACCTATCGAGGTTCTGGAGGAAGATTCAATGGACGACTCCTCTTACAGCTACTCATCCACATCGCTAAGGAACCCACGACACAAGGCCTCATGGACTAGGAAAAACACGCAAAACAGGGCTCCAAGACAAAGATTTTTCTACTATAGCATTGGCGGTTTGACCCATGGCGAAATAAGAGCTGCCTACCTTCAATCTCAATTGAAGAATAAAGACATTTTCATAGGCAGTGATACAATTCTGTCACCGTTGGACGTTATGCAAAGTATTGAGAGGTTGAGTGAGCCCAGAGAGCAGCTCAATCTACGTTGTGACCAGAAAACAAATGAAAATGCTCCCAGCTTTCTTTTCGATAGGGCTGTAGCTCCTCCCGTAGCTGCTCAGCATCTCCACAAGACGTCGATTCAAAAGACTCCGGCAAATGCGACGCCTGTCATGCCAGCACCTCCTCCACAAGAGAAGAAGCGCTCCAAGCTCTCCAAATTCTTGAGGTCTAAGTGAGGTACCTCGATCGTTAAACGATAAATATCTTCGTATCTTATTCATCATATCCGTACACTGGTTGTGCAAATTATGTAGTTAAAGGCTGTGCTTACGAGCCACGTCCTCCATTTTACGCAAAGCTTTAGGTGTTTTGGATCTGCTTCCTCTCTGCGGAGGAGGATTGGGTTGTGAAGTTCGTGGTGACAGCGTGCCTGACCTAGTCTTCTTGATACCACCAGTAGATGTCTTGATAGGTAGAGTGCTGTGCAGAATAGCTGGATTTGAGTGTGCAAGGTCAAAAGGCAGCAAAGGTTGATAGGGCTTCATCACATCATTATTGTTCAATATCAAGTTGTCATAGTGGTTGTAAGGCTCCGTTGAAGCTGATGCAGTTGACGAATGTGTTGCATTCAGATCATTGTGTGAAGCTTGATTTGCATTATTATTGTATTTCTTGTGTGACAGGCTGTCAGGTGAAGCATAGCTTGCATTCGTGGTTCCCTTCTCCTCTGGATCTTGGATAAGGTCTTGTCGAGAGCTCTCAATGCAGCTTTCGTTTAGCATGGACTTGACCAACTCTGCGTTCTTGCGAGCACTTGCCAGAAGCCTCTGTTCTTTCGAGACATGGTATACTGCATTGCTGCCTCTATCATTATTCAGCTCTTTAGAAACCAATAGTTCCATCGTAGCGTCCTGGCGTTCAGGACTATCGTACTTGTCCCCGTCTGATATATGCTCAGCATCAACCACCACTTGATTCGTTGTCTCGCTTTCAGCTTTGTATGCAACTCCAGCAGTTTTTAGCTCCCCATAGTCCATACACATCGCCGTCAAATAACCAGCACTTACCAAGTCAATTCTACCGCGATGGAAAGCGGTTTCATCCTGTATATGTTCCTTAGCAGCTTTCCTAATTCTTCGTTCTATGATTAGTCGCTTCAATGTTAGATCTTCTTCATCGAGCTCGCTAACTTTCTGGTCCCGAAACTTCAGAAGCTTGTCAGCTTCTCTAGTCCAGCTAGTTTGATTAGGTTCAGAGTCCATCTTCACTGGTCCTGTCAACTCTCACAACTGTGTTTAAGCAAAGTTGTTATGTTAGATTTACTGTCACTTACACTAGAAGATCTGATGAAAGACTGATCTTCGATAATCAGCCTCAAATCGAAGACATCTGTATTAAGATCCGCATAAGTTCATACATCGACGGATTTGACAAGATTGCTTAAGCCGAGACTAGAAGTCCGAAGTAGAAGACGTCAGGATACAATGCATATTTCCAGAAACTCAAAAATACATGGGATAGTCTATAAAAGAAGAGCACGGCACACCCTTTGAGCTGTTCAGACGGTGGTCTCAACTATTACTTGGAACGCAGCAAATCGTTCATGTCCTTCGTAATCGTAAACGTTTTCCACTGGGTACAATTCAAAACCTGGCTTCTGGGTGCCGAGAGAAAGATCTGAATTTGGTGAATAGAATAAAATGACTTGCGAGTTTGAACAAGAACTAACGAGTTTCACGAGCTCCTTTTGCGAATTCAAGTGTCCTGTGAGGTATTTTCGTTGTGTTTTTGGGGACCTTACGGAAGACTGGTGGCATTCAAAATGGTCACCAATATCAATAGCTCCGACCGCATCATCAGTGCTGTTTTTACTATCGGCCGTATCAGTGTCAGAGTCATCTTGCTCCTCATCAATTATAGAGACCTTACTACAGGCAACGCCGCCCCATTCGCATTTGGCCTGTCGTGGCAGTTCAGAGACTTTGACGATGATCAACGATCTAGGATCTTCAACAGGTTTTTCAAACCACCATTCCGAACTGTCTACCATGTCCTTGCAGTAAAGCGACCAAACTTTGGCCACAACGGGCACCATACTGTGGCGAGATACGTAGCAGACGGTGGTGAGTTGTTCTTGAGCATTGATCGTTCTTTTGAGCGTATCAAAGTGCCGCAAGGCCAAAACAGCTTGAGAGATATCTTCATCCAGATGTGGTTCAAGACTTGTGGTCATCTCCATCGAAGCAGCAACCAACGCGATTTGCCCACTGATGTAGCTGACTTGATTTTGATCTTCTTTTTTCCAAATAGCTTGCGAATAAGGTCCAATGTTGCAAGGGGCCCAATAAGACCTTCCCTGTACATGTAGTCCATTTTTACTATCATTCAAGACCATGCCCTTCTGTTCTGTGATTTTAGCCTCTGTGTCGATTACCACCGATAGTTGGAGTGTCTTATTGTGGCCCACTAAACTGCTACCAACGCATGCTCTGGAGGGCGGCAGTGGACCATTGTCCTGTACTTGAAAGAAGCCATTGTAAAGTAGATTCACTGTTGCAAAGTCTGACATGTTCTCTAGCAAAAGCGAAGATGACAGAATCTGGCTTGCAAATAAGCGATTCTCTTTCAAAACGTCATTTAATTGCTTGAAAACATCTTGAGATTTGGACTGAGTAGAATCTCCTGTTTTGGGAGTCAGATTTGACACATACAGCAGGTTTCCAATTTTGTTAATGGATGTATGTGGTGTATGTGATGATTTTGATGCCGTTCTTGAGTGATTCTCGGTCGTAGGTGTCTCGAAAACGCCAACATAATTTGCTAGTTCAAGCCAATGATCTTCTACAGCCCTAGGGACTGGTAGGTTTTCAAGTAATTGGTCCATTGATGTCGAACACTCGCGCTCGATGAATGACACACCCATTACGGCACTGTAAACGCCATCAGAGTTATCGCAGCCCTCTACTCTCACGATGTGAGGCTCAAGATACCCATGTTTGAAGAATGGCGCATCGAAGACCATGGTTTCAAACTCTCCACCCTCACCGCATATGTGAACATCGTATCTTTCGTTCAGTCTCTGAAGGAGAGGGAAGACTTGTGGCAAAGACTTTCCCAAAGACGATTGATCTAGTCCAATAGCTGCTGTTTTGATCAGCCTAGCATCCAATTTGGGACTATTGTCTTCGCCTGACTGTTTGGACATCAGGCACATCTCAGTCATCAATTCTTTCTGATCCCGCTGCCACAGGTAACTCAACGAAACGAGTCCCAGACGCGAACACACATCTTCTACCCTCGTTCTCTGGTAAGATGACAAAATAGCACCTGCATTGACAGCCTCGAGATCAGGAATCTGTCGTTTGGCCTCGATCAACAGCTCCAATAAATCTTCGATTTCGTCTTCCTCTGTTGGGTAGTAGTTTAAACACACGTTTCTGGATGTTTCTGGCCGAATAGCTCGACGTACCAACGGCAGACCAGTACACGTTTCATACCATTTCACAAGGTTGTGTCCGACTGTTTGAAACATGAAGCTATCAAGCTCTTGTCGCTCTTCATCGTTGGGATACAAATTGCCAAGTGCTACAAGCTCATGGCCTTGGCGAATACTGTGAAGAATGCTGTAGCAGGAATCCTTCCCACCGGAGACCAGTGCTATGAACTTCATGTTATTGTTCTTGAGTTAAAGATATCAAGTATGATGAAATGAATTACATCCAACATTGTTGTCCTAGAGAATCAAATTATCCAGAAAGAACATAATTTAGAAGCTCTGGGTCAGCCATGATGGTCAGAATCAAATAATTATCAGTCATTCTAGGTTGTCGAGCTATATATTGTGTTGTACTGTATCCTGAGCCGACCTTTTGGGAATATCTATATCTATAAAAGTTGCGTATTACTAGGAAGCTTTCGTACAGCCATGCTACATGCGAGTCTTTAGAGATTTCCCTCCAAAGACGTTGTTCCAGTCAACTGTCGCACGCCGTGACATTTTTCAACGTTTCCTCAGCTTCAGACAAGTCCGTTGATTCTGAAAGCATTCAGCTCTTGGACTCTCGAAAATTAGCCTCAATTGAAAAGCTACCACTGTCGAGGTTGAGCTTTCGACTTCGCTTTCATTCGGTCAGAGCGTTTCAAGGTTTACGATGGGCTTGTCTTACCAAACATAGACCGCCACAAAGTTTTGGCCACGGCAATCACGAGTGGGAACCCGTTGTCTGCTCTCACAGCGTCACCGTTTTCTTGAAGTCTTCTTAGCAGGTAATCCTTGGTTTCCGCTGGTGGACCCCAAGGAACATACTTGATCAGATTTTTGGCCTTATGGTTCACGATCAAATCGTGAGTAACGTTGTCTGACATTCCCAACAATTGTCCCAAGACCACGTTCGCCTTGCCTATCTTTTCTTCCTGCCCACTCAACATTTGCGTAGCAAGTTTCTGCGACTGGTAGTTGTGGGAAGCCACGACCAAGTGGCCATAGATAGAGTCTTGACCCTTGGCTAGAAGATCGGTGATAACAGTGGACATGATGGAGTTGAAATTCTTGTCGGTGCCGGCTTGGTCTGGGAAGATGATTGACGCACGGTTGGGCTCGGAATGAATATAGGCACCACGGACAATTTTCAAACCTAGTTTATAGCCCTCGCTTTCAGCTAGTTGGTAGTCCTTTTGAAGGTCTGCGCCCGAGTCCTGCAAATATAGCTGCCACGTCCCGACACAGGACACCATGCTGGATGACTGTGGGTTGAATTTCTTGAACAAGATGCGTTGTAGCTCGTAGACACCGCTTTTCTGCAAAGCGTACTTCTCGGCGTCGATGACTGAAACAAAGAAGGGAGTCTTACGCTGTGGGTATTTTAGGGCCAACTCTTGATTCAATTTGAAAACTTCCTGGGTGATTGCAGCGCAATTGTCGATCAGGTTGTTACGCTGGATTTTCCATTCTGGGTCGTTAAAGTGCAGCAAGGTCTGGTATGGGTTGGAAACTAGTGCCGAGGGCTTCAAAGCAATGTAGCCCGGTGGGATGCTGTTCACGTCCGAGATGGATTCGAGCTGCTGCAGCAAATGGGGCTTGAGAATCTTGTGAATCGACGAGATGGTTTCCGACACGATGTGGTTGATGTCAATGTTTTTGGTGCCCTCTGCGTCCTCGATGGTGAGCGAAAGCATCATGTTGTTGATGCCTCTTGCTTGCAGTCTTTTGCCGGTTTCTCTGACTTCTTGGAAGTTGTCGCCTCCGCAGTACAGAGACGACACCAACAGTTTCATGATCCAGATGGGAACAAAGGGGAACACTTTCAGCACCAGGTCTAGCATGGGCTTATTGACGGTTGCGCAGCCTATTATTCCCAACGAGACCAGCTCTTTGGTCGACAGCTGGCTCAGATGCACGTTATTGGACGGTGTTACTGCTTTCATTTCTGATAGAAATGGACTGACATGAGCAGGGTCGATGGGGTGTTGTTTGTTCGTCGAAGTTTTGGCCATAAATCTCACGGCAGCGGGCGTCACACCGAACCGGCTGACTTTGCTTGCACTTCTGATAAGATGACTGTTCAACATATGTGTGTGTGTGTGTGTTTGAGTCTATTGCTGACGAGAGTGATGGTTCTGGTGTTATAAGAACTTCATTCAACCGATATTGCCAAAAACTCGAAAAACGCATCGCTTAAATACATTTTTTCTGGGCGGCAGACGCTGTCCGCTGTCTTTGATAATGGCTGTTGTTGTGACCCCTGTGGTAAAGGCTCAAAAGGTCCTTAACCACTATACTGTTGTATCGCTGTGTTGGTGTCGATATCTGGTTTTCCTGTTAAAGGCAGCGGACAACGAAGTTATCGGAATCGGTGAGCCGAGAGTGTCACGTGTTTATCGCGTGGGTCAAGAGCCAATGTTTAAAAGATCGATATCACAGCAGTCAACGCCAAGCTGTCTATACGCCGTCTTGCCCTGCTATTGGTAATTGTTTTAATTGTGGGGTAAAAATTGCCAATGGACCGATCTGGTCGGTTCTTTGGACGAGAGAGATTTTTTGGCCACGAAAATTGTATTTTACACCGTTTCAATGACGTGAATTGTTTGGCCCGCTCCACGCACATAATATCAAAAGGTGGTGAGTTTTATAAGCTCACAACAGACTGAGGAATAGCCCTCTCTGTTCTGTTCACGACACTCTTGGTTCTTCCACCGTCGTATCACTTTGTACTAGTGTGTCGCCATGCCTCGGACTTCGGATTCCAAAGGAGAAGATACGGCCCGGCTGAGCGTTAGAGCTCGATATTCGTCATGGAACCGGAGTTGGTCGTCACCGATTCGGAGAGAGTTTGTCGAAGGACACATAGCCTGGGAAAGATGAGTTTTGGCGGACCATTGACGCCAATGTGAGATATGATGCCAGTTTTAACAAATTTGAGGCCTGTTGGGCAGTTTTGACACATCGTTTTTGAGTTTTTACGTGGCCGTGAGTCGTGTTTGGGATGAAATTTTGGGTTTCTTCCGTGTCATTTTACCTCGGTGCATTCACTTGTTCTCGAGGGCTTTACAGACAACGCTTCCGTAGATTCATATTCACAGTTGCAATTCTGTCCTCTGAGAGTCTAAATTCAATAACTCTGCACATTCGCTTTCACCCCAGCAACTCTGTTCTCTAAGATCCCAAATCTAACCCTGTGATAACTCACTTTCACTTTCCTTCACCACAATTCCGATTTTCTTCTCCGAGATTCTAGTTTCAATATTACTGTACATTCACGTTCACCCAAAGACGTTCATCTGTCTCAAACGGTCCAAGTTCACTGCCTCTGGGAATCCACATTCACTTTTCTTTATCAAAAATTCCACTTCTGTTCTCCGACAGTCTCTTCTTAGTCCACCCCTCCACCTCAATTCACTCATATTGGAATTCCCGTTGAATGCTCTCAGGTATTGTCTCGGTGTCGAACTCTGTTCTCGGAGGATCTAACTTGAACGTTTCCATACACTTATCTCCTCCTTGAAGTAACTTTAAAAGCGCATGCTGATATTGCTGCGAATTATAGGTGTCGTGCTCCTCCAACTTCTCAGTCTCCAGGTCGCAAAGCGTTTGCTCGAGCGGATTGTTTATAACGTCAAAACTGTCTCCCTCAATGAAAGTCTCGGCGTCCCTCTTCTTCCCATTCATCTGGAAGAGTTTCTGATGTATGTGGTCGAAAGGCCCATTTTTTTGGCCCTTGCGATGCCCTCCATAGCTAGTCATGAACCCCGTGGAGATGCCCGCGTTTCGGTCCTCTCCGTTCATGCTAGGGCTGTATCTTTTTCGAGCAAAGCTCTCCAATTCCTGAGCGGCTTCAGTGTGTGCTAATATTCGCGGTACAACACCCATGGCCAAACGTGAAGTCTTGAAAATCCGGCCCTCTTTATGTTTCAGTTTGTATTTTTTCAAAGTAGAGAGAACAGTTTCGGCCAAAGTTGGAGCCGCGAGCCCTTCTTGTCGCATCGCAGCGAGTCCTTTCCAGACGTCTTCCTCGGTAACTACGTGCGGAAAGGGCGACTTGAACTCGCCTTTCACTAAAACTTCGTCCTCTTCTTCAGGGTGGTCTGATGAGTGGAACAGAGTTTCCTCGTTTAGAAGACAGCTCCGGGGGACATGTTTCCGCTCGAGGTTTGGCAAAATAGAGTACCACAAGATCTTGCGCAGGTGAGATTCTACGCACTTTTCAGAAAACTTCAAGGAACTTTCTGAGAACGGCAATGCAATCTTGGAGGCCGGTTGTAATTCTTTTATTCCAGTTTTTGAGTACACTGGACGCCACCGTTTAGACCAATTTTCTAGGCCGATGAGCCCTTCGCAAGAATTTGCTTCTTCACGGTCGTGGACTTCCATTTGTGTCATCTGCACATGCTCATCTGATAGCACAGCTTCCGTTTCCACAGTCTCCGTGGTTGCCAACTCTTCGTCTGCATTTCTGCTGATCTGCTCTTCCAGCTCGACAAAACATTCGTCCATCTGGTACGCGATGGGAAGCTCTTTTTTGGCTAAAATTCCGCCATGGCGCTTGCTATCCAATTTTTTAAGCTCCTTCAAGTTCCTGCTCAATACTGCATGGTAGGCCTCAATCTCAAATTTGGATTTTTGGGGCAAAAACACTGCCCATTCGTCAAGCCTATGGATCGAAGCCCGCGACAAAAAATGGAAGAATATCTCTTTTTCCTCGGGACTCCAAAAAACGCCGCAATAGTTTCCTTCTACCCTCCCTTCATCGTCGCTCGAGTCTGAATCGCTCTCATTCACGATATCTTCGGTGTTGCCCATGTTTATCCATTTTACCGTGCTATTAATGTGAATATATGAGCTAGAAAGCTCGGATTTACACCATAAAGGATCCAAAAAACGTCGTATCTCATTGTTGAACACTGTAAAATAGTCTGCTACTACATTGCGAGCTTCAATCGATGCCTTTTGGACCATATTTAGCCGCCCATCTCTTATACTTACAAGATTCAGACACTTTGAAGATCACAAAAATATCAATTTATTTTGACGCGGTCTCGTCATTAATGATCTGAAAAATTTAAGCTCATCGCGGTAAACTAATCCATTCAGCGTCAGCATTAGCACACAATGTTTAAGCATATTCAGAGGGCTAAACAAGGCTGTTTGTGATCCAAAGTCAGCTCAAGAGAGGGACTTTGATTATGCTTCCATCGTTACTGGGTACAGTAAAATTTTGGCCCCGATGTAGCGCTTCAATTTTTCGTTCAAAGCGTCTCTTGACAAACAGTAGGCGCATCGCGCAAAGAGATGGCAGTTTGGAGCTTGTGACCACCAGAGGGAAGAAATTGAAGCCCAAAAAGGCCCAAATCGTCATTCTAGATCCACGGGAGGCGGGATTATTCAAACGCAAACGAACGCCAGCACATTTCCAGCGAAACGACAGACACAGGACTAAGGAACGTCTCAGTGCGCTGCAGGGCGTGGAATTCGACGATCACGGTCCATCACGTCGAACTTTGGGCTCTGCTGATTCTCCTGCTGGCGATATTTTACAAGAAATCGAATCTCAGCGCCGCAAATTGCTTGTCTTCAAAAATACAGTGCCCAAAGAACAAGTCATCAAATCGATTCATGACCTCAAGCCTGGAGCAGACGCGCAGGTCATGTCCTTGAAACGTTATGAGCAGCTCAAAGCTCTTTTAGAAATCGCGTACACGCTCCCGCAGCTCAAAGAATACGCCAAACAATACCACAATCTATCTAGCAGCAAGTCGATTACCAAGAAAGCGCTTATACCTAAAATACTGGACAAACTATGGCATTGCCAGGTGGACGAAACAATGAGCGAGGGCCAGGATCTCATGGTTGAGCGGATTATCGACGTCCAGACCAGGGACATCTATCTATTGTTGTTGACCAACAATGGGAAAATCCTACAGAACTTTGCTCGTCTTGGAGCCACTGTTGCGGTTGCGCTGAGCGAAAATAAGATTATTGTCCGGGCCACTAAATCGCTAGTGAAATATGTGGAGGTATCTTTACGAAAAATTCTCGACAATGTGCAGCGTGAAATCGTGTCCATAAACGATTTGATTCAAGAGCATAGCTGTGACAACAACGCGGATATTACACCCAGTGCTCTCGTGAGCCTGGTACAAAAGGAAAGTGCGACTTATTTTGAAGAATTGCCAGATGAGAACCCCGAAACCTATGCTATCACAAGCTTCGGGACTAAGCGGATAATACGGGCAAAAAACCTGCTCTTATGGGCTTTGGATTATAACCCCCAGGTTACGGAGAGTGTTAAGTTTCTTGGTGAGCACGACCGGTCGAATTACATGGCCTTTCCTTTTACAGACATCGATGACTTGGACTGGGTACGAAGAAAAAAGAGTTGGTTTCGCCTGCAAGAACCTGTGAAAAAGGGACCTACCACGCTTGTACATAAAGCTCGCCGTCTGGTTCTCACCCATGGCAAAACTGATGAACTATACCAAAGCTTGGTCGAAACTCAAAATGATTCTGTGCCAAAAATACAAGCAGCGGTTGAATCAAAGACTTGGAGCATCACCTTGGGACATATTCTGGAAGATGAAGAGAAGCAAGTGACAATTTTCCAACCAAAAGTTTCCGGAATGGTCCCAAAATTGATGCAACTACCACTTTACGACGACATTGTCACTCAAGATGAGTTGTACACCGTCGATCAACATGAATACTACGTCCAGCTCAAATTAATACCAAAAATGGACGGATCGGTAAATACCAGAAATATACCTCCCTTGGAATTGTGGTTTGAGCTTGATGATGATGATAAAGCGATTAACAGCACGGTTCGTTGTTTGCTGCATGCAGAAGACAAGAGCTTGCTTTTAGAGACACCTCATTTATCGCATGACTTGAAAGTTACAATGGACCGCACGCTGGAAGTGACCAAGTCTTACGACCAGGCGCCCCAAAATTGGCTTGAAGACCAACCTGGCTTAAAAGAGTTTCTTCTAAGGGCCAGACTCACATTTAGAGAAAACGAGAAGCTATTTGTGCCGAAGCATTTGAAGTACAACCTTCAATTCCAAGACCGCTCGGAGCCTGAACCGGTCACTTTTGAGTATGTGAACGTCAAATATCACCGTGTCTTGAAAATGAAGCTCATGGACAAATATTTGGTGCAGTTCTCGGACGTCAATGGTGGTTCCAGAGGAGGGCACTTCAAACAAGTCGACTTTGTTAATCCTGAGTGCGGGGATATGAGCCGCGAAGAATTTGGCGAACTGATGAGAAATGTGGCGGAATTCTTGTGACTGAGATTGTTTTTGGCGAGGAGAGTCGCATAAACTTGACAACTGTAAATAAACATACGTGCATATATTTCTAGGGCAAGATGATAAACTCTAGAACAATGATGATTTGGGAAAGCTGAGTAGACCATGGAGGTTTTTATGAGATGTGGTATACAGTTTACACACACGTAATTATACACATAACGACGCTCGAGCCACCTCAAGAATCTAGCTTTTTTCGCTCGTTCTTCATGGTTCTTAACCCTTCAAATGCAGCTTAAGATGACTTAAGTCCACTAACTGAGTACAACTTCGAAATTAAAATCGAGCTTTTGTTGCCACAGCTGCAAGTTCTTGGCTCGTTGGTTTCAGGTCTTAGAAACCGAAATTCTGTTATTGCACCAAATGCACCAGCACCATTTTATCAGAGGATAAACTCTCAGTCAATCTCCGCCGATGATTAGCTAAATAACGCATAAAGTTCAATTGGATTTGTAAGTGGACTTGACATGTAACCCAGGGCTTGCCATGGAAAGAAAACGTCACTCAGGAATTGATCTCTATGTCAAAGATGTACCTTAACGGGAAAGAGATTTTGGGGATGATTTTGGCTGGAATCATGCTCGGTACTAACACTCTGCCTTGTCGCCATCTGTCGCTAGGCACAATAGTGTTGACAGACCTAAGACATTCTGAGCCCGCTCAGTTCCTTTAGAGATCTGCCGTTGTCTTTTTCATTCCGCTATCTGACATATTTGCGCAGAAAGTCATGGTGAAAGCTACTGCGAGTCATATCATTTGTGTAATCGAGCTTGGGATCTTTCGAGACCTTTTTGGACCCAGTTTCGGATTTCTGGTGGCCAAAAATCGATTGAGAACGCCAGATTTTGCGGACAGTAGGGGCTTCTGTGGGCACAGAACTCTCGTCTGCTTCGTCCTGTTTCTGACGCTCCTCTTTCAGCTTTTTAAGCATTCTTTCCTGTCGTATTTTATGCAGTTCTTCTAGAAGAGCCTCTTGATCCTCTTCCTCGTCTTCCTCCTCGTCTTCCTCCTCGTCTTCCTCCTCGTCTTCGTTCTCTTCTTCGTCGCTTTGACTTTCGGATTCTCTCTCATTATCTGTGCTCCTGTCATCATTTTGGGCTTCTTTCTCTATGGTTTTTTCGCCTACGACTACCTGATTGTTCCCTTCTTCGTCTGCGGACTCAACTGTACCCTTTGCAAGCTTATGCGGTTCTGATACCTGATCCTCATAGTCCATTTTACGTTTTCTGTATTTCAGCTTGGTGTGTCCTGGAAGAAGCCTTGCGTGTTGGGTGCTGGTGGGCACATAACTTCCTTTGGCACCATTACGAGCCTCCAGTTGAGGCCTATGCGAGGTGGTCATATTTGATTGTAGAGAGCAAGGCTAGCCAGATTATAATGTAGAGCTGCTGGGTTGGCGATGCCCCCCCCCAACAAGATCCAATATATACAAATAGCTTGAGATATAAAGTGCTTATCGTAATAAGCGATCCGAGTTTTATAAGCTTCTTTCTTGATTCAGGACCTTTCGAAGCACAGTTTGGACAACAACAGCTACAACTTAAGCGCTTGAAAGCTCAAAACCAAGTCTTTTAGCTCAAAAACAGGTTTTTTTTCAGTTACGCAGACAAATGACCTTTAATAATAGGTTTAATCATACTCTTTGGAATCCTAAGAGTCTCAAAAGTTCATTTGAGCCACTCAATTTGCTACTTTATGGCTTGTTTTTGAGCCCATGGCGCCTAAACAGCTGTTCGATAATTCAAAGTTCCGTTCGACTTTAAATTACATTTATATCATTTTTAACGTACAGTGTCTGATAATTTTCAGCCTGAATGCTCATTCCAACTACAACATTCACTCAAAGTTTCTTGTTGACAAGGTTCGAATCACATCTGTTAGAACTTGGCGAGCACATTGGCCATCACACGAGTGTTTTGAAACGATTTGTGATAACTTTTTGGTCGTCAAAATTACAGTGTGAACCAGTTTACAGCCATGGAGCGCGATAGTGAGGCATCTAACGGGTCGAAAGACGTTGGCGAGACTACAGGGACTATATCGATCAAGGACTTTGCATACGACAAGTCAGACGCATTACACTATGGCTATTTTGGCGACAATTACGAGGAGGAATATTATGACGACGAGGAGCGTGAAAATAGCAGCGATGGCTCGTCGGCTGAACAAGTCAATGCAAGTACAGAGCCTGCAGACTCATTCCGCTCGCATAACGATGGGCGAGGGTTGAAGGATTCTTCAAACCATAATGATGCTGGTTTCGGCTACGACGAGCCAGAAGATGCGATCACTAAGCGACAAAGCATCGTGCTGCCTAGCAACCAAATAGTGAATAGGCAAGCAGTGGCACTGTACGACTTTGCACCAGAGAATGACAACGAATTGGAGCTGCACGAAGGTGACATACTTTTCATAGGCTACAGACACGGGCAAGGGTGGCTCGTGGCGGAAAACGAGCAACGGACACGTACGGGTCTGGTACCTGAAGAATACGTAACCTTGACAGGATCTCCGGAGAGTGGCGCCGATGACGACGAGTACGCTAGTGCTCTCGACCACGATGACAACGAAAATGACCATGAAAATGACGACGACAACGAAGGTAAGCCACGACCTTTTTACTTGACACATATGATTGCAGAGTCCATGGAGGCTGCTGTTCACGAGGATGAACCGGACCTTGAATGGGAAGACATTGACGACGTGGAATCTGCGTTTAACGAGAACCTCAAGATCTCTGATACGTGACACAAGGAGAGAAAGTTGGAAGGTTAAAGGGCATTCAGTGATAAAGGAAACGCTTTCAGGTGTTATTTTTTAATTCTACATTTGTATATTAACGCAATGGAACAAAGTATGTGCATTTCTTGCATCGTTGGCATTTTGGCATTTTGGAAGTATATGTGATCCAGCTGCTTGCTTGTCTCTTTTCATATATAGGCACTTGAAGAATCCGGGGTATTTCTATATGTAAAAAACGGCATCGCCCTAGTTGTCCTTACGCCTGATTGCAGCCTTCGATGTCGATTTCGATTTCCTCCTCGTCGCCGATTTCTTCGCCCTTTCTGTAGCGAATAACGTCCTTAATATCGGCAGGGCCTCCCAATTCTGACAAAACTTCCATTGCCCCACTGACCAACTCTTTCACTACTTCGTCGTTCTGATCGCCGTTTTCGGCTAATTTGACCATGTACGTCAATATCAGGCGCGCTTCCTGGCCGTGTTCTTGTATCAATTCATTCGCGTTCACAAAGGGCAGCTCTTGAAAGTGCTGGTTGAATTCGTAAACATTTCCAGGGTTGACCTCGACCTGGGGATTCTGAAGCTTGAAAAGCTCTAGTTTGCAAGTCAAGTAATGCGTGAAAGCCTCTAGATACAGACTTTCCAAATTGTCCTCGTCTATGTCTTTGACGGCTGCCTCAATCTCTAAGGCCCACTCGTAGAGTCCCATTTCAATGCACATTTTTGCGAGATTCAGTAGCGGTTGGAGCATGTTTGCGAACTCTGTGTGTGTGTTGCCGGAGCCCTGCTGGACTTCGCTTTCGAATGCGGATTTCTTGGCCTGGAAAAAGTGCCATGAGCGTCCAAACGCCTCTGCGGCCTCAGGAAACCGCTGCTGCGAGATACGCATCGAGCCCAGTGCGGCCCAGGCTTCAGGTGACTTCTCTTCTGACACTTCCATCGCCTTGCTGACAAGCTCTTCACACTGTGCTTCAGCTCCAGGCTCCATGCACAGGTCAGTCATCCAGATTTCCACCATTGACAGCAGCCCTGCCACGATCTTCTCCGCCTGTTCCTGTTTCAAGTAATCACCAGCCTGTCCCGACAGGTTTTCAATGCCCTGTGTGATTAAAGCGAGACCGTCACTTCCTCCTGCAATTTGGCCCAACGTGAAGAATTTATCGCTCCCACCGATCTGGCCCTGTGGATCTAGCTCACAGGCCTTCACCAGCAGTGGATAAGCCCTTTCTAGCTGTCCATTTTCGAGATAAGCCTCTACAAATGCTTGATGCAATTCGATGTGCGATGAGTTTGTGCTCTTCAATGACTTTCTGTATGGCTTCAAAACCCGCAAAGCCCCGTCGGCGTTGTTCTCTCCAAGCAGGCGTTTAGCCTCTTCGATTTGGTCGTTCAATTGATGGCTCATTCGACCGTTTTTACCGTCAGTTGTCTTGGCTCATCGCTAGTAAGTAAGTAGGTCATCGCATCTTATTGCACATCATCTGGAAATACCACTTTCGAAAAAATCAGAAATTTTTCAAGACCAATATTCGTGCTTAGTGATTCACTGAAATGTTCTTTGGTCACGTGGTTTATTGTCGTGAGACTTACACGAGCCACGTGACAAGCTTGTGAAGCGATTCTCGCCAAGAACCGGTGTATTCGCGATGCTCTATCCAGCGCATGCGATCCATCTCCCGTCGACCAGTATCGAGATCGATCTGGTCTAGTCGCTGAATTTTGGAGCTTTTGATTAGCTTGTAACCGAGGTATGTTACGCCAAAATATAGCAAACCTCCATAGCAAGAAAACACCATCTTAGTGCTCCAAAAGCCACGTAAAAAGTTGACGAATCCCATCAGTAACATAATAACCACTGATCCTGTAAGTCCATAGTATGCGGTGAAGGGCTGGAATGGCGATCTGTAGGGAAAAGACGGATCTGAACGAGAAATAATGTCGGGCCGTTTCTTCAGTGCATAATAGAATCGCAGAAAGGACACATTCAGGCCCAGCCATATTATCGAGATGGTGGCACCCGATATGTTCGCGAGCACCTGGAAAAACTCCAAGGAACGAGAGCTCAATGCGAGGTATGCCAGGGTGCCGAATAGACCGGAAAATGCAACTGCCACATACGGCACACCACGGCGAGAACAGCGTCTGAAACTTGCAGGAGCCTTGTCCTGTGTTCCCATAGCATATAAAGTTCTGCTAGCCGAGTACAGCGACGAGAATGCGGAGGAGACGCCGAAAATGACCAAAAATGCATTGAAAGTTGACGAAAACGAGCATAGCCCAAAACTTTTGAGCGCCAGGACCCAGGGACTTTGACTACCATTGCTATAGTCACTGACTACCAAAGGCTTTTTGTTTGAACAGTTTTGGAATATCTGCCAACGCGTGTCAAACTCGGAAACCACACGCGCAGAAGGCCGTTCAGTCGCGGAAGTGTAGTAGCGTAGTAGCCCTGAATCTCCACTGTAAACATTCAAGCTGATCACGAAAATAGAAAGCAGATAAAGTATGATGATAGTAACAAACGTTTTCTTGGTCGCTGACGGCAGTGAGCGTCTGGGATTTATGGCCTCGCCACATGCCACGAATCCAACCTCGACGCCACTATACGAGAATGAAGAGAGCGTGAGTACGACCAGTATCGATAGAAATCGTCCCTCAGACCCAGGAATACCATTGCGGCTGCCGGCACCCTGGTCTCGTAGATCAAACGTAGGTCGAAACAAGCCATATGTAAGGTCGCCCGGGGATTTCGATGCATCCCAATACCTAAATCCGACCCGTGGATGGACGTGACGTCCAGCACCAGCATTCAAGACAACCATCACGATTATCATCATAGCTGTTACCAGGATCTTGAAGAAAGTGAAGCCATATGTAACCTCCCCCACAAGGCGAACATCCATCAAATTTACAACAATGGCAGTAATCAAAAAAAGCGTTATGAATCCAGCCGTAGCCCCTGTGCTTAATAAACTATCGGTGTAGTAACTCAGCATGTAATTGCTGGCAACTATCTGATTGGCAAAAGTCAAGGCATAAGTTAACCAGTAAGTCCAGCCCAGCGCAAATCCAAATGCATCCTCTACAAACCGAGAAGCCAAGCCAGACACTCCTGACGAGATAGGAATCAAAGTGGCGAGCTCTGTGAAGGAAAGCATGGTTGCTAGCACGATGCTCCCGCATATACTGAACCCAATAAGAGTACCAAAGGGTCCACCGATTGATAGAGCCTTGCCAGAATTGAGAAAGAGCCCCACACCGATGGTCGCACCAATTGCAATAGCTTGTAAATGTCTTGTATCTAGCTTTCTTTGCAATTGATAATTCTTTTCTGAACCGTTCAAAGTCGAAAGTAACTTGTTCCATCTATTCGACCACGACTTGTTTTCCGAGTTGCTGGAAGAGTGTGACGGCAAGTGACCCAGCTCAGGTACCTTTACGCTTGGTTCGTCAATTCCACCGATGGCGTTGTGCTCGAGGTCGATTACTTGAGTGTCATTGGAGTGTATTCTGTAAATAGGAACTCTTTGAGCACTGGTTGGGGGCCGCAAAGGAGAAAACAGGAAATTGACCATTTCGTTGCCCTTTTTCTTCAGCGCTGCGAGCTCTGTATCTCGATCCTCTTTCCCCGCGGTGAATTTGGCGCTCAAGTTGTCGCAGCTCAAAACTTCAAGCGGTTCATGAACACTGCGCTGCAACAAAATATTGTCCATCTTCTTTCTCAGCACATACTCACGCTGAACTTTTTTATTGTATATGTGGAAATCTTCCAAGTCGTCCGTTGCCACAGGCTTTGCCTCTAAAGCGCTAGTTTTCTTAGCGTACAGCTCGCTCAGATAGAAATTGTGTTCCGTAACTTTTGCACGGTAGTCAAGTTTGTCGTTTCTCTCGAACTCTGAGAGAACATCTAGTAAAAACTGCGTGTCCAGACTTTGGTTACTCATAGAGCTACCTTCTTTAACCTTTTCCCCATTGAAATCTGTTGAAATTGAAGCACTGGAGTTTTCCGTGCTCCGCTGGCGCTGAAGACCTGGGAAAAGTTCAGAGAATGCATTTCTCTCACTCATGTCATTTGAATTCACCAGTGGAATGACAAGGCTATAAAAGCTGGAACATCCATCGATACGCGTTGGTTGTGTTTTTTGTATGAGTTATGTTGTAATTACTCTCATCTCATCAATGACTTATACAAATATATATATTAACATACCTTGCGAGAAACCCAACTTCTGTAAAAACAACAATTAAAACTAAATCAAATATAATAATTTTGTATGACTACTCTATAGAATGCAATTAATGTCTCTTACTTGCGTAAGGTCCGTTGCAAAGCAGACTTCACCTTTCCTTTGCGTGCATCGATAGACTCCTCTTCGTCATCGTCACGTCTGGGTGCAGAAACATGGCCTAGAGCAGTGAGTCTACGAGCACGCTCAATAGAAGTCTCAGATTCGTTGTCACTGAACTCCTCGTCACTGGCAGAAGACCCGGCGTCGGGTCCTATCGCAATCTCAGAGCCATCGTCGTTGTCGTCGATTTCTTCGCCATAATCTGTACCATCATCTGAAGCTTGGGTTTCTTCACTGTCAAAGTCTTCGTCTATCTCGCTGTCTTCAGCACCTTCTTCGTCGTCCTCTTCGTCAGACGGCTCTGCTAATGCTCCGGAGGTGGGCACGGGCCTTAGACGACGTCCTTTAATTTTGGCTGCAGGTTGTAAAGTGTGATCTGTCGTTGCGTGAGATGTAGTTTGAGAAGAGGCACTCTTAGAAAGACCTACAGCTGAGAGAGCTTTGGCCATTATGCCAGGGCCCTTGGACTTGTTGCTATTGCTTCTGCTCCGTTGACCGTCTGCTTCATGAGGGTTGATCCTATATCTCCGCAACACGTCGCCGTCGTCATTCTCGATGATCAACTGGTCGTCGATTTTGTATGCAAAGTATCTTGCGTTGGATTTTTCGTCTATCAGAGTCTGTCTTCTCATCCTTGGAGGTGTCATGGCCCGTTTCAGGGCTTCCATCTTGGACGACCGCTGACTTAAATTACGTTCTAATAACGAGCTAGCACCCTCTTCTTCATCCTTTGGTTTCCGGTTGAGCTCCGCCTGATCAATGATCTCACCCTGGCTATTCTCAACTATAACTTTATTGCCTTCAGCATATGCAACAGCCCCTTCTCCTTCTTCAGCTTTTTGCTCCATTTCTCTTTTGAACTTTTCAATGTCCCTTGCATAGCTGTCGAGTGAGGCAGTTTGAGACGACCTCTCCAACTTCTCCTCATCGAAATTGGATGAAGATGTTGTGATCCCTTCTGGAAGCTGTACATTGTCCTCTGCAAACTCAGATTGTGGAACCGAGTGCTGTAATCGGGTGATGTCCTCTTCGACCTTTTCAGCTTCTGGACCTGGTTGATACCCAGATATTTCATCCAGTCGACTAATAGCCTCAGAAGCTTGAGTTGGGTTCAAAATGTCAATGGAATCTAGCGTGTCGTCAGCATCGTCTCCTTCATCGATATTTGTATCATCATACCCGTCGGTGTCATGAGGACGTAGTTGAGAGCTCAATGCAAAAGCAGCAGCTTGGGCCTCTTTTTCACGTTGTACTCTTTCATTATCGGCCGACGCAGGGCTTTCGGAATCCCCTGTAGAAGACGCGCCCTTGGTCTTCAATCCCTTTATTCTGTTCTTCAAATTCTTACGCTTTCTCTTCATGCCACCAAAAGGCTTTGTAGGAACTCCGCTAGTTTCAACAGCAGTCTCTTGACGGCTGAGAGTGTCTGGTGCAGCCTTGGTGTCAATTCTCTGCAAAGAAAACGAACGTCCAGATTTATCCAGCGTAGGTAGTCTTTGCATCCAAGATGACCCTTTGCCGTTGGTGGTTTGCACTGTGAAGGATTTAGTCAAAGTGATAGTATTCAAATGACGACCCAAGGTTATAACGGCAACAGATGATCCATGTACTATGATGGATACTATAATGAAAAAACAGGTAATGGGCCAAATTATGGCAATCAATCGCCAATATTTGGTACCCTCCTCTGGAATGTGTTTCAAAGGGGTTTCTTCACCAGTTGCATAGCTTTCCAGTTCCGAACGAGCCAAGATAGCCGCAAAGATGGCGCCTACACCAATCGGCCCGAAGTGGCCCACAAACATTGCTTCTCTCCATGATTTGATATCTGGGATCATGGCTTTCACTGCCAAAACGGCTGGAATTCGGCGCAATGCGATGACCACTATGCCCAAAATAACAAGCCTCCAGGCGTCGAGTCCAAGCTTGGAATTGTTGAATTGTTGCCAAGGAATGATGGCTCCGAAATACACGAAATAGGCCAAGTTCAGCAACAAATCGATAATGGTGGAAATTTCACTTTCTTTGGTCTTGTTGGAAAACCAACCATCCCACGCAAACGCAGTTCCGGCGGCAAACGACACCAAAAGATCGTCTGCCCCGAGAATAGACCCAAAACCCGCGCAAATGAACGCTAAGCAGACGTAGAACGCTAAGAACGATTCTCGATCGATCAATTTGCGCTCCTCGGCGAACCTGATGGCTCGTCTTCCAGAGTAGCCTATCACTGCTCCCAGAATGCATCCGAACAAGCACTCGTAGAAGATCGTGACGCAAAACCACTCTTTAACAATCTCACCACCGTTACCGGCATGTGCCAGCAAGTTCAACGAAAGATAGATGAATGGAAATGCCATGCCGTCGTTACAACCACTCTCTGCAGATAGCAAATTTCTCAAATGGCCAGGGACACGCTGTGCAAACTTACCGGACACCACCGATTGGGCTAGAATTGGATCTGTAGCCGTGATACACGATGCGATCAGCAGCGCCTCTGGGAAGTTCAAGTTTGGGATGACGATCCACACAAATAGAGCAATGATGAGCCACCCAGCCGTCATCACCGGCAGTAGCAGCATCGATACCGAAACCCAGTGCTTGAGCATGTATTTTTTGGGCAGCTCAACGGCCACCGCAAAGATCTGCAAACACAGCACGATCCGCGTGATCTCCAGCGTGATCGAGTCCGAGTTCCCCCATTTCAAAGGGTTAAACCAATCTAGACAGTGGGGGCCTACGATCAGCCCGAAAATCACTGCTACTGTCGATTCACCGATGTACAGTTTTTCCTTCGCGAAAAGCGACACCAGCATGAAAATCGCTGAAAACACCCCCACGCACGCATATGCAACATGAGCGCTGGTAACCTGTTCCACCGCACCGGATGTTTGGTTAGTATAAGCTTCAAATTAAGAATCAACTGCCCATCTTGTGTCTATAACACAAAATGCGCTTTTTCTCCACAAGCAGAAGGCCCCACCCCTCAGCGTCTTGACACACAAGTAGCGTACCTCTAAGTGATCCCACACAGCCATAGTATCGACTGTTTGCGATAATAGGCTTGGTAGGCGTTTTATGGGTCTTTTATGTCTTTAGAAGCTGATCTTGTTCTTCGACAGATGTGTTGTGTAGCAAGAGGTTAGTTGAGGATTGGGCTTTTTCCTTGCTTTCCCCGGCGCAATCTAGAGCGTCACGTGATTGAATTGGGTGAGAAAAGGGCCCTTGGTGTGCACGTGACTATCATGTCATCAAGGGCTCTGAATCTTAAGATCATGTGACGTCAACAGTGGTGACGATGACGGTGGTGACGACGACAATGGTGACGACGACAATGGTGAACTCAGGCGACGACGGTGTGTGTAATTCCTGCTACTCGACACGCCTGACATCAATGGCGATTGAGACTTTTCTTCACAGATGCGACCAAATTTCGCAATTCTAAAACGCTGGCCGACGTGTCTCGTGGGTCCGTAGATGACGGCATTACTCTCAACGTGGGCGTAGAGAATGGAGAATCGAACGTCACATTCGATATCCCACTGGTGTTTGCCGCAGGCACGGCTATGGACGGCGTGGCAGCGTCATTGACGTGCGTCCGGGACGGCACAGGAGATGTCCAGGTGGACGTGGTGGCCTCCGCTCGTGGCCTCTCGGTTCTAATCTTCGCAGCCAGGTGCGACGGTTCCGACGACGCAATTGACGACGTAGACGACATGGACGACGTAGGTTTCACAAATGGTCGCACGGCCAAAGGTGTCTTGAACTTGTTTTGGTGACAATCCGAGAGTAGCACCGGCAGCTTGCGACGACGGGCCCGTGGTGATGCAGCCACGTGAGACTGCAAGTAGGCATATGTGTTGTTGCGGTCGCGCTCCTGCTGGTATTTCTGTACTTCAAGTTCCAGGGCCTTGCACAATTTGGAATCTATCTCGCGCGCGGTCTTATAATTTGCAGGCGTCGTAGAGCTCGCCTGCGAGCTCCTGGCCAACAGCGACAGGTTGCAGCTGCCACGCTTGGTGAGTTCCAGACTCACAGACTCCGCCACCTTTGCTAGGTGCTGTTCCAGAGTCCGGTGCGGACTGTCTCCGGCCAACTTCACTATTTGAACGCTTTTTAAAGCTGCTCCAAAAATCTCCGAAATTCGATCCAATTTCAGCAATTTGGATATGCGTCCGTCCGACAGCGGGTTTTCGGTGGATTCCCAGTACACAACCATGATGGACACTTTGAAGTTAGTGTTAAGTGCCACGCCATGAACGAGCTCAATCAATTTTTCTCCATCCTGTTTGAGCTTCACCTCCAGGTCGAATATATCGCTTTCTGTCACACCACTATTGAAAACGAGCAACTGCAAGTTTTTAAAATTCTGGGGCGAAAAATTACTTGCCACTGCATTTACCGCCAGACATAGAGTTTCATTTTTTAATTTCAACATTCTCTTGCTCGTTCCCTGTAGACCAAACTTGCTCAAAAGCCAACGAGCTGATATGCTGTTCCAGTTTCTTGAATAGACCGATATCTCGATCTGTATTGGCTTTACCAGGCTCACATGCTTCTCTGAGCATAATCGACTTGCGTTCCTCTCTATAGCGCTGAGATAAAGCGACTTAAGGTCAAGTGCATTCCATATAGCGGTGTTTGCGTGCACTGGAGTCTTGAATTGGCTCACTTCGTTCGGGGTTGGCGTGTGCATCACTTGGTTTTGGTGCACCGAGGGCAAAGTGAACGAAAAGCTTAAAACTGGCGTTGTTTCCACTTTATGCCGTTTAACCTGAGGTACGCCCAGGTATCTACCGACCTGAGCGAGCTCCTCACTTCTTTTCTTGTCGAGTTCTCTTTGTTCACATTTCTTGGAATACTTGCTTCTCCAGAATCTCATCGCTTGCTTCAGACAGCTTGCTTTATGTACAAGATCCGCCTTTGTTTCCAGCGTCAAGAGAAAGAGCGTTTCGTGTAAAAAAGCCTGATATAACTCTTCCGCCAAGATGTGTACTGTTCGCGCTTTTTTGGTGCTCGAGACCAACTGCTTTTCGACAATTGCCGAAATTTGCTTGTGTACCACATCCTGAAGAACGCTTTGTGCTACCAAATTGGCTGCTTTAGAATGCAATTGAGCCCTTTCTCTCGCCTGCTGTCTCTTTACTTCCAGTTGTTGTGTTTCTTTCTGTTGTTGCTCCTCTAATAACTTTCCTTCCCTCGTTTCCTTCAGTCTCTTTTGCTCCTCGATTTTCCTCTGGACAACGTCTTTCTTTTGAAGCTTGGCGGCAAGCCCATTCTCATTATATTCCTCGTCTTTGATAATGTTTTTAGATTTTTGTTTTGATGCCTCTACATTGTGGGCTAGAAATTGATTGTCAGTCGCATTGTTTTCAAACTTGACGGATGTCCCGAACTGCTGACTTTTTGTTGCATTCTGCAAGCTGAACTGGGGACCCTCGGAACGAGCACTCCAGTCGAAACTTGGAGTCGTGGCAGGGCTATTTTCATTCGAACGCGTTTTGTATAAAGAACTGTCATTTACACTATGGTATTGTTTTGCGTTTTTTGTGCTAGAAAATGGAATAGTGTCAATATTGGGTTTTCCACAATCTATCAGTTCTTTGGGACTTGATTTGAATAGCTTTTGATTTACGACCTCCAAATAGCTTTGCTTGAGTGGACTTTTCTCTGGGATGGTATGAGAGTGATGAGATAGCGATGTCAGCTTCACACCCTCTTGATTTTGCTCAATAGAATAGTACTCGCAAAATTTAATCAGCTCGTCGTCATTATTGAACATCAATTCAGTTCTTAAGAAGTCAAAAAGAACGGGCTTATGTTTTTTGTTAATTGAATGACTCAAAGATTTTACTGCGTAGAAACGCACTTCATTGAGATGAACCTCTAAAAAGGACGACATTAAGAACGGAACCACATCCAACTTTATCAGCTCGAAAAACCTCTTGTAAAGATTGACACCATTCTCAGTTTTGATGTGACCCCGCTCGGAATATGTTGAATTCGAAAGTATCCTCCGGAAGCACAGCGCCAATTGAACCATATCGTCATCGAAAATTGACTGTGGAAGAGACTGTGCCATTCTGTCGTACTCCGGATCTCTAACTCTACTCAGCAAGGAGTATGCACGAAACTCGGCCTCATTTGGGGATTGGCCACCACTGGCGCGAACCTCGTCGTAAATTTCTGAGAGTGTGATTAAGGCTTTGTGCAATTGTTCGAGTTCTTGTTGGCGACTATACTCAACGTCGCTCGTAGCCATGACGTGCAATATCAGCAGGTGTACACGAACGATTCTCTCATTGCAGTCTACTGCTTCGGGACCGCTGTAATTCTGATACGTGAAATCTTGCCTTATGGAGCGCATCCGGTCCCAAAGAAATCCTTCACAATCTGGCAACTTGGATATGATGTTGTTCACAATATAGTCCAACGTCTTGACCAAAACCTGGGGCGGTCTCACGTCTGATGGCAATGGAGGGGCAGCTGCGGCGGCTGGTCTTGCAAAGACTTTTAGCGCTTTTTGCCTTGAAATCGCTTTGGTTTTTCCCTTTTCTCTTTCGTACCGGACCACATTGTTTTCCACACTTCTGCGTGCACGTTCAAAGATGGGACACATATCCTGACAGGTGCCCTGAAAAATGATAGCGTCGTTCAAATCCTTTGCAGAGTCGGCTCGATCCACGAGCTTTTTGTCCTCCATAACACGTCTTTCCGTTTCACGCATTTTTTTGAACGTTTCCCAAAGCTCAGTGGAGTCCGATATTTGGCTTTCAATAGCAAGCATTTTCTGCTGGTTTTCGTAATCCCATTTATCTTGGACAAAAGGTCGGGGCTTCAAACTAGGTTTTTGTTCTATCAAGTATTTGGGTGTTCCCCTAGGTTTATGCAAGACTCGCTTGAATCCCAGCTCTTCTGGTGACGAACATAAAAGAGGGCCAGACGCTCTCGACTCCATATACCCATTGAATGTAGCTGAACGCTGCGAATTTGGAGCAGAAAATGTCTTTGAAAATGGTGTCGTTCTGTCACGTCCCAATTGATCTATACTGTTTGTAAAAGCACCGCCTTTTTGGCCTTTAGCCGAGCTTCGACCCCTTTCTCGCTTAAATCCTTGCATTTGGCAAGAGACGCCATTTTCGCCAGTGGAATCCTGACCATTGGCGAGGAACTGGAAATTCGAAGATGGGACTGCTGCTCCAACAGCCGAGCTCATGATACAATATGAGCTTCAGGCGGTCAAATTGGCCACTTTAGCGTTGTATAATGATATATTTTACAGGTTGTGAACTTTCCTCTGTTGTAGATGGTCTTCATCAACTATATCGTTATAAGAATATATATACTCATATACGAAGATGGCCTACCTCGAATATCCAAGAAACATGCTGGTCAGACATCCTCTCTTACCACTAGCCAGCCGAACCAGAGCTTGGTCGGTACGGGTTTGATAATATTTTGTGGCCATTAAGGCAACGTTTGGAGATTTTAACAAGGCTCAGAAATTCAATTTCACAGGTCTCCACAAATTACAGTAGTTTCCAGGGCATATAGAACTTTATGAGCATTGTAAGGGCCGCTGCGAGGAGATGTGCGGAATCTAAATTTGGATTATGCCAAGAGATTTTCATGTTTTTACGAGGAATCACTCTTTCAGTTTCATGTAGTAGAGGCCAAACCTTGTGGCTTCTATATCTGCGTCTAAAATCGCATAAACTCGTAGTTTGAAATCCACAATGGCACACTCAAGAAAAGTCTGAATAATGTCTTGGTCTCGCAGTTGAACACCCACAAGAGCTGTCGAGACGTGGCCCAGTTCCTTGTAGGCTCTCATTAGACCCTGAACGATGCGCAGAAATGGTTCTATCAAATACTCGTTGTACACCACGTCCACGGATATAATAGTCACAATGGCCCTACGGTCAGGTTTGAGCAGATTGTGTAGGTTTGCAGGTCTAGGGTCCAATTTTTCCCAGTCGAGACACAAAACGTCCATTTGAGTCTTCAACGGGGTTTTGCGCGGTGACGCAAAGCCCAAGGTGGTCGAGTCCATGCCTCTGAGTCTCAGCTCGTCTATGTTATGCGCCACGTTGTGTTTGAGCCGGTCCAAAAGCGCTTTTTGGTCCGTTAATACGTATTTGTCCACGTAGTTGCCCAATGCGATACCCAAAATACCAGCTACCCCGCATCCCAGTTCTACAATTTGCCTCAATGGCTGATTGTCGGCTTCGATGCTTGGATCGCTGAACATCGCCGGGACGTTGCAACATTTGGCAGGTGTTTCTTCATCGCAACGCAAATCTCCTCCATTTGTGAACAGCAGTCCGGTATCAGAATACAACAGCCATTGCAGGAAAAATGGAGTGGTGGACCAGACCACGTAGCCAGTGGTGGAGTTGTCGTTGATCTTGGAGGAATTCAGTGACGACAGCGATTGCGAGACCTCGAAGGAAAACCGTTCCTTTCTATGGCATTTTTTGGCGTCTTTGGGCTCAAAATCGAGATCCACCGAACTTGTCGACCTTGAGACTATGCCCAGATCTTGTTTCAGCTTATTAGCATTTTTCTGTAAGTAGGTATACCTCTCAAATACGTGTTCGTAGGCTGTTTCCTCATCCAAAAGAACCAGTCTCGCGGAGCTCTCAGGCATTTTCCAATCGGTGAAGCGTATGCTTAGCCGAAGTGCTGATCAATAGTGGAGACTCAAGTTCATTTCACCAGAGTACTGTCCAAGAAGCTTTTGACTTTCAATTAAGCACATCTAGTGGTACTCTAGGAAAAGATAATATTAAATTTAACTCGAATACTTCTACTGTATCTATAAGGTCTTGCGTGAACTACATTAAAAACTTGAACTGTACATTATTCAGATGAAGTTCTTGGCTAGTAGGATTTCGGCAATCAAGATACCGGCACCAGCGGCCCCAATGACGGTGTTGTGCGACAAAACCACCATTTTGAAGTCCAGCACTGGGTCTTCTCTCACTCTGCCGACGCTGACACCGTAGCCATTGTCACGGTTTCTGTCTAGTCTAGGCTGAGGTCTATCGCTCTGTTCCAAGACGTGGATGGTTTGCTTTGGAGCGGAGTAGCACCCGAGCTTGGCAGCAGCACAAACGTACTCGTTCATGGACTTCTTGAGCTGTTCAAGAGATGGAGGAGGCTGGTTCTTAAACTTGAACGAGATGCACTCGGTGTGGCCGTCGGAAACAGGAACTCTGTTGCACTGAGCAGACACTCTCATCTGCTCGTCGGGCAAGTTTACCACGGTGCTGTTGTCGTCAGAAAGCGCACCTAAAATCTTTCTGGTTTCCCATTCCATCTTGTCCTCTTCACCGCCAATGTAAGGCACGATGTTGTCGAGGATGTCGATACCAGAGACACCTGGAGAGAAGCCGGCTCCGGAAATGGCCTGCAAAGTGGTGGCAGTCAAGAGTTCGATGGGGCCGAAACTGTCGACCAAAGGCTTCAAAGGAGCAACGAGACCCGCGGTGGAGCAGTTGGAGATACACACGATGAACCCGGGTCTGCCGGTGCCGGCCTTTTGCGCAGCGTCGAGCTTTTGGCCCACGATCTCCAGGTGCTCAGGGTTGACGATTGGCACGATCAAAGGCACGTCCACTTCGCGACGGTAGTTTTTGGCGTTGGAAACGACGGCCAAACCGGCCTCTTTGAACTCTTTTTCGATGGAACCGGCGTAGTCCGCGTCCAGACCTGAGAATACCACAGCACACTCTTTGAAAGCCTCAGCTTTGCATTCTGTGACGACGATATTCTTGGCAAACTCTGGCAAAAGTTCAGTTTGTTTCCAGTTCACGGCATCCACGTATTTCTTACCAGCTGATCTGGGCGATGCACCTAGCACTTTCAGTTCGAAGTCTGGGTGGTCTGTCAGCAGCAAAATGAATCTTTGTCCCACGGAACCGGTGGCTCCCAAGACACCAACAACTTTTTTAGCACACATTTTACTCACACTTACAAGCGAATGAAGATCGGTTGGAAAACGAGCCGAACTCCGTACGTATGTCTTGCGAATGTCAAATTTACCGTCTTTATATTTGCTGAAATCTTTTTGTCAAAATTTTGTATGGGCAGACAACTCACTGTAAAAGATACCCGGTTACGAACTCGCGATAGAATTGAGTCACCGAACACAGCGGTGGTCAAAGAGCTACACTGGGAACAGTAATGCTGTGGTATTTTTGAGTTCTGCAAAGTAACTCCGTTTTTCACGATCTTGCGTATGCTAAGAGGCTTGATGACACCAGTAAATATGTATTGTACATTGAAAATTGGCAGATATTAATATATGTAGAAGCGGGATGGGATAACTCTATTGGGCGTCGAGCACGGCTGGCGGAAGTCCCTTGAAGTCGCGCTCAATTCTGCGAAGTTGAGCGACCGCTCCCGATGCATCTGTGTCGCCCTCACTTTCACGTTCCTGAATGAACTGGCCCAAGAACTGCAGCACCTCGCTCTCGGAGACGTGTTGGCGAGAACCAGGGTGCATCACCACTGGACGGTCCAGCGTGTTGTGTGGTGTTCTTCTGCTTCTCATGGTTAGCAGATGAGGCAGAGTTGTGAACAAGAGACGGAGTCTGATGAAGAAGAGATGAGATGAGATGAGATGAGATGAGAGACTGGCGACATATATGGTGGATTGAGATCAGATTAAATTGGGAAAAAAAGATGCGAGTCACGTGCTAAGATGAGAGCTTGTCAAAGGTTAAATTTAGGTCGTCAAAGAAGCGTTGGCCCGGGCTATCTTACGTGACGAGAAAGTGTTGCGATTATTAGAAGAGGGAAAACAAATATGTGAGTGTGGGGATGCCCTCTGTTTGTCCTGTAGCGTTGCCAGCGTAGAGTGTGCTGGTGTTCGTTGGACGTGATCTTTATACCAATCAATGTAATTGGGATGTTCATGGTGAGGGGGGTGGGCTAGATCCTTAGAGTATGCCATCGGGACGGGTAGTGGAAGCCAGAGGCTTTCAGAGTTCTCTGTCGTCATGAAAGGGGGAGTCTGCCTTTGAGACAGCTACCCACAGCTCCCCACGTCATTGATGTCATATTCGTGTATAGTGATTTCTTGTCTGTCTGTCAAACATTTACGCCACCCCAAAAGAGAGCACATTGGGACGTCTTTAGACTGAATCTCTATATTTCTGACCCAGCCGTTACTCGGATTGTATAACCTCTTGGCTTGATCCAAGGTCTCTCACACAGCCACTTATACCAATACACGTTCTTGAAAATTAAACCTTGTGTCACGATATTGAACATTCACTCATGCCTTAAAGAGAACCCACTAACTACGCATGCATATACGAAGAGGGCCCTGGCTCAAGAAAAAGGCAGAGCACATAATCTAACTCTGGACCGACGGCAATTGTACCCTTCACCACGCTATAAATTACTTACGCAGACACACTCTGAATTGTATCAATCGTGTCGTTGAGGGAAAAATGCCAGTCTCCAGCTGGCTCAACAATAAAATTCAGATATCCTGACATAATGCAACTCAGAGCATTCAACAGCTCACCTTTAAAACTGCGTTTGATCACGCCCAAAACATCACGTACGTATGAAATGATGTGTCAGTTTTTAAAAAGCTCGACACTCAAATCTCATTTTCAACACCACAAGTTGTGCTTCAACTCACTCCATAGTCCTTCGTAATCTGCTGGATACTGGCTCACGTTTTTCCCCCTACGCTCACCAGGCCAGACTCCGCTTATTGTCACTTCACGCTTTATTGCAAATTAGCACGGGCTTACTATAGGGTTACCCGGCTGTCCCTGGTGGCCCTTTAAAATGGTATAAAAAGAGCCAGGCCCCAGCATTTAAAGTTTTCCACTCTTCCACTTGTCCTAGCTTTCTCGTGTTAGCCAATTGACAAGTATACGACCATAATTAACCATGTCTAACGTATTTTTCGACGTCGAAGTTGACGGCCAACCATTGGGTCGCATCACTTTCAAGCTTTACAACGATGTTGTGCCAAAAACCGCCGAAAACTTCAGAGCCCTGTGCACTGGCGAAAAGGGTTTCGGCTACACTGGCTGCCCATTTCACAGAGTGATCCCCGACTTCATGTTGCAAGGTGGTGATTTCACTCACGGTACCGGTGTCGGTGGCAAGTCCATCTACGGCGGTAAGTTCCCAGACGAGAACTTCTCCAAGAGACACGACAAGCCAGGTTTGTTGTCGATGGCCAACGCTGGTCCTAACACCAACGGCTCTCAGTTCTTCGTCACCACCGTGCCATGCCCATGGTTGGACGGCAAGCACGTCGTCTTCGGTGAGGTCACCGGTGGCCAAGACGTTGTCAAGAAGATTGAGTCCTTGGGTTCTCCTCACGGTACCACCAGAGGCCGCATCGTGATTGCCAAGTCTGGTGAGTTGTAAGCGGAAAAAAAGCGCGCTTCCCGCTACGAATTTCGGGCTTTTACGTACACATAGTATATATATGACTAAAGTAAGGATTTCTGAAATAAGAAATAACGAAAAGGTGGGCACGGCATGACTGCCGGGTGGGTGGTAGGTGAATGTGGGTTGAAGGTTGGTGCACCTTTGCAAATCCGTCTGGTTGCGGAAACCGCTAAGGACCCATATTAACGTCACTTTGTACATCTCCGTCGTTGACGTGCTCATCAGGTGATAAAAGCATTATTCAACCAGGCTTCGAATAAACTTGACCAGACGAATGACAGACTAGTTAAAGAACAATTTCAATCGCGGTTCGGTAACAAATCACATTCTCAATGCTCCGATCAACTAGACCCGTCAGTTTACGTTCTTTAACATATACGGCTCCAAAACTACTTTGACAACCCCGACAATGTAGCTAGACCTGATGTCTGCTAAATGGAAAAATAAGGCGAATAAAAATGCAAATAGAACTCTCAGTACGCACCAGCTCTCAACATCTTCCGGGCCAAATTCAATTAACGAATATCTTTTAAATTTCTCGCGACCGGTGCTGTCACAACCACTTTCTCGGGCAATATAAATGACACTAGAATCGCCAAAAAGGGTCCCAAGTAGAGAAATGTTCGTCGTGGAGATGCTAAAGCTGCTCGAATTGCATCAAATGTGCTGTCAGTGCCATGGCTTGGCCATAGCCTTAGTTTGTTTACACGTCCGTACGATGTGACATTTGATTATTACCGTTATTTTAATTACATAGGGCTTTTTAAAACCCATTTGAAATCTTATGAAACAACAAAGTGCCAGTCCGGACAGCTCCATTACGCCCCCAAAGCTCTACAAGCTTCTTTCTGCGACTCTAATATTTCACCAGGTCACTATATCTAACCTTTATTTCGATGGATTCGCTGTCAAAGAAGATCCAAAATTTGGGAATTCACGATATCAGAAACGCTGCTCGATTTGCGCAAAACGTTATAGTCCAGTATGAACCCTACCAAGTTGACATTCGGCGTGCAACCAACACGGACTCGTGGGGGCCCACGCCAAAACACCTGTTCAAGGTTATGCGCAACAAGTACCAAGTTCCTTTGCATTTGATGACTGAATACACGTTGAAAAGACTGGTAGACCACATCGCCACAAGGCCCAAGAACCTTTACGAAAAGGCACGTAAGCAGTATGTCAACTACGGGTGCGAATGGCGTGTGATTTTGAAGTGTTTGGTCGTTTTGGAGTTTTTATTGTTGAACGTTGACACAGGCTCAGAGCTCGACCAGGTCACCAGCTGCTTACTCACGCATAAACAAATCTTGGTTCGCGACGTGATGAACTTCCGGGTGGAATTCAGCGCAGACGGCAAAATGGAGGTGCACGAACGTGGTATCAAAAAGAAGTGTGAGACCATGATTCAGTATTTGGAGGATCCTGCGTTTTTGAAAAGGGAACGCGCTAAACATGTCAAAAACGCGGCCAAGATTCATCATTCTGCAACTTCTTACTCAACCACAACGTCTGTACCTTCATCGGGTACCCCAGATGCGGTCTACGGCTCCTACGATGATGACGACGACGATGACGAAGAACCTTACACAGTAAATACATCTGCTCCGGCCTCAAATACCCCCGCAGCCAGACGCAGAACTTCTGCTGTGGACGAGCAACGACGCCAGAAGCGGGAAATTCTACGGGAAAAGATCAAAGCGAGCGAGCTTCAGCGTAAAGCATCATTAAAGAAAGCACAGGAGCCGCCCGTAGACCTATTGAGCTTCGACGATGTCGAACCGGCCGCACCAACTCAAAATCAAACGCGAAATGGGTCTAAAAGAGTTTCCAGCTTTGAACCTCCTGCTGCACTTGCCGACGATGACGATGACGATGATTTTGGCGAATTTCAGAGCGACGGTAATGCTCAAACAGCATCTACAAACACGACGAGCAGTACAACTGGTGGTATGGATCTACTAAACTGGGACGGTCCTACTACCACTACCAAGCCAAGCGCCGGAGCTAATGGCAACTCAAAAGATGCATTTGCGGATTTGTTTTCGTATTCCAAAACCCATGCTTAAGGCTGCTTCGACTAACCTTTCTACCTCCCATTATTATTCATTATAAAAGCTCTGTTTTGTCAAAAGCCAATAGTGATTTTAACTCTGTAATTTACAATTTTATATGGAATGCAAATGCTTAAGGAAAATAGATGGTCGGGTTTTCTTACTCTTCCTCCGCATCTTCGCTGCCGTCTAGACCTTGTTCGAAAATCTGTCTGCCGGTCAACTTGCCGCCGTGGGCATCTTTCTTGCGCGCAGCGTCTCTTTCATTACGTCCGGTTTCTTCACGAAACCTGGCCCTCCATTCGAGGTACGATTCTCGGGTAACTTTGGTCCCGTGGAATTTCTTCTGCTCTTCCTTCTCACGGGCCGCGAGTCTACGTTCGTGCTCGTGCTCCAATTCAGCCAATTGTTCTTGGAAAAACCTCTCGCACGATTCTTTTAGCCACGAAACCAGTGCGAAAGTCATTTGCATGCCGATAAGCATATCGTCGTTGGCTTGGGATTCGACCTGAGATTCGAGCGCGCGAACATGGTCTTCGAAACTGACCTCATCCGGCAAGTTGGATAGTTTGGATATAAGGGGATTACCGTGGTCATCGTACTCAACTTCAGAGTCATCTTCGCTGTCGTTATCGTTGTCGTTATCGCTGTCGTCGTCTGCCACGCCGGCTTTCTTTGCTTCTTCACATTCTATGCTGACTGTGGGCACCACATCTGGATAAGTTTCTGAAAATCTGATATTTATCACAATCCAGTGATCTTTAGTCAAAGAATCAGCTGTAAAGGAAGAACTGTCTAGCGGGACGAGATCTAATGGTAGCTTGACTTCGAATTGAGTGTTGGGAAAATTGTTGTTAATCACAGTGAGCTCATCTGGGTATATGGATTCTAGCACTTCCAATTCCTGGGTTTGCTCTTGCTGATAGTCCATGACAGGAAAAAGGCGCGGGCTAAGCTGGGGAAAGGTGGAAAGCGAGTAGCGTTGTGGGTCTTGGATGCGGGAAAGCGATGGTTAAAGCTTATTATATATGCTGGTTAGTATTTCATTATTGAAGAGTAGTTCAGATATATTCGTGTAGAGTGATAATGATTGGGATGCGCTTCGTGTCAGTATTGACAAAGGTGATATGAAGTTGTAAAGCAGGAGAGGAGCACGTAAGGGCGTGGAGATGGGTCTGGAAAAGGCAGAAGAGGCAATGTGGCGTCGTTGTCATTGAGGGTGGGACACACAGTATGGTGGTTAAAAAGAAGCTTTCATGAAACCACGGGACCATGAATAACTGATTAGTACAAAGTGACCTAAGAGAATGTCACGTCATAATCACGTGACTCAAAGAAAAGATTATGTAATCAGAATACTACTACTACCGTAAAACTAGGATAAAAAACGAACTACTGAACAATTAGGAGCGTCAGCAATAAAACTTATATATTTTGAACAGTTTAAAGCGCCAGCGATCAATTGTGACTAAAAAATTGACCTAGCAATGTCATTTTTACCCGTTGTAATTGGCTCACAAGCTTACTTGTAGCCATCCTGATCATTCCAATTGAGAGCGAACTGTTTGTTTGATGACTATTTCTAAAGAGTTTGTAGCACAACTGAACAACTGTGAAAACGTAGGATTGAGATTAGTTTTTAGATAGAGTCTCAAGTACTAGGTATCTTCGCTACTGCCCGCCTTCGCTGTCGATTGTTCGGTACTACCACAAGTTGGCGCTCACGTGATACAATGACAGATGCTGGCCAAGCGACGATAACACTACGAGCGCTACCACTGGGAGCTCATAGGGAATGAGTACGACAGAGGATGAGTGCGTTCGGAAATTGTCATATCTGTAGATAACTCGAGCGGCAGTAATATCAAAAGCTCTCTACATTTCAGTGATTTTTATAAACCACATGCTCACTCACAATTGGAACAGGGGGGGGATGGACATTGTTCGGAGCAGTTTCGTTCAATTACAGCATATGAATTGCTTGTAGTGTTTGTATTCATCTTGTTTGCTGCCATCTTTTGACGCCCAATTATTCACTAAAAGTTTTAAGCACTCACATACTGCGAGTAATGTAATTCTCCTCGATCGGTCGCTAATACTCACAATGTGGCACTTCCAATCAAGAGCTCTCAATACCCGCAATTTACTCGTACTCGTGCCTTCGCTATTTAATGAGCTCTTCCTCACAAGCGATCGCTGATGCTCTCGATCATTATTGTCCGCAAGTAACAGCTGTGAAGTTTTGATGTTAAAAGCGGTTCTCAAACTCTCGATGAAGTAGACACTCCTAGTACTTCTGAATAATGTTTTTCACGCTCTCGAAGGTACCCTGACGCTTATGGATACCTTGCACATCGAATTCCATGGCTAAGAGTCAAAAAAAGCTCCAAGTTATCTAGGCGAGTTTTCTTAACATCTGGCAGTGCTTACGGTACTCACTATTTATCGGTCATGCTTCCAACCGATCGATCACATTTCAAGCTCTCTAATCATTCACAATTGAGTTTTTTGAAACATCAATAATACTACATGGCCTCCACTTGTTCACAACGAGCACAGGGCGCTTGCCCTTTCAATTGCAGCTATGGCATAGCAGTAACAGAACTTTGTTCAAAAGGTAAGTCATCATACATGTACCACGGGACGTCTGTTTGTTCACAATTGATCACTGATAGTTGTGTTTGAGTTCATCATACGCGCCTACAGTCAGATTCTAGCGTTTATTTGTGCTTGAAATCATCTTACGTATTCGAAATTGATCCCGAGCGCTTTCAATTGCTTCAGAGTGCTTGAAGCTTCCTCTGCTGGGCCTCCTTTTATTTAAGACTGATCACAGAGGCTCGCAATTACTTGTGGTCATTATAAAAATTCTCACTTGATCGCCGATGCTCTCAGTTATTCAAGAGTGTTTGTAGCCTCCTGTGCATTTACGATCGAATGCTGGCGCCCTTAACTGCTCGATAATGCAAAAAGTTCTCCACTTGCTCTGTAACACCAAGATTTCTCCAATTATTAATAATTGATCGCTGAGGCTCTCGACTGTTAACTCATACTATAAGTTCCCAACTTCTTAGTTGATCGCATACGCCCTCAATCGTTGCTTATAGCCATTTCTGGTTTCTACTGACTTTCAATTGTTCAGTAGTGTTCATAATCAATTATAATACTCTCAATGGATCACCGAAGCTCTCAAATTCTGAAGGAAAACTTTGAGTCACCCCGCATTTTGACAATCAATCGCTGACGCTCTTTGTCCAGAAGTGCTCATAGTAGTGCTTATAGCCTAATTCACTCACACTCTCAACTGTACTCGAAATCGCCGTGGTACTGTACTTATCCTGAAAACTACTGGGTTCCACTTGTTCACAATTGATCGCTGACGTTCTCAACTGTTCAGGTTTACTTGAAGCCCGCCTACATAGTTCACGATCAATTGCTAACGCTCCCAACTGCTCAGTAATGCTTGAAGCCTCGTTCACTAACACTCTCGGCTGTAATCGTACTTATCAGTAATTAGGCTTTCAGTATTTCACAATTGGTCGCTAACGCTTTCGATTGTAAAGCAATACTCGAAGCTGTTCTAAATATTTCACAATTGATCACCGAGGTTTTCAATCGTTCATTCATGCTTATAGCCACTGTACTTATTCACAATTGGTCGCTGACGCGCAACCATTTGTACAATAGTACTCGGGAGTACTCGCACTTTTTAGTAAAAGTACTAGGCCTTTACTCGTTCACAATTGATCGCAAGCTCTCGATTGTTCAATAATGCTTGCAATTACTCAACGAAATTCACAATTGATCACTGACGCTCTCAATTGTTCATTCATGCTTATAGCCACTGTATTAATTCACAATTGATAGCTGACGCTACCAATTGTTCAATAGTACTCTCACTTTCTAATAGAACTACTAGGCCTTCGCTGGTTCACAATTGATCACTGACGCTCTCAATTGTTCATTCATGCTTATAGTCACTGTATTAATTCACAATTGATAGCTGACGCTACCAATTGTTCAACAGTACTCATGAGTACTCGTGCATCTCCTCCGGGTAACACCACATACAGTCACCCTACACGGCTCCTCATCTCACACTTACCTAAGCCAACCAGATGACGAAAATGAGAGGGACATACATAAAGAAAGGCATACTTTACTCAATTTATATTATAGGATCTTAAATACCAACTTGCACATATCATATCACAACATTTTATCGCCACCAAGTGAACTACAAATAACGCTACAACACACAAACGGCGTAGCTCTATAGTGGCACAAGCGTATAAAACAAGACTTACGAGGGAACAAAAGAGCTGGTAGACTTGTTAGCGGGGAAAATCTTACTACAACTTGCTTGCTAGGAAGACATCGGACCAACAAACCAGACAAGCTCTTTGTGAGGAAAAACACGGAATAGACGAGGTCAGTGAAGTAACGTTAACGAGGTTTCTGGGGCTTTAAAGGATTTTTTGTTTTTCTCTCCCTCTCTTTCTCCCAGTAAGTTAAGAAAGATGGAACACACACGCACACAGACTAATACGCCCCCAGCAGAAACAGTGGGTTTGCATGGGGATCCCCGTAGAGAGTCAAGAGACCCCTCTGGGTCGAAGAGCGGGTGTAGCGCCAAGAACAAGGCTGTGAACCCAGCATCGGCAGCGGTGGCGAACCCTTCGTCGTCGTCGTCTTCGGCTTCGTCGGTTCCGTCGTCAGGCTCGTCATCGCCTGCGACGGTAGGCGAAGATGTAGCTGGCACTGGAATTGCAATTAGAGCTGGGGTAGAAGTCGGATCTGGATGTGAGGCTTCAAACGAGCCTGTGGTTATCGGTGCAACAGCTCACGCCCAAGATAACGAAAACAAGCGTTTGGAACGTGACTACGTGGGCGATATCCGTACATCGCCAGACCACGGGTCCATCACTCCCTCGGTGCAATCGCAACACGCAGGTCACACACATGAAACGCATCCGTCGGCCGTGGCGTTCGCATCATCTGAACACAACCTTTTCCCAAGCACCACCGATACCATTTTCAAGCCCTTTGATGCCAAGACAGGCTGTTTCTTGGGTCCTGGTGGCGGGATGAACCCGCCAGCTACCTCTTTGGAACCGCAGGCTGGCGCTCCCGTGAACGAGGACGAGCAAATACCGTCTGCAGCTTGCTACAAGGTGAATTTGCCCGCTTTGGCGTCTCTAAAGGCCTCTGCAGGCAAAAGCAGCAAGTTGAGGTCTCTCTCGGTGCCCTCGATCTTACATTCATCTTTGCGAAGCATGGGGTTGTCAAGCGCACGGGGCTTTTTCGCCGCACAACAACAACAGCACCTTTTACAGCAAAAGGAGAGACAACACCAACATCAACAGCAACAGCAGCAGCAGCAGCAACAGCAACAGCAACAACAACAGCAACACAGACACCAGCAACACCAGTCGCAGCTTACACAACAACAAGAAATACAACAGAAACTGCCCAACGAGCAAATCCCTCACGCACAATTCCCACCTCAGCAATCTGCTCTACACATGAACCGTGGGATCAAGAAGAAAAAACAAAGCAAGCACTCCGCCTCGTTACGGCACGCTCTTCTAATGCATCAGAGTATCCAATCTGCAAATACCAAAATCAGCATCACAGACCGAATCAAGTATCTGGAATCATACCCGGGGCCAACGCCATTGCCACCCATTAATCTCCAGTGCTTAAAGGAAATTGACCTACAAGAGATTGTGAAGAATCCTCAATTGCGACACGACATAATATTCGATCCTCTTTTACAGTTCAGACCCAACCTGGACGGCGAAAGAGGTCTTAAGAAGAAGCAAGTTTCCGACAAATATTGGTATGACGTGGAGAACGAACTTTTTGTTTACAAATGGAAGCCGGATGCTTTCAAGTTGGAGCAGACGCGACTAATACCTCTTTTTAACAGTTTGAAAGAGGTCTTGATCACCATTGTTCCTCAAAAAGAGGTTCATACGGTACAAAACGTTTTGGACACAGAGCTACTGGTTCAAGAATTACTTAAAGGATCGCTCATGATGTCTAGCTTTGCCGACTGGCTCGCTCGGCTTTTCAAACACCATTGTGCACCTATGAGAGATCCTTGGGTCGATAAAATGAGCTCCAAGTTCAAAGAGTCTGAGGATGAAAAATCGGTCCCAAAGCTTGTTGAAGGTTTGAGACTTGTATTCCAGATTCTAGAAGCGATGAAGCTCGATATTGCAAACCACCAGATCCGCATTTTAAGACCCGCGCTATTGAGTAATGCTGTAGAGTTTGAAAAACAGTACTTTCAGTCACTGATGACCAGCAATAGAGTTGACCTGAAGTCGTCTTTCAAATGGTTTCAAGATAAATGTGTTGAATATCAGCGGTCGATGACCACGCCTAGTGAACGTCTCAAGGCTTCGGAGGTCTACCGCTTATGCATAAGGAGTATCATCAGTCTTCTTTCGTGTCGAAAAATGGTTAGGGAGTATCCAACCTCGTTGTCTTTTGACCACGCGCGTCTGATTCTTCTCAGAGCAGACATTAGGCAAATTGTCTGTCTCTTGGTTTGCCGTCTACTGTTCAAGCAATTGGTGGCCAATGACACGGCTATGGACAAACCTACTAAGGACCACATATTGAACTCTTACAGCAATAAAAAGCTGAAAGATGAGATTGTTAGCATAATAACGGACGAACACGGCAATTGTAGATGGACGAAAAATACCATGGCCATTGCAATTCACTTTTGCAAAACCATAACGGAATTGAAACAAGATTTTTTGTTACAGAGAACCATGGAAGATGTCACACTGACGCGTTCCGCTACGGACATGCACCCAATCGTTCAGGCTCCGTCTTTGAACAACGCACAGATCGACTTTGCGAAATCGTGGCTTTCAAAACAAACCCAGCCTCTAAGTGAGGTTTATGGCGTTTTAGAGACCCGTGTTTTACAGCAATTAGAGAACAGCATTTTTTCACGGTCCGGCTGTACCCAGGATGGAACTATCAAGCAAAATTTTGTTCATCTCTGCAGCACCATGACTTCAAACGGACCATCCCCGTCCACGAATTCCGCTTCAATAACAAAGCGTGGCTCACCAGCGAAAACTGGCAATTCTTCCACCAATTTCAAGGACGCATTTGGCTCCCAGCAGCAAACGGGCTCCACCCAGGCCTCGTCCGGTCTTGCCTCAATTGACATGGACGAGTTCGAAAGCCTTTTCTGCCATTTATATACGTTGGTGAATTTCCACTGGTCGGTTTTTGGGTGTCTCTACATGGATTATTTAGGAGACAAAATGGAGGACATTAACTGAAAGGACATTTAAACAAATAAATAGCATTTAATCAGACTTTGGTATAGTACTGACACATTGGTTAGTTATGTCGATCTCTGTCATCAAAAATGCTTATGTACGGCTGTGACAATCGACATTTTTGAAAATTCAACGTTGTGGTTAAACAACTAACTTAACCAAAAACAAGAACATCATTGAACTAACCTCTATCCTGTTTTTACCTGCTGCGCAGGCGTTTGATAACTACCCCAGCTCAAGATTTCAAATCACTGACCGTTTTCCCTCGTTTTAATCAAGCCGTTTTCGGGGTAGTATCAAATATCATCAGTTGGGCAATTGACACGAGTTTAGAAGTGTGGAGAGCAAGCAGTTGAAAGCGAACGTTTTCAATTTAAGCTCATCATTGTAATGAGCTTCTCCACCAAAAACTTATCGCCACTTGATGGTCTCAGACGCAACTCGGAAGACATCGGGGCCACACTAGATCAGCATTCTGACGTGTTGGTTTTACGCGAACGAGAAAATAGCATAATATCGTTAGAATCAACACAAACAACTGAGAGACTCTTAGATCGTCTGGAATTGAGTGCTGATGACGAGGCATTACTAGAGCAAGCGCTGAAGGAAGCTGAAAACCGGAGGATAGAGGGTTTCAACAATAGTGATAAACGTGCCATTTGTGCACCAGCATCAGGGTTCCCGTCATTGCGCAAAACGAGCGCATCAAGTAGTCATACCAATGGAAGTGATTTCAAACCACTCTTCAATATACTCAGCGAGCTCTCAGAGAAGGAAAAAATCATATTGACGAGGAAAAAAGAGGTTGAGCTACATTGTTCTGGAAGTAGGTACTCGTATTTCGTAGAGGAGGACAGTGATGAGGGACCGGACGGATCCGTTCCCGAGTATCTTCTCAGCTCAGAGGGCCGTGCCATAAATTTCGAGAAATATCGAACTAGAGCCCCTGTCCAGAACTCGGTATCAGCATCGGCATCCCAGACCCCGGAACCCATTTCCATTGCCAAAGTCCCGGCAATGCGAAGTCCGATGGATTCAAGCCGCACTTCAGCATCTCAGCATTCGGGTCAAATACTCTTGAGCAATTCTTCCCCAGCAGGGTCCAAACACCTCATAAAGCGCACACAGTCTTCGACAGAAAGTATGGTTTCAGGAGACCTCGAAACCAGGGCGAAAACTTTCGAGGATTCGCCAAGATGGAAGTTTATAACTCCCAAGAAGTCAGCAGCACCTGCCTCCGCTTATCATCAAAATTCCCAATCACCTTCAAAAGGCTTCAGCGAAAATTCCAAGGGACACAAGAAGAAGCCCTCTTTTTTCTTCAAAAACCTGTTCAAGTCGCCAAAAGTCGGTGATTCACGTTCTGCACCTTCAAAAGGACAGTCCAATGAGTCAACTCCACCTTCAACCCCAACGGCTTCCCAGTTCAGGTTTCCCCCACTGCAACTTGATGATGTTGGCACGCACAAATTTTACACCAATGCACCTGCGACAGCGTCCTCAGAGAACGCGCCCCGGCCCTTTCTCTCGAGAGACCAACATTTTGACCACAATAGGGCTTCTTCAGACACTAATGTTTATTTTTCCCGCAGGACTGAATTTGCCAACTCAAAACGCATTGCGCCAGACGTGATCGGTTTTGATACAAAGCACAATGTGGATCTTATCCGACCCAGAACACATGAAGCGGTGACAAAGCCTTTGTATAAAGATTATTTGTCGAACCCTGAGGCAAGAATAAGGATGGTCATCGACCTTAGAAATCGGGGCAACTTGAAGGAGTCTACGGAACATTTAAAGGCGCTTTGCGAAATGCAGAATCCGACTGGGTTTCTTCTTTTCGGACTCGCGCTGAGGTTTGGATCTGGCGTGAAAAAAGACTACAGGCAGTCATTTCAATATCTAAAAAAGGCGGCTGACGTTCACTGTGAAGAGAAGGAAGTGTTTCGGCTGGATATAGATCCGTTCAAGTTGACGGATGTTCCACACGTTCCGCCCGAACCCAGGGCCCCTGCACTATATGAGTGCGGAATGTCGTATCTCAAAGGCTACGGCGTTGAGGAGGTCGACGAGGTGAAGGGTCTCAAGTACCTCGAAAAGGCGGCTGCATTGGGCCATCTCGATTCGATGTGCTTGAGCGGGACGGTATGGTCCAAAAGTTCCAAAATACGGCGCAAAAACAAGGCTAGAGCTGCAGCTTGGTTTCGATTGGCTGATAGAAGAGGAGCAGATCTCATAGGCGCCGATTGGATATACAAGGACAAGTATCAAAGTCGAAGCATCGACAGTTTGTAATAATTTTAATTTCTGCATTTTCCCTCTCACTTTTATAACCACTGTCATTATACATTACAAGCATACAAGAAATACTGGAAATACAAAGACACACATAGATGGATATCAAACCAAAGAGTGGATAGAATAGCTGTGAATTTTGAAAACATTGTCAGACGAGTATAAGAAACTATTCTACAGAGCAGTACATAGAAAGACATCAAACGTTTCCCATTATCAACAATATTTCAGTATACCGTCAAAAATTGAGCTAAAGTCTCGCAATTTTCGAGACAAATACAAATCTCAAGTCTCTCAATTGTCCAGGCAGCATTGCAAGATCCCTTACATTGTCTCTGCCCCAACACTTGATACCCAAATGCCTCTTGAACCGTTTATCTTGTATTTTGGTGATAGCACTACATACGACGCACACGACAGGAAATATAATACCTTATTTAATTAAAGGTTACACGATAAACTATACTTCAATTCGCTTCCATCTGTAAAGGTTCAAACGGGATAAACGCTTGGGCTTTCATTTCCAACTAGAGTTGACCTGGAGGAAATACGGATATTCAACGAAAGTGTGTCTTTTACAGCATACTTTTAGCAGCTATGAAGGTATGAGTGTCGCAATCAATGATAAGATAGATACACTAGGTATAAGTGTCTAAAGAAGACCCCATTGCGCCAAAATCTGATACTAACAACGCTGTAAAAGTTCATCGATGAGCTTGACATTGAACTTGTCAATCAAACGCTGAATTTCGAGACTAGCGATTGCACCGTGAACGGTAGCTGCGACATTTTTACCACGAAGGCAGTGGCTTCCGACAAGAAACTTTACAAGACCATCGACAGACACTTGGACTCGCTATTGGTTGAGAATGAGGGCTTCAACAGTGCTGTACAGCAGCAAATTGCACTCGATAATGTCGATAACTTGGCCTCGTCGCCCACAGACCACCGGACCGATACACACCAGCTTTATAGCACACGTGGAGAATCTGGCTCTCCTTCTTCTTTCTGGGAACAGAAGAGACGAATCTCGGTAAGTGAAAACAACAATACCACCAACAGTGGGAATAGCCCCAATGGGTTCGCCTCCAAGAGCTATAAGCTGAACGATCAAAACTTGAAAGATCTCGTGAATGCCGAGTCGTCCGGCTATGTGAGTTCTTCGTCTACCGAGTCCCATCCTCGTGCAAACGGCGCACTGAGGCGTACAAGCAGCTCCGGAAGTATGGCTTTCGGTTCCAGCGTGCAAAGGAGACGGTCGTCAGCGCATAAAGAAAGCGTCAACATAGGTCCGTTCGGTCCGATCAACGAAACCGCTAGTAGAAGAACTTTCGCTTATCTGATTGCCATTTTGAACGCCTCGTATCCAGACCATGACTTTGCTTCTTTGGAACCCACAGACTTCGTCAAAAGCTCAATGAAGTCTCTTATTTCCAAGTTCGAAAACACTCTGATATCTTTCGGAAAGCAGCCTCAAGAGTGGATATGGGAGACCATCAATTCGCACATGGATGTCTCCGACTGTGCCATCTACCGTTACAAGCCCTCAAAATCTTTCTTAGACGATGAACCAGGCCACCTGTGGAGCTTGATGTGGTTTTTGTTCAATAGGAAAAGGAAAAGAGTGGCGTTCCTTTACCTGAGTGTTTTCAGGCTGAAAAGCGCGTCATCTGAAGATATGATACAATCGAGCCTTGCAGAAGAAGACTATGACGATCAAGAAAAAGGTGCTTCGAGTACGAGGCACAGAAGAAAGTTGACGATTGACCATGAAACGAATACCTTTGAAGGCGAGTATGACCTCACATGTAACTCCAATGACGAGGTTGCTATTGAAGACGAAGATGATGCTATGGAAAATTAAGCAGCGACGGATCCGGATCCGTTGCAAATTTCTATCGAGAAACTAGGCTCATCATTGGTCGCTCTCCCATGTTTTCACTTCCTCACCTCGCTGTCTCTGCATAATATACAAGGCCCAATAGTATTGAGAGATATCTAAACCTAAGTCTCAGCGTGGAGTCGCAGTCATTGTATTATTGAATATTAATTTTTAATTGACGCTAGCCCCAGATTCTAGCTGGTCCTGTTGGACTTGCTTTACGCTCTTGATCCCTTCTGCTGAAATAATGTAGTCAATATCTTGTTTCTCGGCGTACTCTGAGAAGACTATTCGCAAGGTTCGCCGTACTTGCCAGAAATTGCTGGTGTCCATCATTTCATTAAGATTAAACTCTCCCTTTCTAACTGAAGGACTCGCCTTGTAGCTCTTTGAAAGTAGTATCCTCGCAGAAAGGTGATTCGACCAGGAAAGGCCTAGATTAGGAACTTTGGTTTCCACTGCGCGTTTGCGTCCCAAGGAAGGGAAAAACACCCTTGGTGATGAAACTTTAATATCGGACGTGTGAGTAGTTGGCAGAGGTTGCGAGGCGCTTCTCACCTCCCCTTTGGTATTTTCTCCGTCGAGCGGTCGCTTCCGAGCAAATGCAGCTTCTGCAACCACATTGTACTCTTCATCGTCAGAAAGAATGTTTTCGATGTTTTCACGCGGCTGAGTTTGTACTTTGCTGTTACTGTCCAGCAAAAGGCCTTCCCTCACTTGGCGGTAGTAAATGCTTGAATCTTTCCAACCAACAGTCCAGCCTAATTGATAGCTGTAGTCGGTAAAAACGCCATCGGTCATGTTGCTGGCCGTGCTAGGCTCGGGAACTGGTTTGTCACCCACCTGATTAGCCACCACCACAGCTAGTGAGTGGTCGGCGGCGAGTTTCAGAAGATCCTGAGCCATATGGTCAATATAGCGTCTGTTGTCTTGCGATTCTCTGAAAGTCTTTCTTTCGAGCTCTACTCGAAGGTGATGTGAGATCGAATCTATTATAACGAGTCTGATATCAGAATTTCTTTCTAAGAGAATCGGCAGTTGAACCTGAAGAATATGCTCTTGATTGGCAAGGTCGTTGCAGTTCACTGTAAAAATATTATTTTGGGAAAGTAATTCAAATCCTGGAAGTTTGGACTTATTATCAATCATCTCATCAAGCCTTCTTGTTGAGATGCTGCCCTCTGTAGTGATGAAAACACATTTGGCATTCAGGCCACCACGCTCAACTGATGCCTGAACACTCAGAGACAATTGCATCAGAAATTGAGACTTACCCGTAGAACTACTTCCAAAAATCTCAGTGATACCGTGAGTGCGTATACCTCCACCTAGCACTCTATCTATCTCCACGTCTCCAGAAGTGAATATTTCAATTGTATCTTGAACCAGTCGACGGGACTTGTTCCGTCCGAATATGACTTCTTTGTATTCGCTTTTCAGAGCCTGCTGAAACTGAGCAATATCATTTATCGACCTTGGCAGGATCTTAGCAAGCTCAGCAGGTTTAAGAGTTAACAGATCTGTCACTGTAATTCTACGGTCTCTCGAGGATTCCAGCAATAAAGCATGCTCTGGAAGAAAGGCCAACTTGCTCTTTGGCACTTGATCATAGAGGTCCATAAAAGCACTTCCTGCAAGCCCTTTTGGCTCTTTCAAAGCATCAACCTGGCCGAATCTTTTGAGTATGAACAACTGTTCTTATTCTTATTAGGATATTAAAACTAGTTTATCGCTAGAAATTGAAAACATAACTATTAGAGTTTGGCATATACGTATAAGGTAGACCCGTATATATACTGATGTAATCACTTTGAGCTGTCGGGCATGATTCTCTGATGGCTAAAACCAGAGCCGTCATAAAAATTACAAACGGCTGGGCAGTCCTCCGATAATGGTTGTCTTGATAACAGTGTAGTCCTCTAGACCATGCAAAGAGCCTTCTCTACCGAAACCGGACTCCTTTACACCTCCAAAGGGGACTGTGCAATCACTGAACACTCCTGTGTTGACTGAGACCATACCAGTCTCAAGGGCTTCCGACACGGTGTAAATAGTGTCGATATTCTTGGTGAACAGGTAAGCTGCTAGACCGACGTCAGTGTCATTGGCGTATTTGACCACCTCTTCGGTGGTGCTGAAGGGAATTAAAGCACAGAGAGGTCCAAAAGTCTCCTGGGACGTCACATCAGCCTCTTGAGGAACGTGGGACAGAACTGTGGGGGAGTAGAAGGCAGGACCGAGATCTGGCCTACGTCCACCTTTCACTACTAACTTGGCTCCCTTCTTGATTGCGTCTTGCGCATGTGCTTCAACTTTCTCAATTGCCTTTGCGTTGATCATTGGTCCGTGCGTTACACCATCCTGGAATCCATGTCCAATAACAAAATCGTTCACTTTGGAGGCTAGCCTGGAGGAAAACTCATCAATGATATCCTCCTGAACGTAAAGTCTGTTGGCACAAACGCAGGTTTGACCCAACCCCCTGAATTTAGAAGCAAGTGCTTGCTCCACAGCCTGATCGAGATCGGCATCGGCAAAAACTATTAGTGGCGCATTGCCACCTAGTTCGAGGGAGAGTTTTTTTAACGTAGAGGCAGACTGCTTCATCAAAATCTTGCCCACGTTGGTGGAACCGGTGAAAGTAACCTTTTTCACCTTTGGCGACTCACACAATCTCATACCGAACTCGGGCGTTTTCTTATCCGTCAAAACAATATTGAAAACACCAGCAGGCAGACCGGCTTTTTCGGCCAAATAAGCTAGTGCAAGTGCAGATAGAGGAGTTTGAGAGTCAGGTTTCACCACTACGGTACAACCAGCAGCAAATGCCGCTGCGGCCTTTCTGGTGATCATGGCGCTAGGGAAATTCCATGGGGTGATGATACCACACACGCCAATGGGCTCGCGACGGGTGAAAGCTCTGTTGGAGGCGATGGCGGGGCTGAAAGCAGTGCCGTATATACGAGGTGCCTCTTCGGCAAACCACTCGAAAAACGAGGCAGCATACTTGACTTCCCCGATACCTTCGGCCAAGGGCTTACCATTTTCCCAGCTGAGAATTTTCCCCAGATCTTCGGCGTTTTCCATCATCAAGTTGTATATGTTTCTGAGCCAAGTGGCTCTTTGTCTTCCAGAGATGTTTTTGAAAGTCTTGAAAGCTTCGGAGGCAGCGTCAATTGCCTCGTCCACGATTTCGACACTCTGTTCTGGCAGCTTGGCGATGACATTGCCGTTGGCAGGATCCGTGACTTCAAAAAACTCCGAAGTGTTCTTAACCCACTTACCGTTGACGAAGGCTGCATCTCTTAGAAGTTCGTCGCACAAAAAAGTTGGCTTAAAGGAACTCATGGATGGCAAAGTGTGGAAAGGTTGTTGATGACGAATTGGCTGAATATGAAAATGATTTTTTTGACCTCAGGAACTTATCGTCTTTTAAAGATATGAGTCTGTTGAATGAACGAATACGGTGTAAAGGGTGGTTCCTGAAAGATCGGTGCACAGGAAGATGAATAGTGAATAGTCAGCGAGATTGAAATAGTGAACTCGGAGTGGGAAAGAATAATAAGAACCCGCTCTTAAGTACCTCTCTCTAATAGTGGTATTTTCGTTTTTGGATTAGATATTCCAAACCCGCGCGCAAACCTTGGGATTTTTGATAGTGCCAAAAATTCACGTGATCTTCTTCGTTCTTCTGCTGGTATTAGGAGCTTGAGCCCTTCGCAGGTGGTGGACCGGTCGGTCTCTGGAACTCGGGCTCGCTTGAGCCTGTTACGTGGCTATCTGATTGGGTGGCAGCGTTTGTAGGAGGTGGAACGTTTGGTCTCTGGAATTGTGTGATAGATTCCTGTTCGTCAGAAACGTCTGGATACCGGCCATCCCGGATCACAGCAGGCTCAGGGTGCGAGGGCGAGTAATTGCCATCGTTGGGCCCCTGGGGTCCCTGAGGTCCCTGGGGTCCCTCGGGTCCCTGAGCCTCGTTGGGTCCCTGCGGTGTGCGATGAAATTTTCCATTTTGGTCAAAGTAGCCAGCGTCGTTGACGTTGGCAGTGGCCGAGTACTCCGGTACTGGGTTTTGGCCTGCTGGCATGTTGTACTGGTTTTGCGAAACCCCGTAAGAGGGCGGCGCTAACCAAGCCGTGCCTCTCATGGGACTTACACCGTTTTTGCGTCTTCTCATATTAATCAAGAAAACCCACAGCAAAATGACAATAGCCAACACAATGAACAACAACCATCTGCCCCAAATCCAACCGCTGCTGCCGTTACTGTCGCCGTAGTAAACATCTGTGCAAATGGATCGTCGGTTAGTATTTTGTTATAACTTGTTTGCCAGAAACTCGAGGAAAACGTATCGACATACACCTCTTGTCCAGTATAACCACCATATTTCAGAAACTCTTGTCGAAGTGCTATACTTTGATGAGCCTTTGAAAGATGAGCTCGAGACCTAGCGATGAATAACTTCTCGACTTCACTGAAGAGGTTGACTGTGGTGATGAGGTGCATGTCATTTATTTCACTTTTTTTTTCTTAGCGGGGCTCCTTTTAAACCAAGCCATGGGAAACTTTTCGACACATGGGCCCTGCGCACGCCCGGCACCGACACGACCTCAGCCCGGATAGGGGATGTAGTGACGTGTTTATCACGCTGGGGCGGAGTGTAGTCTTGATTGGCGGAACCGTCGAGAAGCGTAGCGTAGCATAGTATAGCATAGCATGGCATACAGCTCTAGCAGATTTCTTATGTGGGTGAAATTTCTTGCAGTGCGTAGCGGAACACGCTGGTAGTTTCAACAACCAGCTAACGCACCACAAACTCCTGCTCCATCATCATATCCTGATCATCACTCAGACCTGAGGGCTGGGACTGGATCAGAAGCTTGGCAAGACGGTCCATCTGGCACTCGTTGATGGCAACCCCTCGCTTCAACGAAAACGGCTGCCGACACATTGGACACAAACCCTTGGCGGTCGCCGTGTCGAGCCACTGCTGGATGCAATGGACGTGGAAATTGTGATTGCACTCGCCCACGACCAGGGGACAATCGTCGCCAGGAAATTTGCAGCTGGGACACGTCCCATTGTAGCTGACTCGACAAATCCCACACAGTTCCTCCTCTTCCTGCTGGTCTTCCTTGTGGTGCTGGTGCTGGTGCTGGTGTTCCTGGCCCTCGTTCTCTTTTGCCGCTTGATCATCGCCACGGATGTCCCAGGACCACGAGAAGACCGGGTACACTCTGGTAAACTCCAACTGCATTGTCTCGAGAGTTTTGTCGGTCGCTAGCGTGGAATGCAGTGGTCCATGCCAGAGAATGGACGCGTTTGGATGCTGGAGTGTGGGTTCGATTGGTCAAAACAGCGGCATCTTTCGCGTTTTGACACCACCACAACACAAATATGTCCCGTATAAAGCGACACTTAACCAAATTCAAGTTCGTACACAGTTATAAAAACCCATCTCTTCCGCCCCCACCCCAAAAAAATAATGCAGAATCCAAGCTCTCAGCTGTTGGACGGCTTCTCCTTCTTTGTGACGGTGAACTCTTTCCCTGCCCAATCCTTGAGCGACTTCAGCAGCTTTCCCTCGTCGTGTAATGCTTTGAAATCGTCAAACCCGCCACGTGACTTGCCGTTTATCACGACATTGGGCACCGTGGACCGGCCGGTCTGGACTCCAATGTAGCTCTGGAGGGCGGCCATGTGCTCGTGCTTGTCGAGCTCGACGACGCGGTACTCCGGGGTGAACAGGAACTCCTGAGCCAGGAGTTCCTTCATGCGTTTGCTGAACGGACAGCCACTTTTGGAAAACACGATCATGGGCGCAGACACCAGGATCATCTGGTACTCCTTGGCTGCGTCAAACTCTGCGTCCTGCGCAAGGTCCTGCACTTTGGGCAGCTTGTCCCCGATGTTCTCCTTGATTCCGATTTCTTGTTTGATGCTTTCGATTTCCTCGTCCACTTTTGCGTCTGTCTTGACGGCCTCTTCCGGTTTGAGTTTGGCCTTGGCACCAGCTTTGACCGAAAGATTGGTCACCACACTCTTGGCCGTATTGGTGCGGCCATCGTCTAATATCGAGCCATCGAGATCGGTAGATGTGGTGTTGGCATGTTGAACTATGAAGTAGATCAGAACTAGCAAAGCCCCAGTGAAAAATAGAACTCTTAGATTTCTCTTCGGCGTCATAGCGAGGAGCTCGCAGTCGGCAGATATATGTTTATGCTACGGTTTTGCTAGCTGGGTGGTTTCACAAGGACAAGGTACACAATATGGAGGGAACTCTTGACACTTCAAAGTTTTCAAACCTCGAAGGAAGACCACGTACTTACACTCGTCCATTTTTACCGATTTCGATGAAAATGATTAATCACTTGGTACGACATGAAAGGTCCAGGTTCCGGAGTATAAATTACACCGAATGTAGCGAGGTTTGACCAAGACGATAATGACCATCATGTAGCGCTTGATATGCACATCATTCCTAGCGTGTTCGGTATGACTACTGATGACGTTAGAGTCCCAAACCTTTGCTAGCCAACTTATATCATCTTGTACGAGTTCTTTGGACAGTACGATATGACATAGTAACTATACCTGGGGCAAGTCAAGATGTGATCTACAAGTGATGGAACACAGCGTCTTCAGAGCTCACATTGCGTGCTTTAATATTCTACGTAGCAATTTAAATAGGTTTTGGACGGTCTTTCACAGCAGACTTCGTCCGGTAAATAAGCCTTTAATTTTCTATCAATTGACGACGACGAATATTATTTTTGCATCCGAATACAAGACTCGCACTGCTGGATTTTTTTTTTTTTTGAGGGCTCCACCGTTCGACCTTTATGCTGCGACCGACTTGGCTAAGTTATCGTCAGGTCTGTTTTGACGTTTTTGCCCTTCTCTTATGAATGGGTAAAATTGTCCGTCACTATTCAGAGCCAATTTATGCCGTGTATATTGAAAATAAGCAACAGTCACAGTCACCATTGCTCGTGTTGTCGGTTTCGATACCTAAGTGATGCTAACAGTCGTGATGCGGGGTCGCATGACGCATGGGATGCTTTAAGCTGCTTCAATTGCCTCCAAGTGCGTGCTGTCCAGGAAGCGCAGCCTTTCGTTGATATACTTACACATGCCCTGCCACTTTTTCTGGTCTGTGCCAAGTTCGTCGTCCAAGTATTTGAAGTGGGAACGCTGCGTGCACAAGTATTCCTTGAAAGCGCGGAAATTTTCCAACTCCAGATCGTACCCATTGAGCCTTTTCAAGTTGGTGTAGGAGCGAATGTGCTTCCCGTCCCAAATCAAGTCCTGGTTGGACCATAGCGTGAAAGGGTCGAATTTAGGAAGATTAGAATGAACGAACATGATGTCCACTTCTTTGAAATCTTCTGGCTCGAAATATTTCATGTATACGGCCTCTGGAGAGTAGTCTGCGTCTGTCTTGACGGATTTCCCAGTTTTCCCAGCATACTCTGTATTGATTTCATTGGTAGCATAGTTGTAACGCTGGTAATCCTGTACAAAGTCATGCTGCAGCATTGCAACACCCCGAAACCCATGGGGTAAATGGTAACCATCAACAGCGGTTCTGGACTTGACCTGGTACGATGGCAACCCGTAAAAATTGGCAGCGGCGATGAAAGTTTCTTTGTCACCCTCACCGGAGGCCTTTTGCGAGAAAATGGGGTAGTACCACGAGGGCCCGTTAACATTGTAATATAGCGATAACAGTATCGTGGGCAAATGCTTTGACTTACTGATCATCAACTGACCGGACTCGGTAGACACGTCTGGAATTGTGTTGTCCAGGTCATGAAGTGGCACCTCGGAGAGATCAGACATGTCAGAAGTGTATACTTGAGGAGGAGTTATGTCGTCGATGCAGTTCCGTACTCTTTTCTTGTAATCGACAGCGATGTCCGCGATGTCGTAGTAGGCCGGGTTCGTGGTACGTCTCCAAAAATCGGGCCATAGAACCATACCGGTGCTCTTGTAAGGCTCTTGCTCGAATATATCGTCCAAAGGCTTGATAGGGAAGTTATCGGCGTCCAAGAGCAGCAGGTTTTCGAAGCTCGAGGCGATTATTGAGATCGATTTGAACTGGTAGCCCTGGAAGTCGAAGCTGTTGATGACGTCTTTTGGCAGCACGTCCGAGATAAAGACACATTTGGCGTTGTATTTTGGCAGAAGAGTGTTACAGAATTCCGTTTCGCCTTCGTCTTTGGGAGGGATGAACACTTCGACCGGCAGAGTTGTGCCCAAGTTCCTGAGCGTTTTGATAATCAAAAACGAAAGCATCGAAAACTTACCACCACCCACAGTCACGATACCGTTGCCCTTGTACGTTCCCTTGGGGAGCACCAGTCGCTTCAAGCTGTCCACGTAGTCGTGATGCTTGGTTTTCAGCAGTTGCTTTTCCTTGGGCGAAATCATCAAACACTCGCCCAGGTTTTTGCTCGTGAGTTTGGACCAGTTGTCGTAGTCGTCGGGTCTGGCCCCGATGTCGCCATTGAGCTTGCACCGGGTGTCATACTGACGGGCCGATTTGCCCATGGGCGAATTCATCCGCAGACTGTGGAAGACCTGCTTGTAGAAGTTCTGCATGCCCTCTCTGCGCTTCTGCCCGCCCGTTACAGCCTCAGTGTCTGCTTTTCCTTCCTCTTTCGCATTTTTGCCCGAGGAACCGCCGCCACCGTTGTTGTTTGTGCTCCCTGAGCCCTCTTTGCCGAAGATCTTATTGCTGGCCTCGTTGGCACCCTTGTTGCCCGCAGATGCGTCTTTTCCACCGGCCTGTGCATCCTGCGTCCCACTGTCTCCGGTGTACGTGCCAATGTAGTCTTGCAGGTACTTCCTATATTCCAGCGACGCCGCGTCTTTGTCCACGTACTGGCTCCACAGCACAAACACCACGCAGCATACTGCAGCCACCAATGTCAGCTTGAAGATCTTGGTAAAACGCTTGGTCAGCAGAACCATGGTTTAGCACTCAAATCAAAATCGGAAACCCTGCCGCGTCGCGCGCTATTCACTGGTCAATTGCCGTGTTGGAAGCCTCCCGCAAACAAGCCACGCTCGACAGTGTCCTTTGTTAAGCCAGAATCGACCTCGACTGATATTTGGACAGTGACCCAGTGATTTCTGTTGACAGTGATAGGTGGGAGAATGGGTCTATAGGTAGTTTTTCGGCTTGGTTGTGTTGTGTGTGAAATAAATGAAATGGAAAAAATATTCTGGTCACTCTGGACGAAGTGGTTTTTATCACTCTTACTTAAGGCTAGGTGTCACGTGAGAGGTCGATAAGCTAAGCGATGAGCCCAACGTCGATGGTGGTGTAACTGCAGTTTTGAAGGCATATCGGGTTGTTAGAGACTCGTAGCGACTTTGAAAATAGTCTGGATGGAATTAGCAGCATCAGTTTCATAAGAGCGTAATCTCAGCCGCGGGAGAAGCGTGATAATGCGATGATGGTGTAATTCCAGTTTGATCGCATCACAAGTCGTTAGTGCTTCCCAGCGATCAGAGGTTCCTGGCGACCTTGAAAATAGCCTGGATGGAATTGACAGCGTCAGTTTCGTAAGAAGCCAATCCCAGCCGCTGCAGAAGCGTGCTATCGATTTGAGAGGCACGAATCGTGGAAATATAGTCTGGAAACACAATTTGCGCCCTTTCGCGAAGTTGACGGAGCTGGGCCTTGATAAAGTCTCTGCATCTAGGATCCTTGATTCGTTTGAGCTGGTCCAGTGATTTCAGCGTCGCCAGCTGGGTGTGGACATCGTGAGCCAGACGCCATAAGCACGTGTGCACGTCCGGCTTCGCGTCCAAGTGGGCAAGCAGATCCGCCGTTTTGGTTTCGTCAATCTGGGACTCGTACGCGAGGTGGACTACCTTGAACACCCACGCTTCGCTAGAGGTCATTTGTGCAGTGAGAGCGGTCCCGTGCTGTTGTATGATCCGCTCAATGGCCAAATTACGTTCTCCCAGAGCGCAAGATCCCAGCAAGATTTCCCGCAAGCTTGCAGCCAACACACCAGACGAGTCCTGGCGTAAATATGCCATGGCTTTCGTGCAAGTGTGCTGCATGGGCCCGAGCACGGAGAAATCGCGATTGTCATTCAATTCGGGAAGCATATCTTTTTCCAGGGACACTCCGAAGTTGGAGTTATACTGACACAGCATCCTCCAAGATTCCTGCAGGTCCCTCAGTAGGCTGCCGCGTTTGTCGTTGAACAAACGCGCTTGCTGCAATCGCTCGCCCCGCTTGGACCACCGTCCTGTAGAGCGCGACAGCTTGTCGTAGAGTTCCAGCATGCCCAGCACTTTGCTATAGCTCTTGCGCTCGAAAGAAATCATAATAAATCTTGGCAGGCTGTCTGCCGAGTCGTAAACGTTGTCACTGGCCCCCAAGTGCTCGTAAAAAGGATGATCCTTAGTGGGAAAAAGCGACGCATGTCTGGTGGTCATGAGAAAGTCTACGGTGTCCAGTTGTAGGTTTTTGACTTTGAGTTGTGTATAGTGGCTGTACGCGACAGAAGGGCACCCAAGGTAATTGTAAAGAACAATCAGCCAGACCCTGGTATCGAAGTTGTAAGGGTCGAGACTTTGGTATTGCTCCAATAATGCAACACTCGTCAACACGTTTTCCAGCGTGATACTTTCGTCATTGATCATTGACTCCACAATCTTCAAGACAAAGTATGAGCACGACGAGTAGTCCGTCTTGACTTTTTCATTGAGACTCGATTTGTATTTAGTGAACAGCGCAATAAAGTGCTCTGGGTCGCGGACTTCGGTGAGTTTGGCAAAATTGCAATCGTGCACAAGGCCGCTGGGGAACTTATCGAGGCCCTTTTCTATAGCATTTTTAGACAGATGCTCCTTGTAATGAGTCAGGTCAGGGACACAGCACGGTTTGTCGTGGAATCTTTCGAGATAGAAATCCAGACTTTTGTCGCTAATAGAACTGGAGTACACGGCGTCCAAATGCAGGTGTGCCAGACGATGGTTTCGTGAGTCGCGTATGCCGATCACGGCCTCTATTTCGTCGCGAGGACTGCCACATATCTTTGCACTATCAATCAATTGCTTCAAGAGTCCGAAATCGTCGAGCAGCGTCAGCAGGTACTTGCAGACTTCGATCAAATTCGCATGGTCGCCAAGTGCAGCCAGATGCTTCAACAGGAAATTTTTGAGATACAAGTCGACAGAAAACTCCTTCTCGGAGCCACTATTCTGAAATGCCGGCAGCAGTTCATCCACAATAACCTGGGACTTATTTTCGCACATATCGCAAACGTGACAGAAGACGACCGTTTCTTGATCCGATTGGAACGGTTTGAGGCCCTCAAGCGTTTTGAAAGCCAGCGCGACATTCAGCTGCTTCTCTTTCGCGTTCAACTGGTTCGACTGCATTTTCAACAGGGCCACTGTTGACAGCGCGTTCCAGAACTGCACCATGCGCGGGTCCTGTGACCAGCGTCGCAGCTGGAACGACGACTGCACCATATGACGCAAATTGAGGTCTTCAATGGCTTTACCGAACCATGTGTACCCCAGCTCTGGGCTGGGGTACTTCTGCATCGCCAGTTTGTAGGCGTCCAGCGCTCGTTCCGGCTGGCCTAGCTCGAACCGAAACTTGTGCAGCAGTTCCAGCGACCGCAGGTCGCTAGGAACGCTGCATTTTTCCAGCAACGGCTCTAGCATCGTGTATGCATTGAATTTGCTGCTATTGGAGCGAAAACGCACGTATTGTTCCATTATTTTAGGATAGCTGGCCTTGGGAAAGCGAGTACACAGTTTCCCACTCAATTGCAGCGCCAGTTTGCCGTTTCCGCGCGCTAAAGCTTGTATAATCTCATCACCAGCACTGTCCATCACAAATCTCCTTAAAACCGCTAAAAAAGCCGCGTTATGGTTGACTTTATAGTCACAATCTATCACTGGTCCATCAAGTCTACTTCATCAAATCTTGAATTCTGTATATAACAGCTTTAAATCGGAAGATATTATCACTATGAACGCATACTGGTGAAAAATTTTAGAAACTATGCGATGAGATGAGATGAGATGAGCTAGCGATGAGCTATAAGAAACCAAGTATCCAGAGATAGAATAAGCCGTTATTCAACTACTGAATCAGACGAAATAGCTTCTTAGCAGGTTAATTCTCAGAGTTATAACTTAGTTCTTAGACTTTCATTTGGATTCCTATAGACATGTCTTCTATTTACAAGGTATTGGCTGGCAAAGCCTCTGGGAAATCAGGCTCTAAGGATGAAACTAAGTTCATGAACAAGCAGCGTACGCTGCTGATTTCCTCCAGAGGTGTCACTTACAGACACAGACACTTGATCCAGGATCTACACAGCTTGCTGCCCCAGTCGCGCAAGGAACCTAAGCTCGACACCAAGAAAGACCTGGGCCAGCTCAACGAGATCGCAGAACTGTACAACTGCAACAACGTGGTTTTTTTCGAAGCCCGTAAGCACCAGGATCTGTACATGTGGCTGTCAAAGCCGCCCAACGGCCCCACAATCAAGTTCTACCTTCAAAACCTGCATACCATGGATGAGCTGAATTTCACGGGTAACTGTCTGAAGGGCTCGAGACCAGTGCTGTCGTTCGACGCCCGGTTCGACTCGTCTCCACACTACAAGCTCATCAAGGAGATGTTCATACACAACTTTGGAGTTCCTCCTCACGCACGCAAATCGAAGCCATTCATAGACCACGTTATGTCGTTCAGCATCGTGGACGACAAGATCTGGGTCAGAACCTATGAGATCGCGCACAAGGCCAGAAACGAGGACGAGTACGAGGAAGGTGCCGACCGTGAGGCTAAGGAGGACGTCTCTTTGGTCGAGATAGGGCCTCGTTTTGTGATGACCGTGATTTTGATACTGGAAGGCTCGTTCGGAGGACCTAAGATCTACGAAAACAAGCAGTACGTGTCGCCAAACTTTGTGAGGGCCCAGGCCAAACAGCAGGCTGCTGCGGACGCCCGCAGTCGGTCCGAAGCCGCCGTGCAGCGCAAGATCAAGAGACGTGAAAACGTTTTGGCTGCTGATCCACTATCCAACGACGTGGTGTTCAAAAGCTAAGAGCGTCGGACATCCCCATTTTTTCTTGCCTCGCATGATGCCGCAATAAGCCTGAATTAAAAGCTATGTACACTATAATCATCATTTTCTTCCGTCCAGCACGTTTGCGTCCCGACGCCAGTCCTGTGTAATTGTAATTGTGCGTCGCACTGAGACGTTGATTGACCTACTTACTGTTTTGAATATTAGCACGCGCTCGCATGACGTCCTATTTAGTGTTGTTTCCCAGAGTGCTTCTGCAAGTACTCAGCAATGAATTTTTCCTCCTCCTTGGAATTGGCTTTGATCTCCACCTGCTTGGCTGAAGACGAGGCGAAAGGGTTAGGTACCACCAACATGGAGACAGCAGCAATGGTTCCCAAAGCCAACTGATGTGGCTGAACAGTTCTTCCCAAAATGTGGTAAGCGGCACCCATCTCAAACTCTTGATTAGCTATCTGAAATCGATATAGTCGCCAATTTTAACGAAGATTAGTTCTGTTAGGCTAGGCATGCTTGCTCGAGATTTTTCATTAATTAGCGATTTTGATCGCTATCTACGAAATGTATTGTAATTAAGCTTAATATTGGATCATTTCAGACAGATTCATTGGTGGGCGACAATACTGTACATATTTCTCAAGAGTGAGAGGTTTAGCCGGTCAACCTAACGTGTATAAATGATTACATAAATAAGCTGTCAAATCTACCGCGTCTCTGCCCTTTCCAATGGCTTTTTTACGTTTTGAATCGCTAAATATCACGGTTTTGAGATATTCATGACGCGAGAAACGTAGACGGTGGGGTTCGGTTTACCGGTTTACTTTGGAGTGAATTGGACGTCTGAGGGATGACCAAGAGGTTTTTTAATTGTTTTCGGCGCTGAGAATGACAATTGAGCGAGTTTCAGATTATTCACTCACTGAAGTCCGCTTGAGATTGTGTAAATCGCAACTGTAGCAGGTTGCTCAGGAAGGTTGAGAAAGATAGTTAACGTGACGGCTACTTAGCCGTTTTAAAATTTGAAGTGGACTTTGATCCGATAGCAGAAAAGCGCATTGCACTATATGTTACAATCGTTTGATCAGTGTGTCACCAGATATTTTGCAATTCCGGTTTTTCCCTACTGTCATGCTGAGAATAGATTCAACACGCTTTTCGCCATATACGTTTGAACTAGGCCTCGGCAATAATCTGGCAGCATGAGTTTCCTTCTTAATTTACTCGGATGCCAGATGACAAAAATTTGGCGACATAGGTTTGGAAATCATACTTAAGAATAACCTAGAGTCTCTATATGTTACAGTCGTTGACCTACGTCTGGGCAGATGTTTGACGAATTTAGTTTTGAACTGAAGTGTTCCTAGTGTCTATTTGAGAGGGAGGAAATAACACGTTTTGCCATAGTCTTTTGATCTCTCGATGATAACCCGGCAACCGTATTCAAATTCATACCCACGAATGAATTGAAAAAACGCTATTTGCCACAACCGTTTGACTTACATTTCGGCAATAATCTGGCAACAGAAGTCCATGTTTGGATGCTTTTAATATCATACTGGCAAATGATTCAAAACTACTTTCCCCCCCCCCCCTCCCCCCAATTGTTTGGTCTAAGATTCGGCAGATATTTGAACAATTCAATTTTTGTTCAAATTATTCTCAATGTCATACTGACGAGTGAATAAGAGACACTGCTCCCCACAATTATTTGACCCACGACTCGAAATTTTCTCACAATTCCAGCTTTTGTCTAACTCTTTACCAATATCACAATGACGGATGAATTTAAATCGTTTTCCGCCATAGTCTTTTGACCCAAGTCTCCGCCATAGTCTTAAAATATCACTTTTTGTTCCAGTAATTTCCAATATCAGAGGGAATAATACAAAAAATACCATTCGATACCAGCGGCAAATATCTCGCAATGTCAGTTTTTGTCCAGATTGTTTCCAATTTCAAAATGACAGCTCAATCATAAACACTCTTCCCCACAATTATTCGATCCACGACTCGAAATTATCTCCCAATTCCAGTTTTTGTTCAAAACGTTTCCGACTTAATAATCCAAAAATCACGCCTTTCCTTACGATCGTCAGGCAATTTCACAACAACATAAAGCCCTTTTCCAAACCGTTTTCTCACCAAGAGTCTCCCGCTCTCAACGGGCACGGTTTTCAATCGAGATTTTTTTGGCTTCAAAATTTCGCCGATAAACCCTACACTTAACAGCCAATTTAAACGCAATAATGACCAGCAACACCAAAATCAATGGCTGCAACTTGGTCCAAAAGGCTTCCGATCATTATATGTCGTCGAGATCTTAGAAATATATGTCATTCCTGACGAATGAAACTTTCGGGGTTATTAGATACTACAAGATAAGCTCGACTTTGACACTTTTGAACACATAAAAGACCCGCCCTCCCGTATCTTTTTAACCCCTTTCCTTCCCCCTAATTCACTCCCCACAGCTTCGTTTTTCAAAGGGCAATTGACCAAACCGATTTGACTCACGCAAAATGCTAGGAACACAGCTTTGTTCCCTTGTTATTCTTCTCTCTTTCGCAAACGCTTTCTCTCTTTGGGAGGCTTTAGGATTCGGCCTTCATGACAACAGTCTTGGTCAATCCCATTTTTTTGACGGACCAAAAAATCTGGTCCAACATCTTCGGAATCGTCCAATTCGGACAGGAAACGATTTCACGGTTTTCCAATCGGACATCGATCAGGGCTACACCATGAGAATCAAGGAGGTGGACCCTTTTAAACTGGGAATAGACACTGTTAAACAATATTCTGGTTATCTCGATTACGAAGATTCCAAACACTTTTTTCACTGGACTTTTGAGTCCAGAAACGACCCTGAAAACGACCCTGTTATTTTATGGCTGAATGGTGGTCCCGGCTGTTCCTCATTCACAGGTCTGTTTTTCGAACTGGGTCCCTCTTCCATAGGTCCAGATCTCAAGCCCATCTACAATCCTTATTCTTGGAATAACAATGCTACTGTTATTTTCTTGGACCAACCCATTGGCGTCGGCTTTTCGTGGGGAGATGACAGAATCTCGTCTACCAACGCAGCAGGCAAAGACGTTTACATCTTTTTGGAACTGTTTTTCCAAAAATTCCCTCATTTGAGAAGCAACGATTTCCACATTGCAGGTGAGTCCTATGCGGGCCACTACATTCCAGAGATTGCTCATCAAATCGCGGTCGTTCATGAGCACGATAAGACTTTCAATTTGACCTCGATCATGATTGGAAACGGAATCACGGATTCTCTGGTGCAATACAATTATTATGAACCAATGGCCTGTGGAAAGGGCGGATACAGGTCTGTGATCTCAGAAGAAGAATGCTCAAAAATGAGACTTGACATGCCTCGGTGCGCAGTCCTAAATCAGGCCTGTTACTCTAGCGGCTCGACTTTTGCTTGTATTGCGGCAGCAACATACTGTGAAAACATGGCGATGAACGCGTACTCCAAAACGGGACTAAACGTGTATGACATTCGCAGTGAGTGTGAGGATGAGAAAAGTGGGCTGTGTTACAAAGATATGGCTTACATCGAAGATTATTTGAATCAACCAGCTGTTCAAGCCGCAGTGGGATCAGACGTCTCGAAGTTCACGGGATGCAATGATCAGGTTTTCCTTGCATTCACATTGACTGGAGACAATAGCCGTCCTTTCCAACAGTACGTGTCGGAACTTGTCAACAGAGACATTCCTGTCCTAATTTACGCGGGTGACAAAGATTTCATTTGCAACTGGCTCGGAAACAAGGCCTGGATTGAAACCTTGGAATGGAAGCACAAAAACGATTTCTCATCTTTGCCTCTAGAACCATGGGTCTCTACTGAAAGTGGAGAAAGCATGGGAGAAGTGAAAAGCTTTGGTTCCCTTACCTTTTTGCGTATTTTTGATGCTGGCCACATGGTGCCATATGATCAGCCCGAGAGCAGCTTGGAAATGGTTAATAGATGGACTGCAGGTGAGTATAAACTCGGCTACAAGAAGTAATCCTGTTTGCTCGCTCATATGTTTACTAGTTAGTATCCCTATGATTCATTTTATATGCCGACAATAGACTTTGTACTCGACTCACCAGTTCTACACATTCTGCGGAACTTGTTGCCTCGAAAAAATACCGCTTCAAACCGGTAGGTCGATTGACAAAGATCTTGAAATACTCTGGTATGCGTTTTGATTTCCGAATCAGGACCACCTGGCTCATATGGAAGCATTTAGTCTTAGCATGTTCGTGGTGCCAATTAAAACCATTCTCTGGGGGGATGATATAGATATAGTCTCCATCAATCGCCAGAGTTCTCTCGTGTTTGTTTATAAATGAAATTTGCTGCCGCCTCCAAACTTTGTACTTGTAGTAGGCGCCTGCAAAAACATCCTTGTAGCTTGTATCCAGGTTCAACTCTGAGCGCTCAGACGAAGGTCGATTGCTTGCACCAGAATTACGCAGGGAGGACTTCGAATTGTTTTTGAGTTTGAAAAAACCACCTGCTCCGCCGCTCGAATCGCTGACTTGCGATAGCTTCGAAAGCCCGCGCTTAGATTTTATGGATCCCTTTTTGCTTGGCAAAAGCGAAGTATGTTTGGAATTTGCGTTAGGATCTGGTGCACCCTCAGGTCCTTTCAGAGTATCTACAGCTGCCAAATAATGATTCCTATCGTCCATGGCCACAGGAGTCAGATCCGCGCTTTGAATTGTAGGCAAAACTGGTTTGCCAAAAGTTGCATTGTTCATTTTTTTCAGAGCTAAAGCTTTCACTTCTTTCTTTGTAATGAGTTCCAATTCGAAGTTGCCATCTAATTCCCCAAGGCTATCTTCTAAGTCTACAACGAGTCGTTTTCCGCAAATCTTTAGTGTGTAATCTGACGCGTCCATAGACTTCATCGTGCAATACTGTGAAAGAATAGCCTTTAGAGAAGTTGAAATGGGTTCCCTTATGGTTGTGTAATTATAGGCAGGATTTAAGTTGGGGAAAAGGAAAATCTTGACATCCACCAATTTACCATTTTGAGACTTAGTATCCTTCGTGTGTGTTTTTAAAATAGGCTTGTAGTAACTGAGCTGATTAATCGTTCCATCGGTGGAAATCTTGGCGTCGACTGCCTCTTCGCTAGTGCTACCATCTTCACCATAGGGTAGTGGAGTCTCCACTTCATTCCGCCTGAACTCTAGCGCGTCTTGAACTTTGCACAAGACGACCTCGTTGTCAAAAATACTTCCAATTTTATTTTGTCGGTCAATGGTTCCAAAATTGTCTTCGAAAGGTTCTCCGTCCTCGTCTACAATCTTGAGCTTAAATTGATTCGGACTTCTCAATTCTTTTTCAATCAGACCATTTCCATCCTCGAGTGATTGGATCTGACTAAAGTACTGATACAAAATGTATCCGATGACTTCAAAAGCGGTCGCTGATTTCCTCACATTTATGATTAGTGGGTGTTTTTTATACTTCAATGAGTCTTGGATGTAAACGTCAAGAGTCGTCGATTCCGGGTTGGGTACTTGATTTCCTGAGACAAAAGCAAAATAATCTATTGAATTGGAAACTTTTGTCTTTTTCTCTTGTAGTATATTTGTCAATTGTGAAGCGCCTTGGTGCTCAGTGCCTGAAAGTGATATTTTTGTAAATACAGAAGGGTCAAAGTTTGGATTGGCAGGACGTAGACTTTTAGTATGGTCGCTAGCTGTTCTTCTGTGTCTAGCCCAGTTCTTGACGGCGCCATTGAGGCCGCCTCCTACATTTGCCTGTAGGGAACCTTTACTCAACCTTACGGTGCTGTTTGAAGGACTCGGTAGCTGAGCATATCCCCTCTTTTCATTGGATTCACCCTGAAAAGAATTTCGAGCAGATGAGCCAATCGAACTATTAGCTTTCTTGTAATCGCCTAACTTCAAGGGAGGCTCTTCACTAATAAATGCAGATTGCTGACTTTCGTCCATTAACTTGAAAGCATGGGAGCGCGGAACGGAATGACCAGGCATGGAATCCGAGCGAAGAATTTCATCTGCTATCATGGAGTCTTCCAGTAAAGAGCCTTCGGCCATTTGTTTGTGAGCATAGCTTGAATTGTCCAAATCATCAATGTCTGAATCTAATAAAGACCTTCCATAGGAAGAGAGCTCGGAGGATGTAAAGCTTTCATCTCCTGAACGATTTTTGTCTATCTCGCCATTATTAACCGCTCCTGCAGTGGATGCTTTTCGTCCGCTTGTATGGTTTTCTTCGCCATGAGACGCACCCAATTTTTCTCCGTCCAGATCAAGCTCTTTGAGGTCGTTTTCATCCATATACGAGTCCAGCTCGGAGACTTGGTCATCTCTAGAAGAGCTTTTGCGAGTATCGGCTTCATCTCCCGAGGATGCGACCTTGCGATCGATGACATTGAGCAGCAAATTGCTCTTTGCATCAGACGATGACAGGACATTTTGAGCGTAGCGCGGCAAATTGCCCAATTTCAAAGGCTTGCTTTGCTTGGCATCGTCGCTTTTCGGTAGGCCACCAAGAAAGAACTCGTCGTTTTGTTCCACGTCGTCATCGTCATCATCCTCATCGTCGTCTTCCAAGGTTTCGTCGTAGTCAAATGCACTGTCGTAAAAACGCAAATTCGTGTTTTGTGCTCCACTGGAGTTGGTTCGTGAACTCTTAGGATGGCTGCGCGTTAAACTGGTTTTTCGCTCCTCCAGATCGCTGTTTGTGTGTCCTTTGAATATCCTAGAAAACAGCGCATTTTTTTTCAACTTGGGATCTTGAGGAGGACAAGACCTACTAGGGGTTACAGAACTTTCATTTCGTTGCAATGATTGCTGACTTGTTTTCCTAATCGTTGTTAGAGAGGCTGTCCTCTTTGATGCGGCGGAGCTTGTGCTTCGAGGCCGTTCTGTGGTGTCTTTCTCATCAGACTTGGGCACTTTACTGTCATATGTGCTCTGGTCATGGTTTTCCGTGTGTACTGGTGTCGGGCGTGGTGCGTCTGGGACATTGACGTCGCTGGTTACAGGCGTTTTTTGGTTAAATCTTGCTTTCTGAAGAGACTCTATTTTTGCCATGTAGTTCTCTGATATCGGTGGGGACTCTAGGGATGTCAAATAGTCTTCGCCATTTTCCAAGCGATACAGTTTTTGAAGCTCAGAAGGCAGTTCGACATCAGCTTGCGGATTCGCCAGGAACGGTTTAATTATTCGTTTTGCTTGTTCGGCATCGGACGAGTAATGCAAAAACGAAGCCCTTAATTTATTAATTGATTTAACAGTGTCCATAGCACTTTTTTGGGATCATCGCAGCAGTGTAGCTGATCTTTTGTGGTGAATTCCCACCTTCTTTTGTTGATAACATTTAGCTGTGTCTTTGAAGAAAGCTTATATGATATTTTCGTTCACGAGGACACGGTTTGGCAAAGTAAACAAACCATCGCGAGTGCAATGCTACGCCTTTTTAACTCGAATATTGTCTATGAAGGTGTGCAATTTCAGTGATTCAAACCTATCAAATAAGTCCTTTCGTTGGCTTGAATTTCGTAAGTGACGGGTCCAGTAGATGGATCTAAAACTAATACTCGAATTTTGACAGAGAGCTGATAAATATTGATGAAACGACACAGGCTTTCGTTACATAATTGTTTAACAAATGCTTAAAATTTTTGGCGCTTGGTCGATATCATAGAGTTATTTCGAGATCTGCGTTGTTCATCGTGAATTTCTGTCATTCTTTTCATTTATCAGATTAATTAATCTGAATTAATCTTCTGCCAACCGGAATGTCTTTCCTTGCTATGAGATTCAAATTTTGACATTCGGTCAAACTGCTGGGCTTAAAATTTCGATGAAGGCCTCCAACAATTCTTCGCAGAAGATCTGACACAACTACATCAGTTTTGGATATAATGACACTGTCGTCTGTTCTCGAAAAACGTCGATTAAGAATACGGCGGACCTAAAGGCAGACCAAGGCGACAGACCAAAAATTGTATAAATGCTTATCGTAGTTTTATTCGACCAACTAAGCTTCGAGTGTCTCGAAACCGTCTTCAATAATTCAGATCGTCGTCAATGGCATATTGGCCATTTTAAACGAAAACTGATTTTTCGTTCAACCGTAACAGCTCTTTTACCCAAAGGCTTGATTTCAATTGTCCTGGATAGGAGCTCAGTCCATCTGGGAAGACTATATGTAGTAGCCTTCAAACTGTCGCCCGTTTACCTCGTAATTCTGACTTTTCACGTAGCTATATCCGTCATGAAAAATTAAAGAACTTTGAGATGAGATGAGATGAGATGAGATGAGAACAGAAGAAACTGCGAGAAGTGAAGTTTAAAGCGTTTTTTCGATCAACTAAATAATCAGCTTTCAATCCCGTAAATCTCAGTTAGTTGGTCTACCAAAGAGGTCCAATCTTCGTCCGCAGGTTTTAACGTTAGACGTCGAAGTAGTACCAGTTACCTTCTTGCTAGTCGCCATGGTGCTCTCTTCGAACTGGCTCAAGCTGCAAAGCTCTCAGACCGACACAAAGTCTCAAAAGTCAGCTTCAAAACCGGTCAAAGCAACTGGAAGCACTCACCGTGTTGAAAAGACTAGAAAAATTGTGAATACCAACAAACCCAAAGGCCCAGCAGGCGTTCGAGAAACGACAAAAGCAAGGAAAGGAAAGGATATGGTGCCCCACGTCAGAAGTAAAAAAAACATTATGAAAATGGTCGACTCGATGACCGAGGAAATTGCCAAACTCGAGGGCCAAAAGGCAAGACTAGGCAATTCCAACGGCCCAGCAAGCTCTCTGGCTGCGAGTCTCGAACAGTCCTTGCAAGCAGATGCACAGGATAGGAATTCGCAGAGAGCTGCAGAAGTGGGTAAATATGTCGCTCTCGATTGTGAGTTTGTAGGGGTTGGTCCTGACGGCAAAGAATCGGCTCTTGCTAGAGCTACTCTGGTCAATTTCTTCGGACATGTTGTACTAGACGTTTTCGTAAAGCCACGCGAAAAGGTGACCGACTGGAGAACCTGGGTGAGTGGTGTACGACCTCAAGATATGCAAAACGCGGTTCCATTCCCAGTTGCTCAGGAACAGGTTGCCAAGACTCTACAGAATAGGACACTGGTGGGACATGCAGTCGCCCATGATCTACAAGCTCTATTTCTTTCTCATCCACGCAGCATGATAAGAGATACCTCAAGGCATATTCCTTTCAGGAAGAAGTACGCCGGTGGCAAGACACCGAGTTTGAAAAAGCTGGCGAAAGAGGTATTGGGCCTCGACATTCAAGGAGCGGAACACTCTCCAATTGAGGATGCTAGAGCCACGATGCTTATCTACAAAGCTGATCGAAAAGAGTTTGAACGGTTGCATCAGATAAAATTTGGTTCCAATTAGCAGAACCACAACTATAGGTTCGTAACAGATAGCTGCTGACGTAAATGTATATTACAACTAAAGTCTTTAACATTGAATAACACAAACGAAAAGAAACCTTATTCATTTCCACCGGGCAACTTCATCATACGAAACATGATTTGCACAGTCAACTTCTTACTCTCATAGGCCGCATAAGGATTCACTCTAATTCCAGTCATAATCTCACTCGAGTTATACGGAATGTCAATCTTGCCAATGCCGGAAAGGTCCTTTGATTTCAAGAAGGCATGTGTCTCACTCAAGTGTGAAGCAGCGTGTGCGTACTCCTTTTCTTTCACAATTTCCTGGACGATGGATAACACTAGTTGAGGAAAATCGGATTGTGCGTCAAAGGCTGCGATTCGATTCAGTTCTGGACGTATGATTGAGTAGATCCGAATGACTTTCATAGGATTCACCCTAACCAAATGTTGTATCAACAAAAGGTATCTAGTCTTACTCAGCTCGTCTGAGGAGCCAGCAGCAAAATAGACAGATGCCTGGTAAAGTGCAATCAGCGAGGCTTCAGAGTCCAGCTCCATCCAGCGCAATAGACTTTTTGTGACAAAATTATGCTCATCAAAGAAATGAAGTTCGTCATTGATTTGTAGTTCAGTAATAAGTGAGCTTAATTTAGAGGGACGCAAGACTTGATAAACAATCAGGAAATAACAAAGGTGGTCCTCGCAATACTCGTAACGCAGGTCTCTGTAAGCCAGCGTAACCATTAGACATAGGCAGTCGACTGACGTGGATTTAACGTGGGGGATCAGCAGCCCTTTCATAACCGAATTTAAGAAGAAGTAAGGGAGATTTTCCATGGTCATCTTCAATCCACCCATTGACTCCAGCTCGACCAAAAGTGGTTCTGCGAAGCCCCTGCTCGCGTAGAGCAACGACTTCAATGACCTTTTCTCTTCGTTCTCGTGTGGAGTTGTAATACGTTTAACAGTGTTTCCGATAAAAAGGATTCCGCCATGATAGAAAACAGTATTAGGCGATTGAATGAATGCCGCTGCCAACCAGAATAGTCTCCTGAGAAGAATTGAACTCGGTTGTAGACCTAGAACAATCTTGCTATACGTGAAACAATGCGAAATCATGAGAAACGTGAGTTCGTCGCTGACATAAGGTTCAGCAACGGCCTTGATAGTTTGTAGAAGCATATTTCTGCAAACGTATTCCGGCAATCCGTTCTGACCAATGATTCCGGTTATCATTGCCGCTTTAGCAGACAAAAAAGACCGCACATTAAACACGGCATCCATGATATATTTGTTGTACTTTGCCTTCCACTGCAAATTCTCCGTTTCAGAAGAGGTCTCCATCAGCGCAACAATGCTACTAATGAAATGTTCTAGAGTTGTGAACTTGCTTAGAAAAGAAGATGCGCTGAAATTTTGTAAGATTCGTCCTTTGTCCTGACTAAAGCCTGACATGAATCTCATTTTTTGACGGGAGAAAGTCTCTTTCAGCAGGTCCAGACTGTTTTTTCTTTCAAGTGACAGAGAGTCGTTGGTAGAAAGTGATTGACATGCGTTCATCAGCAGCTTGTGCAAAGAAAGTCTCAATTCTGAGGGACCTACATCGATCAAAAGGGACACAATGTACAACACCTCAGGTAGGAACAATTGAGCAAGTAGGAGAGAGTCAAAAAAGAGCGCCACTGTGATGTTGACCAGTATAATCAGCTCGGACCAACTATTGGTCGAGGCTTCCATCTTGAGAGAGGGCAAGAATAACCGAGACACGCTTAAGATTCGGTTTATAACCTCGCTGCACATCTCAACAGTGGACACTCGAGTGATAAGTGAAATAACATTTTTCCAGTCTCCACCTTCGGAGTCCCTGTCTAAAGAGTGATTGACGATCTCATCAACTATGACAGCCACTAGATCAGCTTCGAGTATCAAAACTGACCAAATACATTGGCTGTACATCATCGTCATCTTAGGGTCCTTCACGCTTAGTTTTATAAGTGTGCGGATAACGTAGGAGACGTTCTCGGGGCCGTTCTCGTCGTCAGCCAGATACACATATTTGTAGAGGTTGGCAGCCCAAGGAGACAGGGCGCTTACGACATGGGGAACGTCAGTTTCTTCAAAAACGCCAGAAAGGCCTTCTAAAAGTGATTTCCATACTACCAATGACAATTCTGGTGCAGTTTTGGCTAAACCTCTGAATAAGGAATAACAGAAAGCGGATGTGTCGTGAGGGACGTGAACTTCAGGTGATATACGAAGCTTGCACTCGAAATCTAGCCCAAAAGCTTCTTGACTTGCTGCAAGAATATTGTAAGAGATGTTTTTAACCTCCTCGTTATCACTGCAGAGACCGGCGTAAATGACTAGCAAAAGGCTGCTAAGAACCTCGTTATGTTCTCTTTCATCATTTTGAATGGTCTCGTTTTGCTTCTGAATTTCGAAGTCTCCGCTATCATAATCTTCTTCAATTCTTGCCTGGACATAGTAAAAGATTTTGATAATCTCGAGATACTTCGAGCTGCAGAGGACTAGTTTGTTTCCATCATCAAAGTTTATCGTGAACTCTGAAGGAACTCCAGTTTCAAACGAGACTATTGTCGAAGTAATCCGGCCCACTTCGTAAACATTATTATAATTGATCTCCACAACGTCATCAATTCCTGTAACCTTAAAACGGAAAGGAGTTTCGGAAATCATCTGAAGGTGTTTGTTTCCAATTTTCATCGTGACTGGCGTAAAGCGACCCTTCTCGTGATCATAAAGAGATACATCTCGCAGCGTAACCCTGACGTCTGAACAGATCCCATTCGAAAATGAAGTCAGCTTAAGACTTTTGATAAGACTTGGGTTTGCATCGCTATTGATGAAGTGGTGGATTGTCCTGTGGTACTGAAGGTAAGGATTGTTTCCTTTGAATATAGGAAGCCACCAATTCACAATCTCTTTTGACATGTTATAGTAATAAAAGTGGACACAATTCCTAGCAGCGTCGTCGGGTATCAAGTTTAAAAAAAATGTAGCTAGCTTCTTGGCACCAGCGTGATCTCGGTCGAAGCCTGAGCAGTCGATGACGATATAATGCTTCGAGCTCCATACTTTGGAATAAACCTGAAACGTACGGTAAATTATTACCTCGGCATCGACTGTCTGCAGGTGCAGCAACTTCAACGTAATAACTATCATGGGAAGACCCTCGGACGAGACTGCTTCATGTATGAAAGAAGACTCTTCCTTGAATACGAACGTCCTCAAAGAATGCCTGGACATAAATTCGTAGAGCTCTGGATAATCGTCCATCCTTTCTCGTATGAAAGCTGGTATCACGTTCCTGAACTCCATGCGCGGTTGCCCTAATGTCCATAACAATACGTCCGTGGCTCTCCCCACTTCCTTCAGAGTTTCGAGGTCTTCCTGAGATTTTATGGCATCGATAACTTCACTTCTAGCTTCGAGTCCATGTTGATAGAGATACCGGTGAAGAAAGTTGAAGTCATTCAGCGTCACCTTTTCATTCATTCGAAGTTCAGTAGAGACAATACGTCTTGGACGCGCAAGTTCAGCAAGAAATACAGAGACCTTTTCACCACAAGTTTTCAAAAAGTCGGATTTTGACTTGAGAACCGGCCATTTCATGGAGTTGATTGAACCATTCGCAATGTTCTGAATAACCTTAGCCAAAGTAACAAACGCCCTTTTATGTTTCGGCGTAACAATGTCAACAAGATTTTCGGAGTCAGGACTGACGAGGGCCGGACAGAAAAACCTTAAGAAAACAAATGAACCTACTGCCACAGTTTCATATCCCGGGAACTTCTCCTTCACGCTCAAATAAATAGATTGGCAAATGAGAAAGAATTGTGGGGGAAAAAATGATACCGAGTTCACGATGGAATCAATAAGTAAACCCAGATATTTGGTAAAAAGTGCGACATGTTTCTCAGCTTCGGGGTGATCCAAGGTTATCTTCTCAATTTCAAAGTCCTCGTCGTTTGCAATTATTTCACAGAGCGCGGGCTGTAGTGTTTTTTTCAAATAATGAGAGCCTTTCAATCTCGAAAACATTGACAGCGTTCTGGTAGCACAACTATTCCTTCGCAATACATCGGCGTAACGAGAAGCAGCTTGAATCTCCTGCTTTATCAGCTCCATCACAATAAGATGTGAGGCATTCTTGACCTCATATATGGTTAGCATGCTGCTTGCAAGAGAATCGATGTCATTGGCTGGGCAAACTTTAGCTACTAGTGGAAGGAGCTGAGGACAAGACAGGGACTGGACAACGAACTGCTCTACCAACTCACTCTTTTCCTTCGTCGCCTTTGTCGTTTGAATATCGAAATTTGAGATAATTTCAACAAATACCCTGAGAAACGCGACTTTAATTCCCTGATTTTTGGAATAGCCTATCGGAAGAGCGTACCTTAAACCCACATCAACATTTGCATTTAAAAGATTTGTTAGAGATGTGATGATATTATCATTCAAAACTCCAATTTTGTGACGCAGAGTAGAGGGATACGCGTCAACAGTTGCCGTTCTTTCTAAACCTTTCAGCAGGATACTGAAGTAATTGCCGAAAGTTACGGCTTTTGATCTTTTCAACTCGCCTTCTGAAATGGACAGAGGAACTTCCAGCATGAGGTCTTTGGTAATATAGGCAAGCGCCTTGGAAGATTCGATGGAGGTATCGATATAGAGGTAATCCAAATCCCTTCTTTTCAGACTCATTTCCCGGTGAGGACGACTCAAATTATTGAGGTCCAATTCTTTGAATATGGCAGACTTGAACCACGAGATTGCCGATCGCAACCACTGGTTCTTTATCAGCAAAACTCCTGACACGCACAGGTTGTGCTCCGTGTTCTCAAAAGACTTGAGCATTTTGGATAGATGCATAATGGCCTTATAGTATCTGGTAGATGAATGGTTGACATTTTCGACGACTTTGAAGATTTGGCTTGTCAACTCCAAGACTTGAACGGAAACAAGAATGAGCCCGTCCTTCGCATCTTCGCGTTCCAATGCAGTTCGTACGATCAAAACGATTTGCTCTAGAAGTAGAACAGAGGTTTCATTTTGAGCTTGTGCGAGGTCCAAAGACTCCAAGTCATCTGTCAGCTTTTTTAGGTGCTTGAAAAGGTATTTGAACGCAAGTGGATGTAGTTCAGTGCTAACGATATCTTTTGAATTCTCTCGCGTTAGTAAATTTGGGTCATTGAGCCAAGTGCACTGCCTTGAAATGAAAAAGTCAATCATCTCAATCACTTCATCCTGCATACTAGCGCCCTCGTGACTCTTGGCAACAGCTGTTTGATCAATCGTCAAGAAAGGACCACATGATGATGCAATGAATCCCGCTATATTCCTGAAATGATTTGAATCTGTAGAATTGAGCTGCGGCTTGCGGATGAAGTTGAGCCACTGACTATACATCAGCTTCAGCGAGTCGAACAACATTTTGTCAGGAACTTCAATATATTTCAGAACCTCGCTTCTTAAACGTCGTTGAAAGGCCACAGCACCAGTAGAGACGTAGTTGTCTTTGCACATTGAATTGAAGAACTTAAGATTGTATTTTTCAACTCCTGAATCTTGCCCCATCAGCTTAGCGTGAGAGTCCAGCTCCCTTAAGAGACTCCGAAAGCATGCCCGCAACAGTTTATGAACTTTCGGCTCGTGAGAAACCAGGGAGGCAAAAAGTGCTCTCCCTGTAGACCCATGAAGCAAATGGTGTGTGTCTTCTTCAATGTTTTTCAGGGATTCCACATCCAAGTTGGCTATTAATTCCGAGCGAAGGTCCATGTATTTCAGAGTAACATCTAACAACTGCTCTCGCTTCACATCGTCCAGATCCAGATTGAAAAGTGCCGATGATATGAGTGTCACCAAATACGCTGCTCCTTTGTACAAAATAAGACGAATCTCACGACACTCCTTTCCGTTGTCCAATTTCATTGCCCAAGTAGCAATAAATGCAGAGAACGATCGGGTGCTTGCCTGTACGACCGGATGATCATCAACCAATCCAACAAATAAAGGCTTTATGAGTATTTTGTAGTCGTTGATTACCTTAAATGCAGGGTGACGACTCATCGTAACAAAGTAATCTTGTATCGTCCGTTTGTAGACTGAAAATATATTCACCATTGTAAGTCTCGCGTCAGCAAGATCTGCATTCGTTAGGTTTTGTGCGATGAACATGGAATTCTCAATTGAGGAATTTTGACCACTGGACTGTGCAATCAATGAATTGAGGTTACTTTCAGATAGTTCCATCGACCTAGAAAATCTCAACGGAGAAGTAACAATTCTGTTCACACTTTCGAACTGTGCTTTTGTGCCATAAAGAGTCTTGTCACACTCAGAGGAAAGTGGCATTTTTGCATTGACTTTATTGACCGTGGTCATAGTTGATCCTGAAGGCCTCCTAGCGCGGGGCGCCAATATCGCAGGTCTTTCATTTGTGCTCTTTGAAATACTGTTGTTTTCGTTGTATGAACTTGCTCCAGATGATACGGAGGAGGACGATGTAGTTCTCACGATATCGGTTTTGTTATTACTTGGTTGTGAAGACAAGGTAGGGACCAACTTCAAAGGAAAAGGAGGAGAAAATGACCTACCAATTCTCGAGAAATCTGCGCCACTTTTCAATGAACCCTCTAGAATATCTTCCACGTTCGCTGCAAAACCCTCTGAAAAGTGGTTCAGAGCTGCAAGTATCACGTCGGACATCTCTGCCAAAGTGACTCTGAAAAATTCTATCGACTTGAGAACCAACTCAAGGTTAGACCGCGTAACATTCGGAATACTGAAAAATATTTTGAATCCTTCAGTAAGGGTCCTCAGATGTTTATATCCTGTATGTTTGTTCTGTGTGAACTGATTAAGTCGTGTCAGAAAAGAATCTGGTTCGAGGATCAACGCCGGAGGGAAGAAGGCTATCTGAAGTTTTGTGTGAGAAGTTGGGTTGCGAGATAGACATCTTGCAATGACCGGGTTTTTTTTCGACTGAGAGTAATTGCACAGCTGTAGAGAGTCGCCCACAACGAACAGTAGCCTCTTGCAAAAGGTCACAGCTGGAGATTCTTCGTCCGCCAGCTTAATAGCAGACGCTGCTCTGAACATCAGAACCAAGACTCTTAGAGTATCGAGCAAAGACGTATCAGACACAATCTGGGAGCCATTGATATTTTTAACTAATGTAGTCAAAAACTTGACTTTTCTGCTGGTAGAAGTGAACGATGGGAACTTGAAATTCTGCAGTTTTCTGTGGCTTGACGGTCTAAGTTTGGAGAACTGATTTTGGGGCTTTTTCTTCTCATCTTCAGCAATAGGTTTTGAGATTTCGTCGAGGCTTAAAGCCGCTTCATTGGGTATATGTTTGAAGCTCATCATGTTCATTTCTTCAAAGGCACTCGGTTGAAACAATAGCATTACTACGAGAAATCTCAGAATTGACAGATTTGCAACATCCTCAACCTGGAACAAGGCGCCTGAGAGAATTGACGAGTTAAAGAAATCCCACCCCGAAGAGAGCGCTTGTGATTCAAAGTCGGACCTTGTGTAGGTGTGAATCCGCCTTAAGTCTGTAGTATCCGACTGAAAGTAGGACGCACTCCCTGAAGAACTTATAGGTGATGATACATCGGAAGACGGTGGAGAGCTTTTGAACTCAGAAATCGCCGCGTTCGAAGAGACAGTAGTGGTGAGAACGTAAGAAACATTGTAGTTTGAGTGAACATCATCAAAAAGGGATGAGGAAAGCCTACAGATAGCATGTGAGATTTCGTCTTTGGCAGAACTCCGAATCTCATTGATTACTTCAACGTACTCGTGAGGCCGCGAAAGAATCCATGTCATAATAGCTTGGGCAGCGTACATCAAAACCAACTCCTGGTGTGCACTTTTCTTCATGTTCTCCATGATTTTCGATATATTTTGCAAAAAGCTCGGGAGGTTATTGGTAGTGATGTAAAATGCTGAGAAAAAGTCTAAGTAAGGTATGACGTCAACCTCACTGCAGCTGCGCTGTTCCACCAGTGGAATCAGGACATGAGAGTCAATGAACTCTAAGAATTCCGACGGATTCGCAGCGGCCGCGAAGCGGCTCAGGTAGTCCAAGTTTGTGGATATGGCCCTCAAAAGTGGGGAGCTGTCAAGGTCATCCAGACCGGTGGCGTCATTTTTGCTACTGGATCCAGGATTGGACTGGCCTGATATGTGTGACGAGGAAATTCTTCGCAACGCGCGCATGGTGGAGAAATTCAGCTTAAGTCGGCTTATTTCTTGTATCAAGCGCTGTGCGATACTAGACTCAAGCGGTCTGGGACGGGAGACGTGGAAACATGACTTTTGCGTTGCAAATCCCACGTCGTTTTTTGACATTGCTTCTTCCTGATCCAATGACTCGTTAGCTTGACGCGACCGCTGTGAATCTTCGTATTTCCAGCACAGCTCAGCGATGTCGCTGAGCAGTCGCAGCAGTACTGTGAGCGAACACAGCGCCTTTTCCGAGGGATTGCTCGTTTTTTGCTCTTTTGTGATAATATCTATGAGCCGCATGCTCTCTTCTATGACAGCGTCGATGCTGTATGTGGTGGCCAGATTGAACAGGATTAGACGGCAGCTAATGAAAGACGGCTCACTTTCAACTTCCAAATAGCCGCCGGTGCCCGATTTTATCGGCAATGCATTGAGAATCAGCTCATAGGTAAACCTTGCCGTGTTTGAAGTCATTTCTCATCAAAATCCTGTATTTACAACTTTAATCTGTCACGAATCGTAGCAGTGATGAGAAAGTTCTCTAATTTTGAGCCTCGATCTACTGCCAGGGCCGTTGATTGATGGACTTTCCTCTGTCTGGTGGCCGATGAACACTTTTGACCTGGATATGTAAGAAATATCTAAAGTTGAGTAAATTTACCCCCCCTCCCGTAGGAAGGTCCTGTTAATAAAGTCCCCGAAAGACCTTTATTGGTCACGTGTCGCGGTTTAGCCACCCTTTCAAACTACGACGAGCGTATAGCCGGCCATCATGGAGGTCAGAACGACTGTTAAGACCAGTTTAAGAGTTCTTTCAATATGGAATTTCATAGCTTTTATAGCTCTTCTTGTGTTTGTGACGTGCTTGAGTACCAGCTTTACAATTTTCCTGGAAGTCAAAGACCGGCATTTCTAAAATCTGCGAAGATTCCATTGTTTCTGGGCGATCTTCACGGGGATTTGTGTAAAGGGAGTGTAGTTTGTATTAGGGTAGGGTGCTTGTAGTGGATGAGCAACTTTGTAGGAGTTGCACCCATTCGCAAGAATGTTTGGATTAAGACCGTTCAATAGTGTGTCTTTCGGACATTGGAAGATGAGAGCGAGAGACAGGCGGCGCTGCATGCACTGCTCCGAAGTAGTGGTTTGACGGAAGTGAGGGACGGTTCTTTAGAAGCATATCATCATTAGTACTTGCATCGAGAGAGGTCTGATTGTATTTGTCCTTCTAACGCAATATGGCTCAGGCAACCGAACGGCTGTTAGAACATACGATTGAAGCTAGCATCACGTCAAAGAAGTGAAGCCTGTGAATTTCTTCGGGAGGCAAATCTGCACTTCTTACCGTTGGATTTCAACAGGAAACATGTTTGCAATTTTCAAAGAGCTGCATCTGTGTTTTTCGCGATGGTGATTTTCCTGCGACCATCAGCGACTCAACGCGCTCTTGCCCGAGATCGTTCCAGGGATAAGTGGCTCTCTCCTGTCACTATTCGTCTCAATACCACAGGTTCATAAAATCATCTCTTAACCTCTCGGATAGTTTCTTCACTGAAGTATGAGCAGATATTTCAGCAAGCCCACGATATTAGCCGCGAAGGCATATGATCTGTGAAAGAAGCAGCCAATAACTTGCTTTAGGCATCTATTTCAAGCTTAGATCTCTCGCCTTTGAAAAGTAGTTCCTATACTCTAACCTTCTCTCGTAGAACTCATAAATAGCTTAAATTCAATAGATTCTAGCATCCTAGCAATACTTCCATAATCTCGAATACTTTCGAAGAGGGAGAAGCCAACACTCGCGTTTACTCTTTGGAACTTGTAGTTGAGACATTTGATGCAGTAGATATCCATATTTATCCACAATGATTTGACAATGTTTTGCTTGAGCCATAGTCCAAGGCATCAAATCGAACGTCGAGAGCTCTTCCCAGATATGAATAATTTGAAGTCGATACGGGGCGTTATGGTATTTGAGATGAGAGATTGGCTAGCCCAAGTCATTCACTCATTTTCGCCCGGAGCAGTATAATGATACGCAATAACACCCGTCTGATGGGTTGGGCTCAAAGAACCTCAAACAAAATTGTGATGCAATAAATCGATTCCTTTTGTGGAAACCGCTATACATCACCTCAGAGGCACCTCTCTTTTTGTCGCTATTTTGGCATCGCTTCCTAACGTTTTATTTAAGCGCGTACGCCAACGTCAATCATTCTCATGCAGACCGCTCAATCAGTTGTAAGATTCTGAAGCCATCGTAGATGGCGAAATACCCGCAACTCCCCGATAAACCTTTACCTGAAAACAACTTTGGGAATCTTAGTGTTTGTGGTCAAGGCAAACAAGCGAGACGTATCGGTCTCGCTTCTTTCTCACTCAGCTCGTTGAACTTTGCTCGGTGTCATGGAGCGAAACTCCAAGCACTGCAAAAGATGCCCCGTTTATCACCGCCTCAGCTCAGCTATTATTACAGAAGAACGCTGAAATTATTCATGCCTGGTTTATCTCGCAACATTTTTTTTTGGAGAAGTCGTCTTTCATAGCGCCCTTGTCTGAAATGCAGTCGGCCTGTCTTTCGAACAGTAAATATATGATTTTGTGCGACTTGTGCTGATTGATGGTTCGATACCCGAGATGTGCCATGATATCGCATAGCCTTGTTTCGGTCATATAACGAGAGTTGGCAACACACGGTAGAGGCAGTACCAAAAAAACATAGGCTGATTTTACATCCTGTCGCAGAAAACTGTTGAGTCTCATGAGCATCTGGCCTCGAAGTCTAGGGTTGGGAACGAAATTCAACACCAGTGAGCACGAGATCAAGTCAAAACGTTCTGAATCGTTCTCAGGAATCGGCCTTTCCATAAAATCCTGGCGCTGTATGTTGACCGGATCATTAGAGTTCAGATCGATGCGAACCACGAGCTTAAAAGTCCCGCTGGTGGAGATCGCATTTTTGGCACTCAGGGAACCTAGTTCTAAGGCTCTATATTGATGCCCTGGATCTCGAACGGCTTGGAACCATTTTATCAAAATTTTGGACGAATCTCCACCTCGATTCTTATCCTGTCCGATCGTGCTTGCAATCTGGTAATTCTGAAGGCCGCCACGCTCATTTATTTCAGACATTATGTACCCGAGAATTCGAGCAAGACAATCCAGTTGATGGGTTTCATGAATTTTTAGCATATCGGTCTCTAGTTGTGTGTCTGGATGAGAAGCACTCCAGCCCTCGCGATAATGAGATTCCAACCCTAATGTCTTAATCTTTTGTTTAACGAGTACCTTCGTCCGTGCCTCATCATTGTCAGCAACTTGAAGCTTTAGCTTTCCCGCTATGACCCGCCTTTTGTTGATAAGCAGGTGGAATCGTCTAATAACTCTTCTAGCCTTGTCAGGTTTTATCGTTGGCTTCCGCTGCAAAACAGGCTTTCCAGTCACCGTTTTTCGCCGTCTCAAAAGCATTTCGAGAAGAAACTTATCAAACTAACTAAACTAACTAAGCTGACTGTGGAGGTGCCAATGGTTCTTCAACGCCTGGAGTCTATACTCATCTCTTGGTATTCTCCAGGTATTATAGCTCATCGCATCTCATCGCCAATTTCCAAAAATTTTCAATTATACCGAACTTACCTCGATGAGCTACAAAAATAGACATAAGAGATCAACAAAGCAGCCCCCAATGCCCAGCAAATTACTCCGAAGGCTCGTGAGAGGCCGTGGCAAGGATTGTAAGAGCCTGCCACCCAAAAACAAGAGTAAGACGAGGTCAAACAAGGTGGTGAAGTCGTCCAAACGTAGACCAACTGAAAATGTTCAGAAAGAAAGTCAAAAAGCCAAAGTAGTAGACGCTTCAGAGCTCAACTGGAAAACTGTCGACATCCCTGACACTATGGATGACTATGGTGGGTTTTATGGTCTCGAGGAAATCGATGGTGTTGATGTAAAAGTAGTGGATGGAAACGTTCAGTTTATTGCCAAGGATCCTAAAAAGGCCGTTAAGAGTCAAACTGAGCTCGAACAAGAGAAAGGGGATGTTTCTGAACACGATGAACGGGCCGACGGTGATGATAGCGATAAAATGGAGGGTTTAATCGAGTTCAAGAACATGGACGACTTGGAAGAAGGCGAGTTGGACGATTCCTCGTCCGACGATGCAGAACAACAAGACCAAGAAGAAGAGATGAAGGATGTTCCCGCTGAAGAAGACGAATCCAAAGTAGAATCACTACAGCAGCCGTTGACTAATGAAGAAAGCGAAAGAGACAACGAACCACAGCAGTCAGGGAATGAGGAAATTGAAATTGAAACCGAGCAACAGCCCGATGACGAACTAAAATCCAACGTTTTTGGAGGCGACATCGACCTCGAGAACTTAGAGGCTCTTCCAGAGTGGACAAATAAAATGAAGCTGTCAATGACCACTTTGCAAGGTCTCTCTGAGCAATATTTTGTGCGGCCCACGGAAATTCAGTCCAAGGCCATACCACTTGCCTTGGAAGGTCACGATATAATGGGGAAAGCCTCGACGGGTTCCGGTAAGACACTAGCATATGGCATCCCAATCTTGGAAAAGCTTGTCGCCGATCAATCCGGCAGCAGAACAATCGGGGTCATTTTTACACCTACGCGTGAGCTTGCGCACCAGGTCACCCAGCATATGCAGAAATTGGCATTCTCCATCAACAAAAAAAATCCTTATGCAATTGTTTCCCTCACTGGTGGTCTATCCATTCAAAAACAAGAGCGCTTGCTTAAGTATGAGGGCTGTGCCAGAATAGTTATTGCCACACCTGGTAGATTTCTGGAAATTCTTGAAAGAGACCCGAAATTAATCGACCGTTTCTCTGAAATCGACTGCTTAGTTCTTGACGAAGCAGACAGACTGCTTCAAGATGGTCACTTCGATGAGTTTGAGAAAATCCTCAAACACTTGGGAAAGGCTAGAAACATGAAAAAGAAGGCAAAGAGCAAATATGCCGGTACAGGCTGGCAAACGATGATTTTTTCAGCGACCTTCTCGATGGACCTTTTCAATAAGCTCACAACTACAACTTGGATGAAACTGAAAAATGGCAAGGAAACCAACGAAATGGAAGAGGCGCTCAAGCATTTGATGACTAAAATACATTTCAGGTCGAAACCACTCATCATCGATGTTAACCCCGAAAACAAAATACACTCGAAGATCACTGAGTCGCTGATAGAATGCTTACCGACAGAAAGAGATCTTTACACATATTACTTCTTAACAGTTTACCCTGGAACGACGCTAGTTTTCTGCAACGCAATTGATTCCGTCAAAAAGCTTAATTCCTATCTCTCTTTTCTGGGGATCTCGTCGTTTCAAATCCATTCATCGATGACCCAAAAGAATCGTCTAAAAAATCTGGAGAAGTTTCAGCAACAGGCCTCTAAAAACAAATTGACAGGCAAACCTACCGTATTAATAGCCAGTGACGTTGCAGCCAGAGGTTTGGACATTCCAGATATACAACACGTCCTAAATTACCATCTGCCAAGGAGTGCTGATGTCTACATTCATAGGTCCGGAAGAACGGCTCGTGGTGATAATGAGGGTGTTTCAGTTGTGGTGTGCTCCCCTCAAGAAGCAATGGGGCCACTCAGAAAATTGAGGAAAGTTCTTTCTTCAAAGTCAGCAGAAAAGCATGGTAAAAAATGGCAAAAAGACGTTCCAGTGTTTCCTATTGAGCCCGGTATTCTGTCACAGCTGCGCGAAAGAGGCTCGTTGGCAAATGAACTAGCAGAAGACCAGTTGGCAACACGGTCATTAAACAAGGACGAAAATTGGTTGAAAAAAGCGGCAGATGAACTGGGAATCGAACTCGACTCGGAGGACGAATCTAAAGACATTATTTTGGCTAAAAACAAGTACAAAAAGCAGAGCAAACAGCTGGGCAAACAAGAAATTAAAAACTTAAAATTCGAACTGAACCAGCTGCTGAAAAAGCCAATTCGGAAAGATTTGCGTAAAAGCTATCTGACGGGAGGTTTTACAAATCTAGCAGACAACTTAGTAAAAAACGTTGGGCACTCGACCATTATCGGGCAGGAAAAAACCGATGCATTAGATCTTTTGAAGAAAAACAAAAGGGGTCGCAAATAAGATCTTGGCGTCCATTATAACTAATTCAGAGTCATTAATGCAAGAAACAAAATCAAAATCTTTATAGGATGAAATTTGATTATCTTTACAAAATGTATCCTGTATACACTACACTAGTAATTTACCCAACAATCGACCCTTTTTTTGAGCGAGAGGTTCAGTCTTAGAACATGATCCAGTCTTATGCAATTAGATGAAGTCGTAATCAGAGCCCTCGTCCTCTTCATAGTACTCATCGTCGGACTCGTCCACCAGCTGTTCGAAGTTGACCTTGTAACGCAGCATGGCACCAATACCACCAAACCCTGTCACGAACTGCGCACCTTCTGAGGATCTGTCAGTGACGAACTCCAGGTTGGCACCATAGTTCTTGTAGTTTTCCGCCAACCACTCGACCAAAGGTTGCTCTTCGGCTATTTCCATCTCCAAGCCAGTACCTTTGTCGATATTGTACGACTTGTCTTCTTGTTCAGGTTCGGCAAATCTTATGACCTCATTTTCCTCTGAGTCGTGGAAAATGTATCTGACAGTTTCCAAGTTTTCGAAAATAATTAGAGTTTCCACGGCACCCAAGTCGAGAGCCTTTAGAGTGTCGTCAATACCGTAGCAGAACTTTCCGGTATCCTGAGAAATTTCGTCGAAGTAGCTTGTAATCAGCTTCTTTTCTTGGATGAACTTGACGTTGGCCAAAGCTTCAGCGGATTGCTCAATGGCTTGGTTGAAACCGTTTTCACCACCGTAAGAAATATCGACAATTTTTACAACTCTGGAGGCCAACCTTTGATCGAAAAGTTCAGATTTTGCTAGATCGGTCTTGAAGTCGGCGGAACCTGCCAGAATCAAACCCTTGACGTTGGGCTTGTCGTTAGTTATGAAATTCTGGACTGCTACCTCGGCCACCTTTCTGACGTAGTTGTGTCTTTTCTCTTCTCTCAGACGAGCGAAACGAACCGCGGACTGACCACCTCTTCCGTGCTTCTTTGGAAGGTCGACAGTGAACTTATGCAGCACAGTTCTGGTGTTTCCCGACAGCAGACCGAACAGGGACCCCTGACCATCCATGACGATGAAACCAAACTTGTCGTCGGCCTCTAGCAGTTCTGACAGCACGTCCGTGTGGAATTTGTTGTCACACAGATACAGCGATGTGTTGATGGGCTTGTAGGGTTCAATGTCGATGGTTACCTTCTTTTCCTTGCCCTCTTCGGTGATGATGTCACCACAGTACAATACAAGACCATTTGGAGGTACCCTGGTGTATAGCTTCAGTTTTTGCTGTGTGGATGTGATAGCACCCAAAACCGACAGACGGTTGACTCTGGACTTGATGTTTGACGCCGTACCGTACTCATCTGTAAGCATTCGCTGGATCATCGATACCTGGCCCTTGGGGGGGATCACAAGCGAGATCATCGACGTACCATTACCTCTGGCCTTTTCCAGAGACTTGATTAGTTTCTTGACCTTCCAGATGGCAATGTTCTTTTCAGCGTCGGTTTCCATCTTGGCTATATATACTGTTTATTACGGCAAATTTCACAGAACCTATCCTAAGTCTCGATTCGATTAGAATGAGCGTGAAAGCGAGTATTCTTGCCTCTAAAAAACTACAACGTTTTTAATTCGAAGTTCAAGAAACTCTTTTGATATATCTTAAAATTTTTCATTTGGCAGCGATGAGCTAACCCAGAAGAGTGAAAAATCTTGACACGTGACCCGAGCCTTTTAAGGTTCCCGTTAACTCTGGGAACTTTGACTACAGATGAAGGAAGAGCTAACCAAGCTGGAATAACAATGTTTAAGATATTGATGTGTAGTCTTGAACTTGAGTCTTTAACGAAATGGGACATTTTGGTTAGAACTTATAATATCATAGAGGAAATAAAACTTGAATTAGCATACATATCGTGCCAGCCAGCGAGCAAACTAGGAAACTGAGCGAGAGTTGCTTCGTAAAATCTTGAGGGGAAATGGAAAGGAAAAGTAGAAGTCGAAATGCCGGTATAGTATAGAAAGAGTAATGGCTGGGGATTATCTTGGCCTCCAGGGCCCAGGGGCTAATCTCTGGGCGCACACACCTTAAACATCGATGTCGCTGTCGCTGAGAAAATCGTAGTCCTCCAAATCGGAGTGTCTGGAGCCCTCGTCGTTGCTGACAGTGTTGCTGATAACGTCGTGGTCGTCGCTATCTTCATGCGCAGAACCAGCAAGACTGGTGTGTCCGCGAGCCTCGGAGTAAACCGACTCTTGAACCCCCATGAGGACAAGCGGTCTCAAGCAGATGGTGGGCTCGCCCTGCGAGCAACCGGTGTACACTACTTGATCCTCGTCGTCGACCAGATCGACCTGGTAGGTGTTCTGCATCAAGAGGTTGTCGATCAAACCGCGACAGTTGAAGTTCAGCGTCTTGTAGTGGCCCTTTTGGAACTCGTGCGGACCCATGTGCAGGGTGCACTTGATGGGCACGGTGCTGGGAGGCTCGAAACACCGGAACACCAGCTTCAGTCCGCTGGGCACCGAGTCCGAGCACTTGTTCCACAGCCGAAACGAAATCACATGTTCGCGTTTGCTCACCTCGACCAATATCAGGTTGTCGTCCTCGCGTGCGGTTTCCACAGACGCCGCCAGTGAGCTGGGCGTGAGGTCGTTGAAGTTGGGTGCCAAAAACCTCTCAACGGCCTCAGTTAGCTTGGTCTTGTCGCCACCCACTTTGTGCAAGAGCTCGTGGTAATCCTCGTGGTCATACACCAACTCGGCTAATTCCTGTTCCGTCTCGACTTTCGTAAAATACTCGAACACCTTCGCGTCACGCTCTGGGATGTCAATGATTACATCTGTGTCAGTGCTTGCAACCGCGAACTGGTTCAATCTCTTAAATTCTGGCTGCGGGACAGGCTTGGTGTGGGTCCGAGTTCTGAAGTCCGAGCAAAGTTTGTTCAAATCTGGGTCAGGGGTGTTGATTTTGATCATGTTGTGGTATTTCTTGTGGGTTCCAGTCTCGACCCCACGGGCTACGCATTCAGAGCAGAGATCGTAGTTGTAGCAGTACAAGCACTTGTATCTCGGACCTTTGATGAAGCCAGACTCATTGCAAAGATGACGACTGGACTGAGATTCCTGTCGAGACCCAGGGAAGCAACCGTCACACACCACTTCCTCATGCAAAGTGTCGCAGTGAGCGTCCACATGGGTCTCCGAAGAGGAGACACCCTCTTGTTTTTTGGAAAGAGATAGCTCCAGCTTCTGGATCGAGCTAATAAGAGATTCTAACTGATCCGGACGGATAGACACCGTGTTGTTTGAAGGGCTCGCTGCACCCGAATCTGAGCTTTTCTCTGATTTCTGCAATGCCGTGCGATTGCCGCTACGGTCCACTCTGATTACAGCAGTATGTGCTTGCTGAAAACACGATCTGAACTTTTCAAGCTCCTCTTCGTTCGTCAATAACCCACGCTGAATGTTGTTTGGCGCGCCCGTTTCGTAACGCAAAACGCCAGATTCCACGGCGTTCGCCAGATTAAGTTTCACAAGGGCCAGCTCATTCAAAACCGTTTTAGTCACTGAGCTGGGGGAAATTCTTAGGTAGTGACGTTGGAATTCAGACTCTCCATGCAGGAATAGTGGGTATAACCCGTATGCTCCGCCAACCTCCATGCTGATAGGTTTTTGACGGAAAGACTATAGTTTGAAGCCAAAAAAACTCGCGATCAAAGTTAAAGCTCTGTCCAAAATTCAATACACTTGGGCTTGAACTAGAAAAGACTCTTTTATCTTGAAGTTAAAATCCAAATGTGTGATTCATGGCTGATAGATAAATATCAAGTTTATCTAAGGGATGCCAGTTACATCCTTGTTTTTATCATCAGATTTGTCACTTTGTACTATTCTGTCGCTGTCTCTGATGAGAAGCACATTTGGCAATTTTCTTGACACTATGCTGTGGGAGAGGCTTTATCGGCGTCTGATCAGCCTCAGTAATTTGAGGTCGATGGAAATATGATGCAAATGTAGCTTTTTTGAAATCAAGACGCCTGGATTGTTACCAATATTGATTACAAGGTGTAGAATTAGGTATCGACTTATGTTGTGAGCTTGAACCACTAGATTGAAGTTTTAACGTAACTAGAATTTCAGATGATATGCGATTTTCACGAGGATGCTTTTCTAAGCAGTTTGTAGTTATGTCTTCAGCTGTATTTGCGCAGATTTTTGTATTTCCAATTTCATCTCTCGAGAGTTCATAGTAATCGCGGTGACTTAGATAGTACCATATGGAGTACTTTCGCAACATTGCATCTGGCTTGCCAAATATCAAGAAAAGCTAGATTTCTAATACTTGGCCGAGACTGCAAGATTGCGAAATTTCAACCATCAAACTATTGAATAAAGAGCAACATTTCAATGCCACCCGCACTTGTTGCAATTGCATGAGAGGCAATTCATGGCTGGAAATGATTATCTCGTTTCATGCTTTCACAACTTTCGACAAGGTAGTCATGTAATTAATTCGAATTTTTATACTGACATATCTTGATGTATATACGAAAATCATCCGATGACCACGAGCAACAAGCCCTGTAATAATAACTCAGTGACTTTTTTGAGGGGTTCAAGAGTCGGCGTTCGCTCTTGGAAGTTTGGCTCATAATAACTCGCAATGACCTTTCACAAGAGTAATTATCAGCGGATATACTTAGTTCAATTGAAGGATTAAGTGGTGTGTTAAACTAAAGACAGCCTTATAAAGAAAGTGAAAATATAATTAATTGAGTGGTGCGACACCGAGAGAGAGCTGTCGCTGAAGGCTGTCCAACATTAATAAAAGTGAAAAAATGAATGTAATTAGTGAGCTTTGCGTGTGGTCGTTCAACGTCTCGCCACAGGCTCATAATCTGGAGGATGGAAACTGAAAGTAGATTTGCCCTTCTCGTTGAAACCGGTGAATTCATCACTCACGTCAACGCCGTGAGTTTTAGCAAGCAGTATTTGCTGCTTCGACAAACCAAGAGGATCGCGCGCAATCCACAACTTGGGCGCAGGGTCCGTCACGGAGGGGTCCGAGTATGCGGTCTCTAAAAAGTCTTTGTCGTACTGAACAGTTGAGTTGAGCACGTAGGGTAGGGTCTTGCGCACGCGCGAGAATTCGTAGCTTTGGTTTGGTCTGAACAGGTATGATAATCTTTGTTTCCAACCTCTGCCAAGAGTCGAATCTGGTGGGAAAGCGCTAGGATCCTTGGTGACGGCATTAGCGTCGGAGAATACATTGCCTGCGTCAGCGTTTATGACGACGGCACCATCAGCATCCACGGTATGTTTAGGCTTGTCGTTGGTGTCCAGATCTTGCACGTCCTTGTAGCTGTATTTGTGGAACTCCTCGTCCTCAGGAACAAAGTTGGGCTCTTCCAAATTGGTGTTGTCTTTGCTTGTGTTAGAAGATGGACGGTTTTTCTCAAATTCAGATTCTTTCTCCGCATCTGCTTCATCTTCTGACAAGATACCAGCTTTCTTTAGATCGGCCGACGTCGCGGGCTGAATAACACCGCCCGTCTCGTTCTCGTCCAGTTTGCGTTTGAATTCCTGACCCGTGCTCTTGATTTCGCTTAGGCCCTGGTCTTTAGCAGGGTAAAAGTATGTGCTTTCGCCTCTGGAGTACTTAATGGCACTCAAAGGAACGGCGTCAAATAGCGGAATAAACCTTCTTTGGAAATACAGGTGACACAAAACGGTAAAGCCAATGAAGACAGCTTCGAGGACCAAGGGTCCCCAGGTCTTAGCCATAATGAACAGACCCAAGAGGCAAATTTCAGACAGGTACAGTCCGAGAAATACTTGAAATAAAGCCCTCGCGTACCCTCTGCCTTTCATATCGAAAGAAAATCCGAGAACGTAATGCAAATTGTACGTGTACGCGAGGTAGAACAGAGCTAGGGCAACAGTCGAGAAGATCAACAAAATTGGCGCAATAAGGGAGTAACAGATGAAAATGCAAACCATAAACTCGATGCTGGGAAACATAACACCCCAGGATGGTTTTTTTAGTGTGTTGTATCTGTTCCATTTCTGTCTAGGGGTGGAATCTAGCAGTCTACCCAACACTTTACTCAGAAGCAAAGCTACAATTTGCAACAACGCACCACTGGGGAAAGTAAGCCCTAGCAGTAAGAAGTACGCAATGTAAAAGTTGGAGGATTTTGGTAAGTTTTGAGCCAGTAATGTCATTGCGTCGCTTGGATTGCTAATAATCTTCGAAATTACGGAAGATGCGGCAGAAGAAAGCGTAACAACGATGAATACCTGGACGACCAAGAATGCATAGTACCACGCCTGCAAATAAAGTTCCTGCTCTTGTAAGCTGCTGCTGCCGCTCATAGCACCTAACTTCCTGATAAAAATAGGAACCAGGGACATCAAAACAGCAAGCAACACTGTAGGAAGAATAGATGTAATCAAACCGAGTAGTACAGCGGGCAAGTTTTCAATGAACTTCAAAAAGTGCAACTTGGAGATCAAAAAGTTGATGTTCGAGACAAAGCCAACAAAGGCAACGGGAATAGCCCAAAATATAATCATTAGGGTCAACACGGTGTTGGCAACACTACGTTTGGACCGTCTGACGCTTTTCGACATACCCAAAGTGTTCCAAGCAATTTCTTCAGGTGCTGTTCCTATCAAGCATTTGTCGTAAGAGCCCTTGTCAAGAATGTATTTCACGGATTGGAAAGCGCGCTGGGCATCGTATTGACCCTTGAACTCCATAAAGCAGGCCCCCACTTTATCGCGGGTATCCCAACTACGTTGCTCCTGTTCGATTTCATCGTTTAGTTCACCAATCCGTTTGCTGCAGTATTCCAAGGTATCCACTTTTTTGCCGCCAATAAAAGGCAATGGGATTTTACCCAAGCGGAAGGTTGGTCTTTTTTTCAAGGGAATGTAAGTCTGAAGATCATCTTCTGGCTTGTTGCCAATCAATTCGTCGAGCTTGCCCTTCTTCTCAGCTTTACTTCTAATCTTCAATGACTTCTGAATGACCTTGTTCATGGCACCTTCATACTTAGAGGCGAGCTTGGAACGTTCTGCAACCAATTTTTGCAGTTTGCTGTTGTCATGAGAGAAAACGACCCTAGAACAATTCTCAAACCTACGTTGAATCTCAGATTCGTTGCGAAGATCTGTCGAAAGGTCTGTTACAATCACGGTTTTGGAAGAAATGAGGCCGTCGTAGAAAGGACTAGTCTGAACCGCATGTCTCAGCGAAACGTAGTAGTAAAGTTCGCGGTAAATGATGTAAAGCACGAGGCCGAAAAAGATCCAGGATAAAAAGACATGGGCGTAGAAGCGATTCTTATTCTTGACGTTGGCAAACGCAAGAAGTTCGAAGCCCTTGTTATTATTACCGTTGGTGGCATTGACAGGCAGCAAAATGGGCAGGAGGATAGCACAGCCAATGAGAGACAGGGAGCCAAAAACGGCGATGTAGCGCAAAAACAAGTAGCCATCGAGACCCGCGTGCTGGATGATGTACGAGTGGGGTTTGGTCATCAGAAAACGAATCCACGTGAAGTATCCATCGGGGACGGGTTCTGTGCGTTCTTCCTCACGGATCGTGATGATCTCCTTGATGGAACGCGGCTGGTAGACACGCTGGTTGTGAGGTCTCAATTTCAAAAAGAGAAGGATGTACACCACGAAGATGATGCCGTAAAAAATCAGCGCTGTGACGAAACCAGAAGTGGAGTTCGCCGTGTCTGCACTGCTTCCCGCCATGATTTGTTAGCTTTAAAAGTGAGGCCAGGCGAGGGGGCTGGAAGTGCGGCAATACACTCTTTATCTAATTGAGCTTCAAAGCAAAAGTTGTGGGAAAGGTGTTTTTCGAGAGTGAGAGTTTGACACGCAACAAAAACACAGGACAACAAGCTGAACTTGGGTTGTGTTTGATGGACGACACTTTAAGCGCTATAATGTTGGCACTTCGTATTAAGTCCTGAAAGCTCAGATTATTAGCCAAGAAAGAACAAGGATGCAATGGAAGCGATGAGGAACAACCTGTTTTATCTTGGGATGTTTATATACAAAGACTTTCGTCTGGACCAATTCAGCCCTAAAACCCCTGGCAATTTTTTAGAAAATATTCGTTCTGCGTGTGTTTCTGAGAATTTTGCTTTCTTGCGTCATATCATGCAAAGAAGATGTCGTCACTTTCCTCAACTCCGCGTAGAGCATGGGCAGCGCTAGTGTTCCATGCATATTTCATCATAACTTGTGCATATTTGTATGTTTGATTACGTAATACGTAATTGTGCATCGGGTCTGGAACATCTTTTGAATGGGGAACGAGTACCTATTTGAGTAGATAAACGACTCGAAAAAAGGGCGGATAAAAGGGGTCTACAATGAGTAGATACTCGGGTAGAAGATCAGGTGCCTGGCACAACGTGGGCTTTAGGTCACATGACATTTTTAATTTCATGTTTTCTACCTGGTGAGGTTCATTCAGCTCCAAGGCCACTGGATAGATAGAAAATGGTAGGCTCATCATAACCATAAAACAAACACATGAACAGATTGAGCAGATTAAAACCGTTTCTCCAGTTGCAATGAAATTTTATGCTAAAAGTGGAACAGTGAGGCGCCTCATAGTGCTTTGACGCTTACTAGTTAGTGACTGCATTTTGCTACGTAGACAGATAAATAAAGGTATTCACTTCTTATGTGACATGGTCGAACGTTGCAGACAGTAATTATTTGAGAGCGTTAGAGCTACACTTTGAGCGACGTATGGGTTTTTCATACCGACGCCTTAGAAGTTGTCGCGAAAAAAGTAGCTCCCTAAATGTGTGATTTGGAGATGCTTAATTAGTCCTGTCGATCATTAAAAGATGTCATTGATTTGGAAGAGACTAGTGGCCCAAGAGGTCGATGAATGAATCACAAAAATGTGCTCTGGAGGCAATTCGAGAGACACAAACCTCTCGAACAGAGACCACTGTATACATTGGTTCTCTTTCCAACTACTGTTTACAAACCGTGAGAAGAAATGCATTCTAGTTCTTGACTAATAATACTCGAAAAATCGTCAGTTCGTTATAAAAAAAGGCCTATGTAGGATTTCTAAGCGTTGAGGTGTATCAAATCACTCCGCTTAAGCCTTGGAGACGTGCTCAACCAAGTCAACGACTCTGGTGGAGTAACCGTATTCGTTGTCGTACCAGGACACCAACTTGACGAACTTAGGAGACAACATGATACCGGCGGAAGCATCGAAGATGGAGGAGTGGGAGTCACCCAAGAAGTCGGTGGAGACAACGTCCTCATCGGTGTAGCCCAAGACACCCTTCAAAGCACCCTCGGAGGCCTTCTTGACGGCGGCCTTGATGGCGTCGTAGGTGGTCTCCTTGTTCAACTTGACGGTCAAGTCAACAACGGAAACGTCGACGGTTGGGACTCTGAAAGCCATACCGGTCAACTTACCTTGCAAGACTGGCAAGACCTTACCGACGGCCTTGGCGGCACCGGTGGAGGATGGGATGATGTTACCGGAAGCGGTTCTACCACCTCTCCAGTCCTTCTGGGATGGACCGTCGACAGTCTTCTGGGTGGCGGTCAAAGAGTGGACAGTGGTCATCAAACCTTCCTCGATACCGAACTCGTCGTTGATAACCTTGGCCAATGGAGCCAAACAGTTGGTGGTGCACGAGGCGTTGGAAACGATGTTTTGACCGCTGTATTCGGCCTCGTTGACACCCATGACGAACATTGGGGCGGTACCGGAAGGAGCAGTGATGACAACCTTCTTGGCACCAGCGTCAATGTGCTTCTGGGCGGAGTCCAACTCCTTGAAGACACCGGTGGAGTCGATGGCGACGTCGACACCTAGCTTACCCCATGGCAATTGAGCTGGGTCTCTCTCTTGGAAGACGGCGATTTGCTGACCACCGATGGTCAAGGTGTTGCCCTCGTAGGAGACTTCACCGTTGTATCTACCGTGGGTAGAGTCGTACTTGAACATGTAGGCGGCGTAGTCGACGGAGATGAAAGGGTCGTTGATGGCGACGACCTTCAAGTCCTTTCTGGACAAGGCGATTCTCAAGACAATTCTGCCGATTCTGCCGAAACCGTTGATAGAAACAGTGGTAACCATTTTTGATGTGTTGTTTAGATGTGAAATCTGATGGGAGATGTTCTCTGGGGAAAGAAGAAGAGGAAAGAGGAATAGGTAGACTTTGCAACTTCAACTCTCAATACCTGCTTCCTTATATACAAAACTCAGCCGTGCGGAAAGCGATCACACCCAGAGCCGTGAAACTCGATTACGAATCCTGCTAGCTGCTCGTCTGTCTGGTAGCACCACCACCATTTCTTAGCTGGGTGGGTTTCGTTGCTGCTGCTGCTGAGTCGTCATACGCCCATGCTCCAGTCATTTTGCGTACTAACATGGTGCCACCACTCCATATTGCAACCGCAACACCAATCATCGTGGTGGTCGTCGCACGCACGAAGTTGAGTGTTGGACTCGCCAGAAGACGTTTTGCCAGACTTCGCTGTGCTACTACGGTGCGTACGCTACGAAAAAAAACTCACACATCGGAGTTACCACAGTCTAGCTCGAGAATTCAAACAAGAAGCAGACGACTAGTCAGACGGCAAGGAGGAGCGGTTTGGGGGCCCACACAATGAGTTTTTTTGGGAAGCTGCTTGGAAGCGTTGTGCCGTCTGGTGACGGCAAGTTGGGTTTAATTTTTTTTTTCAACACCGGAAGCACAGGAAGTTGGGCTAGGGCAAAGAATAGAGGAAGCAGAGGGAAAACGGGTTTTCGTCAACGTGGCAGGGATTTTTTTTGGGAGTGTTTTTGGGAGTGTTGTTGGGATCAATCATTGGGATCATTTTTAGGATTGATGGAGGTGTAGCCCTGGTGGGTGGAGGTGTGAAAAGAGGACAGAGCGGATGGAGGTTGGCATAGGGGGGCCACCGTAGAGGTTGAGAGGGGGATAGAGGAGTGGATCGGAAGAAGAAGAAGAAGAAGAAGAAGAAGAAGAGGAGGAGGGAGAGGGAGAGGAGACAGTACAGATCACTATGTACGTAAATGATTAACGATCGACAAAAAACGACAGAATTGGGATGGAGTGAGGAACAGTTGAAACACGATATTTGTCGTGCGAGGTGCGAGGGATGAGTAGTCTTACAGTAGGGTACGGGTACAGAGTAGTAAGTAGTGTTATAATAGGGCTGTCTTACAAAAGAATGGTCTTACAGTAGAGTAGTCTTACAGTAGAGTAGTCTTACAGTAGAGTGGTCCTACAATGGAGTTGTATTGCAATAGAATAGTTCTACAATGGAGTTGTCCTATAATAGAGTTGTATTACAATAGAATAGTCCTACAATAGAGTTGTCCTACAATGGAGTTGTCCTATAATAGAGTTGTATTACAATAGAGTTGTCCTACAATAGAGTTGTCCTACAATAGAGTTGTCCTACAATGGAGTTGTATTACAATAGAATAGTCTTACAGTAGAGTTGTATTACAATGAAGTAGTCCTACAATAGAATAGTCCTACAATCGAGTAGTCTTACAGTAGAGTTGTCCTACAATAGAGTTGTCCTACAATAGAGTTGTATTACAATGAAGTAGTCCTACAATAGAATAGCCCTACAATAGAATAGTCCTACAGTAAAATAGTGTCTTCTGCGAGGTGCTGGTCACGTGCTCAATATCGATCTCCAACTCCAACTCCAACTCCAACTCCAACTCCAGAGACACTTCCCCTTCTGCCACGATTGAGACCTATCAAATTTTTCCCATGACCTCTGCCGCGCTTTCCCATGACCCATCTCAAAGTCTTTCCACACACACAAAAACCAAGACCACGGCCATCCAGTAAGCTTAACCTCCCTCTGGATTTCCTCAAACACACAGAAAATTTAAACTTCTTCCCGCTCTTCGTCTTGACCAAAAACTCTCGCCACATTGAACGCACACGCTCACTCCCACTCCCACTCTTCTGTTCTCGCCGTTTAGCGCTCTGCGCTCTGCGCTCTGCCCGCGCCTTCAGGGTTGGTCTTGGTTTTTTCCCGATAACCACTCAAGTCCGAAGCTAAATCGAAGTGGAAGTGGTAGACAGGTATAAATATAAAGAGAAGAGAGCAGTGGACGAGACAGACGTAGTGAAATCTACACCCTGAGAACGATGACTCTTGACCAAGATGCCATAGCGTTACACTAGTGTATTTTTCTGTCTGTTTGTATGGGACGGTTTTCTTGTTGAGAACCTTGGCGGGTAGGATCAAAGACCGTTGGGGAGAGTACCAGACCTCGTGGTTTCCACGTGATCAAAAAGGAGCTCATACGACCCACACCCACACACCACACCATAGTCAGATTCCACCCACACACCACACCCGCTCCAGTGGTATTGCTTTTCCCCCCCTCCCCCCGAATCGGGTGATGCGGTGCTGGTAACGTTGGTGGTGTTATCCAGTAGGGAAAATTAGACCTCTACCACACCGGCACCCTCCGGCCACTGCGGAAAAGCTTGTCCGGAGGAACAGTCTGCGAGGGTTTCTGCGAGGTTTTTCCGATGAGCACGGTGGTGGTGTGATTTTGGCGTCTCGAGGCTATGGTCTGCTGGCGTAAAAGGAACAAGAGTGCCCGGTCGGAGTCAGCGAACTAAGACGCTCGCCGTGAGAATCGGCCCATTTGCGCCTGGAGTAGAGTTCGAGATGAGCTGGGCAGTGCCGGGAGTGGAGTGGTGGTACTATTGTTTAGGGTGGTATGGGCTGGCACCGGGAGCGTCTGGTGTGCAGGACGCCCGGAAAAATCCGGAAAAACCCGGAACATCGCAAGCGTAAACGTTGGAATGGTAATAAGTGAATGCTGCTCCTGAATTTGAGTATATAAGGCAGACAAAGTTGTGCCTTGGGATGTATCAGGTTGTCTGTTCTGTTCTGTTCGTATTTGTTCTACTTTGTTTTATTTCCCCAGAATTCAATCGACTATACTCCCCAGTATACTCTTTTCAACTTCACCTGCTATAACTCACCTACCACTATAAAATGTCCGCTCACGAAATCCCAAAGACTCAAAAGGGTGTGATCTTCTACGAGAACAACGCTCCCTTGGAATACAAGGAAATCGACGTGCCAACCCCAAAGGCCAACGAACTGCTCATCAACATCAAGTACTCCGGTGTGTGCCACACCGACTTGCACGCCTGGAAGGGTGACTGGCCTCTGCCTGTCAAGTTGCCTCTGGTCGGTGGCCACGAAGGTGCCGGTGTGGTGGTCGCCATGGGCGAAAACGTCAAGAACTGGAAAGTCGGCGATCTTGCCGGTGTCAAGTGGCTCAACGGCTCCTGCATGAACTGTGAGTCGTGCGAACTCAGCAACGAGTCCAACTGCCCAGAAGCCGACCTCTCTGGCTACACCCACGACGGTTCCTTCCAGCAGTACTGCACGGCTGACGCCGTGCAGGCCGCCAAGATCCCAGCTGGCACCGACCTGGCCGAAGTGGCTCCTATCTTGTGCGCCGGTGTCACCGTGTACAAGGCTTTGAAGTCTGCGGAGCTTGCTTCCGGCCAATGGGTCGCCATCTCCGGTGCCTGCGGTGGTCTCGGTTCTCTTGCCATCCAGTTCGCCAAGGCCATGGGTTACCGTGTGCTAGGTATCGACGGTGGTGACGGCAAGGAGCAATTGTTCAGACAGCTCGGCGGTGAAGTGTTCATCGACTTCCGTAACACCAAGGACATTGTCCAAGAGGTAATCAAGGCCACCAACGGTGGTGCCCACGGTGTCATCAACGTGTCGGTCTCCGAGGCTGCCATCAGTTCCTCCACCGAGTACGTCAGAAACAACGGTGTCGTGGTCTTGGTCGGTCTACCCGCCAACGCCTACTGCAAATCCGAGGTTTTCAGCCAGGTGGTCAAGTCCTACAAGATCGTCGGTTCTTATGTCGGTAACAGAGCCGACACCAGAGAAGCTCTAGACTTCTTTGCTCGTGGCTTGGTCAAGTCGCCAATCAAGATCTGCGGCTTGTCTGAACTGCCTGAGGTCTTCGAAAAGATGGAGAAGGGCCAAATCATCGGTAGATACGTCGTCGACACCACCAAATAAGTCGGTGGCGGCTCGTTCGGTTGTAGCTCAACACTTTGAGCACTACCTTCCTATCCCCCCTTTGTGTAATGAAAACGTTATTTGTAATGAAAGAAATGGTATGATAAATCTTTAGAGCTTGATTGATAGATGTCTTGGTCGTTGTGCTTGGCAGGTAGAGTTGTTTTCAACGCCAGTGCACTTAAAGTCGAGTCGTGGAATATGAAAGGGCAATATAGTCTGCCGCTCAACAAAGTACTACAAATATTGTGAATTTTAAGAAAATTGCCGTTGCCGCCTGGCGTCGAAACTGCATGCCAGATCTCCCATTCATACCTCGAAGTGCTAATTAAGTGTCGTTCAATAAATGGCTAACAATTTGGGTTCTTGACGATGTAAAAACGGAAAATCCATTCTATCAAAAGTACAAAATAGTATTCGAAACCACCGAATAACTGGCAAACAATCATTGTTGAGTGTTACAAACAAGAAACCCAGTCAAAATGGAGCACACATCTTATGTTCTAATGAACCTCTGAACTTCCGATATGATTACGTGACTACAACATATCTATGTAGGAGTTCACTTCCTTCGCCTTAATGACCAGTCTGAGGACACACCAACTGCTTGCCAATTGGTCTAGCTCGTAGCTCTTGGGCTTAAAGAAACACAGGACCACTTAGTTCTATGTGCCCCTCTCTCTCTCTCTATCTTGTATCACTTTTTCCCCCGCCGTCAATTTATATGATTTCCAGCGATTAGTATCATCACCAACGAGTTAAATTTTTCAATTCCTCGTCAAGTAGTTAAATCATATACATCTAACACGCGGGTCAGAAAAGCCGATCTACCAAGCTCAGTCTGCTAGCTTTTGCTGAACTTTCCCTGCCATGTTTAGTCGGCTGTGCACCACTGCCAGTAGGGCCGTTTCAGGCTGTAGCTTTAGGTGTCGAAATTTCTCTGCTCTGTCATACCTTAGCAAGGATTATTCTCTACAACAAACCAGAATCGTTCCGAAATTAACGACTTTCTACTCGGCCAACCCACATCATGAGGACCGCATTGATAGACTCGAGACGCTTTTGCGTAAGTATGTTAAGCTACCCACGATCCAAGTGGCTCCCAGCGAAAAACCAGCTTGGTTGTCGTTCAGTGAATATGCTTTGATCGGTGGTGGCACGCGTCTAAAGCCCATTCAGTATCAACAGTTGATCACGCTTCTGAACAGACTGCACGCCATAGAGCCCGAGTTGACCAATGACGAGATCACGTTCGAGCTGTCGCAGTATTTCAAAAAGACCAAGCTCCAGGCCTCGCAGGTCTCCGTGAAGACTCTCGATGAGTTTGGCAGAAGTGTCGCTGTGGGCCGCAGAAAGACATCTACGGCCAAGGTCTACCTGGTGAGGGGTTCGGGCGAGGTTCTCGTCAACGGCAGACAGTTGAACGACTACTTCGTTAAGATGAAGGACCGTGAGTCCGTAGCCTACCCTCTAAAGGTCGTGGATGGTCTGGGTAAATATAACGCTTTCGTGGCCACCTCTGGAGGTGGAGTCACGGGCCAAGCCGAGGCTTCCATGCATGCGATTGCCAAAGCCCTCTTGGTTTTCAACCCTCTGCTCAAACCCAGACTTCACAAGGCCGGTGTCTTGACCAGAGACTACAGACAGGTGGAAAGGAAGAAGCCAGGCAAGAAGAAGGCCAGAAAGATGCCTACATGGGTTAAGAGATGAGAACCGAAAAAATATACGCATTCATCACCCACCTCCGCGCGCATTACCAGTGAGGAAACAATCACTAAACAGACAATTTGGCATCCCACAATGGTTCCTGTACATAATAATAATATAATGAAAAAGTCTTCTTTATTCAACGACATGCAATTTGTCACCTTTTACTTGATCTGGCCGTTGTTGACGCTCCTGACGCTCCTGACGCTCCTACCTCTTTTTCTAGTTTCTGTCGCAGCAGCGACTGCAATTCAGGCGATTTTCGAAGCATCAGCATCAAATCTTCCACCACGATTGTCTCGCGACCAGCGTGTCTTGCGAAAGCCTCCAAATCACCCCCCAACTCTACCAATTGCGTAAAGGTCAATTCTACTAATGCATTTATAAACTTTGGAGAGTAGTTTACACCAGGCGGCAGCTCGTTTTTTACCTGATGTTCCAAGCAAAACCATAATTTCCCCTTAAGCTGAGGAATCAGCTTTTGACGGAACTCATCACTGCTCTTCTCTCTCTGGTTCATCTCGAGCTCCTTAAAGCTACTCGAGCTCGTTCTCTATTTCAATTTCATAAATTTAAATTGTCCTGCACTTGACCTTTCCCACCATTATATATCTGCCAAGAGAGGCTCGAGAACAGAAGGGTGCACTTTAAGACTTGACTGTGGGTTGAAAGTGACAGTACAATCCCTGCTGCTAGAAAATTCATTTTGGAAACTGAACAAGAAGGCTTGATTTTCAAGACAGTTGCGACTTTTCTGTACTTGTTCGTTTGCATTGTCACCCAGCCTTAATTATGAAAAAGTACACCGTAGCCTACGGGTTGATCCCACCTCAGTGTGCTAATATACATGAGTCCCACATTCTCCCAATCACCAAGATAATACAGTCTGAAAGTAATTCCCAACTGCTACTTACGTGCGGAAGAGATGGTACTGTGATAAGGCATACCCAAAAAAATGGCGAATGGCACAGGCTTAGGATGCAAACTAATAGTGACTGGGTAAGTGACATGGCAGAGCTAGACAAGGGCAGGTTCATCGTAGTGAGCCACGACTTTTCCCTGTGTCTTTTGACGGTAACTCAGGATGGCCAAGAGTGGAACAGTAAAATAGTGGGCTACCACGACGACTATGTGAAATGCGTAGCAGTGCTGGAAAAAGATGAAGCTGGGGACTGGACGTTTGCCACTTGTGGGCTTGACATGAAGGTAAAGATCTGGACTTTAGGCGCGGACGGAAGCTCCGCTTTGTTGCACACTATCGACAATGCTCAGCCTGGAGAAACCGGGTCTCTTTATGCGTTGACATCGGTGTGTAATGATGCAAGATTTGACTTAGTAGCTGGGGATAATAACGGGAATCTCGTTTTGATGTCAAGCAAGACAGGCGAAAGACTGGGTGAGGTTGAATCCGCTCATAAGACTAACATCAAACTCTTACGCTCACTGAACAATGGAACCAGAATTTTGAGTACTAGTTCAGACGGCATGGTGAACCTGTGGGACGTTGAAAAGCTGGGCATTGACGGCGGCTCGAAGGCTTTAATATACTCATGGAAATGGGCTGCCCCCGTGTGGTGTATTCAGGGTACAACTCTGGAGCGCTTGTTGTTGGGCGATTCGCGCGGCGTCATAACTCAGGTCAGTATGACAGAAGGGGAATGGGAAAGCATGAAATTGAGCACAGTCGTATCGTCCGATGAGGATACAAAGGGGATTTTGGCGATGCTAGAGATGGATAATGGATCCATCTGGTTTTCTTTTTCCGGGGACTCTAATTTACACACTCTAGATTTAAAGACAGGGGAAAGTACTGTGCTCGAGGGTGGGGATGCTTTGCTAAAGAGCTCTTTGCTTACAAACAGACGCCACGTCATAACACAAAACACCAGGGGAATCGTTCAAAGGTGGGACATTGTATCTTGCGAATTGCTGGACACGTTCGACGCTACGATGGGAACGTTTGATGACCTTGTGCATAAACTCAGTACGAAGGAAATTTTGTCTCATTGGTGCTCAGTATCTATCAAAACGGGAAAATTGTTCGTTAAACTGTCCCCAAAATTCATGAGCACCGAAGTATATGGCAGCGCGTTGGAGCATTATAAAATTGTCAATGATATTGACGTCGAGATAGATGAGCGCTACAATCTGGGTAGAATCGCAGTAAATTCGATTCTGAATGAGTTTATCTCTTGGGTGATTTTGAAGGATGAAACGTTTCGAAAAGAGCTTGTTGCCAAGAAAAGCTCCGTTCCTGGATCTCCTTCTCAAGCTTTAGCGGATTCCTCTGTGAGTGAGGTCAGTAGACCGGGACTTAAAGAAAATAGAAGACTTTCCTTGTTCACAAAGCTCTCCAAAACCAATAGACAGTCACCAACTCCGACATCTCTTCCAAGCACTCCGTTGGCGGTTGAAAACTCGTCGACACTGGTAGAAGATTCATTTGTTCTACCACCACCAGCAACCTCCCATTTAGATAATCAGTCCACTTTAGGAGGAAAAGCAGACTCTATTCCAACTCCAGTGCTAGCAAAAAGATCAGCGAGTTCAGGATCTCTCCTCGCTCAAAAATTGAAGCTCATATCTGCTATTGACAGCAACTCAGGATCAAATTTTAGTGTTGATAATGATAGTAGCGCTGGCGGTGAAAAACCGCCCATGAGAACATCCAGTCAACCAACAACTGCTGATGAGGAGCCCCTCAAGTCGAATCTTTTCATCAACCATCAAAAAGGAGAACGCCAGGAAGAAAGCACAATGACAGAGAAACACGAAGAATCGAGACAGGAATACCTCTCGGATTTTATAGTAGAATTGCGGGAAAATTATACCAAAGAAACCGACGCAAACGCCTCTTCCTTCAAGATCTTAGGCAAGAAAGCACCTAGTTCCAAAATAACACGAGAGGACCAATCTCCGATAATCGAAATTAAAGCAGGAGTTCTCCTCCTGGTCAACTGCTGGAATGAGGGCTCCAGTGGCGACACCGTATGTTTTTCGACTTATTTGCCAACCTCACGATATGACAATGCTGAGGATTTGAAAACCTGTAATAATCAACATGTTTTTGAGGCTCTGGAGCGTAACCTTCCATATTGGATAGCGAAGGCTCTTTTCAAGGATGAGAAGACCACAAAGGATTACCCCAAATTGACTTTTGTTCTCAAGCCCTGGGAAAATCCTGACTCGCAACAAAGCTCGGAAACTTCCATAAGCTCAGAGCCATCACACTCCGGCCATCACCATCATCTGCCGTTTCATCGCAGCAAGCATCGCGAGCGTGATGGCGACCGCAAGTCAAAAACCCTGCCGAAAGTGGCAGAGGCCTACACCAAACTACATGCACCTAATTTTATCAAGGTAAAGAAAATACTGAACTACGTGGTGGATCGATTTGACTCCAAAACGCCTGAAATGCGGTGCCACACGCCTGTTAGCGAGTGGCTGGAAATACTATGCAAGAATCAACTACTTGACAACGAGATGGCACTTGGCAGCGTGAAAACTTTATACTGGAAGTCCCAGGGTGACATAGTATTAGAGTATCGGAGAAAATCGGCGTCGCTGCCAGTGAACGAGAAACCGGAGTGAGCAAGAGCCAGCCTGAGAGCTTAGGTTTGGTTTCAATCTGGCCTAAAAATCCAAAAATTCTCGTTAAACTTCTCAAGAATAGAACAAAATTCAAGCAAAACTATGAGCAAGATTTAAAGGGAGATATTAAGTCAAAAGACAACCAAACCAGCGATCGACGTTGAACGTCGCCAAGGCCTTATTGCCCAAGAATCTGTTGATGGCACTTTTGACGAATTTCAAGGTCATAAAATTTTTAATAGTCCATCTCATCTCGAAAATACTCACTATGTGAGACTCTAAAAGTGTGGACAGACAGGCTTAGTGAGGCTTAATTCAGGTGGCAACAATGGATCAAGAGAACGAGAGAAATGTGTCCAGACTATGGAGAGCTTTTAGAACTGTGAAAGAGCTCGTCAGAGACCGTGGCTACTTCATTACGCAGGAAGAAATCGATCTCTCGCTGGAAGATTTCAAAACGAAATACTGCGACTCGATGGGCCGTCCGCAGCGTAAAATGATGTCTTTTCAGTCTAACCCTGTGGAAGAATCGATGGAGAAGTTCCCCAACATGGGATCACTCTGGGTCGAGTTCTGTGACGAAGCTTCTGTTGGTATCAAGACCATGAAGAACTTTGTTATCCACATTAGCGAAAAGAACTTCCAGACCGGTATTTTCGTTTACCAGAACGGTGTGACGCCCAGCGCTATGAAGCTTCTGCCCTCGGTAGCTCCGGCCACCATCGAAACTTTCCACGAAGCGTCGCTGGTCGTCAACATTACGCACCACGAGCTGGTGCCCAAGCATATAAAATTGAGCGACGAGGAGAAGAAGGAACTGCTCAGAAGATACAGACTCAAGGAATCCCAATTACCCAGAATACAAAGGATGGATCCGGTTGCATTATATTTAGGTTTGAAAAGAGGTGATGTTGTCAAAATCATCAGGAAGAGTGAGACTTCTGGACGCTACGCAAGTTACAGAGTGTGTTTGTAAAATACTGGAAATAGAATGACCCCCCCCCGCACAAAAAAAAGAATTTGTTGATGTTGAATTATAATAGTCACATTGCGTGAGCTCTTTGGCCCTTAGCTTTTGAGCAGATACGCTCGTAATCAGAAATGGCCTTTCACGTTCTCGGCGTAGCAGCCATAACAGCGTCTTGTAAACCTTTCCACCAGGAGATTCCATCCAGCTCGACTTCTCCGGCAGGAGGACTCACCTCTACTCCTTGTTTCCCGAGATATTTGGCTCCTATGGTGACAATTAGGCTGTCCACGACGTCTGGTCTCGAGAGAAGTTCGTTTATCACAACAGCTCCGCCCTCCACCATTATCGAGTCGAGCTGAAATTCGCTCTGTAGTAATTCTAGTAGAGGTAGCCAGTCTATATTGCCGTCTACATTGAGCGGTGCCTCCAAGTATGTCACATCACGGATTACAGCGATCTGCGCAGGTCTTTTCTTTACAACAATTACTGGCGGTTTCCCCTGCTTTTGAGTGCACAATTCGTGCATTTTTGAGCCCCTGTACTGCCATTTGCAATGCGGATCCAGAATGATTGGTCGTGGTGAGCACTGCCAATCTGCCGTCTCACCTGTCGGACACCATTTACAATTCAATCCAGGATCATCGGCCAACGCCGTGCCCACGCCAATAAGGATTCCGTCGTGATGATAACGCAGAAAATGTGTCATAGTCTTAGTCTCCAAGTGCGAAATGACTGTTCTTAGACCCTTTCCCTTCGAGATGCGGGAGTCCAGAGATTGCGCATAAGTAAGAGTGACAAATGGCTTCGAGTCCGGTCCTTGAACTTTGTTTGCAGGCAGGTAAGGTTTTAAAAAGGGAACAAGATCATCTCGCAGTGGAATGAGAGACATATCTGGTCTCTATCTCAGCCAAATTTTAACAAGTTCATGGAATGCCCTGCTCTGCATCAGATACATGCTAAGAGCTAACATGGCGATGAGCTAGATCGTCATAAACGTAGAGAGAAGCCTAGTCGTCCTGGGCACGAACGTGGCGTTAGATCACCGAGTACTCGTTCTGCTCGTCTTGGACTTTACTTTGAGAACTCTCCGCCTTCAGTGTCGTTTCTGCCTTGCTAAGAGGCTGTGGATTGTATTTCCGTGATTTTATTGTAGATGGCCGTTTGAAGTTGGATTTGCGCTTCTCAGACTTGTTATCGTAAGCTGTGGATTTGGTAGGAATCGACTTAGAATGATGAACATCAGAATGCGAGTTTTGGGCGTTTTTTATCAGTTGTGTGAGGTGTTCTGTCTTCAAATCATCCGCAAAAAAAGCATTGGCCAATTTCGCACTTTCGTAGTCCTCGAGCTCTGACTGTTTCTGTTCTTGCGCCTTGCGCAGTCTTAGGGCACGCGCCTGCTGTCTTTCTTGCCACAGTCTGAGTTCTGTTGCTGGATCGCGACTGTCGTTGTCGTCCAGAGCCAATATGCTGTTGAGCATATCTTTGTTTGTGTTGAGACTAGCCTGTCTTATGGAAGCCAATTTATCTACCTGCTTTGCCCTTTCGTTCTCCTCCTGGATCTTGGCCGCCAGCGCTGTCTTACTGCCGCCGGATGCGACGTTTGTCGATTGGACGTCACCAGCCGGTCTTTTGGATCGAGCGAGAAACACGGGCTTGTGAAGCACGTATTCTTCGTCACTAGATGAGGACTCTGAGCTTTCAACACTTACAGAAGCTTCTTGGTCGCTGGAATCGCTGTTCTCAACATCCGATCGTTCTTCTGCACCCGGCGCAGCTGGAATATCTTTCATTCCTTGTGGGCATTCGCTAAAAACGGCACCACTACCAACACGTTCTGCATCTTGATCTGAAAGTGTCTTTAAAGTGTCTGATGTGGTCCCAGGGACCGTTTTTTCTGCTTTAGTTTCTTGAAGATATGCACTTTTGAGCTCATCGCTACGCTCATCGTTACGCTCATCGTCTGAAGAATTGTCGGAAGAATCGCTTGAAGAGCTGATTTCTTCTAGAGCATCTGTTCGCCTGAAATGCCGGATCGCCATGCTCTGAAAGCTCTCTGAACTTCACAATTTGATGTTTCGAATGCCTGCTGGTTTACGACGAACATATAAGTCTTCATTAAGTTAAAGGCATGTTCAAGAAAAGTATAAAAGCGTGTAGTGATGCTCCTGGCGGGCGAAGCAGTCGCCAAATAGTAGTCAAAAAGGCTCAATTCCGATTCGAGGAACTTGCGAGATCTTCAATTGAGCTTCCTAGCGCTCTTCTCCATTGATCTGCTCGTCTCTTGAATGTCATAAAACATGTGTAAGTATAGAGATATAGTGTTTACACAGATAGCAGCGCTTGTGCCGCTAATAATGGGGTTGAGATAGCCATCTACATCCCATTGCACTTGGCTTTGAATTTGTGCTTGTTCTTGTTCTTCTTCTTCTGGTGGGATTTAGCTCCAGAATCCTTGCGCAAGTCGTCACGGTGAGTCTCCTGGTCGGAATGGGCCTGGAAATAGGCCTCGTCGTGATCTCCCAGGTCTGCAGAAGGATGCTCACGGTGGTTTTCAGGTGCTAGAACCTTGCGTTCAGCGGGCTTTTCGCCAGCCTCTTCAGGCTCATCTTCAAAGGGTTCATGAGAAGGTTCGTCTTGGGGGGACCCATGAGGGGAACCATGGGGAGGACCATGTGGAGGGCCATGTGGAGGACCGTGGGGAGAACCGTGAGGTGGACCGTGAGGAGGCCCATGGATTGGGTGATGGGGTTTCGAGTGATTGAACGCTCCCTGATAGTCTTCACCGCTGATAGTTCCAATGAAAGCTGAGCTACCGTAGCCTCCTATGAAATGCACTTCGCTAACATCAAATTCGAACCACTGGCCGTCGTGCACTCGGTCGTGTTTCCCACCTGGAATCCACCAGCGGGCATCGGGATGGCGTTTGAGAAGACAGTGCTCCAGGGCCTTAGAACCATTAATCGGTTTTAGTTCTCCAAAGTAGTTGGCCCGTGGCGCGGCCATCGCAGGTCTGCCCAGTTTGGCGTGGCCAGACAACTCCAGCGAAACCGAGAACTCCGAGTTGTTGTACCAGTTCTGGTACGTGGAGCTCATATTGAGCAACACCATGATCATGCTGCCGTTACTCGATGGTTCTACGCTATGGCATGCGTCTGCACCTACAAAGTATTCGATAAACGATACAGGTGTACCGGAATTACGGTCAATAGTGTTGGCGTGAAGTGTGCGTTCGAAAGCTGCCATTTTCCGGGCCACCTTCGCAGCTTCTTCAGGCCCCATATAATGGGTCGACTCTGCTTCCTCTCCCAGCTTGTCTTTATGGCCAAGAACATAACCAAGGCCTGCCATAACGGCAGTGCTCAAGCTCCCTAACTTCATCGCTATGTTTGAGAAAAGATTTGGAACGATTCTACTTAATGCCAAGATCTCTAACGAAGAATCCCTTACTAGACGCTTATGTTGCACCTCGTTAAATACAGCTACAACGTAATTTTCGTCGCTTGCCAAGCCTCTTTCACCGCAAGCTCCCGTGACTGCTGTGTTATTGAACGTTCTCTAGCACGGCTTGGCTGAACTTCAGGTCCCGGGTGCATTTTGCTTGACTGATGCCTGAATGAATGTTATGATATTTCAGCTGGCGACGACGGCCAAGTTAATAAATGAAGTTTGGTACGATTATGGTGTTTGCTTGATGTGTGAATACTCATAAACTTAAATCGTAAATTGTCCACTTCAGGTCAGATTGGCAGTAGGATATTGGGCTTGAATAAGCTTTAAAAATTCGGTCGGTACGTTGAGAATTTGCTCTAAATCGGAACAGCTTTTTGTCAAGTTGAGAGACCTCTTTCCTTGCGTTTTTCGTCGTGTTTTTTTATATGTCTTATTTATTATTCAATGCTTGGGTTATAAGTAATTGCAAACCAATGTCGAGGAATAAGCAATTGCTCAAAAATTACAGTAGAAATTTTGCCGAGTTAAGCTGGATCAGTAGGCTAGACTTAGGGAAAAATGAGCAACATTTGGTAGTTTTTGGTCTTTGTTTTTGCAGTGTCAGTGTTTTCCACGACGCAAACATTTTATGTTCAATTGCAATTTTTCAGCAGGACAGGAAAACCGTGACGCAGGGCAAATAAGTATAAACAAAACCGTTTTCAGCCTGTTTAAACGTCTCAAGACCTAGGGTGGTGTTGTGGGATGAGCTTGAGGTGTGTAAACTGAACTCTGATTACTAGGATGCCAAACCATACGCGCGAGAATGGTAGATTTTTCAAGAATGCAAAAAATATGCTAAAGACATGCAAAAAGTCTTGTTCTAAAGCGTAGAGTTTAAGAGCATTTTAAGCACAGATTCGATGTTTTCCTATCAGGTCCAAACCCCAATGACGAGAATCTTAGACCTGATCTTTCAATAAAAGCTTTTTGCACGGCAGTAGTATTATATATTGATTAAACTAATGTATCATTTACGTACAAACTATTCCTCAACATCTCTTGCTACCGTATACGAGCTCCAATAGCGCCGTTGCAATGATCAAGTCCACTTTAATCTTCAGAGACGATGGTATGTGTGCCCCATTAATAGCTTGCCACCGAGTTGATCACTAACAATTGATACAGGTCTCCCACTATGCTCATCGGTCGACGATGACACCGATCCACAGCTTTCGGAGCAGAGAAAGAAAGTCAAAATTCTGGTATCGAGACTGACGCCCAACAGTGCCAACGAAGCGACTCTAGAGAGCGACAGCTTCGAAATTCACTACATTCGCGAAAACACAATCGCCTACTTTGTCATTGCAGAAAAAGGATACCCACGAAACCTGGCGTTTTCGTACCTTAAGGAGGTGGCCCAGGAGTTTGAGCATTCATATGGGAATGAATACGGCAAGCTGTCGGTGCGGCCCTACGCATTTGTCACGTTCGACAACTTTTTGCAAAAGACTAAGAAACTGTACAGTGACAAGCGGGTCCAGAACAACTTGGACCAGTTGAATCAGGACCTGAGTGGCGTCAAGCAGATTATGACCAAGAATATTGAAGACTTGCTCTACCGTGGCGACTCGCTTGACAAGATGAGCGATCTTAGCGCCTCGCTCAAACAAAACTCCAAGAAGTATCGGAAATCTGCGCAGAAAATCAATTTTGACCTACTAATCAGCCAGTATGCGCCGGTTGCCATTGTGGCCTTCATTTTTGTGTTTCTGATCTGGTGGGTGTTCTTGAAATGAGCTCCGACGCATACCTAGCATTTTTCGCTGCGACGACACCAAGCGTCTATATACCGGAACAGACCACCGAAATAGTGTGTACTTGCGTGAGGGTGTCAGTAGCCAGATATACGGACTGCTTGAGGATAGACAAGTTTGATGCGGGCATAAGAGTTCACCGTTTTTGTTCAGAGGGCCATGACATTATAGTACAAAGTGACATAAACCAAAACTCGTTCCCAAATGTCCCTGCTATCTTTCCACAGCGACTACCAACTGCAGATGATTGAGACGCATTACGTTTTGAAATCAGCTAGGTGCTCATTCTTTCCCGACTTTGGCATGTCCAAATGGAAAAATTGAAATTGTTGACGGATCTAATTTTTGGTAACCAACTTAATGGTTTCAGCGGTAAAAAATCCGACGAAGCGGAGCACATTGGTCTCATTAACGTACGAAATTGGTCGAAACTAGTACGAAGTAAGTCCGAATTCTCGTAACTGTTTAAACCCACCCAACACACATCATCATCAACGACAAACAGGTACATGTTATATCACATGACCATAATCGTTTAAAACGAATGATCCCTAGGGCCTGTGAAAAAAAAGGTTTAAATAGTTAGCAGGAACCCTTATTCACGCTCATTACCAAATCTTTCGATGAGCACAGCATCGTCTCTTCTATAGAAGCCAACGATTTTAACAGCTTTACGCTCGATAACTTGATTCACGTTAGGTTTAAGTAGAGCGATTTGCGAGTTCAAAGAGCTTTCTTTTATCGTTTGATCATCCCGACCCTTTAAAGTTTTGAAGCTCATCGCGACCTCTGCTTCTACCAGAAACTATGAACTATTCACCAGTTACGTCGTCTTCTAATGAATCTTCACAGAAAACTGGGCTCCAGAACCTGTTAAACAAGTTCAAGTTTGTGCGGACGCTCAATTCGAACCCTCAAATCAAAGTGATCTCTCTTTTGGGCCAAATTGATGGCCAGGACGCCATTGTGACGATGGAGAAGATGCATTTTGTTTACGATACCAACGTGTTGAAGAAGGGACTCGGACGTAACACACCTGTGCTGCACAATTGCGAGGACGAGTTCTCGTGTATCAAGTCGATCGAAGAAATGCGAGAAATTGCGGCTAACGACATCTACTATTGGGGTGCGGGTCTTTTGAAGCAGGACTTGGAACACAACCCAACGGCGAAAATCAACTTGATTTGGCCCGCTACAAGGGTGCACATTCGCAAATACGAGGTTCAGGACTACCACATGGTTCGTGAAACGCCTGAAATGTACCAGAGGGTCGTCAAGCCATACATCGAGGAGATGAGCAGCGAATCGCGTTTGAAATGGGTTCAGAATATCCTGTACAATGGAGCAGAGTCCGAACGTGTGGTGTACAAGGACTTTATTGAGGAAAATTTCCCCAAGGGCTTTTTGGTCTTGCCCGACATGAAATGGGATGGCGTGACTTTGGACTCGTTGTATTTGGTGGCACTGGTGTTTCGCACCGACATCCGATCTCTGCGGGATCTCAGACCCGAACACAAACCATGGCTCATCGAGCTGATTACCAAGATCAAAACTGTCATTCCTGCGTGCTATAATTACGCCATCCACCCCGACGAATTGCGAATCTTCCTCCATTACCAGCCTTCATACTACCATTTCCACATTCACATCGTTAACGTCAAGCACGCAGGGCTGGGCGATGGTATTTCGTCCGGAAAAGCGGTTTTGCTGGAAGACATCATTGAACAGTTGAACTTCCTGGGCGAAAACGGGTTTGCAGGCAGAACTATCACATACGTCATGGGCGGGAATCACGACTTGTGGAAGCGTGGCATGAAGGAGGAAGTATCGCGTCAATTGAGAGAAGATGGCATTCCAAAGGCTCCGAAAATCATCAACGACTTCGCCTAAAGTCATTCCGAGAAACTAGGTCTGAAGGGGAATGTGATGAACAAACATTTGAAGTATCAGTTTTTCTGCAAAAGCAGTATTTTTCTTATTAAAGGGTCTGAAAGCTGCTTCCGAAGATAATATAGCATTGAAACAGCGTCACCCAGATTTTTCTGGCAAGATCGCGCGTTATTAGGCTTTTTAAAAAACGGTCGATGTGTATGATCAAAAGTAAGTAAAGGAATTAAGGTGTTGGTAATTACAGTTCACGAAAGCTTCAAGTCCATTTCGATGAACAAACGGCGTGTACGCTTCGCATCGGTATCAGATCTACAATTTGTTGATGGCGAAAAGAGCTGGGACGTCAAACAAAGATGAAATGAACCAAGAAGTGATCTGTATTGGGACGGGCAGGGATGGGGCCGACGAAGAGGAAGAAGAGGATTACATGACCATGGATCTGTCTGGCGAAGATGTAACAACTGAGCAGCCACAACACAAGTCAAAACTGCGAAGAATCGATAGCGAGCAAGAACAAGCGTCTAAGATTCTCCCTCGAGGTTTTGCAATGATGACCAAAATGGGTTTTAACATAGGTGAGGGTCTGGGCCAGAATGACACGAATGCACTGAAAGCACCCATACGTGCCTCTGGATACGGTGGTCCTATAAGGGTCAGGAATTTTCAATTGTCAGTGCCAGGTGAAGGACAGGCTAGCGATTTTGACGAGAAAACCTACCAAAAATGGATTCAACACCGTGGACAGCGTTCCAGCGAATTGCGTACCCTGCGAGTAATGCAGAAGACAGCTTTTGAGCTGAATGGCGACGTAGAATGCTTCTCAACCAACACCGATTCGCGAGACGTGAATTGTCTCTGGAGGCGATACGTGATGGACTTGCAACAAAAAATGAGACCAAAGGAAACGAACACTGAAGAGCAGGAAGGAAGGCAACGATCTCGGGCGCCTGCTGTGGCTACTGGCAGGGAAAAATGCCTCCTTTCGAGTGAGAAAGAAAATCAAGAGAAGTGCCCATTGGAAAATGCCTCTACCATCGACAGCGACGACTTGGAGAGCGATGCAGACAAGGAACTGCAACTATTTGAGGACCAGACACTTTCACAGCAGATTTCAAGAGTACACACGCACATGAGAACCGAGTTCTTCTACTGCTTCTACTGCGGAGTTCAATTTTCAACGGAAGAAGAACTGCACCAGCAGTGCCCGGGACCCACACCGGAAGATCACTGCTAGTAATCTAGCAGTGATGATGGTGATGGTGGTGGTCGGGGTCTCAACGATTGGCAATGGAGCTTGGGATGGCCAAGTCTCGCGAGAGCATTCATCACGTGACACGTGACGGAGGCGATCTAGCCAATTTCAATGCGTAAATGAACTGACCAAATACCAGTTCCCAGCGTTGGATCAGCATCTCATCGACAAGTCGACGACTGCCCATCTGGTCTGCTGGCCAACCACAATTCACATATGAGTACCACTGCTGTCCAGAAGAACTCGGGAACTGAGCGTCTTGGACCGGATCGTCCAAATTCCAGCGAAGACCAGCTACATAAAGCTCAAATTTACAACGACATCTGCAGATATGAAGAAACGCTTGGGCAGCTAGTAACGGCGGTCGACAAGTTTCATCCAACTATACAGAGTGCCAAGGACCTGATTGAGGCAGACAAAAAACTCTCAGAAACCTTGGCGTCGTTGCAAAGATACGATGAGATCGACACTCGTGCCAGAAAACTCGATGAAGAACATAAGAAGACCGATGAAAAGACGGCGAGGATTCTACAGACACTTACAGAATGTCACCAAGAGCTCAATTCACTCCCCATGCTGGAACAAGTTGAGTTTGAGCGCGACACTATACTCAAACAACGTGAAAAAGTGTTCACAGATGTGCTTCTTGATTACGCCATGAAACTCGCCAAATTCACGCATGTACCGCCAACCTTCAACATGGGCTCCGTGGGTCCAAACAACTTCGTATGGCCTGCCGAGGATGCCATGAGAAGGGGTATGCTGGCCATAGCCTCTCTCAAAGCCATGGAAGATGAGAGTGGAAAAACGGCGCCGGTCTCTACTTCGCAGGACGACGCTGGCCTTCAAAAAAGCCCCGACGCGGCTGAACAAAAGCGCACAGCAGCAGCAGCAGCAAATTTAGAAAGTAAATTCAAGGCACGCAGGCCATCTTTCGAGTTTAATGGCGCAGGCGTGAAGGAAGCAGAGGAAGGAAGTCCAGACGAGGACATAGATCTGGATCTCGACCTCTTCAATGCCGAAGAATTCTGAGGGTCTACTTTGCGACAAGCGTCATACATGTCTACATACGCATGCTATAAGAGATCTTCTCTGACGACAAAACAATACTCTGCGCCTTGTCGGCTTGGTTTAGTCCGTCTTTTCTATCGGCTTGGGAGAATACACACTGAAGCTAGTTCTTCTACCTTGACCAGATGACAGCTCGCTTTTGAAATGCTCAAATGCTCGTTGCAAGTTGTGCTCTTCAATTTCCAAGCCCTTCTCGGCTCTCCACTTTTCGTAGGACTCGAAGAACTCTGAGAAGTCGCGCTTGGCTTCCTCAAAGTTGAACTTCTCGAAATCTGCATCTGGAATTCCGAGTTGCATATCGTGAGAAGCCTCGCTCTCCTCGAATACCCTCTTGGCCTTGGCAATGTCGCCCAGTGGTCCAGCCTCCTCGAGCTTTGCTTTCTGCTCCTTTTGAGCAATAGCAGCGGGTTGATGGGTCTTGAGGAACTTTGTCACAGTCTTGGCGTACGGTCCCTTAAATAATAGGAAAGTCGCTATGATTCCCAAATGGAGGTAAAAGTAGACCGAGCGCCAACATGCCAAAGATGCGGGTAGATCCAAAATCACAAAAGGCTGTACCAAATATCCGAAAGCAAGTTTCATGACGTAAAAGCATATGACATCGTAAACGATCTTAGATGGGAGAGCCTTTCCATCGGCATTCAAAAACAGAGGACGCAAGTTTCTTCTGAATATTTTACCACAAGACTGGTACAGTGCACCAGTGGCAAAACTGAGGTAGTAGCCAGGTCTAGTGCCGTGCCAAAATGCGGACGTCAGAAAAGTGAATAGCGTGCTGCGGAATCCGGGCTTGGAGCCTGGCTTAGCGATTCTCAAGTATACGTAATGCTTTAACCACTTGTTAGTGTTCATGTTCCAAGCTTCAAGGCCCTCGTGAGTGTTGCTCGCAGTCTCGAATTTCCAAATGTCAATGTTGCGCACTCTATCCCACCTGATTTTATTCGTTTTGGCATCGTATCCGTTGTAGCCCAGACCACAGAGAATGCACGAAGCCTCGGATACGGTCCAAGCAGCATAGTATTTGAGTCTGAAGACGAAACTGAGGATGTAAAGATAATGAATCTTGTACAGGAACGACTTCTGACCAAAAGCAGGCGTGAACATGAATTCCTTTGAGATATAGTTTGGCAAAAAGGTCGACAAAACAATCCAAAAAACTCCTTGCGCCACGCGCCATAGCACGAAAAGTCCGCATTTGGGGATCTGTCTGCGCAGATTACGATCCGAGGTTGTCCACCGACGTCTGGGCTTTTTGGCATCGGGCAGGTCTCGGAACACCTCGCAATTCAGCCAGGATTCGAAGTCCGCAAAATCAAAACTGGGACCCGTGAACAAAGAGGGATAGAAGAACGTGTAGGCGAGAAAGCTCAACAAACTTGGATGGTGTCTGATTGCGCGAGCCTTTTGATATTCCGAAAGCTTGCTTTGATCTGGCTGAGTACCGTCGTGGTATGACCATGCAAATGCTGTAAGTTTCATCACCAGGACCATTTGCGCGCCCGTGATGTCCAGCGTGGAAGTGTTTTCGGAGCTGAAGAACTGCACGCTCAAATGATTGAGGGCAAGATGGGACATAACGACCACAAAGTTCACGTATGGCATAAATTTCGAGCGGTAGAATCTGGAGATCACATACGTGAACATGCTACTCAGAAACAAGGTACGAAACCCCGTGAAGAGATTGAGAACGCCAAACAGGTAAAAAGCGGCCACTCCCACAATATACCAGCATTTCAGCGAGGCCTTGCTTTCTGGGATACGCTTCAAAATCGCATCGAAAGGGAAGGATGAGAAAAGACAAATCGCCAGTTTCAACGTCACGTCGTCGAGTCCCGTTTTTTCGGCAAGAGCCAACACCTTGGACTCTATAAAGTTGCCCATTATGTTTGCGTGGTACAAGCCTAAGATACCACTACGTGTGTCCAGTTGATTTGCTCAATGTCAGCGTATCGATCAACTTATTGACTATACCAAGAGGTACATCTCCAGTAGTAGATCGATCTTTAAAGATCTGGTAATTTACAGAAACCATCCCTTCGTTCTAGATGACATCGAAATTGGCTCAAGATCCATACAAACCACGGAACGGAATCTTCCCAGCCAGCTGCTATTGACAGTTGCTAGCCGGCGTCGGAGAAAAGCAGCGCATTGAGTGAAATTTTGTATGAACAGCACTATTTTTTTCGAGTTTGCTCGATCTCTTTTCAGATTTAGCGTGTTTTCCAACGAATGCTGTACGACGAATTTCAGAAGGCCGAACAAACGAGACTGAAGCAATGAGCCGAGGCGGCCAAGCAGGCAGCTTTTTGCCAGAGCTCAGGAAGTTTCTGGTATTATGTTTTTTCATCTTTTTGATCAAGGGTGCATGACTGACGGGGAAACAGCGAGGAAAACTGATCAATCTTTACTACCAGACGCTTATTCTTCTCTCTAGAAACAATTTCGTGGGAAAACAACAGGAAAGCCGTCAATATCCTGCAAATTGTTAATGTTTCGATCTTACGAGAATTTGAATCTCGTTTATGCATCGAGAGTTTTATTATGCAGAGAACTGTAAGGTCTGCATGCATCGTACAGCTAGAAGCTGATCGACCCATCATTCATTTCAATTTCAATTACTTTTCGTAAATTTCACCTTCCATGGTCAAGAGTCGCTAGCGCGGGTCAGTCAAACGGCGTTCTTTAGCAAATTGGTCCACACACTGGAGCAACGACGTCTTTTTTCACACCTCTAGTGACGTCACAACTAGTTACACCCATAACTCGTTCAAAATCGACGGTTTGAATTGCAAAGAAGTTACAAATCTATGCCCATTATAATCAAGTTGCGTTTCATCGATCAAAGTTGTTGTTTTGGGGAGCTTTTTTGCTGGTGTTTAACGCTTGAAGTGTGTGTTTGACAGAATATTGATATTTTATCAGTGGAATTTCAAGAAATACATCTTATAACTTCTTTATTCGTTCTATAATTACTTAAAAATCAGACATTTGCCACCCTCTTAAGCCTTTAAATCGACTTTGAGTGTGACCAATCATGCTGCCCAGACCGTCGATCGCCACCAAGCGATTTTTTTCGAGCGCGGAAACCCTATTCAAGAGAAGTCCCACTGGTGTGGTCTTCATGAATATGGGTGGCCCTTCAACCGTGCCAGAAACCAGAGATTTCTTATACCAGCTGTTTTCTGACAATGACCTGATCCCCATCAGCAAGAAGTACCAGCCAACAATAGCTAAATACATCGCGAAATTTAGAACGCCCAAGATTGAAAAGCAGTACGAGCAAATTGGAGGTTCCCCTATCCGCAAGTGGTCTGAATACCAAGCCAAGCGTGTGTGTGAGCTTTTGGACGAATCATGTCCAGATTCGGCGCCCCACAAACCATACGTAGCGTTTCGCTACGCCAGACCCTTGACTGGAGAAACGTACGAGCAAATGCTTAAGGATGGTGTTCGGAAAGCAGTGGCCTTTTCTCAGTATCCGCAATTTTCTTATTCTACCACTGGTTCTTCGATCAACGAGCTTTGGAGACAGATCAAGAAACTCGACCCCCAGAGAACCATTTCCTGGTCCGTTATCGACCGGTGGCCCACGCATAAAGGCCTCGTCAAAGCATTTGCTATGAACATTCAAAAAAGACTACAGGAATTCCCGGAAGACGTCAGAAAGGACGTCGTACTGCTGTTTTCTGCTCATTCTTTGCCAATGGACGTCGTCAACACTGGGGATGCTTACCCAGCCGAGGTTGGCGCCACTGTCTACAGCGTAATGCAAGAGCTGAAGTTCTGTAACCCTTACAGACTAGTTTGGCAATCACAAGTGGGCCCCAAACCATGGCTAGGGGCGCAAACTGCAGACGTCACAGAATGGCTAGCACCTTCTCAAAAAGGCTTGGTCATCATTCCTATTGCTTTTACCTCGGACCACATTGAGACTCTATTCGAATTAGATCTGGAAGTCATCGGTGAGTCCGAGCATAAGGACAAGATCAAACGTTGTGAGTCGCTCAACGGCAACGAAACTTTTATCGAAGGGCTTGCAGATTTGGTCAAGGACCATTTGGAAAAAGGGGAGCTTTACTCAAAACAATTGCCATTGGATTTTGCGCTTGGTAAGTCGAACGACACTTTCGAGGACCCATCGCAAGTGTTCGGTGAGCACTCTAAAGAAGACTCTTTGACTTCCACTGCCAAAAATATGAAACATTAATTCAAGAAACGATATTTTAATCGAACGCACCCCGGCTCGTTGTTAAAACTCATCTAATTATATTATTCTCTAGCCACCACGAACTTGAAGCCATCCGCTAACAGGGCAAGTGCCTTCTCAGTTTTATGAGGGATACTGTTCAAGACAAATGCAACATCATCCCACTGCTTTTGGGTTTCAGATTTTTGCAGACGCACGGACAGTTTCTCGCTCAGCTGCTTTTGGTGTTTTTCTTTATCGATGAAGGTCAATAAGAACTTCAAGATCCTCTTAAAGGAGTTGCGTTCCAGGTGCTCGTCATTCGACAGGCCACTGAATATGTCGATGAACCCATTGTAAATAGCGTTGTCTTTAGTAGCCAACTCAGTAAAAAACAATTTGCACATATCGCTAATTCCCTGATCTGGATTCTCCAAACATTTTGCCATTTGACCAAGCTGCCCTTTGACCTTAACTTGGCCTGCAAGAATTAAGAAAGTAACGGTCATCAAGCAAGTTTTTTGAACCATCAGGTCATCATCGTGCAAGTGACGGTACAGAAATTCGGTGTTCTCGTCAACTAAGTTGTTAAAGCACACCGCCATATCTCCTAGGCCTAAAATTGCATTAGAACGTACAATAGGGTCGGACGATTTTTCGAGGATGGTGATTAGAAGCGGCAAATTAGTTTCACAGTACTTGGCAGATACGCACATGAACTTCTCTAGACAAAGAACTGCAGTTCTTTGTAACATGCGGTCTGCAAATTTAGCGTTGTTGGAGACTACTTCTTCCACTAAGGGACCAAATCTAGCCAGCAGTGATGAATCCCCGTAAAGCAGTTCAGTTTCTTTGACAAAATTTACGGCATCAGTAAAGTCGTCTTCATTGGTACCGCCAATCATTTCTAATTCCTGTTGACGTTGTGCCGCCTGGTCAACTGTGTCGGCACCACCTGTAGATGTGCTCTTGGTTTCGACCTCTATCTTACGTTTCTTGAACTCGGCTTCACATTTTTCCACGTAGATGGTAGTGTTGATGGCAACATGCCCAACAATGAATAAGAGCTGCGCCAAAGATACGATGCGAGATGTTGCGTGGTTAGAATGATCCTCGAATTCCTTTTTGCCAAAAGTCATCATGGTTTTTTCCCTGACGATTTCGGTGGCTATAGTATCAGGAGCTGATGATACCACGAAAAGCGCCTTTAGAGCTTCCTCGCAGGCAGGATAAAACTCTGGGTCTTCCACATAGTCTATAATTCTAGCATGCAGCTTTTTCACAGCATCGCTCTCTCTTAGATTGCTTGCAGTAACCGCACTGGCTGTTTTCGGAACTGTTCTTTGGAGGGCGACGCATGAATATTTTAATAAGACAAGATCCTTTGTGCCAGCTTCACCAAGGCCAACAGTCAATAGAGAATCCAGGCCTTTTTGCGCTATGTTGTTATCCGCCAGTGAGAGCATTCCAAGAACAATGACCGCACCATGTATTTGTTTTGTATCGCTAGCGTTTTGATGCGGCTCACCAGAGCTATAGATTGCCCACAAAACATTGATAGCGTCTTGATCAATGTAATCAGCCTCATATATGAGACCAAGAAGCTTTTCTAAAGACGCCAAGTCGGCAGCCGATGTGTTTTCTGTCAAGCTGATCAGATTCTTGGCGATGTAAGCAGCTTTCTCTCGAAAATTCGAACCATCCGGAGGTGTGAGGAATAAGTGATTGTAGCTCGATATGAGATGGGATACGATGCTTGTCCCTTCGTCATTAGTACCCTTCATCCAGACAAGGTGCAGCATTTTGCGAACTCCAAGAGGACTGAGTTCGATGTCATAAGCATCTGTCAGCACTATAAAGTCCATAACCTCCAAAACTTCATTTCTGTTCCTCGACTGTAGAAGCTGGCACGATCTCTCTATCCCTTCATGGATACCTTTAATAAACGCTATAGCATCTTTGTAGTATTGAATTGTCAATTTCATCTTGAATACAGCATTGGCATTGGTTGTCGGCAGATCTTCTGCTTCTCTTTCAAGTCTAGATATCTGCTCATCTTCATCTTCACTGGACTCGTTTTCATCGTCTTTACGCACACTCCTCTCGATAGCTTCGTCTAGCCCACTTGTGTTGCTTTCTGGGGACATAGCCAGGGTGTTGGAAATCACAGTTTCGGCGCTTTCGAGGCGGCTCTCCCATTGAGAGAGCTTCAGCTGTGAGCCGTGAAGTGCATCAAATTGATGGGTTAATAGAAGCTTAGTGAGCAGCTTAACTGCATTTCTTCGAACTAAAGAAGACCTGTCCTGCAGAGAGCGTACAGCCAGATCGACCATGTTAGATCTACTTTTCTTAAGTTTGATGGGTAGATCACATATCTTTAAACAGCCTTGTATTGCCTTTGTTCTGACATAAGGATTCGAATCTGTGAACCTTTCTTCTAATAATTCGATTAGGACTTCCACCGATTGCTTGTACAAGTCAAAATCTTCACGCTTTGATGAGATTTCGATAACAATGTTACCGCAAGCTTCGACTACAGCACATCTCAAAGTGAAAGAGCTGTTATTAAGTAGCTTAACAATGAGGGTCATCTGTCTTAGCACTATTCGCGGTATCAGCTCAGACAACTTCACTAGAAATGTTGCGACAGTTTTGGGGCCCTTGACGTCTTTGCTATTAAATTCCTTGTTGCTGATGTCTCGTAGAATATCTTCCGTGAGCTGTGGGTAGTCAAAATCGTTGTTGATAGTTTGCAGTAGTTCAGCTGTAAAAGTGTTGAGGTGGGGAAAGTAAGTTAAGGAGGTTAAAATCGCGTTTTGCGTGCTAGAGCTTTGGCCATGATTTTTCACAGCGGTACCAATGATTTTCAATATAAATAGCTTGATTGCAGGCATTTTCAGAATTTGTTCGGTCTCAATCAAAACATAAATCGGCCTGGTGAAGAGGCCAACGAAAAGGTCTCTTTCGGGTGTTGTCGAAAAGATTCTGGATATGTTCAAGCCTAAAACCTTCAAAATACTCTCCAGCATATTTTCGATCTGCGTTGATGTTCTCTTTGCTGCGCTAGGGTTACTATCTGTCGCATTCTGGCTTCTTCCATTGGCCTTTGCTGCATTGGATTGTGATGCAGAGCTTGAGATCTCCTGGTCCAAAAAGTACAGCAATACATGTACCAGATAGCCATATTCTTCGAGCTGTCGTTTCCATTGTGGTACGCAGTTTACGACCTCAGAATTCGTTGCACCTCCAGACAAGCTTGAATTAATGCTCTGTGCGAAATTGCCTAATGACGAGCTGATGAAGTACGTGAGCTGAATCTGATGTTGAGGCGGAAGCTGCGGAAATCCGTGTGCTAGACCAATAAGACTGTCTAGTGTGTCCTCATTGTCGTCTATAAGCTCGGGGGAAACTGCTAGAACATCGATCACAGAGTTCAGCTCATTAGCCGGGTTTTCCACCGCAGCGAAGTTTTCTTTGTCGCCAGTTTGAAATTTGGTAAGCCAATCTGAAAGGCAGAATTCTGGCATTTTAGTTGAAGCGGTGCTAGTAGCCCACGGGTCACAATATGGAGCACAATGTAGGAGTTCTGATTCAGTAAAATTATAACGAAGCGTCAATGCTCTTCACCAGCTAAAAAAGTTCACGTGATGCGTTTAAATTAGCGATTTGAACAGTGTTTGAAGATCTTAGCGGCGTAGCTGGGGAAGCTTCTTTTTGTTAAGCACCTAAGCAGAATTTTCAGGGAATTTGGCAATCTTTTACGTTGTTTTGACTAATGTTCTTGACACTTCGAGTGTTTAACGTTTCAATAATTGTGAAGTTAATTAAGGTTTAGTTCTCGAAATATAAAAACAAAAAATGATTTCGCCCAGGATCGAACTGGGGACGTTCTGCGTGTTAAGCAGATGCCATAACCGACTAGACCACGAAACCTATTTCTTGGGATAAAAGTAGTTGTAGTTGTATATAACGCAAACAAGCGGTCACGACTATCTTGTTATACACTGATGACAGTATTTGATTTGTAGCAGATACATAAAAAGTTACGTTCATCACTGTCATGATTGATCAATGGCTGAAGCTAGTCGTACTTTAGTTTTCAATGCATTCTTCGAACTTGTAAGGCACAATAGAATAGGGAAGAAATGGTACAGCTTTTTTTCTGGTCTCTAAAAATGCTGTCAGGTATGCTGCGACCATTGTCAGCAGTGTAACGATATTCAAGTGGTCATTAAATTCTTAAACCATGCGCTAAATTTTTTTGAATATCATGAAGACTTGTCAAGAAGAATCTGGCGTGCGCTAGTGTCACCTTTTGATTTTTACGGCATTATTGAATGATTAATTACAAGCGTCAGCACTTCTTCAGTTCGCAGGCACATGAAGTATTCGTTTCTACCAGCGTTGACCCAGCACCAACGTTCCAAATATCTGAAAAGAATGCGGCTTTACGTATTGTCTTGAATAGAAATGATTGTTTTTTGGTGTGTCTGTAACAAAATATATGTAACGCTGGTGCCAGCTTCGACGTGCTTAAACTAGCACGCATCAATACGATTTGTGAGAATCCTTAAAGGACGGTGTTTTTTCAAGCTTTTATGTCCTAGCGGTGTAGCATGCCCCTTAAATAATTCTTTAGTCTCTTGAACAAGTCTTTTCGACTGTTCTAACTCTATCAACAGTTTTCGATTTTCCGCGTCCTTGACTTCGTATTGGTCGATAATCTCATTGAGTTGAGATCGCAGCAAGCTTTCGTTGTGCTGCATATGCTTACTTTGTTTCTTAATCTCCAGCTTTGAATCCCGCAGAGAGATTATTCTAGCTTTTGCTTTCTGTTTAAAGTCCAGCATTTCATCTAGCTGACTTGACGCAGCAGTCATTTTGCCAAAAGCGTCTTTATATTGAGTCTCTAGTTCTTGGATACGATTCTTGGACGTATGCAAGGATATCAGAGACTCCGTCGTTTTCAGTTTGTACCTCTCTACATCTTCTTTGGCTCTTTGAAGATCGAGTCTCAAGTTTTGAGATTGTAAATTCAATTTTTCACACTCATGGGCGACACGGGAGTAGCTGTCCTTCCAGTCTTTCTCTAAGCTCTCACATCGCGCAATAAGCTGGTTGCAATGATAGTTCTTCCGCTCTAGTGTCCTCTCAGCATCCGCCTGATTTTGTGACAATGTCCTCTGTAGGCGTCTTAATTGACTCTCACAGGTGTCCAAATGGCTTTCGCGTCTCATAAGATCTTCCCTTAACTCTCCATTTTCCTGTAAGAGAGCGTCGTTTCGCATAGTTTTCTCCTCTAAGTCTAATTCGATTCTGTTAATTTTGGTGCAAACATCATGGTACTTTGACTTTTGATCCTCATATAGTTTCGCAGCTTCGTGGGCATTTGCAACGCTATTCTCACACTCACGTTTTAGAAGCAACTGATCGTCTAATTGTGATTCCAAGAATCTAACACGGTCTTCCAAAAACAGGTTGCGAGATCTTTGCTCTTTATTTATTGCAAACTGTTCTGATAAGTCTGTCTCCATCGTCATGAGCTTTTCTTCGGACTGTAACGCTTCGAGTAAATCTAGCCAGCATTCCTCAAAGTCTTCGGTGATTTCGGCTACTTCAATCTGCTTGACCAATTTATTGACGGCTCCTTGATTAGCCAAGGCTTGAAGTATACCATAGCTCAATTTTTGGACAGTCATCACTAAATCTTCCGCATCAAATTCGGAATCTGGAATTCCGCATGCCTCCCAGCAACGAAGCATACCTTCCAAGACTATCGGGTTCTCGATCGCGATGTTTTCGTCCCAACCTGAGTTAAAGCTGTCTTCAACATATTTCGTGTCCTGCTCCTTTACCATCAATATTGAATCGGTTTTTTTTGGCTCGGAATGGCTTTCCTTGATTGAAAGACCAACTATCGAATCTTCCTCGAAGTACTTTGTCTGATTTGACCCAAATCGAATCATGTTAGGCGTTTTTGTTCCGACCTTCATCCTCATTGCCACAAATTCCTCAACGAAAGGGTTAGCGTTCTTGATTTCATTAATTTCCGTCGTATACGTGGCAGCCGGATTATTTTTGTAGGTCCTATCTTGGTATTCGCGAAATCTTTTGGACATCCCAGCGACGCCAGTGTCCACGTTGTTTTCTGTTTTGTGGAAAAATGCTTTGAGTTTAGAACTGGCGCTAATTTCGCCAGAACGCAGGTCGGTGCTAGTTCTTGACTGAGGAAACGTATTCATCTCGCTTCTGAGTTTTTTTGTACTTCGCACGTCGCCAATGGTGTATAAATGCCAACTCTGGAGTTTACTAAATGCGCAAACTCATGTATATTTATTTTTTAGTGTCGCGAGACATTGGTGACAGAAAATAATATCCAATGACAGTAAGAACTGTAAGTGACGAGTTGTCATAGGTGTCCGTGTCCGCAAGACATAATTATAAGCCTGTTCGTTGACAAATCTACATAATGTACACAAATTTATCTAAAGCAATGATGAAACGAAAGGAGGATCCTTGTGTCGGAGACCAGCTCTTAGACAAGAAGGAATTCGGGGACGGTGAGTGAGAGAAAAACCTCGGGGATGGTCTAGTATGTTTTTTCGTTCGCGACGTCAGCCTGCGAAGGACGAAGGCGTGACAAACGTATCATGTCCTGTCAGCGACCAAATAAGGAAAGCAAGGAAGCTTTGAAGAATTGATGTGAGACCATACAACAGTGATAGTGAAAGTCGATCAAGTCAATGATTTCAAAGCATCCAGTCGTGTTTGTCGGTAGGAGACAATAAGGGCGGCGTACTTGGGGATATGTGGCTTGTCCAAAACGAGGGAGTAATCGTTTTGGGACCCGAAGAATTATCCCTAGAATTGTAAAAGCAGTAGGATTGAATCAATTTGTTGTAGTCCATGGATGTGGTGGAAGACTCCGGGGTAAGCTTCTGGTCCACTGAGACGGCGGAGGACAGAAAAAGATCGCGTCTAAGCTTGAAAGAGGATAATCCTTTTAAAGCCCGAGGCTGGTGACTTGTAACGGAGAAAGAAGAGCTATTGGTCGTAGTGGCTGTGTCTGCCGGAGAGTCTGAAGTTGAGCAAGAAACATCAGCAAGTGGATTGCGATAAGTGCTGGATGAGGAGATATCGGAGGGCACACGTTGCTCTAGATCGGTGATGTCGTCGTTTTCTTTTGAAAGCGAAGCGTTGTCAAAGGCGCCTGAATGGTCCATATGCGGATGATTGAGGGGCGTATCATGAGACCCATCCTGTGTGGGTGGCGGGGTGTGTGTATAGTTTGGTTGCCCCTGGGTCTGATTGAAAAGGTAATGCATTGGGGAAGTTGGAGTGGTGTCATAATCAAAAGTGACTTCGTTTATGCGAGATGGTTTTGCCAACGTTGTATCGTTGTGAAACAAGTGTTTGAGAGGAGAAGTGTTATAGTAATCGGTATTGTCCGAGAATTTTCTACCGGACGTGGTGACCAGTTTGGATGCCGTTTTGGCAGCACTAGAGGATAGAGTGGTGGAGGCCAAGAAATCGGACCCAAAAGATCTGGGGTTCACTGTAGTTGAGCTTGTGGAATGGCGGAGCGAGTCCGAAGACGATAAAGCGCTTAGATTAGGCACGGATGCCGCGGTCCGATGGATCACCGGATGCGTGAATGCTTGAAGCTCGACGTGGTAGTTGTTGTAGTTGTTGTTGTCGTAGTAGGTTTCTCCGTTGACATCGTATCGACAGCACAACTCCATCCTGACGGCGCAGCAGGTTTCTGGGTTGTGAAAATTGCAGTGAAGAATGTTTTTGGACTGCATAAAGAAGGCGAGGCCTGCCAAGTCTATGGTGAACTTGAATTCGTCGATGGAACGGGTCACGGTGCGGTGGTAAAAGGCCGGCACGTAGTGTACGTCCCGCCACGAGTTGAACGTGAACTTGATTTCCAAAGATTTCTCAAAGTTCAGGTTCGTCACGTAGATGAGACCCTGGATCTTGTGGGAGTCCAAACAAGACGACACTTTGTTGAGCTTGATGTTGTGGCCCCTGAGATGGGCGAGGATGTGGGACTGCAGGTCCAGGGCGCGACGCGTGATCACGGGCTGGATGTCGGACGACAGCAGCCGCCATTTGTCGACGATGAAGCGCTGGGTGGCAGTGGTGGCTGTTGCCGTGCGCGGCGTCAGCCGCGCACTGTCGAGCCGGAAAAGGGGCTGCTCCAGATCGCAGTCGCTGCTGTCGCTGTCGCTTTCGCTGTAGAGGGTGGAGTCGTACAGACTGAAGGTGGAGGAGAGCTTGTGCGGTTTTACCGCTGCTGCTCCTGCTGCGGGCGACGCTGTGCCAAACCAAAAGTCATCGCTGTGCACGGGCGCCAGCTCCGGCGAATTTTCGCTGGAGATCGAGATCGGCTCCGATCGCGTGTCGAACCGTTTGACTGTGGTAAGCTGGTGTGCGAACCGCACGTTTTTCAGCGACGACCGCTGCTGCCGCTGCAGCGGCAGCAGTCGTTGCTCTGACTGCTCCTGCGCGACGGCGGGCAGTGTGTCGTGTGCAAGAGGACAAGTGGAGAAAGCGCAGCTGCGGGACACGCCTCAAAACACTCGCAAGGGCAACTCCTTTCCACGAGAAAGAGCTACTCTACACGTTTTCCTAGCAGAATCAAGAAGTTCTGCAGGCTTCCCGGGCGTTTCAAACCTGATATTATTCCTTGTGAAGAGGAGACGAGAGAGACCTACGGTTACGGAGACGATCCGTTGAAGGCTCGATCAGCCCCTCCCTTTTATAATCTCAATTTTTCTCGGGTTTTTTGGCTTTTTGGTTGGCCCCGAGAACCGGACCTACGTTGCCCCTGGATTTTTGTGGGTCGCGTACAAAGTGATCAGTTACTCCGTTTTTTATGTGTGGGCCCCCAGACGCTGGCGCAGGGCCGGGAGCTGGGAGAGCTGGGGATTTGAAAAACACCTCCCGCAGAGTGGGTCGCAAAACGTGGATCGTGATGTGTGGGGTGGGTTTGTGGGTGCGGCCTTTGTTCTCCGCATGTGAGTGTTGAGAGCGGAAACAATTCTCCGCTGCCACACCATTTTCTTGCCAGTCCAACGAGCCAGCGGGCGACTGCTTGTGAGGTGATGGAGGTTAGCGGTTCCGGCTACCGGAGTCTGGAGACGACGAGGCTATGAGGACAAGGCGATGGCGATGGTGAAGGTGAAGGTGAAGGTTATGGTAACGGCTGGTGAGGATGTGTGTGGTGGGTGAGAGAGTGTGTGTATCTCTGTGTGTGTGTGTGTGTGTGTGTGTGTGTGTGTGTGTGTGTGTGTGTGTGTGTGTGTGGTTTGTGCGGTACTTCGCTGAAGGGAGTCGCGTGACTTTAATGAGGTCAGTTAGATCGATGTGGATGCGGTGTGCAGGACAGTTCGAATCGATAGGTTGAAGGAAGTTACGTAACCGCGAAAGCTGTAAAAGCGATTTGCGGGCGTATTTGGTGTCCTCACACAGGTCTGTTCTGCGATCAGTGTGGTTTCACACTCTCGCACTTCTACTCCATTCGTGCCCTCTCCAGGCGATTGACCAATAACACAATGGTACAGTGATCGTTTTTCGATATCACGTGCTCTCTTGCCCACGCGTATCAAAAAACAAATCTCCGATACGGGGAGTCGAACCCCGGTCTCCACGGTGAAAGCGTGATGTGATAGCCGTTACACTATATCGGATTTTTCATAGAAGATCAGCGCTTGCAGACATTACGATGGTGGGAAAAGGTGGCATGACGCAGACCACGACAGCACTGAGCTAGATTGAGAGAGAGAGAGAGAGAGAGAGAGAGAGAGAGAGAGAGAGAGAGAGAGAGAGAGAGAGAGAGAGAGAGAGA